TGCTCACTTGTTCCGCCATCGCAGAAATTCAGTGCTTGGGCCGCAGCTTGCTTAGGCCCAAGCCCCGGCTTTCGGCTGGCTTGGGCTCACGGCTCAGGCTTGAATTCTGGCGAGCCTAAGCCCCTTCAGGCCGCGCCTAAGCCGGGGCTTTGAGCCCAAGCCGGGCCGGAACATCACTAAGGAAGGTACTTCCTTGCAGATGCTGGGTTCGGAATATGCTACTCGCTTCTCGTTCCGTACCGAAGTGTTCGGTACCACTTGGCTGAGTGGGGTCGAGCTGCAGTTCGGTGAGTGATATCTCACTCGAACTATTGATTTTCTCATCGACGGCAGGCCAAAAATTCAAAAGAAATATACAACCTTTGGCATGCTCAGGCTCGAAATGTGATTGAGCGAATATTCGGCGTTCTCAAGAGGTGGTTCACGATACTCGTACATCCACCGGAATATAGCATGTTGACTCAAGCCCGAATTCCCCCAGCACTTTGTGCCATTCACAACTTCATCCGAATTTTCGATCCGAAGGAAATAGAAGAATTCGCCGTCGAGGATCTCGTTGACCCTGATCCAGGCGAGTCAAGGGGCGTTCTTGCTGAAGGACCGGCGGGCCGTACTGAAAGGCAAAAGGTGACAGAGGAGAGAGATGCTATTGCAGATGCTATGTGGAGGGACTGTCATAGAGTGTGTCGCGCTCGTCAGGACGCGACAGGATGAGTACATAACACCTATACTACCTAGTAGATCTACTTGTTGATAGATTTGATCTTGCGGTCAACAAAAGACCTCCTTGGCCCTTCGTCGGACATGACCATATATGCATCAGCGGCGCTGACATCCACCTGAAAAGCTTCGATAAGTGCAGCCATGTCGTCATCATCGAGATGTGTTTCTAGTAGTTGAGCACGCTGCATTGCTGCCTGCTTGCGCTGAGGCGATAAGGTGATAGCCGATTTTTCCAATTGTGTAGCTACACGAAAGACGTCAGTGAACTCTGAAAATCGATCATTAATTGCATAGAGTGCAGTGGCTGATCCGCTGGCACGCTGACGTTTTGATTGCGGACCAGAAGAACAAGATCCAGTTGAAGGGGTAAGCGATGGAGTTGAAGACATGGCAGCGAATTTTCATTTTGAGAGAGGAGGAGGAGGAGGAGTCGCTTCCCAAGGAATGATATCGTCTTCATCATCATCCAGCCCAGTTGAGTCTCTCTCCACAATCCTCTCAATGTCTCCCTCAACCGCTAAGCCTCCCAAGCCTCCCAAGTCTCCCAAGTCTCCCAAGTCAGGCGCTACAGGCTCATTCTCCACAGCATCAACACCCGGGCCTTCGTTGCTGACGTCATATTGTGATTGGAACGTTTCCTGGCCTGCGTGAAAAGCATTGGTGCCATGTGGGATCTGCGTGCGCAAAAGGTCGTCCATCTCGTCGAAGTGTTTCCAACCTTTGTTGCGGAATGGCCTTGTATTGAGACGCACATTTGCAAATGCAGTCCAACGCGCAGCGTCGGCTGGGCCGATATTTGCGCCGAGTTCGTACGTCCCACGAAAAGCCTGATTGCAATTTGATATCGACGATAGCGGTATGCTTTTTCTTGCACTGCGGTAGTCAAAATTGAATCGATTTGAAAAATAATAATAAACGTACCGTGATCCATTTGTTCTTGCATGACAGCCCATCCCTTTTGATTCCAGCTACATGGTCCTCCTTTGGAATGCCGTCCAGGGGCTTCAATAAATAAGCCACTGCAGCTGGTAAAGGTTGACTGTTTGAAGTTAGTACCATCTCCACCTTCAGCGCGATGAAGTGTGAGATACTGAATGAGGCGGGAGGTCTCTTCATCAGTCCAGTGAGTGGTAGCTGGGCCTGCACTAGTAGTACCAGTGTTCGCAGATGTACTCTTCCGTTTCGCCATGACTTGGCAGTATGGAGTCTGGACGCTGATAGAGTCACACGCGAGTCACAGCTTGTCACTCGTTGCCACGCCACAATAGAAATAAACTGAGAAATAAACTGAGAAATAAACGCAGCTGTCCAGGCTCTTAGCTAGTCACGATGTTATGTCGCTTAAAATGCACTCTACACACTTCGAGTCAACTTTGAGTGTTCATTAATCATTGTTGATGAATATTTCAATGTCCATCCGCATACAGCCTTGCAGTACTGAAACGCACCTCTCACCACATTTACAGTGCTTGTCCTCTGCGTTCGTACAGCTCGGAGATCGTATCAATTAGTGGTGTACAGGCCTCCGGTATTGTCTCTAATTGTGATCTAATGTTGGTTTTCAGATGCTGTGTAAAGTGTTGTGTCACCGTGTCAAACCTCGTCCGAGCCCTCACCCTATAAATGCAGTCCCGGTATTACTGTGTCAATCCCAAAAATTTGTCTCCTATGACCTAGAGAAGAACTAGTATCGTTTCGAGTGTTACCTCGTTGCCTTGAGGTCTAACCTTCCTTCTTAGTTCGAAACCACCTGCCTCGTTCTTATCTAAACCCACCTCCGCGGATTCGAAATGGATCTCCTTGTTTCTCCACCTCTACGCACCCGTCTTCGCCCCTAGGTAATCCCTTTCACAGAGGGCCTGGAACTGGTCTGTGATGTACACAGTTATGACATGTCCACATTATCAAGCAGCGCAGCGTCTTCCATAGCTAGCACCGCATCCAACGCTACCATCCCCATGGTCGGCACGTCAGGAAAGTTACCCGCTACTATAGGCGAAAAAGCAGTGCCTCACACCAACTCTTCCTACTTCTCACAAACGCGCTGATTATCTTCTTGCTGAATATCAACTCCTTTTTTGTACATGATACTCGACAGTGTTGTATGGATTGGTGATGTTTAAGGTATCAATTGTTTGATACTGGACTTGCCCTCGTTTGCTACTTATCGCTCACCGCTCACCCTGCTCTGCCCACATTACCCCGTCTCGTGTATGCGACTACATTTCCGGCTTTTTATATTCATGACTCGCTCGACGCAGAGTCCTCTATGTTCCCTCAGAGGCGTCTATCTGTCTTGGATCGCTCTACTACCCCGCTGGCAGTGGTCTTCTTGCCTGTTAATGCGCGTTTTGATTTTCTGTCGTCTCACTTTATACATTTGCAATCATCCCCTGCAGCCCATCTTGGTTCGTATATCTTTTTCTTCCATCCCATTTCGCTTCGTGCATCGCCCATTCTAATTCCGCTTCGTGCCCCCTCGTACAACCCCCGACATGGTCTTTTTACATGCACATGCTTATAACGCATGGATAGGTCAGACAATCAGTGTTGCAGTACTTCGATCACTTATATGTGAAATTTCCAGGTTCAAATTATGTTCAAAGTTGAGTGTTTGATAATATTATGCTATATGCCAAATTTCCTCCCATTACTCAAGCGCTAGCGACACAAATTAACCATGGCAATCAACTCAACGATCAACTAAGAATTGTGCCATGAATGACAACGTTGATAGGAAAGCAGAAACATCACTCACAGCGACTCTCGCTAGGCGTAGCTCTTCTACATTTCAAGAATCCTTGTTCATACATCAGTGCACATCTCGTTTTTCTATTGGAACGCACAAAGAATGAGTCAATTTTGAATCATACAAACAAACTGCATGCTCACACAAGTTTGAATGCAGCAGGCGGACCCCACGCAGTCGGTACCACTGACGCATGACCGCTCCTCAAACAGAGCTGGTACTGCGCTGACAGACATAATTGCTGTCAAAGCAGCGACGACAGCGAGGAAGGAGAAACGCATGTTTGGAATCGGAATTGATACGAAGGTGATGTGGGATTGGTCTGAGGGACTCTTGAATGACTTTGGGACGGTAGGATGATGACCCGTCCCTAAAAGCCTCGCTAGAATGAAGATTGCAAAATTATTCGTCAGCCCTGACTGGCATAGGCATAGGTTAACACCACGAATAGAGTTTGATTGCATGGGCGAGGCACTGATCTCTACATTCCATGCCAGTGCGACACAGGTGAAACATACACACTAGTACGTATATACACAGAGACGACAAACAGAACCATGCGTTCGCATACACACTAGTATGTATCATGTCTTTCTACATGCACGAAGGTAGCTGACTCTGTGGGCGTGTCAGCAATAATGGTCAACGGAGCTGCCGATATTTGCATCAGAAGCGAGATGAAACGCCTGCCCGTTCTTCGCCGTTTGAGCCAGGGCTCAATTCCAGCACTCCGGATACAGCGCCTGGAGTTTGAAACGCTCAATTGCGATCATCGTGGAGGAAACGGGCTGTTGGGTCCACCAGAGTCACGGAAATGCGAGGACTCGGAAACTGCCGCCAGCTAGTATGGGACATGCGGGTGCAGTATGGGAAATGGTGGCTCCTCGCATAATGTTCAGAGTATGACGGTGAGATGCTGTTTCGATTCTCCGAAAAGCGCGCAACAACAGTTTCCAAAGCTATGCCGGTGGGGGCAGTTGCGGAACTGTAGGGAATGTTCACACTACTTACCATTGGAGATGCGACCGCATGATATGTGGGACCTTGACAACAGGCCTAGGACCCATGCAATCGCAAGCTCAGAAAGCAGGGCTTTCCATCATGGACCGTAACATATATTGCTCATGCCGACCACGGTGTCCAATGCCCATAGCTTTCCCCGTCAGTCGCTCGAAATTTTAAACGGTACCTGGATGACTTACTCACATGACTTCTCTCATCTCGTTATAGTCCTTTTTTTTTGGCAGGGTTCAACAGCCTGAGCACCGTCTCTGAATCAGTTTTTCAATCACAACCACGTGCTCTCCAGTTGTCTTCTCGGCATTGGAGTTCACAACGATGACTGCAATGCAGAAGATAAGAAATACAAGCGATACACTCGTCTTTGGGCGTTACAATGATAGAGTATAACATTACAAGCACAGATCTGTGTCAACTACGTTCGTTGACAGCTCGATATCGCAACAAAATCGGACTCTGGGAAGAGAAGTATTCACTGTTGACGATGCGTAAAGGGCTCAGATGGCTTTTGGTAGGAAGGTTAAGCACCGAGGTATGTCGAAGAATAAAACCTTGTGAGTCATTGAAAATTGTCGCAGACCGCGGATTGCGACTGGCAGGCCACTGAGCTGAACCAAGGGCAGTGACGAGGACTCACGCGTCTATTATGGGCACAAAGAATAACATGAGAACAATATGAGGACATGGACGAATATTGATTAATGGAGTCCAGTCGGCGCTGTTCTACCACTCAAGGCGAAAATGGAGAGGTGAGATGTCATGTGGCTTCTCGTATAACACATGACTATGCAGTACGTACTTTGTCATTATAAGCTCCTTGGACATACCTAAACTTCTGCATCAACAAAAATCCACTAGATCGTTATGAAGAGAAGGATGAAGGATGAGGGAAAGGTTTAGGAAGGACGGCTCCAAGGTGGCTATGGCTCAGATAGGAGGCATTATTCCCAACGCGGAAATTGGACGCGCTTGATAAGACGCCGATCGACGACCACTATGTAGTCCGGTCAGATACCACGAATTTCTGGGGTGTGTAACGTCCTCAGGCTGTAACGTCCCATGGTAGGAACATTGGTCGTCGGAAGTTGAAAGTTGCAATTATGTTTTCTTTTTTGGGATTAGTCTAGCGTTCTGCAAACGGCTGAAAAATTTGGTTTGCATACTACAATTACTTACACGAGGCTAGAAAATTCTTGCCTTGGGAGTTCTGCCATGGAGTGACAGGTTAAATTTATTGTTCTGTCATGGACTGACTCATGGAGTGGCAGATTCACCGAGCAGAACCGGTTATTTCCGTCAGCTCTGCCCAGTGTCGGTTGTGCCCAATCACTGCAATCACAAAGCCAACAGCCAAAGACCTCAAGGCCTCATCGACATCCCCCGATGATTTTAGAAGCAGTCAGATACCCTGTGTCGGAAAAAAATTCATGACAAATCATGGACTGTTGTATGTCGAATCGTGCAAATCCCGCCCAATGATTTGGATCCGAGTCGAGTCATCAGCTGGATGATTGATGACCAAATAACACGTACGCCTCCCTGGGCCAATCCACACATATTCTTCTTGTTGGCTGCTTGCTGTCATAGTCTTTCCCTTGTGTTTCCTTCGCACCTCTTCTTCTAGTCCCACACAAAGTCCCTCGCCTGTTTCTTAGACCACATTTTCTCCTTGCGTGGAAGAGGCTGTGCCCTAGTATTCAAGTAACAGGTTCCCGTTCCCGACATCGCATCTACAGTCTGCCGGAAAGATCGCATTATATCACTCACAGATTGGCGAGGTTGCAGTTCTGGTAATAACTGCGTCGGGTACACTGAAATGATGTGGTGAATCACCAGCCTATCCCGACTCGCTGGGACCGGGATCTCTTGACACAAACCTTTATGTCTGGAGCTTGGAGAACATCTCGAAACGCGTTGTCATTAAAGGGGCGGGTCCAGGGGGCGCTAACTGTGTTGTTTGGCTCGGTGATGCACATGTTACCGATGGTAAAAAGACGGGTCGTATTTTGAGGCGCTGTGCGTGTTTGGGAAGTTGAGTTGCCATGAGGAATCGTAGCGCGCTGGGAAGCGCCAGTCCCCGACTTCAACTTCAAGAATGACGACGGATTGGTAGTAAACAGTCGATCGATATAACAATCAGGCGCTTCGCAGATCAGATGCAGCGCTACTTGAAATTTGACAACAGTATTCAAGTCAGGCTAATGATCGTCAACCTCCAGCTCAATGTCAAAGATGTCATGGCTCTCCGTCGATAACTTTGAGTTCTTAGTAGGTGACTGACCTCCGAGCTCGTTAGTACCCTTCCTTTTGCCTTTGGAATCATGGAGAGCTTCCTTCGTGTAGGCTGCACATGGCAGCAACTGCATACGCCGAAATGACTGCTTTTGAAACAGGCATTGGTCATTCCCGCTCTCGATCTGTACGAATATCTCTCACCTCTGCCGGCGCATTCAGTTTGCATTCTAGACAGACTGACATGTCCTTGACAGAGCGCGAGACAATTTCCTGTGACAAGCGTTCAGTAACGAGCACGCCAAACTCATGAGCAAGAATCTGACAGAAAACAGCCTTTTCCGAGAGTAAATAACAGCTCAAGAATGGAAAATATGCGAGATAAACATCACCCAAAACACTTGCTCCAGCATGAGATAGGTGTAGTACGCGTTGCCGGGCATGATTAGCGAGTGCATCACACGTTTTTCGATGAGAAAGCTTGTTGTAGAGTGTGCAAAAGCGTGGCGCTGATCGAGGAATATATGTCTGGATGTCATGTACGTTTCAGCTTCTCTAAACGGTGAGCAAGATCATCAACAGATGCTGAAATCCACTGTAAAGACATGGCTTTAGAGGCTTGCACAGCTGCTGGTTCGAGAGCAGGAGATGCGCTAATGACAGGAGGAGTGCGTAGAGCAGTTGCCACCTCGATACCGTACAATTCTGAAACTCAGCAGCAAGTAAAGTGCCCCGTGATCTTGTGCAAGCAGGTGGGACTGATGCGGTCAAGAGACTCTCCGAGTCGTACTGGGATGTTTCGAGAGAAAGACAGACATTCTGAATATCATGATTAATGTCAATAAAACAAGCACACAGAAAGAAACCGAAAAGATATACACACAAGTTCAGCTCTAAAGACGACAGACTTGATGATGATGAGTTTAAGTATATTAACAACTTGTATGACATCATCATCTATCGATATCAATTGTATCTATATCGATGAATCGTACAGTTTTTTTTCGAAAGTGTTCCCACGCATCGAGGTACAGGTGCCTGGGGAATTGCATCCGACAAAACCCTCCCACATTCGTGGGGATCAGATAACGTTCACTAGATAAGATAAGATAAGGTGATTTGTGTGACGACCTGACATATGTTATGTACCTCCACCACTCGCCTCTACATTGTCAGACATGCATCATATCACGCATCATCTGAAAGACCAATCTAATCTGACGCCATACTACAGCGCAGCCACTCAGCACGAATTTCTTACAGCTGCTGGTACATTGAGCCTATCTCCAGGCCGTCTTGCACTGTGGCTCGGTCAGGATCGCATTTATGCGGCACACGCATATCCGCGTTTTATTGGTCTGCTCATATCAAAAATTCCCTTCGATGGACCAGCCGTTGAGGAGGAATTGAACAGAGAGACTCTCGCCCTGCTGATAATATGCTTGGAGGGAGTTATTCGCGAGGTTGCTTTCTTTGAAGGGGTCGCAAAGGAATGGAACTTGGATATCGACGGTTGGATAGAGCGGAAAGGCACACGAGATTACACAGCTGAGATGGCAAGGGTAGCTTCTGTTGGTTCGTTGGAAGAGGGGCTCGTGTTTCTATGGGCAATGGAACAGGTGTGTGTGCCTCGCAATCGACATTACGTTGCTTGAGACAAGCCTCCTAGGTATACCTCGACGCATGGAAGTATGTAAAATCCCTGCTCCCTCTTCAAAGTGACTCAGAAAACGATACTGCGAATGCGATCCGCCAACTAACAAACAACTGGACGACTCCGGAGTTTGAAGAATTTGTCCAGAAGCTGGAGGATCTGGCAAACAAGCACTTCGCGAGACGTCACCATGGTCATTCGCACTCAGCTGTACGTGCGATGGAGAGTATTTGGGCGAGAGTTGTGGAACTTGAGGAGATGTTTTGGCCCGAGGACGGAGAGGACACCCGTTTGAGCTCTAAAGCCTCTTGAGGTCGAACACGTGGATTCTTTGGAAAATAACGGTGCTTGATTAGCATAGCAGTATGGGAGTTCGTGTATTATAGTGTCTGCCGGACCAGTATGCTGATAGTTCAATTATATTCAGACGAAAGATTGAGAAGACGAGCCTCAACCCGGACCCTCCGACAAGGCATGTCGGAGTCCTCAGGTAAGTCTCGCTAATTGAAATTTCGTGTGGAACCCATGGCGGAAGACCAAGTACAGCCAAGCGCCAGCGAATCGAGGGGTGAAACCGCCGCCGAAGACCAACCACAACCAAGCATCAGCAAAACACTGCTAACACATACGCCTCCTTGGACCAACCCACGCATACTCTCCTTGCTGTCTCTTTCCCTTGTCTTTCCTTCGCCTCTCTTCTTCTAGTCCCACACGAAGTCCATCACCTGTTTCTTAAACCACATTTTCTCCTTACATGGAAGAGGTTGTGCCCCATGCACGTGAAGCACCATAAGCGGACGCATGCCGTCCAGCTCCTCACCGTCCTTCCCTAAATTCTCCTGTCCCACAGCCTCCCTCCGGCTGCTGACCATTGCCTTCAGCGTTATCAAAGGAAACTCCATGACGAAATCACCCTTCGCGATGAGTTTAAGCGTGGTGACACGGGGCCACAGGCAACAGCTACGGCGAGCGAAAGGTGCACCGAGGAGATACAGGATGATCTTGATGCACGAGGAGTGGCTGTTCGTGATGGTTACAGTATCACCATTCCACGGGCGTGTTTTAGGTATCCACCGCATGCCAAATTTGGCAGCGCACCCATCCAACTCCAATGAGTTTGAGGGGGGGTAGCGATAGGCAACGAAGTTCATGGATAGCATCGCATTCCTGGAGAACGATGGTTTGACAATCGCCATCGAACGCAGCCAAAGTGTCTCGGATGCATGTGCGCAGGATAATTTTCTCTGCATAGATTGTGATGCTCTGGCTTGCCGGGTACAATTGCAGGTTGTCGAGAATGAGGCAAGGTATTCGCCGTGGTATTGCTTTCAAGACTCGAAAAATCGCTAGGGGTGCCACCATATCGATCGAGTAGCCGCCATAAATGGTCATGACATCAATATGTTGCGTATTATTCTTCAACCACTGGGGGCCGAGGTAATCAGCCATATTCTTGTCGATGTAAAGGATCCTAAGGGCGGGACACTCCAGTTCCAAACACGATTTCAAGCCAATGAAACGATCATGACGTCTTATAATTGTCAATCGTAAACATTCGAGCTGTGGCGCATCTCCTGTCAATGCGCCCAACTCAAAGCGGCCGTATCCATCGAAAACATTTGTCATTATGAGGCTCTTGAGTCGCTGAAGATGTGATGAAATGAGGGATGAAGGATGGCGTCTGCTTAGGAGATTCTGTTTGATTATCAAATGGACTGGGTAACTCCCCGCCTTCTTCAGCTGGGAGGTCACACGCTGGTCCTCCAGGGGTAGTGCACAACATATCCGAGTCCACAACTCCGGCGTAGAAGACATAATGTTTCGCCAGTGTCTGCACACCAATGCCATGGTGTGAGGGAACGACAGGCCTCCTGCCAGCACCTGGTGTTCGTTTTCAGGGGTTGTCATCATATCATCTTCGACCATACTTTCAAGTACAGTCTTGAGGATGCTGCACTTTGTCTCTGTGGGAAGCGATTGAAAGGAGCACCTTATCATTTTCTGTTTTCGCGCCATTGACCACTGGTAGCAGTAAAATCATAATGAGACGAGGACAAAAATTTGAATCACTGAAATTGGACCTAGCTCTTCTGAATCGACCAAGCGCTTGTATTCCTCAGGCCTCAGGGGCTGTCAAGGGGCTGTTGTCAAAACCGAGCGCGTATGTAATGCGCGCCCAAATAAAGTCAAATACTCGTGGTGGCACGTACTGGTACACATGCACAGTCAAAAATCGACCTAGACACTTACCTATGACGGCGAGACAGCGCTTGATTACTGAGTGGTCGCGTGTGAAAAGCTGAGAGCTGCAATGAGCGGAAAATGTAAAAACCCAAGATCCGAGTGAATTGAAGACCAGCGAGGTATTACTATAGATTAAAATTACAAACTCGCTGCTGGATGCCGTTCCAATGAACGACCCAAGTCTATCTTGAGCTGACGAGTCTTGCAGAAACCAATGTAATGATACCATGACCACCTCCTGACCTATCGTTGCGACGCAATCTTGATAAGGGCCCTGAGCGCACCTCCTCCCCGCAATACTATGCGGTCCGCCTTGTCTCCACCCATTGTTGCATGCACGACTAGCCGCGCCACCACTTCGCCCTGTAGCATAATAATCATAATCATTTTTCACAGATTGCAGTGCAAACGACTCACCAACTCCACTAAGAGCGCGACCACAATCAGCCTTTTGAAGAACCCGTCAGATCGAATCATTTGACTTTAACACCGTGATAGGTCTCACCAAATAACGATCCACGTTATCCGTTCCATCGCATTGTTATTCAAGTGATCGTGTATAGCATCGAGCTGAAGGCAAAAGCAAAATACCATCAGTTGCTTCTCAAGTCGAATTGCAATAAAACACCCACAAATTCGCTCGCCATTCCGAGTTTCTCGTTCAGTACTTGTACACGTTCTCCAATTTCCATGTATTCTCGTACAGCTTCATACAGCCCTCCCAGACTTGCCTCGCTCCAGAACAACTCTGGAACGTCCAAGACATTGCTCACGAGATTTACGTCGCGTCTGAGCTTGAACAGCTTGCCTGTGAGCCTCATCGCATCACGACGTTTGAGGTTGATGGCGCCAGAGGATGCGAGCTGCCTTGGTATTGATACGGTGCTAGGGGATGAAAGTACAGAAGAGGCGACAGACTCGTAGTGTGCGAGGAGCGTAGACTGGGCGAGGGCATGCGCAACAGACAGTTTGAGCAAATGGGAGGGTGATTTGAAAGCTACGGTGTTTTAGTAGAGCACACAACACAAGGCACAGTTTGAAAAACACACTGAAAAAATCATGATATATGCGAGGGTATGAAATCGTTGGGTCATGCTAGACAGCGTCAGATGAGGAGTCGTAGAAATTGAAAGACAGTGACGTACCGCAAAATGACATTCCTCAATCTCCCAGTCATCTTCTTTCATCGGTCGTTTCAAAATACCTGCATTACTGATATCCTCGACAATAGCCCGTTCTTGCCCTTCTTCGAGTCCAAAGAAGACAGCAACGCCATAAGCAAAGAAGACCACTTCCGCAATACGGTCTTCTTCTTTCACCTCGACTTGCTCGCGTCGCTCGTCCTCTGCCCTCTCTTTCGTTTCCTGACTTCTCTCGTTCACATCGTACCGTTCACCATCACCCTCTTCGGCATACTCCGCTTCCCCTTCAGCCTCAGATTCCAATTCAGGACGGGGCGGGGGTCGGTGAGATTCCGCATGGGATCCGGACGTCATGTATCCATCCGAAGTCCGTGGTACGTCTTCTTGAGGGATAAAATATGAGCCCTGGTAGCCGTTTTCTTCAGCTTCAGCAAGGCGTTTCTGGAGAGACTTGGCTTCCTTCACAGGGGCTGCGGAAGAACGGATGCTGGTGTTAGGCCCGTACCCAGGAAGGAGCGGCAGGTTGTAAATCTATAAGACACCAGTCAGGGCAAATTACATGAGGTGGATCAGGAACCTCGACAGGCAAATGAGAAACACGAGACTCACAACATACATCGCCTCGTCAAACACTCTTGGTGTGACATTATGTTCCCTCTTCAAAAAGCTCGCGAGCAACTTCATCCTCAGTTCTTCAGCAATACAATACGCTGTGATTCTCTTGTATCCTGCTCGCTTTCTCTGTTCTTTGTTCATGCGCTCGCCAGCTGACTTGTATTCACGAATTACGCCGGTATCGGTCTCGTAGCCGAGGATATCATCGGAAACAGTTGTTGGTAGAGGCTTCGTTTGTGGTGCAGAGGGTAGAAGGACGAGCTTCTGTGTTGTCTTGGAGGAACGTTGAGCTTTCTGGCCGGTAGCGGTGAGCCCCGAAACAGAAGAGCGTCGAGGTGCTGGCGCCCGCGATGTAATAAGGCCATGCGCTGGACGTGGACGGTAGCGTACTGTCGGTGGCAGACTAGGTGTACGTAGTGGGCGGGAACCGGACATGGTCGTTCAGGTCAATTTATGTAAAGCTTCCCCACTTCAACGTCCGTGCGACGATTATAATTTAATGCGCCCGACCACATTGACAGTGTTGAGTCAGGCTCTGCTATCGTTAGCAAGCATTCACGAAGCCCAACGGCTTCTCTTGAATCTCTTTGTTTAACGCGTACCCCACGTTTCCCTCTACAGCAAACATAGACGCAGGCTCATTAATGCACTCATTTGTTGACGCCATGGCGAAAATTTAACTCAAAGTAGTAACCGCGATGGTGAGTAAACTGCGCTGCGGGTATGCAGATTGAGTGCAAGTGGCGAAGGGTACGAATTCAGTGCTAGTGATGTTTCATTTACACAATCGTTCATCAACATAATCAATCTCGCGTCCGCCCAGATCTGTCCTGCCGTCCATGACGCTCAAGGAACATTCCTGTTTCACTCTGAATCTGCGTGCTGAGATAATTGGAGAACGAGGTAGATCCTTGTCAAAAACGGCGGTATCCATGCACTGTGCAAATACTTATCATTAATATTGTATTGGACTCGGAGGTGCAAGACCTATTTAATGGGAGCTTGTACGGTAGTGTCTTGTGTCAAGGTAGAACTTGGGAACGTCACAGGTAAGTTGTAGATAGCAGATACCACCTTCAAGTTTCTCATCACAAAGCCGAGGAATCTATCATCATCCACAACGTCCATTGGGGCATACCTAACTCCTTTCGGGACGTATGGATTTCCAATCTGCTCCAGACGGACTTCCTCTCCTTCATAGTTCACCCAGAATGCTTTGAACTTCGACCCGTGCGAAGATATCAGGAAATTGAGTTTTTCACCCGTGTCTCGTGTTTTCCGCTGGCAAATTGATGTCAGACGACGGTAGCAGTTGACCCTGTTAGTGTCCGGCCAAGGCGCTTGGGGATGCTCGCAGGCAATGACACCCACCCAGGGCAACTGGGAGAGGTCATCTCCTGCCTGCATCCCGCTGAGCAGGGAGTGACGTGAAAGACCTATTACAGATAACGGCGTATGGCCTCCTGTTATAGAGGGACCCAAAATCGAGCTTGAAAGAATATGAGGGAGCGGTATTCGAGTCAAAGATATTTGCTTACGCCCATACGCGTTCGGCTTTTGGGTTTGAGAGAAAATGTGGCAGGATGTTGCGTGTCCAAATATCGCGTGTGTGGAGGTCATGCACCACTTTCTGTAACTGAACGGTACGTGGTGGATAGGTCTCTCGAATAGTGATGTCTACAATGTGGTCCGGACGTGATTTCATACAATAGATCCTCATGTTCACGGCAGGGAGTCTGAGCAGTAAGCACTGTTATTCGGATGAAGGGTTAGCGCTGATGAGTCGTGACCACAACTTGAAGAGGAAACCGACGTTACGCCAACTTCTTTCAATTCATTTCGTAACAGCCAGTTGACTCGTGGTTTAATTCCCCTGTGATATCCTGTATTCCCTGCAGAGAAGATTAAGTATGGTTTAAGTGAATGAAATGCGCGGCCGGAACAGTTAGGAGGTGCTCGGCTTCAATTCGAACATGCCAATGGAAGCGTGCAACGTATCCATTTGATACCAGTGTAGTATACAGCCTGAGAAATTGCTAAAATTGTTAAGGTGCGAGTCAGGTTCCACCAGCCAGAGTCCCGTCGCCACCTTCCCAGATACCAGGGGAAAGGCACCCCAGATCCATAGCGGTCATTCTCTTTTTCCCCTTCGTGTCCTCTGCATAATTCTCGTAAAAGTTTGTCTCATCTCTCCTTGACTTCCCAACCTCTTCGTCCTCGTGGTCGCCATCCCCGTCGATGCCTTCGCCCCGTCGACCAGGACCATCCCAAAAGTGGAAAGCTTGGCTGTGCACTCCATAGGAAGTCGGAACAACTTCCAACAAGTCACCTCTCGCAATCTCAATTGCGGGTATCTCGCTCGCAGGCAATCCGATCAGATACGCAAGAAGGCATCGGATGACAGAAGAGTGTCCGATAATCAAGAGATCTTCTTTTTCACGTTCCAATTCAATCAAGATAGGTTCCAAGCGAACTAGAGCCAAAACGGGTTTTTAGAACAAAAGATAACACAGATAGATATACAAGAGGAAGTATTATTACCAGATAAATCGTGATAACTCTCAGCTCTGGGAGCGCGGAACGCGTATGGATCCTTGACGAATCTTGCCCACTCCTGAGGGTAGAACTTCTTCGCTTGATCGGGAGTGAGGCCGTCCCAGACCCCAGGGTTGATCTCGCACATCTGCGTTTTCTCGATCACCTTAACTTTCAAAGACGAGCTAGTGGTAACTTTTGTTTCTGTCAGCTCTCCAGCTTCGTCTGTGGTTACCACATTCCGTGCAACCGCAGACTGTGGCGGTACGGTGAGATGAGAGGTGGCAAGAGGGAGTTGTTGCGGAATTGAAGTGGAGGGTGTCGGGGTCAGGAATGGCCAAGCGGTGTGGTGAGCACGACGCCGAGTTGAGGTCCAGATCTAGTGTGCTCTGTTTGAAAATCAATCCGTACAGTAAGGATTGAAGACCACGTACAACTAGGCGTCTATCATTAGGGTCGAACCCACGCTGCTCGAGCGATTTGGCACGTCGCTCGACCACGAACTCTTTCAGCCGCTCAGAGTATTCCCACCCCGCAGGAGAAAGATCCGAGTCAGCTTTGTAAGAATGTTCAATGAGTGATTGTCCGGACTGTCAGGATATGAATCAAGTGACAGCTATGTTATACTTTGCTACCTACCCGAGCAAAATAAATCATGCGGGGTCTGTTGTGGATATTCATGAGGAAGAAGACAATTCGCGACTGCTCATGGGATCAGTTATCCTGAAACGACCTTAAATCTTCGCCCACCTGCAAATAACCACGAATGTTCTGTGCGAGGATTAATTAGATCAACCGAAATTAAAGTGCGTCGGGACATACATTGACCATCATCTTCTCGCCTACCTAATTTCAGCCATGCGGGTAAGCCAACAAATGAAACAAGATTCATATACATGCTACACACATTTATTATACGGATAAATGGCCAAGTGGTTTCTTCAACCGTCTCATACGATTTTTCGCGATCACGGATTCGTTCATAGTAATCTTGCACTGCCTTGTCTGGATCCCAGCCGCGATACTACATCAGATTCAGCAAAAAGGTAAGCAAGAAGGTGAGGGAACTCACATCAGGAGAGGATATCTTGACGTTTCGGATATTGGTCTCTATAATCTCATTATTATCGCACACAGACTCTATACCGAAGGCAAATAAGCGATTGTTGCCTAATGAACCTAGTGGGACACACCAAGGATGATCACATGGATTCCCTGCTTGTCGTACTTCTCTGCTAAGGCCTGCCGCGTAGTTCGCGAACCATTGTTGGCATCATAAATCACGACCTGTCCACCGGACTCAAAGAAGTCTCCGATGAGCTTTTCGCAGCCATCCGACACCATCTTGCGCAATGCCATGGTCTCTGGGCTCTTCTCACCTGTTGCCGGTAGCAATTCACACAGGACTCAGAAGATCGGAAGTATGCGCACCTAACGTGAAGTAATCTGGAGGCAGTTTCTTGGCACCACCAAGGGTCTTCCGTCGATAGTCACCTAGAGATACGACCTGAGTCTTCACGCCCATCCATCTGAGATAACGTTCGAGCGCGCGAGAAATGTGTGTTTTGCCACGAGCGGGTAAGCCAACTGTTAAGATGAGGATCTTTCCAGCGTGAAACAGCAAGCCCGAAGCTGTTGTGTAGAGAGGTGCTGCCATGCTTCGATGTTTCAATTACTTGGGTTGGATATATGTACCTCGCCCGACCGCTTCAAGTTGCTGACACAAGGAAAGGTCGAAATCTAGATTAATAACTTAGTGACTAGCCACTTATCAGTTATCTTATCTCCCACGGCAACTTATTAATAGTGGAGACAAAAAAGGAGAATGCTGATCAATCAAATCAGCGGATTTCCCATTAGCCGACTTGAACGACTGACCTCGTCATTACTAGTGACGCGCTCTACCAACTGAGCTAAACGGGATACACTCCTGTAACGCGCCCACGTAGCTATATCCACTTGGCTCTTCTGGCTACCAATGATAGTACACTGGTCTTAATAGTAGTCTGCCTTAAACAGACCATACACGAATGAATGCGGTTGTTCCTTCTACGTCAGAGCTTACTGCGCGGCTCCTCTCACTGCTGCTGCATACTGTAGCGTTGCTTGCCACCACACCACCATCCCAACTCCCAGGAGACCGTGAAATGTACCCCACACGACCTCAGGTGTAAGATTCACGCTATAAGGTAGTCGTTGGAATCACCCTAAGACAACATATAAAATAACACGCACGACTCGAGGAAGGGACCTAGGGTGTGAGGAATGAACCTTGGAGTCTGAAACAGAATCGTTGACACCACACTGTGGTAAATGCAGAATCCTATGGCGAGTGCACGTTTTCCGGGCAGAAATTCTGATTCGGAAACGTTATTTGTCTCATTTATTGAAGCAGCGTACGATGATACCTGGTAAAGGATACGCCAGGAAAGCGGTAATGCAGGACCCAGTGACCAACGCGGCGTACAGCTGGGTGGTGTCAACAACTATACGCGTAATGAATCATGAAATAAGCGAACCTTCAACATGACTACTGTGGTGTTGTTCATCTGTAGAAAGGGAAGGCTCTGTGGGGACCAGAACGCCTGGAGGGCCAGCGGTGCCTCCAACGCGATATGCAGCAGGAATACAGAAGATCTAGCGAATATTAGGCGTATCTTTGGTATAATGAAACTTGACTTACAGCGGGCTGCGTGCAGCGTGCACAGACATGATAAAAGTGATACTAAGTAGTCTTGTGAACAATGTGAAGGAAACTTCGAGGTACCAAAGTTCAGAATCGACTCTTATGTAAGCAAGGCTGGCTGCTTATCTGCTTGGTGCCTGACTGATAGAGAGTTGAAACGCATGGTTAAAAGTTTACAAACCCACGACCGATGCGGGTCTTTCCGAAGGATTTTCGCGGTCAATCACCTTGCTTTAATTTAACAAGGTGGCCGATCAAAGAAATAGTCTCCAGACTCGCATAGCCTACCTGCAAAAGGACTATATTCCCCCCACCAAAGGATAGGCCGCACGCCGTATTTGATTACTGCCGGCTGATAGTCCACTCGAATTTAGCAAGAATAACTATACATATTTTGACAAAAAGAAATCAAGGAAAATAGTTGGCATAGACCAGCAGCCTGCCTTTCATTCTTCAGCATCGTCTGCGTCGTCCCCTTCCGCAACGGCACCTAATGATGTCTGGCGGAAAGTCGAATAAGCTTCAATGGCATCGAGATCCCGTTCTAGATCTATGTGCTCCCCTCCGGCTGCATCTCCAGCAATGGCACGCAGTCTCAGCACATCTCTCCTCAGATTTTCGATTTCGCTATCTCGACGCTCTACCCCGACCCTTGAGCGTTCGAATAAAATCGTTCCCGCATCTGAGCAGTTGCAGCTTGCTGACACCTTTATTTGGACCATCACCACCGACTTTCGGTGGCCCTCTGGGGGGTAAAGCACCCGGAAGGATCGGTTCATCAGGAAAGTTTTCATCAGAAGGTAGCGGAACTGGCGGGAGCAGAACGCGCAAATCGTCATATGCAGTCTTCAGAGAATCACGGCGTTTTTGTTCAGCATCCTTGTGCGACTTGCGATTAGGAATAGGAGGTGAGAGTGCAGAAGAGCCTGCATTTACAGATGATGGCGTGCCAGCTGCCAACACGAACAGGAGTTCACACCAAACATTTCAACGACATTTGGAATAATAGCGCACCTGGTAAAATCGGCTTAGGTCCAGGATTGATGAACGGCAGTGCGCCCTTCTTCGATCCTTTGGTTGGTGCACTGCTATCAGGCGTTTTCCTGGCCCTAGCGGGATCTTTTGCTCTATCAGCTTTCTGAGACGTGGGTGCTGCAGCGGTAGTGAGGCTACTGCTGAATACCCAAACGACCAAGATTCATTATGCTTGCGGGAGTGACTGGAGTCATTGGCGATGTCGCTTCATGAGTACTCGGTGCAGCAGAATTGGGAGGGGATTGGCGAAGTCCCGGAGGTGCGGGGGGCGGCATCGACAGGTCGACAGGCGACGGCGAATCCGTCTCCATGATGGTGCTATTCCTACGGGGTTTTGTGGAGCGCAGAAGAGGGGTATTCGTTGCGCTCTTGGCATGCCTTGTAGATTGTTTCATTGTTGACACTGGAGAAGTCGCGGAGGGTCCCCGCTTTCGCACCGCACGCGCCGCATCTTCTGCACTTGGTGATATCGTGCGCTTATTTGGGGGACGCTGGTTATGGTATGCCTCAAGCCAGGGGCTCGTCAAGGGAGATATGTCAATGTCAAGGTCTGGAGGTGAGGGAAGTGGCATGGGAGGGCTCGTGTGATGAAAGACTATGTTGGCAGGTGCAGAACTAGAACCTGGATGGCGCGTGTCACGAAGATATTGCGGGGATACGGAAGCGTCATGGGGAGAGGGAAGGGAAACAGGGTCAAGCGAATGGGATGGGTACACGTCCTGAGGAGGATTAGGATATTGTGAGCCAATACGACTGAGGAACTCTGGGTTAGGCAAGGGGCGGAGCTCCGTAGAAGACACTATGATGGTGATGAGGGGTAAATCTGGAAGTAAACCAAATGAATCTCACTTGGAGTCGGAAGGCCACTAAACGATGCAATCTGATCCCTTGCTGGCTCGACGCTGGTATCATGCGTATTCAGGGCTGACTGCCCACTGATAAGGGCAAGCTGGTAGAGATTATACTTCAGTACGATATTCAAATCACACTGTTGTGCATCTGCACCAGACAAGTTGGGAGAGTAGGGGTGCTAACTCACCTGCTGCTGAAAAATTTGATTCTGAATTTGATTTTGAAGTTGCTGCAGCTGGTGCAGCTGAGTAAGCTTGTACTGTTGTTCAAAAATGACCTGAGGTGTAAGGTTCGTGGAACTGGGCAGGGTCGGAAGTGACGTGCTGTCCATGCCCTGCATAGACATGAGATTGCTCATAGCCATAAGATCTAATTGTTGATTGAAAGGAGGAGGGTTGGCTGTTCCGGTAAAGTTGAGCATCCCAGAATTCGAGCGTTGACCGTGCACAAGAGCTGCGTTCATAACTTCGTTCTGCTGAGAGTCATGGCCTCGTTGTTGATCAGAGGAAGATTCCGGAAACAGAAAGGCCAGGAAGTCCTTCTGGAGGTTGTTATCTTGACCACGACTTGGGTCCATTTTCCAGCCTAATACCAGTGTGATACCAAAAACCAAAGAGTTTTCGGGATCGTCTACCGTCACAGAAGGGCAAGCAACAAAGCGGCGAATTTAGGAACAACGGCCTCCTTCCAAGGGAGCGAGAAGGCACAGAACAAAAATGGAAAATCTAATCTTTCAATCACACAACCCCCCATCAAGTCTATTTTCATGTTTAGTTAACCCCTCTACTTATGTAATACATTTTATTAGTGCCTCGCGTTCTTCGTCGACGCGACCGACCTTGCACCTCCCCTAGTTTGCTATCACTAGGCTTTTGAATACCATGTCTGCACGAGATCGTCCTCACGCGCGTATCACCTCTTACCATGGAGCAAAGCGTAACCTTCTTGGAAACCAAGCTGGAAATGTGCCACCTGCATGGCGGGACAGCAAGGACAAGCAGAAAGAGCGAGGAAGCAAAATTCTGCTCAGCAGGCTCCCAGTAGATGTTGGAGAAACAGAAGTCGAAGTGCGTGGTTATCCCAATGTCCACCTGAAAGGCACAGGACCACAAGCCACTGTCCATAGGAACTGTTCAAGAAGACCATAGGTCCTTTGAAAGAGTGTTTCGTAATATACAACACGCAAGGGCGCTCGAAAGGGATGGCGGTTATAACGTTTCAGCGCCCAGGAGATGCAGCCGCAGCTCGTGAAAAATATGATGGTAAACTCATCGACGGCAGTAAGCTATTTAAACTCGCTCCTCTCGTTCATTCGGCCCGTTTATACTGATTTTGTGCCTAGGACGTCCAATAAAGATCGAAATAATTGTTGATTCGGATGATGCCGCGGGGTCTACACAATCTACAACTGCATCTGTAGTTCCTTCGCTACTAGGACGCATCGGGAAATATGCAGGTACTCCTAAGAGTGGCCCCCCTGCTTCTCAGAGTCAAGTACTGAACGTAAACGTTTTGCCAGCGTAAGATATTTTTTGTTAACTGGTTTCCTGAATTTATTGACCGAATCCGAATTTTCAGCCCCGCTCAAAAAATCGTAGTATCACCGCGCACTGTTCAGACTGCTGGAACAAAGGCCGTGTCAAGGCGACGCAAGAAGAAGGGCCCACGACGCATAAACAAGTCAAATGTTTCCAAAAAGTCACTTGCTGAACTCGACCAGGATATGGAGGAGTACAAAGCTGCCGCAGGCGGTCATAAAGAGAGCAGTGACCAGTAGTTTATGCGTCTTTCCCTGGGAAGGCTGGGCGAGCATATCACCGATTCATCCACCTATATTGTATAACACGCTATTAGTTTGAGAGCAGGACTATAATTTAATTGGTGTCCTCAGGGTAGCCCAACGTCCGGTTTTTTTTTTGCGAAAGACTTACTTATCCTGTGCACCTGCGTGGAGCAGAATTTGAATAGATCTCGCACTGTGGCACCTCCTAGCCCCAGTTTTGTTGGGTATTACGACTGCGGTCTAAATACATAATACCCTTTATAAATGGGTCGGGAAGATGCGCTATAGTTTGACGTACTTGAGCGCAGCCCATTTTTATATTCATTTGTATAAGTGGCGAGGATTATGATATGATATGTTTTTCCCGGAAGGGTCGAACCCCATCGGAGGCTATGTAGTACCCTCTCCCCTCCCCCCAATATGTGTTGCCTATAAGTAATATTAATGTGTCTTCGCCGGCATACCGGAAGGTCCCGTTACAATACAATACACTGCGGTACTTACAAGTAGCAAAAATCCAGCCACAGCGCAGCAAGATGTCGCCTTTCCAACGCCCAGCCATCTACCCTGAGAAGACTCATGTAAGCCAGGTGGATGGATAGTGATATGTGTAATCAAAAATTAAGGAGGCTGTACCACATTGGAACCGAGATCTCTATTAATCTCGCACTCGGACAAATATTGTGATCCCAAGATGGGTGGGAGCATACTCGGTAGCAACGCCCGGCACTTTGCTGGCAGCGCCGGGCACCAAGGACAGAAGCAACAGGCGGGGATGTGTTTCTACCCTGCCGTATTATTACCACTTTCCCCTAAACTTAAATCAATTTATAATCTGTCAAGAAACGCCAGTGCCACAATAAGTAGATGTCGATAAAGAAGAATCAAGTGCAAAAGCGGTCGAGACGCGTGACGAGACAATACAATTCGCATCACGTTTTCTCGAAGTGTTGCAACCCTTTGCCAATATCATATAGCGGAGTGGTCGTTATGCAATAAATCGCGTGTGCTGGGGCCAATGATGTTCTATCGAAGTCAAAACGAAAATGAGCCGGGCATTGTCTAATGAGGACCTTTAATGACCTTTATCATGGGTAAGAGTTTTGAAGGGTTAACAGGCCAAGGAACTAGTGCCCTCTGTCGCATAAATTTCCTGCTCGGTTGGCCGTAGGGAGGGGCTACGCCAGACTGTCGTAGGGTATCACCTGTATGAGTAGACAGTATTTATTTTGAAAAAGGTTTCACCTGCACTATCGTGTTCTGCCTAAAATTCGGCAAATTCTTCTACAACATGACAGCTGCACGTTAGCCTCGAGGCTGTGATTGGCGTCCTTCATCTGTCTATTGAATTTAGTGAATATGACTGAAGTCGACTCACGTTCTCCAAAATGAAAGTCCACGTTCATTCACGTGTGTCTGCTCCACTATGACGGAAACAGAGATGCTTAGGTATTAGGCCTCGTTGTGCCCCATAGGGAAACACATCATCGCGGAGTGATGGATTCTCCAAGCACACGCCATGGGCGTGTGTCAGTGCGTGATTTACGGTGGTAAAGAAGACCCGTTGAAACCTACAAAGTAGGACAGATCTAGGGCTAGTGCGTAAATTATCGACCGTCTTAATAATTCAATTAAAAGGTACGAAGGTTGAGGCTCGACAGCTACGGCATGCCGCAATAACGCCGTGAGGCGCATCCGTTTGTCGTGGAGGATGCGCGGGAGGGACTCGGGATCTGGAAGACCTTCTTCTTTGTTCTTCGGGGCTTGAATACTTCCTTACGGCGAGTCCCCGAGCACGGCCAGCCGCAGGGATATTTTTACTGGCTGAAATCAAATGGACCACTAGTAAGCGCCTATGAAGAATCAAGATGCTGTGGAAGCCTCTGTTATAAAAATCAGCCCCATTCAGGGGATCATGATTTCGTCTGATTGTGATGGATAAGAGTATTATAACCAATCATAGTTCACAATAAGAGCAAGATTAGAAACATGGCGGGAGCGCAGTTCCTGGAATGTTCCCAGACCATATCCATATCAGCGTTGGACCAAAAACGTGCAAGGTTGCACAGCAGCTGCCACATCAGGCTGTGTGGTCAAGTGAGTCAAGAGGGGAAATTACTTATATCTTTTGTTTGGACCACTGGCCTGGCGGCCCTGGCGTAGGCCGGCGACCAGGATCGTACAGAATGATCATTTTTCTAGGAACTTCCAAGGAAGCGTGGAAGGTTCCGTGATTGATATGGTTGTGGTGTGGAAGAATCAACGATGATTTGTTTGTGGGTGCTTATCCTTTTGCCGTAAGTGTACAACAAGCAATGAGAATTACTTTAAAACACGACTCCGCTGCGCTTTTCTTTTATACCTCCCCCTACGCCATGCCCCTCTCAACGACAATTCGTTTGGTTCCCCATCACCAGCCAATGTTTCTGTCGCATAAGCGACAGCGCCGCACCGCTACTAGTGTTCTCGCTGGCGATTTCGATCTTCGACCTCCCCGGGATGTGCTTACTAGCCTACTCAACGGCGTAGCGCCTTACAAGGAGGTTGAGAAAGAGGAAGAGACGCGTAGAACCAAAAAGAAAGAAAAGAGGGAACGTCTGAAGGAGAAACAAAGGACAAAAGCCACCTCCAAGGTTCCAGAGAAACCTATCAAAGTGGAGAGTGCCACCGCACCCCCCCCTGCGCCCATCGTAGCCATCCAATCAATCAGTGCCCCCGTCATGCAGCCCTCTTCTTTCTGGCGCGCCCGCGGCACGAGTCACCGACCTACTATACACATTGCGACCATGCAGCGCTCTGTATCCGTTACACCGCCCCCAATGGCATCTTCCCCACAGTCTACCCCCGGACCATCAATTTCTTCGGCCACATCCCGTACATCATCAAAGCGCCCCTGCACGCCCGTGGATGACTACCCCGATTCTGATACCTTGAGTCACTACAGAAGCGCCCCACAACCACGAAAGAAAAGAATTGCAGTGAAGAAGGGCTGGAAGGGTTGGGTGGAGGGTTCGCCACCGCCGTCCGAGAAGCTCATCAATCTAGACGCAGTTCCTGTGCTACAGGAGAGACGCACACGCAGTGGCAAAAGTTTTGACGCAATAGGTGTTGGAAAGGATGGCTGGGTATAAATGGTCCGATATTTCACCGCCTTACTTGCCGCTGTAAAATATGATCTGATGGACGTTCTACAGCTCCTTGCACACAGCATCATACCCTCGCCCTTCTCATCGCGATGCCCTTCGGAATCATACTGATACCACCTCACGGGTCGGAAGGATTTCGTCTGAACTGAAGCTTACTCCCTTTCGTATACTCCCGTCACCATATTATCCTCTGCTCAACTGGTTTCCTACACCTCTATCTCGCTCATCTCAATAACTATAGCTACAGTATATGCACACATATATCAATTTTGGTCCTAGTTCTGTATTTGTTGTACCCCCCCGGTTTTAACATTGAATCTTGTCATTTTCCGTTACTTGGTTGGGTGTCATAGTGTCCGCTTTCTTTATCTACCAGCTTTTCTGGGTCCTCTTTGCTAAATATGCGTATGTATGGTGACCGATTTTGATGTCGGCCGATAAACGGAATTCCTAATAATCTGGGATTTTGCTTTCATAACATGCAGTTCATGAGCAAATTCGTATCCACAGCTTGAACAGATGTCTCATGATCCAAGGAACGTTAACGCACTGCCCGGTTCAAACCGGGTCTCCCTGCGATCGCGTTCCGTCAATGCACTCAGTGACAGTGATTAATCGTGCCGAGATGCCGGAGGCTTTAGAATTCAACACAGCCAAACAACCATGCTCATTCCATGTAGTGCGTGTACTTTGGTAACTCTTCTGTCACAAACCAACACCACACAACTGAAAAATAACGACAGCTAGTCCAATAGGTCAACTTTTATTATAGATCTTACGAATCTCGCTTGTCCTGCATACTACTAATTGTCTCGGGTTGGAGCGGGGCCCACTTCTCTCCATTTTCCGGTCCAAATTTCGGTCGGAAGCGTTTTGCTGCCGACTGAATTCACATTTTGCTACCTAATTAACGGCTAGCTCAAAATGATGTCTGTCATGCCATTTCCTGCACTGCCATCCGCACCGTCATGGTTCCCTGGACACATGAACCGATTCACGAAGCAGCTTCCAGCACTACTGTCCCGTACAGATGTTGTCCTGGAGCTCAGAGACTCTCGTCTACCTCTTACTAGCATTAACAATAATCTAGAAGGTAAGCTTATCTCCTCCGGTGTATCTATTACTCGCTTCCGGTGCGTAGCCGCTTTGAGAAGGAAAAACTTCATCTTGGTCTAGTTCCAGTTCCACCCTGTAATTGCTTCCGCTGTCACCTATGTGACTATTATCTTATCCAGTCCTTCCTCCGTTCTTGCCCCGTTATGGAGCCAACCTATTTTACGACGGGTAGCATCTTTCGGCCCTGACAAAATCTATTTTTGACAGGTGCTATCAACAAATGGAGGGCCGAACGAGGACACCATTCCACCCACGTCACTCCCCTTTCCCTCACTACATCTAGGAATTCGTCCCTAGGATATGGTGGCCCAATCTGCGAGCGCATCGTGGTCTTAAACAAGCGCGATTTCGTCCCTGAATGGGGCATCGAGGTAATTCCTTGCCTCCTCTGTTCATCGTGCTGGCTCATTCCCAATTAAATGCAGCCCTTTAAGAGAGCCATGAAGACAAAATTTCCCCACCAAACGGTGCATTTTGCTTCTTGTAATAAACCGCGAGACATGAGATCCCTGAGCGAGATGCTCGTAAGTATGTCGCTGATTTCCTCGACATGTCTACCGTGTTTTTATTGGCGCTATGGAGCTGACGAAAAATGTAGATATAGCCAAGAGAAACCCTCATGCAACTGAGATGAATGTCCTGGTGATTGGTATGCCTAATGTTGGCAAATCAACATTACTGAATTCCCTTCGTAATATGGGTATCCCAGGTCGTGGGTTTTAAATCATATATTGGCCCCAAAAATGAGCTAAGGACATGCACCCAGGGACGCCAAAGGCACTACAGACGTCTGCACAGCCTGGTCATACACGCGCTATCTCGACCCGCCTTAAGCTCTCAGAAGATCCGCTCGTATATTCATACGACTCTCCTGGTGTAATGCTACCATTTCTTGGGAAAGGCGATCGGGGTGCAGAGCGAGGAGTCAAGCTTGCTCTCATAGGTAAAATGGATTTTATCACCGATGCACTTTTGGCTGAAATCTATTTCACCGCAGCCGGCATCAAAGAGAGTTTATATGACATCGAAGCGCTTGTTGCATACTTGCTGTATAGGCTGAACGTGTTAAATCCTATTTGTGCGTCTGCTCTGCCGCACTGTCACTATCTTGTGGTTCTGACACGATTGATATAGCGCCAGCATACTTGACGCTCCTCCCGCCTGGTTCACGACCATGTACAGATGCGGAAGATTTTTTGGAGCAACTTGCGATACGGCTTAATATGCTGTCACGAGGGGGTGAGAAGGACACCGTGAGAGCAGCAAAGTGGTTCGTAGGATGGTGGCGTAACGAAGGCGGTCTCGTATCTGCTTCTGTTCCAGAAAATCTTCCGACGGGGTCGGATGGAACTCATGCACCGTTACTGCGACGTGGATGGGGTTTCGATTTCGAATGGACGATGGACGCGTCTATGAACTCCACCGGCGGCGGAGGTTTTGAATCGGCGGTGCAGACGAAAATGGAAGAGTGCATAGATGAATCGATGAGAGCTGCGAGCGAGGACGAGCGGTCAGGAGTCGGGATTAGTGCAACCCAAGAGAGGAAACGTAGCTGGCAGGAGAAGCAGTCCATGCGCGCTGCGAAATCCAAGGCGAAGTTTGCTGCACGTAAAGCTGCATAATTGTCCACGGTGTTTTCTATGGCACCCCGCATTACTTACGGTTCATCTGTAGCCACATATTACGTTTAGTTGCGCCCAATTACTCTAATACCTAACGGACCCAATGCGCCCTGTGAAATCTCGCTTGCAGACATGTTGCCGCGGTGATCCGTGTGATCCGGAGTGCAAAATTGGGCATACATACAACACTAATATATACACATGTACGACCACGACGTGACAGGTACAAATGATGTGTATTCCTAGAAGTCCAGATAATCCTTCCCCGTTCCCCAACTCTGCGCACCTGCGCCCGTCGCGCCATATGGGTCCTCTGGTACATTACCCTCGGTCGTCTTGAAGGAGAACTCTCGCTTGAACTTTGCCTCGAGCGAGGATATTGTGGCGATGAGTTTCGTGCAGGCTTGTTCAAGGACAGCTTGCGGCGTCATGGTCCCATCCGTCTGGATTTTTAACAGGAAATAGGGATGCAGTGGATGAGGTACTTTGTATCCGGCAAAGAGCACTTGAGGCATCGAAAGAACTTGTCTGGAAGACGATTCACACACTCCAGGAGGTAGAACACGGGTGCTTAGTAGAGACGTACGCTCGAATCATGTTACCCAATGTGTGGTCTTGTTTTACGATCTTGAAAGTGGCTGCATTGGGTATTTTTGTGTCTTCTGTGACTTCGACGCTGTGACCCACGTGTCAAGTGTCTACCTTTGAGATACAATTGCAGAAACGCACGGTTTCTCGCCGTCTTCGAGGACAAAGAGCTCAAATCTGTTTGGCGCGTTCATAACGGCTGTAAGGAAACATTGTGGGGAGTTGTATGAGCTCGCAGTGGCGAGGAAGGGACACAGTGGTCACGAACATCGTTCAATTCAACACACAGTACGCGATGACAATTATCACGTAGAGCCCTGCTTTTTTCTCCTATGCTCGCACCTATTGTTATCCTCTTGGCCAGTAAACTAGTGTAGATCTGCGGTAGAGGTCGTCAGAACCTCGAAACAAGCAAATAATGACGAACAAAAAGTATCAGAAAAACAAATTGTGTTCATAAGAAAGATTTCTCTTAGACTTTCACCGACAATAAATAATGCCAAAGGCCATCATTTGCGTACTAAGTGATAATGAAACTCACCTCAGGATATGCTACAAGGCCCTGAAAAGATTGAAGCCGTGGAGGTGATACAGCCTGAGGTAGGGGTTTGGCGCAGAGCCGACTTTTGAAACTCCGCTATAACCGCCGACTGTTCTGCATCGAGAAACTTAGAGGCAAGGTCACCGACATCAACACTCGCGCCTCAAGGTCAGTTCACGCTCGTTTATTGCGTCCCCGTTTATCCAGCAGGAGATTCTACGCGACCAGTGCTGTCGAATGGAGGTGTCGTGATGCTGAGAGATGATATCTTGCTGCTGGATGGATGAGGCCCGACTTGGATGCATCAGATTATTGATATTGAATGCTTGGTTTTGCAGAAATGCCGACCCACCTCTCGAAGACTCGCAAGCACCGTGGCCACGTCTCGGCCGGTCACGGTCGTGTTGGAAAGCACCGTAAACATCCTGGAGGTCGCGGTCTCGCTGGTGGTCAGCACCACCACCGGTGTGTTTGATTTGGTATCAGGCTCTTTGCAGTGAATTAAATTTGATCACCCTCAGCACCAACTTCGATAAATACCATCCTGGTTACTTCGGTAAAGTTGGTATGCGCCATTATCATTTGACCCGCAACACACAATGGCGGCCTATCATTAACGTCGATAAACTATGGACGCTCGTGCCCGAAGCAGAAAAGCAAGGGTTGACGGAGGACTCTGAGGTTGTTCCTGTCATTGACACCCTCCAACATGGTTACGGAAAGGTACTTGGCAATGGACAGTGAGTTGTGATTTACTTTAATCTCATAAAAATTCTGACTTTGAGGCAGACTGCCTAAACTTCCTTTTATCGTCAAGGCACGTTTTGTCTCGCAGAAAGCAGAGTATGTTGGATGGGCTCCCTTATTCCTGAGAGTATACTCACGCAGTGCACAGGGCTAAAATTAAAGAGGCTGGCGGTGTTGTGTCGCTAGTTGCATAGGCTCCGAGTTCCTATCATTGTTTTTTTTCTTTTACCTATCACACGCCATGATACTATGACATGCTGCAATAAGAACGCCCATGCCTGAAACATGATAATTGATCGTGAACCGTGAAGTTGTGAAGATGGAAACCAAAGTTACAAAGGATGAGACCGACAGACTAATTTAGGATGACGCTGGTTGGTCGGCAGGAACATCGACTTGGACTTCTTCCCACAGTACAAGTCCGGAGTTCCCTGAGTTAATACTTATATCTGCTGCGCTTCTGCTTCATCCTAAACCCACGAGGATGGCTTCCATCTCTACTTGGTGTAAGAATCAAAACCTGCTCTTCCATTTCTTTCACTGTTAATCATACAACGACTTGCAGATCACAATCAGTATTCAACTTGGAATCGCACTCGTCGTCTGCACGCTACTCCTTTCCTAGCTCGCACCGATACTCACACATCTCGTACTGCTACTTCCATGGCTCGCACAAATACACAGGATGCTGTCATCATCAACATGGATGATACCTCATCCAAGAAGGAGAAGAAACAGGAGACCCTCTTCGGACCTAACATTGGCGCTGTCGGCTCTACGCCCCAGTGGGCTCAATCCATAGGACAAAAGGCTCCCGCAGATAATGTCTCCTCAAACATCATCCAGAACTGGATTACAAGGAGCAAAGAGGTGTTTCAAACATCATACAACGTCCTGTCTTAGGTACTGACTCATGGACAGCCTTCACAACCAACGACTACCCTCCAGGCGTTGGTTAATCTCAAGCGGCCGACACTCCGCTTATGCCCTTTGTCTATTTCATCGGGAGATGATTCAGACCAAGTTGATTCTCACCATAATCATGGTTTAGAATTCGAATACGATTGCGACACAGCCAAGTGTCGTATAAACGTCAGTGTGGTGCTACCCGCAGATCACCCCTACGCAGAGACCGTAGATAGCACAGGCTATTCGTGCATCTCCGTTTTCGAATCCATCGTTGACGGTGGTTTTAGTAAAGTACTGCATCTAGATGAGGGTGCATCCCTCGAATTAGGAAGGTTTGAGCACAAGCATACCGAGGCGGAGACTGCTTCGTCCCAGATGGTCGGAGTCCCTGAGTTATCTCGAGCAGCGGATAGCGTTGACTCCCCCGCTCCTGCTACCAGTAGGAATGATCGTCCCCGGAAACGCTTTACGGGATTCAATTTCCGGAAGCGTTCCGCTAACACGTCTGTATCAGGACCTGCTCTTGCCGTCGTTGATGCAGAAACATCTGCACCCACAGTTGAAGGAAGTGAAGAGAAAGGGGACAAAGAGGAGGTGAAGGATGGTGTTCGAGTCACTATCCGGTTGTCAGCGCTGGATGAGGACGGTACCGACCTGTCTGCAGTCAACGAACAGATAACATACCTTCATGTCGTTCGTCTTGGCGCTGCGCCCGATGATGAAAAAGAAGACTCCAGGCCTTGGGTCGTCAAGGTTGTGAAACGTGAAGCCACAGTACGTTTCGTATCTGGTTACGTTATGTTTTTATCTCATGATTCATAGATCGGACCTCATACGTTCCACTTGCACGAGATTTATGGTCTTTCATCTCAGTCTACCTCATCCTCCCACCCACAGGCAACTCCTCCCGCACCGGACGCACATACTTACCCACCCGCGTCTGCATCTGCAGCGCCTATGCACGAGGATGAGCCTTCATCTGAGTGTTTGCTATGCCTTTCTTCCCCGCGCGAGGTCATTCTACTCCCTTGCCGCCACCTCGTCGCATGCAAGGAATGTGCCATAAATATGGTCGAATTCGGTGCAGGCGGCAACATCATCCACTCTGAAGAAACCACAGCCGCAACCACGGGCGGTGAGAGTTCAGCCACAGAAACCTCAGCTCCAGTATTCGCAACTCCAGTACCCGCCACGATCGCTCAGAACATACGGAGAAAGCGAAAGGCAAAAGGCTGGTTCTGCCCCGTCTGCCGTCGACGTAAGCTACATTTATCTTACTTGCGTCTTGTCTGACATATCGTGCACATATCCAGCTTACACCTCGCTTTTACGGATTTCTACGACACCTCCGACGAAGGATATATCCGACGATGAACATCGTGCGTCTATCGACGAGCACGAGCATGAGAATGATGAACACGACCACGACCATGAGCGTGAGGACGAACACGACGACCACCCTCTAGCCACCGTGCCGCCGGCACCTGGCAGTATGTTCAATAGCATTCGCTCAGGCCTGATGCGTCTGAGCGTGGCACGTTCTGACGGTGGGCATGCCGAGGCCTCAGAAAATGAGCATCCCGCGGAGGTGCCCACGTCAATTGTTTAGTACCCACGACTTGTCCGGTGTTGTATGTGATATGTAGGCTGATCTAGTACTTTATATGGTTTAGGTCGTGTTTGTGGCTGGTTGGCTGTCTCCGAACACTCGTTATTTTGTTTTCGCTGATTACTCGTATAGTTTATATGTAGTTTCATTTCACTCTAGGATGTTTCTTGTACCGATACCGCACTCTAAATTATCGAACTGTACAGGAGTTGTCTGATATTCTCGCGCCTAGTCAAGTAAAGACAGGGGTGACATAGTGTGCAAGTCTCGCCGCGTCACACCGCCATAAACGCCCCAGTCCCAGTAACAGGTGACTGCAAAGCATCCAACGCCCACTCCTCCCTCAACCACCTACACACCATCCTAAAACTAGACACCGACCCCTTCTCCTGCACAAGCAGGATTGCGGACGTAAACCCGCTCCCTAACGACGGCTTCCCAAACCCATATCGAAACGTAGGCGACATCGGTCCTGAAGCATGATACATGGGCAATCGTGGACTAGTAGGGGTGGGGGACTGTGGCTGTCCATGCGAAGACGAGGACGATGACGATGAGGAGAACTCGACGCGGAACCGAACTTGTTTCTGTACGACCGATCCTGACATCGTGTCGATAAGGTCAGTCATACGACATCGGAGAACCCCGTGCCCATCTGTCTCCTCAAGGCCGACGATGACACCAAACTGCTCGAGAATGCGAACGGCCTCATTGCGTGTGGCGTACATCGTATCCGTCGAACAGAGTACGTAAGTGTGTGCTTTCCAATTGAAGAGGTTGGAGAACCAGCCTTTGACTTCGCCGACGGGGGAGGCGAGGATAGAGGGTATGATTGGTGAGGAGATCTGGAGTGGTGAGCCGAGGATGGAACGCTTGGATGGCTGGACTTGTGGGTGCAGATCAAGCACGGGAGCTGGTAAGATGTTGATATTTGAAAGGTAACAGAGAGAAAGAAAACCCTTACGTCGTGCCTTTTTGTCCTTTTCTTTCATGACCTCACGAGCACCATAGATACTGTTACGCAACTCACGACCGACACGTCCCTCGTTGAGCCTACCACCAAACAGTCCACTACGTGCCTGCGTGATATCGCTGCCCTCCAGGTAAGGTTGTCGGAAGTTATAATGATCGTGGTTCTCCTTATTAGCCCCGCTGGAGAATTGGTGATACTCATAATCGACCGCAGGACTATTCAACGGGGCATATCCATGACGGTTAACAGATGTCTCGCTGTATCCATGAGTCGGAGAATGGGAGGCCTGCTCCTGATTGTGTTCCTGCGCCACAGTGTGCCACGCAGAAAGAACGTTCACCCAATCCGGATCAGAGCCCGTCGCAGGCTGCATATCGACTTCTATCGAGTTCGCTGATACTTGTTCGTTCGCAACAGCGGAGACTGGAACAGGAGCTCGGATAATACAAGGGTTGAGGGCGGGGTGTGCAGGAACGCCAGGAAAGCGGGACCCCACTGGCGGTGTGCTTGGAACGGTCAAGGGCTGAAACATTTGCTGGTTGTGAGCGTGATAACTGTGCTGATCCTGATTCGCTCGAGGATAGAGAAGGGAAACAGTTGATGCACGCGTCCTGTATTGGGGTTCGGGGTGGGCATTCACAGGATCAGCGATGGTGTGGCCAACTCTCATGCTCCTATGACGTGTGAGGGCCTCACGGGCTGGGGAGGACATAGGTCGGACGCGAGGTGGCCTGGGTCCAATCGGGGACGGAGATCGGGCTCGTGAAGCTCCATCAAGGAAAGGAGACGCCAGACTAGATTGCTGGGGCGATGGTGTGCGAGATGGAGGTAAGGGCACATCACGAATACTCTGCAGACGTAGTGAATACGCATCTGCGTCGACGCTTCTCTTTGGCGGGGGGGACATGTACTGCTTTGTAATAACCTTCATGCCGGGAGACCCAGGCGTTTCGCCTACATCGAGAATAATACCATGATCTTTCAAAGTCTGCTCGCGGTAGTGTTGCAACAAGAAATAGAATGCCTTGGCCAATGTGCCTTCGCCTGGTGAGCTCAAAAGGTCGGCTTTGATCATTTCGATATCGCCATGTCTCCCCCAGATGACGCGAAGAGATTCCAAAAGATCAGGGTCGATACGGGCCGCTGATGGGAGGGGAAGAGCTAATTCAACGACAGAGGGAGCTGGAACATAGACAATTCCAGGAGTTGATTTGTTGAACCAGGGGTGGGCCATGATCTCGGGAATCTAAGGGTATTTGATAATGTTGGAAACAGTATATAACTGCCACTTACCGTGATTCGACGGTTGACGTCTACTACCAGCATGCGAGTTAAGAGGTCTTTTGCCTGAGGATCGATATAGGCTGGAACGTCGTACTTGCCCGCCTTAACTTTGGAAAGAAGGATCCTGACATTCTTGTCGTCGAATGGGAGCCTGCCAGTGAGTAACGCGAAGAGGATGACACCGCAACTCCAGATATCTGTGGCATTTCCTCTGTATTTCAGGCCGTTGACAATCTCCGGGCTTGCGTAGTGAGGGCTTCCACAACTAGTCTCGAGCTGTAGGGCAGGAGGGGCAAAGGCAGCCATGCCCCAATCGGCCAGTTTAATGAGCGGCGGTTTTAATGAGTGAATCAAGATATTTTCGGGTTTGAGGTCACGGTGAATGATAGAGAAAGTGTGGGCGTAGTTAAGTCCATAGACGATTTGTTTGAAAAAGGAGAGAGCCTCTATAGGAGGGAGCCTTCCGCGGTTGACAAGGAAGTCAAAGAGCTCGCCACCTTCTACGTACTCGAGGACGAGGTAAAGTTCCTTCTCGCCTTCGAATACATCGTAGATACGGAGGATGTTTGGGTGATTCATGAGCTTCATCATGATGATTTCCCTGTCGATACCCAACCGTTGCTTTTCTGATTTTGCCTGCTGTGTGGCAAGGGAAGCACGGGAGTTGACTACTGGTTGAAGGGGAAGAATTTTGACAGCGGCGAGTTGGCCGGTACGGCGGTGCTTTGCGATGCGGACGCGACCGCTTGCACCTTTGCCGACGCACTCGCCAATGATCCACTGACCGATATACTTTGGATCTTCAGGAAACTCGAAGGCGCCGTGACCTGCGGCAGCCTTTTCTTTCTGCCAGCGAGTTCCTAGATGAGCAGTATACTTGATTGGAGGCGCACGAGGGGGTTGGTCGACTATCGAAGTCATTATGATAGGTATCTATGTGTTTGGTTAACGGTTAATATGCTTTAAAAATATACAGGTGAATAATGCCCCAAGTAGAGAAGCGATGGGTATAGAATGAAGTACAGCGTGTAGTTTGTGGACGAGAGGAAGCAAGAGGCTGCCTTAAGGCTCTAGCGTCGATCTCTAGAAGGTGATGCGTGGGAATTAAGATGTCCTTAATATAGTTTATCCCTGTAATACTCATCGTATTAGTGGTCAGTACTACACTATCATAGCAGGTCAGTGCAAGTTTATAATTAAGTTAGAACTGGAGGCCGTGCATGGCAGTGATTAAGCGGCCTACTGATGACAATTTTGTACTCATGGAGCGCATATTGTGTTTTAAGTTTATTTAAATTGTTTCACTGGTTACGACAGTGGCGTATTGACGGTCTTGGAACGGGCTTCCACACCGCTTACCGGTCTTGGCTAACATACGCACTGCGTCCACCATCGCAAGGCTTTCTTGTCTCTACGAATGAACCCAGGAGTCTAATAAAATCTGATAACGGACGACCTGGTCACGACGTTGACAATGCACCGATATTTAGTTGCGTTGCAACTGGCTCTCTGTTTATTTCCTCTCGTCTCCAGTTACACTTGGTCCTTCACTACCACACCCCAGCAATGCGCCACTTTATCCCTACAGATATCTGGCTCTGGCTCTCCTCCATACAGCGTTTTAGTCATTCCATATGGTCCAACGCCACTCCCGAATAACACAGAGGTCCGCACCATCGTATATCAACAGTTTGATGGTAGCTCCACCACTACCAGCTTCCAGCTCAAATACCCGTCCACATCCCAGTTCGTCGCCGTGGTGAGTCTCGTCACTTGTGACATGCCTCGTGTATAAGCTCACTAGTATGTAGGTCAGCGATAGCACTGGTTTTGGATCTGGCGGGACTAGCGTTGCTGCTTCAGTGATGAGCAGTAGTGACAGCAGCTGCTTTAACCCAAATACAACCGTCATGCCAGATTTTCCATTCAACATATACCCCACCAACCAGGTAGTCCAATGCAACGCAAGTAGATTGTGGTGGGACCCTACTCAAGTCGAAGGGTACGCTTGTCTCTCCCTTATACCAACCTCTTTCAAACAACATGTCCCAACAGCACTCCATCCTTCCAGGGTGTCATTCCTGGTGGACAATCCTTTTCAATTCCCGAAGGCCAGATAACACAGGTATCTGACCAGGGCACTGGGTTTAGCTGGATACCCTCTGTCCGCGAAGGCTCCACGCTTATCATAGTTGCCGGTGACGACCGTGGGCTTGGTACAGGAGGAAGCGGGCTGTATACTGTCTCACAAGGCATATATCCAAACAGCTCTTGTTTGACCTCCACCTCGCCCTCATCCACTATTGGTTCTCCCGCAGGTGGCACATACCCAACTAACGCCAGCGGTGCAGAAACCACCGGTGGCACTAGGCAGCAGCAGGTAGGCCATATTGTTCGCCACCTGGACGGCTATTTTTAATCATCTCCACGACAGCAAAACCAATGTCGGCGCAATAGTTGGTGGGTCCATTTCATATCCGTTCCTTCAATATCCGTCTTACGCGCTGTAGGTGGCGTTATCGGCGGCCTTGCTGCACTCGTCATCCTCGCGCTCGCAGGGTTTTACTTTATCCGTCGTAGAACCGCCGCCAAGGTCACGAAGGAACGTCCCGTCGACCTCCTCCAAGGTGATCCAGAAGATGATCGTGATTCAGCACGCGATGATCTCGGGAATTACTACCGTCCTGAACCCTTCCTCGCCACTGAGCCGACAGAAACATCTTCTATTTATGGACGTGAGGAGGGCAGAACTGGCACAATCACGTCAGGCTCACGTCACGGCACCTCGGATCGTAGACAGTCTGTACTCGGGAGTTTCAGCGATATGCGGTCTGCGACGCCTGACTATGAAATGGGTATCACTGGTGGTACTACTATCCCAAACAGCTCCCGCAAATCTCCCATGCCAAGACAGCTCCGGCCTGTTAACATTATTCAGCACGACGACGCAGGCACTGCAGACGAGCAGGCCGAGGGACAGCCAGACACCGTTGAACTTCCCCCTGCATATACTAATATTCGAAAACCAAATACAAATTGAATTATTCGCTTTAACAATTCATTTACTCACATTCCTAACCATCTTCCTTTTCTCTTTCGTTCACACTTTACATAGGTCGAAAGCCCTCGTTCATAATTCTGTGCATGTCCCTTGTTTGCATTCTCCTCGTACTTATCTCCCCGTCAAAAACTACATCACCTACATGTATCATGTCTTATATCAGCTACTGTCGTGATGTCACCCAGCTCCACTCGGATCCTCAGTATCGTAGCTTCATCCTCACGTACACGGATGCTACGTTGCAATATCATACCATGTAGCTCCATTTTCCACGATCACTCCACAGTATTCCAGTAGATGTGTAATCAAATCTTATATATGTAAGCCACTAGCTTACCAGAGTTCCCATAATCTACATAAACAATACCGAAAAACACAGGCTTTCAGTATCACTGCCTTTTGGCATAACAGTTAAGCGGACGACAGTCTTGACTAAGTTACAATATAGGCGGCCCGGGATATCTATAAAGGAGGTGTCATTGTAGTGAAACGGCATCGATGCGGTGTATAACTTGGTGCACTTCGCGACATTATTAGCGACATTTGTTCTCATTACATCATAACCTATTGACAGTCAGTACTCACGTACAAGGGGGCTCCTAACTTTACATACATGCCGGGCTGACACAAATCAGACACCAGCTTCCTTGGAGCAGACACTTGAAGTCTTTCGACGGATCTTCAAGATGACTTGCATAAATACGAACATGATGGTGCCGCCAGTAGCGACGCTCTAGACAGCGTGTTAGCCGAAAACCAAAAGTGCAGCTTGACATGGTGCACTCACCCCAGCAAAAATAGCAGGCTTCCACCAGATGTAATGCGACGTCAGGAAAGCCCCACAAATGGGTGCACCTAAGCTGAACGTGAGTGATGGTCGAGAAAAGTCAACGGCGCACGTGCCCAGGAGTGACCCAATGCCTGTGAATACATGTCAACACTCAGGGTATCACCAAATCCGGACCCACAGACTTACTAGATATTGCAAGTGCTATTCCAATTCGTGCACTTGTGCAGTGTCAGAGAATAACAAAGGCGGATGTCAAGTGATTACCCAATATGTGAGATTTCAGGAGTTAGACACGATACCAACGGGCTTATCATTGCTACAACTGGGGTTTGAAACTTAGTGAGTGTCAGAAGAACGTCAAGAACCTACGCACCGCCTCCGGAAAAGAACCCATAGCTTACAGCTATCACAACTACACTGACTACCGAGTGCAAGCCAACCATTGCAAATATCACAGCGGAAGATATCAATGAAGAGCCAACGAATGTGTTTGGGATGCCCACGTAGGCAGAGACAACACCCCCAGTAAGTCTTCCGATGAAAGAACCAGAATGAAGGGTTGTGAGCTGTCGGCGTGATAAGCGGTTCTTGACTGTTTAAGCAGTCTCTGACACACGCACTGAATAAAACGAAAATCCTTGGCCTAGACCATGCAGGGTGGAATCTAATTGGAGATAAATGGCTATGAAGAAGAATCCGACTTCAAAAGCAGCCAGCCTAAGCAGTGAAAGCTACTTTAATGTTCGTATCGTAGAGTGTTGTAAAGCATACGCACCCCACACAAGTACAAATGTAAGCACCATCTCTCGATGAGTTTTGCAAAACGCGGGTGTAGCTAACGGCCTGTGGTTGCGGTGGAAGCCTCGTTCGCATCAGGAGATTTGCGATGAGAAGCAGGCCACTATTCAAGCCCGCACTTGCACGGACACCATTTGCAAAGCCAAGTCTTCCATTGATAAGATTGTTGAGCATGACGGGGTGCAAGATTGAACCCAGTGACGCCCCCGCAGAGACAATAGCCATCGTAACAGCTCTGCGTCGCTGGAAGTGATGCGATACTATGGCGAAGGAGGGAACATTCGTAAGGCCTATTGCAATACCGCAACCGATACCTTGGGAAAGGAAGATCTACATACATAGCAATACGGTCAACGAAGCCACGCATAAACAGGAACGGGACTTGCTTGATAATATCCACCTGGTTTCGCTAGGGACAACATAAAAAGGAAGAGACATTGGAGGAGACAGCCGATTTTCATCATAGGGTAGCTGAAAATGTATGATCAGGGACGTCTTTATGCGGATTTATTGCACACATACAATGCACCCCGGTCAACCATCCGTCCTGACACGAGACCAAGTGATAATATCAAGAATCCATTAACACTTCCTATCCAGCTGCACCGTGGTAGAATTCAGAAACACTAGCAGCCAAGAAACGACCTAGGTAGATATAGAGCTTACTGACGCGATTGCAGATGGTGTTGAATTGGTTAGGTATGTCTGAGTGTAAAAGTCTGCATATCGTGATCGTCAGTTTGTCAAGTTTGTCTACGTAAGATAATCCAAATATGCTTGCCCTGGAAGACACCGTAAGCAGAGGTATATCTGAAACGTGTTAGTAGTTTGGGCCTATAAATGCTGAGTCGAATTTACCCAAAGCCACAGAATTGGATCAAGAAACTTAACGGCCGCGGTTGATGGTGAGTATGCAGCGATCGACAGGTAGACAGAAGCACTTACGCTCCCAGCACTGTGCCCCAAGCGGTAAAACCACGTTCGGGAAAATCTGGCGCATCCGACGGGTCGACAAGGCTGGAATTTCCAACGCTTGTGACGGGTTGTAAGACGCTCTCGGGAGCCTGCTTTGCAGTTTCATCACTGGGGAAAGCTGTAGACATGGACAATGGAGGCCAATTAAGCGATGGATGGGGCATACATACTATCCTACGATGGAGTTTAAATATGAAGTTGAGCAACCCTGAGGGAGGCTTGACGTGGCAGTGACGTTCTGTACTCACTACCATCGTCCCTAGTCCCTAGACCCTAGACTCGTGACTCACCAGTCTGACGGACGTCTTTGTTGGGGGGAATCGTCAGACTTGTCTACGGAAGGTATAAGCCAGGATGCTTCTGAGTTGTCCTGAGCCTCGTTCCACGTAGTACATAAACGGGCATACCGGTTGACTCCGGATCCACGGCTGGTGTCGGGATAACTTGAAAGAGAATACATATTCCCATTTTACCCAACCATTGCCGTATAGATGCGGGATCATATCGTGTACGATACGAGGTATATATGGCAACGTTGTGACAGCGCAACTCGAATTGAATACCCCTAGGACCACAAGCTGTGAAATATATTGAACATCTACCCTAGAACAATCACAAAATGCTCGTACCGCCTCTATCAACTCGCCATCTGTCTCTCAAGGTTCCGCAGCAGATGCAGCGCATCATCCGTGGCCCTTAAGTCGCCCTCAACATACTCAAATCTCTGTCGAATCTTCCCCTCTATGTCCTGAGCACGTTCCAAATTCCTTGCAAGGACGAACCCTCTAAGCACATTCGTATAAAGCCCAATGTCCAGAATCGACGGCGCTCGGTCCGCACAATCACTACTCGCGCCTGCCTGAGCCTGCGATCCACCATCTTCCTCAAGCCGTTCGATGATTGAGACTGCCACAGCCGGATCTCCATACTCAGCAAACCCTCTTGCCACAATACTCCACTGCACGACCCCAGGACTCAACCCAAAGTTCACCATATCCCTCAAGACAGCTGCAGCCCGCTCTGGCCGGCCGCGTTTTGCATGCACCTTTATAAAAGGCGAAAAATGAGCCGCATCGACTGTGCGCTTTGGGAGCTGCAGCAATGATGGTGCGAATTTGGAGTCGGGGGGAGAGATAGGCTTCTGGGATGTGCTGGAATCTGCGATGGCGAGGAGATATTTGTACATGCGCTCATGGTCGCTTTCCGGCGTTGACCAGACGAGAGCTTCCCAGACGAGGGCAGTGTGGTAGGGCGTCGGCCATAGCTTCTCTGAGATATCGTATTGGCGGTTAAGCATGTGCTTTGGAAGCGATGTTCTTTGGGAAAGCCGAGCACGGCGCTTGGATATTAACCTCATTGTTTTCAAAATAGTTCTGCGAGGAACGCCAATCATGTGGAAATGGTATGCAAAGACCACAAGGACGAGTTGGGGCTCATTGCGGGAGCGGTGGTAGAGCATCTCTGCCATGACCCATAGGGACTTGGCTTTGTGTGAGTGCTGGAATGCTTTTTTCCGCAAAGCGAGTAAGGCGCGTGTACGCCCGGTGGCATGGTAGGTATCCATGAAGTCAGAAAGGGTGTAAGAAGTGGGAGGGTTCGTTGAGATGATAGCGCGTCGGAGATAACGCAGTTGGGAAGCCAGCGCAAGGGTATCGGTGTGGGAACAAGTGCGCTTATCCCAAACGTCTGGGATGCTGCAAGGATTGCTGGATATTTGTCCGCGTAGTTCCTGAATGCTGGCTGTAAAAGCTTCGTCTGGGGAGTGCTCTAGGAGGAATCTAAACGTAAAGTCTGTGACTTGACGTTCGCGCGTTGCAGCGACGCGTGCAAGCTGAAGGCCGTGCTCCCCTCGGCCAGCCAGTACCTGATTTCTGATGACGAGACTGTAGATGCTCGCCCATTGTTCTGGAGTAACTTCCGCGTGGCCGGTTTTCGAGAGACCATCTGCCACTGTTTCCAGTTGTAAAATATACCTCTCAGTCGTGGCAGGACTCGCATAGCGGGCAAGGGTGCTCAACACTTGCGACTGTGCATCACCAGCGATATAACCTTTTGACGCCATGATGAGACCGAACCGCATGATGAGTGAGATGTTAAGGTAGTTCGATCCACGAAAAAGTTGCTGGCGGATATCCTTGAATGAGCTCCATTGTTCTATTGCAGTAGGCACCAACGAAAGCCATGCTGAAAATGCTTCCCCTCGATTTTTGGGCCCCTTCGTTTGAAGAACAGCTCTTGCTGCTCGTTCGTAGATGGCGTGCGGTTGAATGGGTATCTTGATATCCACCATCTCTTTCCTCAACGATTCCGCAACTGCGTAGTCCCCTGTGCGTATTAGATTTACTAGGGTGCTAGAAGAAGTCTGTGGCGTATATCCGGATGAACTCTGAGACACGGCCAATGTATACTCGGGAGTCATCTCCTCAAATACCGACATGTCAGGCGCTTGACGTGGAAGAGGCATGTGTTCGACCTCAATGGATGATGGTGACTGCGTCGAAATAGCGAGAGACGCGTTGAGTCTGTGACGTGCTTGAGACCAAACTTTTGGTGGAAGATAATCTAGGCGTAAGCGAGCACGGCTAGCATGCAGCCAAGGTGATTGGCCAAGCATCCATGTTGCCATGCAAAGTGCAGCACTAACTCTGTCTTTTCACCTAGTGGAGTACGAAAATCATGAGCTGGTCCTGGTGGTAAGTTCGGAGTAAAACCTTCATGTTCCTGAAAAGGAAGGTGTTTCAAAGTTGATATGTAGAGTCAGAGGCCCTAACCAATTTAGACTCGGACCAGCTAGTACAATGTGCTACATGCATAATAATGTCCTTCTCTAGTTTCCGAAATGCACCTGCAGTGTTCGCTAATACGGTATACTAGCATGCGTCAAGGCGGGGTTTCTTACTCTCACGGGCGTGTGTGAATCTGATGTATATTTTTTGGAACTTCAGTCACAGGTTCCTTCGTTTCCCCGAGCTTCACAAATATTAAAAATAGGTAAGTGCTCTCTCAAAATCTCATTCGACCTGTCAACACTCGCCCGCTGTCGCATTAAAATGCAGACTCTCTTCCAAAACATGATTCTTCCTTCATTAACTGTGGCACATCGCAGATCTATCATTGTTGTATTAATCATTGTGGTATGTCAAAAGCCTATCCCGTACCGCACACTACCCTCAGCTTCCCGTATAGTCGTGTGTATGTTATTATATGACTATCAGTCCAGAAGACGGCTACTCGTTTTCCAAAGTTTTATCCACAGAACAGTCGATGGACGAGACCCTGCTCGATTTGGCTCCTCCAGCAGAGACTCTCAAACCAGAGTTACACACCTTTGGCAATGTCATTTCACACGACCCTTCCGCTCCTCACCGAGCCAATGCTACGTTGATGATGCTGGCGCGTAACAGTTATCTCGACGGTGTGGTATGGAGTGTAGAACAATTGGAGGCGAAATTCAATCACAAGTTCAACTATCCCTGGGTGTTTTTGAGCGACGAACCCTTCTCTTACGAGTTCAAAAGGTATACCGTGTCACTATTAGCGCAGTTGGTTCATCGTGCATTATTAGGCGTGTCAAAGTGTTGACTGACGCGGATGTATCATTTGGGCTCATCCCTCGCGAAACCTGGGTGCAGCCGCCTTGGATAGATGAAGAACGAGCGCAGAAGGGACGCAATATGCTGACACAAGAAGGCATAATTTATGGCGGTAAGTCCATCATTGATCAGATCGTCTTCAATATCTTATCATTGAAATCAGGCAGTGTTTCGTGCGTATTTCCGTACAACCCATTCAGGCCGTGCCTCATCCTTAGACATTAGTTACCGTAATATGTGTCGGTTTAACTCAGGGGTGGGTGCTCCGCGCTGCGGGTTTAGGAGGGATGTCTCATTCCGCTGACCTCTGTGTAGTTCTTTTTCCACCATGAGCTATTAACGCCATACAAGTGGTACTGGAGAGTAGAGTCAGTTGTTCAGAGTGCCAGATGAATTAAGTGCTGACCCATTCTGTAGACCCGACGTGAGATTTTACTGTGACATTGAATATGACCCTTTTGTATTCATGGAAGATCATGACAAAATTTATGGTAAGAAATTTTCAGCAGTGGTCGAGCTGCTAAATCTGTATCCTCTGCCAGGCTTCACCATCTCAATGCCAGGTAAATTGACATTCCTGCTGTATCTTTTACAGCATGAACCACGCCCTGAACAGAACGGGAACCAACTATAACCTCGCTGTGGTCCGTAGTGAAAGGTAAGCATTAAACATCACGCTCTGTAGGCTGAACCTATTTTCCAGAATTCATCTCGGACCACCCCGAATACGTGTCACCAAACAACTCAATGGATTTCATATCCGATGATGCGGGCGATACTTACAACATGTGTCACTGTAAGAACCGTTCAACATCATGTTGGAAAAAGGTCACTGACGTCCGTCACTCAGTTTGGTCAAACTTTGAAATTGCCGATATGGATTTCTGGAGGGGCGAAGCTTACACAAAATTCTTTAACCATCTCGAGAACACAGGAGGATTTTACTATGAGGCAAGTTTAAGATCTCTTTTTTTCTGTTCGTGTCGTCTGACCGTAGACAGAGATGGGGAGATGCACCTGTTCATAGCATCGCCGCAGCCTTATTTACACGCAAGGATCAACTACATTTCTTTAAAGATATAGGTCAGCTTCGGCCATATCGTTTCGTGGTCATAACTGATCCGTTCAAAGGTTATAAATACGCTGAATTCGCTCACTGTCCCCAGGGTAGACAGTGGCGGGAAGGACACTGCTCATGCAATCCAAACGATAACTTCGGTGCGATTACACATCATGATTGAGTCTTGGCGATACTGAAAAATGGCCCAGATTTTGCGCAAAAGTCGTGCTTGAGACATTTTTTGCGTCTGGACGATTGGATGTTCGGTTGATTGAAGGCATACACCACGAATCGCACGATGTACCATGCGCTAGTTCTGCAGGACAATCTATCTAAGTCGTTTGACTATCAACTGTCTCATATGCCGTACGTTTTCTGTATTGTTACTTAGTCTCCTTAGTGGCTCTACTCTCTCAAGCTCGATGAAATATGCATGCTACGATAGAGTATTTTCGCTGGCAGGATACATCTAAGTAATCCTTCTAACGGGAAATGCCCGAGAACTAGAAGGAACGACTATCTTCGTTGGAGTCTAAGACTTGCGTAGGGGAGACTATGTAGGAATGCCCACCTCGCGACCCCTCGCGCCACAGGACTCGAACACGACCGTGACGATCACAATGAACTTCAGCTTAGGCATCAGAATAACATCAGAAAATAATTAGTATACACTTAAGAGACAAAGATGAAAGCTACGTAAAGGGACAACAGAGCTGCGTCAAACACGCGAACGAATATAATTAGCATATCCTCCTATTCCATCACGCTAGCTGGGCAAACTCCCCATCATTCCGAGGCCCTGCATCCCCTTCCAGCGGAGTGCTGGACGATACCTCAGTCGCAATCGTCCCCTGACCCGTGGTACCTAAGTTGGTAGGAGGGATGGATGTCCGACCGTTCTTCGCTAGTTCACTCCTCACACCATCAAGCATACGCTTGAGGTTAACGCGCTCATTCACAAGGGCCATCCGGGCACTCTCCAGACCTTTCCTTTCTTCTTCCAAAACCTCTTCCAATTCCTCGAATTGAGACGTTTTAAGCTCGAGTTTCGTGAGCGTGAGTTTGATGAGCGACGAGAGGGTCGAGCGGATATGTACGTCTTCAGCGTCTGCTAGGTTCTGGGCAGCTTTCGCAGAAGACTTGAGAGCAAGCTGAGCGGCACGCGCGACGTGCGACTGGGGTAATTTGGATTGCAGCTTCGCCGGTTTTGTGGTATCGGCGGATACGTCTTCTGCGCCTTCTGTATTTATTGGAGTGTTGGTCTCCGGCTCAGCGTTTGCTGCCGTAGATGCATCGGGAACGTCCTCATCCATGGCAGTGTCACCTTCCGCACCCTTTTTGTCACCAGACTCTCCTTTCTCGTCAAGTGTATTCTCCGTATCTTCCCTTGGGGCGCCGTCTGTCAAAGCGTGCATGGCTGTCTTTGCCGCTTCAGCGGCGACCCCCGAACCAACAACACCGGCAAGAAAGGCGACCACGCTCATTACAGGGTTATCTGCCTGTTCGAAAGGGATCCGCCCAAACCTTAATGGACCCGTGTCGCCTTCCGAGGCTATGTACGGGTCTTCAATTGGCAGAGCCAGGAATTTCCTGATACACTGCTGAGACGTACGCGTCCCCACATGGTCTTCGATTGCGCTCCAGTCATCGTCGAACATCTCGATACCTTCCAGTAACAGGAGTACCTCCTGGTCTGTCCAGTCGTCATCGGTCCCGGCATGGCTTACACCAGGCGGACTAGACGTGAGCTTAACAAAGTCCCCGCTAAACATCGTCGACGGGAAACGCCCGTCGAGATAGCACGGACCACACAGCTCGAAGTCTTTCACTTTCAACGAGTGATACCGTAGTGCGGTGCAATCTGTCCCACATGTGTCGCACTGGTACGACATGTTCCCTTTCGACGATACACCATTCGCGAGCGCATTCGCTTCGGTAGAAGTTACCGCGCGTGATGCTTTGGATGTCGTCTGGTAGATCGAATTCCGCAGCTCAAGTGACGCCAAACTGGAGCCGCTGTGTTGCTGTATTGGCTTCGGGGCACCGTTCATTGCTGCCGCTGGATGCGTGATAGTAGGGCGAGTCCCAGGGTGCAATGACTGCATGCCCCGAGGCGTGTCGAGGATCACGCGGAAATGACCGGTGAAAGGTGGTGCAAGCGCGGCTGGTCGCGCTTCTGGGTCGATCTAAAGAGCACTTAGTCATTACAAAGTGCTCAGATGACATTCCTGCCATTCGCACCTGATAGTTGATCAAACCCCACTGCTCCAGGAATGCATGCACGCGCATTATCGCGCACACGTCGCCTGCCAAGTTTCTCCGGCATGCGGTGACAGTCAAGTACTCCGTCGGCCGGAGACGATACGTATTAATCATAAAGTCGCGGTAATCTTTGTATATGGAGGGCGTTTTAGAGCGGTTTCTTGAGTTGAAAAACTCTGGGAGCGCGCGTCGTTCGACTGGGTGAATCTTGGACATGTCGAACCATGCAGAGTAGGAGGGAATAATAACATCATGTGTCTGCGCGGCGAGGTACTTTCTCGCCTGGTCCTCCAGTCGCAAGCGAGTAGCCTCTAGTTGTGCAGGGTCTTCATCATCGTTGTCGTCTCCGGACTCCGCTTCTTCATCAGCTGCTTCCCCCATTGACACGTCCCCGGCGTCTTCATCTCCGTCTCCCTCTTTCAGCACCCTAATCACACCGGAGCTATTCTCTGCTGATGCAGGGTCGCCAGTGTCAGGTGGAAGGTTGCCAATATCCCCGCCTTGAATTGGGTCAAGTTCGCTGCGCTTTCCCGGAGCGGACTCAGGTTCTACGGGCGAAGCGCCTTGACTTTTCTGAGGGACTGTGAGCTTGATTCGTTTTGCATCTGACGTCGACGACGGCGAGCCCGTGCGTTTTGGTGAGTCCATCGCGGTCAAGTAGCCGTTCAAATGTATGGTTAGAAAGAAACCAGTGTGCCAAACAGTTACAAATAACCATGGTGGCTTGAAAAATTGAACTGCACCTGAAGCTAAGTAGTTGCTCAAGAAGAGCAACGTCTTACCAAGTTAAACCATTTCTTCTCCTAACAGTTATCTAGTAGATTTTGCTGTCACCGCAAGCCATGTGCCTTTGCGTGGTGTTTTAACATCTTGGGAGCTTACTACCACCGATGATCCTCAAGCAGACAAGCAGCAGGATGGGCTCTATGATAGTCGCATCACACCACGTAGCATCTTATTGCACTATTGAACCTGAATTTGTACTCTTGGAAAGGCTGCCGCGGGTATCATTGGAGGGAAACGCAAATATCATCTTTCTGCATGCCGGATGAAAGAAATATAAGTACGTGACTTGCGCATTATGCTGATCGTCCATTAAGATTGTCTTCATCACTATTATCGAAAAGCGGCAGGCCACCCTCCTCGCGTTAGGCACACTTTCTGCAATGCTACGTATCTCGAGACGTTAGGGCGGAAAGAACAGGGGCGTCATCTGGGTTATGACTGCTAAGCGACAAGAACAACGATATTGCTCTGGGTTAACTTTCTTCGCCTCATGCCATCACTGTATGCTTCGGTGCTCGGAGACCGAAGTTGCTTCCTTCCAAGGGACCGATGATAAAAGGCTTTGATTCATGTACAGCAAGGCTGGTTATTAGTACCCGATAGGCGAACCTGAAAAGATGCTGCAGGTCCTCGATTGTGTAGGTTGCCTTCCTATTCGCCGATATTCGCTCCCCTAGCTGGAAGTATGCTGGAGCTGAAATCAAGTTTGTGTTTTTATATACCCACTGGGTCATCTTCACTTGTATTGCCTCTAGTGACCGTCTTTCTTTCCTGTATACAACGCGATGACTGCGCAGAGCAAGAAGATGCTTGGGGTCGCTCATAATCTGACAACCAAAATGAAAACTGCTAATTATCTAGCAATGCAATTTTAGCCATTAAACGATCGTGAATACGTCTTAGGTCTCCGCCGTGTCAACTATTCTGAGTCATGCGGCATATGGCCGCCCATCCATTTAGATCTTACGCTCATGTTTTGCACTGTGCAGTGCAGTGATCTTTAATAGGAATAATCATGCCGCAGTATTCTTCATCAAGTCATTTGTCTTCCAACGACGGCACCGTCAGAAGGTTCCAGTGTTTTAGCTGACGTGGCCCGATACCCCAACTATATTTAAGTGAACGGTGTCATCCACGGCATTCAAGTTGGGGTATGTCTTTCACCAGTGACATTCCATTGGATCCCGGCCTCTACGGGCTGGACCCCGCTGCACTTGAGTTCTTCCAGCAGCAAACAGGCATCACAGCAGAGGATGACCTGAAGCACCACATCCTCGCTGTTCAAGCAAAGGCTTTCGCGGTGAGTGATGGCTTCCATCGACGTAGGTCGAGTTTTATGGGACCTGTGTAGGTGACGCAGTACCACTGTATTTACAGCTTCGGATTCACAAGGCATGTCGTACTTGTGGAATTTATACTCTATGCCAATTGACATGTATTCCAGACTCAGAATTTCGAAACATCCGAAGTACCAAAGCGTGCTTCAGCTAGGTCGTGATTGCAGAAGCGCACTGCTCTTGGATCTCGGATGTTGCTGTAAGTGCATTCGGTTTATTCTGGTAGACTATGGTCATGGACTCGCCTCGTCATAGTTGGCAATGATGCACGCAAGGCAGTCACAGATGGCTGGCCAATCGCCCGAATTATCTCTACTGATCTCGAGCAAGGTACGCCCCACGATAGTCACCTCCCTGAACAGATAAGAAGAAATGCATATTTAGACTGAGACTTTATAACAACAGAATTTTGGGACCTCGGACATGTCCTCTTCCGGTCTACGCCGACATCTTTCCCCTCGCATTTCATTGCGGGTGACTGTCTTGATCCAGCTTTCTTATCATCCGAGTCTGGGTCTACGTCACAATCACCACCTGACTTGTCCTCGCTCGCCTCACTAAATGACTTGCATGGCAAACTTACTGCCATTCATGCAACATCCATATTTCACTTATTTTCTGCAGAGCAACAAGCATCGCTCGTCCGTGCTGTAGCTGCTTTGCTGTCTCCTGTGCCAGGGAGCATTGTATTTGGATCTCATGTCGGACATCCGAAGCAAGGTACCATACGGGAAGAAATGCTTGGTGTGACAGTGGAGATGTATTGTTATAATCCTGAGAGCTGGAATAAGCTCTGGGAAGATGCAGGTCCCTTCGAGACGGAGGCCGTCCTGAAAGAGGTGATAGCTCCAAACGGTGAAATCGGGTGGAGGATGGTCTGGAGTGCGACAATGAGCACGAAATCCACTGTATGAATCCGAAAGTAGAATAAATTTTTGTGCAGTTAGTCAAACATTGAATATGGATCACGTGATATTTCATCAGTCCAGCGCGTTTTGAAGCTCCTGCCAGTGCTTGAAGCTTGAAGTGTAGACCAATGCGTCGTGCCTCAGTCTGGATTTTCTTAGCTTCCCTGTGTGCTCCATCCTTTGCTCTATATCGGGGGGAAAATTATAGGGAAGATCTACGCATACAACCACTCAGAGATGGGCGAGTATCGACGACGTTCTCTTTTGTGACTGTTCTAGAGAGTGCAGTTCCACGAAATCCGAAGGCCTTGGGACAACTAGATGAATGTGAGTCTACCATCGCTATTTCTCACTCCTGAATTGCACGAGCTGCGCAGCCCAGCACTACGCCCTGTTCCCACTGACTCTTGGTCAAATCCTACGCGAGTACGCGATCACCGAGCTGCACCTCACTCTCAACGCTGGAAGATGGAATTATGACAACTGGGGGCATCCTCACGAAGCTGGGGTTGGCACTGGAGCTGAGCTATGGGCTTGGATGGGCGCTAGCGAGGTAACGACGTGTGTATGCTCAACGAATAGCTGTAATCATGTTCACTCATTCAATCTGTCAGAGTGGATGAACGATGGTCTGGTCTTCGAAACGCACTTTCAGGACTCTTTTGTGCTTCTCTTGGGTCACTAGATTCCAGACGAACATTGTCACCGACGGTCGCCTTCCCTTTATCCGGGTCTACTCCTACTTTTGCCCCACACGAACTTCGGCACGCCTCACTTCCTTCAGAGAACGTTTGCACGGAGAATTTAACGCCCTTCTTGAAGCTACTTCCGTGCAAGAGCTATGCAGGGCTTGCTTCACTTCTCAATCCTCAGAAGGTGTTTGATGCTGACTGGCATGGCATGGGGATTCACGTGATATGGAAGGAAGACACTGGTGTGGAATTAAAACTGACCTTACAAGCGGTATTCAATCCAGTGCGAACCAGCGCAGGGAAGAGACGAGGTGAACTAGCAACTGGTTTATGATATAACCCTTACTGACAATGTTGACAGACTGGAATCTTCAGTTACTGTTTGATCGCTCCATCGAACGATCATGCCCAGTAGCGAGTTCCAGTTCTATCACTGTTATTCTACCGGAACACAAGGACTACCAAATCATCCCCGAATATCCCGCCCATGTCGATGGTTTAGCCATTTATGACTTATCCTCCTGTGCGTCGTACAAGCATTTCTCTGTAATAAATGTGAACCAATGATGTATCAAAGCATCTAATTTCACGATTCCGTCCAACATTGCCATGTCCTGGCCGAGTGAGCATAGCTTCCAGTATCGTAAGTCTATCTCTGTCCGTATAACCAGCTCACTTATGATTCATCAACGCAGCACTGCCACCATTAATACCGGTCACCCCGCTCAGCGTGAAACGAACAATTCATGGTACAACGCAAACACGAGGCGTTCTATCTGTTTCTGTGACCAACAATTCTCCTCAGGAGATATTGGCAGGTTATCTGGAGATGATGCCTGCACTCCTCACGTTGTGGATGCACACTATGAAAGTCGAAATTAACTCACAGATACGGAGTATGACCTACGGCCATAAGAAGATTGTCTTTGCTAATTATATTGTGTATTTAGGCGACTTGCTTTCAGGACTAAAATATCATCCACCCTCGCCACAATCTAATGACCGCCTCTCTCCCTCGATGTTGCAAGCTGTCCTCACAATTCCACCAAAGACCACGCTCAAAATTTCCATGGAGGTCAACAAAGCTTTTCTAAAATACACCGAACATCCACCCGATGCGATGAGAGGCTGGGATCTACCAGGAGCTGTGTTTTTCCCGCTCCCTCAATCATCTCACAATACTTCTTCGAATGATGATTGGGAGAGGATTTATACCCCGACACTCCTTGTCGACCTTCCCACCCCAGATTTCAGCATGCCCTATAACGTCATTATCCTCAGCTGTACGCTCGTGACATTGATTTTCGGAAGCATCTTTAATCTGCTGACGCGCAAGTGGGTCGTGGTGGAGATTCAAGAATAGTTGGGGTAATCAATGTGGGATTACATCCCATTGTACTAATTAGTGCTCATACAACCTACTGTCCTTTTCTGGGTCACTCGATGTCTCGACCCTCGCACACGCCTTTTCGACGGAATTGATCCATATATATGTTCCGGCGGCATCTGTCGAAGTGCCTTCAGTTCTCGACTGGCCATAATATGTCCCACCACCAGGATCTATTCGAACTTCCGCAGTGATCCTTGTCATCCGTCGGAAGGGAGTATGGTCTGAGCCACGTGGCGGTCTGCCCCCGGTAATAATGATGGTCCATTCCGAAAATCACCGGGTTTGAAATTGACTGAGCATCCTGCATATACGATAAAGCTACAAGTGAGCAGAGTAGTGCGTTGGCTCACGACGTCTTCATTCCCAACACTCCCACAAGCATGATTGTCACTGGTTTGTCATTAGAGACCCTTTCAATATTAGTGGGTTCGGTGGTTGCACTGCGCGCATTGCAGCTCTTCTTAGATTTCCGTCGACTATTGGCAAACATTCAGTGAGTTAACCAGCTTTATCAAATTGTTTACATAGAATTAATTATCCTGCATAGTCATCTTCCAGGGCACAGAACAATTCTTAGTTCCTCAACTGTGCTCGGACGCCTGTTGCCTCCGACCCCCTTGTTGATCTTAGGTCATGATCATTTTTGGCTGTTGAAGCATGGCCGTACGTCAAACTCTTTTCATGTTGGTTCATTTACCTTGGTTAACGTAAATTTCGGAAGCCTTTGCGGAGAGGGGCCTCGACATAATTTCCGCTGTAAGTTGCTTGCAACACTGATGTATCAGAGGCCAATGGTTTTAGGTGGCATGCTGGCCGAAAGCAATGGGATCGATGTTGATAGCAGACGTCAATGTGATCAAGGTGTGTCTGTTTCGGTCTTGAAAGCCTGACAAATTTGATTAATCGTATGAAAGGACATTGTTTGGTCTCGTGGAGAACGCTTCCCAAAACCTCTTGGCCAATATACTGTATTAACATTCTTCGGCGAAAACATTATTGCTTCCGAAGGCAACGAATGGAAGCGTTACCGCAAAGTCGTCGCACCTGGGTTTTCAGAAGTTAGTAACTGATGTCCATGCGTAAAATAGAGCTTCCTAACCCATGACTTGAAGAAGAACAAAAGATTGGTCTGGGATGCCACGACACAGATCATGCTCGACCTTTTTGATACAATGTGGGCTGGACAAGAAGAAGTGGTTGTCAATCACTCCGTAGATTTGACTTTTCCAGTGAGAGCTCTTGAGGCCACCTCCGTGCTTCTTGAATTTCATTCGGATAACTAGATTGCCCTGTTCGTGATCGGGGCTGCAGGTGAGCATGATCAGCATTATCAATAAGTAGCTGTCAATATAGTGAACTCGTTATAGGGTTTGGTCGTCCTATATCCTGGAAAAAGGACGATGTGATCCCACTCGGACACCAGCTGACTTTCAAAGATGCTCTCCGCACAGTGACACAGGACCTCACCCTTACAATTTTAGTACCGAGATGGGCCATGGGGCTCACTAAAAGTTTCAGACGTGCAAGGCTTGCCTTCGATGAATTGCATGTCTGTACCACAGTTGTGGCTGAACACTTGTCATTTTTAATGACCCCCTTTTGTAGCGATACCTTACAGAGATGATTCATGAACGGCAGGAATCCAAGGACGAAGAAGATAATAACGACCTCTTATCTAGTTTGGTGTCAGCAAATGACAATGAGAATTTGTCGAAGGGTGAAGTAAGGCTGAGCGATAGCGAATTAATCGGTAAGCTACAATTTCAGACTCTAGCAGAACATGACTACATCGTCCGACAGGCAATATCTTCATAATCTTGGTCGCGGGACACGAGGTACTACGTCCCTTCGACACTTTTGTCTCACGCTGACAACTCACAGACGACAGCCCATGCACTTTCTTTTGCGTTCGCACTATTGGCTTTACATCCTGATAAGCAAGAAGAAATGTACCAACACATCAAGCACGTACTGTCTGATGGAAGAATTCCTGTATGGACCCCTGAATTACAGACACCTGTACAGTCAGGCTCACAATATTTTTAACAGACTTATGATGACATGCCGTCATTGACCTACTCTTCCGCGTCAGTTTGCCTCTAAATCGACCGGGTTATGGGCTGACATCGTAGCAGCGTGTTCAACGAAGCACTGCGGATGTTCCCCCCTGTATGTTGGTGGGAGCGAATATCTCTGAGCGATTTTGTTGACGTCAGGTGCAGGTTTGCGCTGTGCCAAAATCGAGTGCCGAAGACACGACCTTCACCCTCACAGATGTGAATGGGACGCTAAAAACAGTCGTTGTGCCTAAAGGATTGGATCTTATACTGGACGTGCCTGGGCTTCACTACAACCGTAAGATACTTGCCAGATACAAAGAGACGCAACAACAACCTAACACACGACTGCAGCTAAGTACTGGGAAGATCCATTCGCGTTTAAACCCGAACGATTCTTGGGCGACTGGAACAGGGATGCATTCCTCGCCTTCAGTGGTGGTAAGTCTCTTGACATCTTGCTCAGAACGAACTTGAAGACGCCCATACCAATGAAGGTTATAGAGGGTGTGCAGGAAGAAAGTGAGTACATTGTCATTGTTCTTGGTCATTCATTTGAATTTGCTTAGGTTCGCCGAAACCGAGGGAGCAGCTGTTCTCACCATTCTAATTTCGCAATATATTATTTCGATCAAGGACGAGCCGCAATTTGCTGGCGAAACGTATGAGCAGCGCAAGGCAAGAGTACTCGACGCACGAAGTATGCTCACTCTGGCGTACGTCGAACTTCTGCTCCTGTAAGATGAAATGTTGATGGCTGTTTAGACCAACCCGCCTTCCCCTGGTATTCAGACGGAGGACTTAAAGAGTATAATAGTACATCGATTTCGATATGCGTGCAAGTACAATATAAGCTGGGCTTGGCTTTGACGTGAAGTATCTTATGACTACATTAGATGTTCAGTTTGACATCTCCAAGACGATTCTCCCTGCTACTTTTCCTTCCTTGAGTGCGTCATAGACCCTGTGAATCATGTCAGCTATGTGTCCTTACCATCGCAAACTACTCACTCCTCGAGCTCTGAGAGACCCTTGCACTCATACCTCACTACTACCTTACCTCTCGATGCGATTTCCAGAGCCTCGACGGCATCCTGACGATTACCAACATATGAACCAATGATGTTGATGCTCTGCAACAATTCTTGAACAAACCAAACTCAAATATTTCCTCACAGAACCTACCTTGAATACGGTGAAAAAGATGGATGCCTCGAGCTTTGCTTCACCCGGCAGCCCTACTGCCATCAGCGTTCCTCCAGGTCGAAGGTAATCAACAGCTTGCGTATAACCAGATGGACTTGCAGTGGTGACGACAGCACAGTGTGCTCCCTCGCCATCACAGGCTTCTCGCACAGCCTGGACAATATCTTTTGCCTCCTTGAAGTCAATCCATTTTTCGGCTCCAAGCTCCAAGCACAGTTGCTTCTTCTCGAGGCCTGTGTCTGAACACGACGATATCAGTCTCCACTCAAGTATGTATAGGGCGAAATACCTATCGCTACGACGCGGAAGCCCATAGCCACCGCGTATTGAACCGCTACTCAATAAGTCAGATCGGCTCATTAATATCAACTGCAGTAGTGAGACAGACCCAAGTGTCCGAGACCACCGCCCGCACCAGGCAAGGCAACCCATTCGCCAATCTTTGCACGGCTGTATTTGAGAGCTCTATATACGGTAACTCCCTTGATGCAACATGTGAGTGGATTACAATTAGTTAGAAAGGCTATAGCTTTACCGCACAAAGTACCGAGGCCGCGGCGTTGCTGTCTAGATTTTGTGGAATAGGGGTAACATGATGTACGTAGGAAACCTAACGAAGTCAGCGACACATTTATAATACCTGGAAGTCGACATACTGTGTACTGTGCGAATGTGCCATCAACGGTGAATCCACTTAATTTCGCCTTAGGACAGTCTGAATGTAAAATTGAGTATCATATTCAACGTTCAAACGTTTAACTCACTTTGCTCTCGTCCATTGCGGCATTGCTCGCAGTTCAGGCAAGAGTACGCAAGCCACTTGATGCCGACTCGATCACCAATCTTCACAGGACATTCGCCAGTGTTTTCCCCAATGGCAACAACCTCCCCTACACCTTCATGCCCGCCAACAAGAGGTGTATTGGCGTGAAGTGGCCAATCATCTTTGCTGGCGTGCAAGTCCGTATGGCAGACTCCAGTGCAGGACAATTTGATGAGGCATTCGCCTGGGGCAAGCTCAGAAGGTTGCTTGACCGGGTGATCCCTCTTTATTTCGAGAGCAGCTCCATGATGCGGCACGACTGCAGCGGTTTGTGTCTTTGGAATGTTCGACATGGATGATGATCGATGAAGGTTGTATGAATGGTGATTGTACGGGCCCTAGGCTAATAGCATTTATATATCATCATTGGAGTCATATGACACTGTTCTAGCTAGTTGGATCACGCCCAGACAAGCCTGGAGCTTGAACCGTGCTGAACCTTAAGCTTGGTACCTGTGAGTTCATTGCCGCAGGCCTAGAATCCCTAAATAGATGGTCGATATTCCCAGTACCGCAATGAAGTCACTGGGTCTTATCAAGGTCTTAGTATCAGGTTTTTGCGGTATGTAGTTCCGAGTCAGATTTTATATATCGCCCCTGTGTTTTTCGAGGGCCTAGCTCAGATAGTAACCGGCTATCATGATGTTGATGTTGAGAGTCGATCGGTCCGCCTGAGGCAGTGGTTAGATTTCTCGATTATTAGAGCGCTGTCGCTCATGTGTCTTTATCTACCACCATGGCTTCGTTTATCGGTCGTCTTCAGCCGTCTTCCTGTATCTGTCGCGTTTGAATTTGATCTAGCAAGTCTTGGTGCCGGCTGCGGAAGGAACCGGCATCTATAACGTCCAGCTGAGCGATTGCACAGCCACGCCTCACTTCTCACTTGGCCATTCGGGTCCAGGATTCCGGTTCACCGAAATTCTAACAGCCTCTTATGATGGCGCTCACAGACGTCCGAGTCGAGTTTGCTATGATAGTCTCGATTCCGATGTTTTGATTGGGATAGACTGGATCTCTGCGTGGCGTTAACGGTTGGATAAGATGATAAGAGTCTTGTCTGTAATCCCTACCATTGAACATTCTCGATCTATGTCTGGCCCTGACAGCATCTTTTTGTCCTCTTTTCTAGTATATCTACTGATTTTCCTCTGCTGTTCCAGAAACTTCGTGTATACTTTGTGGTAACAACAAACATATTGAGCTCACCGATGGTGGTGATTTACCAGATTTACCTCAGTCTTCATCTCTCACTGGGGCGGTTTATCATCTCGCAGACGGAGTTCTGGGGCGCAACCATCATGATTGTTCTTGGCCGTCGATTTCAAAGTCTAATGGTCTTGTACATGATCATACTCCTTTCCCTTCTGCCCCACCTATTGAGTGTGCTAAATTATTGGCATGAACTGGATCAGACACCTGTCTCGTACTATGTGTAAAATATGATGTCGAATTCAAGACGGTGAATAGGTTGTGCAAATGACTGCAGGGGGAACATGTCGGCTGGCCGAGGTACGAGGCCGAGCTGATATGCCCCAGCCTCCTCCGCTCCATCTGAGCAAGATATTGGATACAGACTATGGTCAGTAACATTATTATTATGATACATAAACTGAGCGCCTCTATGGTATAGGACCGGTATGACTCGTATCTGGCAAGGACAAGCATGAAAACTGGAGTTCCCGCAAGCAAAGTTGGGAGGTAGGGCCACCTCAGCTGGCCCTACTGCTTATTTCATGCGTTAGATGGTGCAAACCAACTTATCGTAACGGCGCTTGCGCCCCAACTCCCCGACACCGCTCACCTGCCTCATGACATTTGTATTTGACATCCACAACATTTGTTTTACCTACAGGAGTCCGGACAGCAAAGGACTGGTTAACAAAAAACATATCCATATACGTGCACAATCCGAATTAATCAGTCTCTTTCAGTGATCACGATCAAGTCTTACATCGTGCCCATTCATGGAAGCTCAACTCCATATCTACGTCTCCTAGCTGCTGGCTCCAACGCTCGCAGTCAGCTAGCCAATGCTCCTGATGACGACCCACATACTTTCAAAGAGGGCACGCTTTCTCCCAATAGCCTCGGGATCTCACAGCTTGCGACTGGAGCAGACCACACTCTCGCATTGTTGGAGTCTGGGTACGGCAGATGGCAGCCTTTGAAGTGTGGAGACGGACGCAAAGCACAGCTGAGTCCTGAATACATGGGACCGTTGACAGAATTCACCCCGATCAGCATGCCCTTGTACAAAACTTATACTTCCCAAGGATATACCTGTTATCTCATCGCTGCCGCTTTGGAAACATCATACCTTGTTTTGAATTTGCCTTCCCGACCAGACGTGGTCATCTCGATGACTTTGGGGCGCTCGGTGCGGGCACAAAACAAGCTACGGCACCTCCGGCAGTTGTTTCGTTTGATTACCTCACTATCGAGGGACGCACCATCAATCCCAGTGAACTTGTTGTCGACTCCATTGTTGCAGGACCTCGTCATGTCGTACTTTATGTGCGAGCCATTCTCAATAATAAACATATGCTCTTTGGCCAGACATGACCAACTAGGGGACACGAAGATCGTGAACTATGACCGCCCTCACAGACAACAGCCTTTGGATCAAAGGACAACTCCATAGGACGGATTCTTTGGGGCATGTTCAACAATTTGGGTGCACGTGGAATGGGAGATACCTTCTCAGGGACGACGATGAAAATACCCTTCTATCAACGGGAAGTAATGCCCATGGTCAACTGGGTCGGGAGTCGTAAGTTGAGGAGAACGGGGTCACTGTCGGGCCTGTCGAATTTACCTTATCCCACGATGGCAAATTACCTTCATTGAGATCCTTTGCTTGTAGCAGCGAACATGTGATGGCAGCGATCTCTCCATCTGGCTCGTCAGACGTGTAAGTTTTGGGCTGGGGGTGGAATGAGCACGGTGACTTGGGGCTAGACCATATGGATGATGTGCCAAAGCCCATCAAGATTTAGCCAGCAGGAGGACACGCTGGACGGAAGGATTGCTCAAGTATGGGCTGGAAATGGGACCAGTTGGATATTGCATAATATACAGCTATGTTGAAACGCGATGTATGCGGGACAAAAAAGACAGCCAACTATTGAAGATGCTGGGCAGGGTAGAGGTCGATGATCATCGATTCATCGAAGAGGTCCGTGTCGTTATGAATTTGCGCACGGTGGTTTTTTTCGGAGTGGCGAGCTGTAATTGTTGGATTGAACGCGGTACATGAACTAGTTCGAGGGCAGGCAGAATGAGTATGGATAGCTATGGATCAACAACAGTCGGGATTAGAAATACGGACCATGGACTTGTTCGTCAGCGTACACAGGTACACATGGACCCGGTAAACTTGCATCAGCACACCATAGATAAACAACTTTGCACAAACTTTTCGGCAACTTTTCGGTGATGGGAATTTTTTTTGTGTTCGACAGTCTACAGAGCCCACCTTTTGGGTTCAGGGACTAAATCGGGCCGGTAGTACATACTAATCCGGCGGATCGGAATGACGTGTTCAACATTCTTGGTTCATCGACTACGGATTGTATGTCAATTTGTATATCTCCGAGTGCCAATCGAATACCAGATCTGTTACATTCATTCGCACCATGTCGACCGACCCATATCATGAAGTCCAGCGGGAGATCCAATCTTCACTCCAGACAGCGTCGTCATTACGCTCTTCGTTCCTGCGAATCCGCAGCCTCGCTTGGGATGGGAGTGAAGAGCTTATGTTGGCCCGAAACGAAGTGAGGTTATCCTTGACATACTCTTCGAGCGAAAAGCTGACATGAGAGTGCAGTTGAAAGTTACGCTTGCTACTCTGTACACAGATTTGGAGGATTTAGAAGAGAGCGTCAAGTAAGCTGAGATGATAATCCGCAGTTCAAGGGACTTATTTCTTTCAGGATGGTGGAGGACACGGGTCCTAGATATTTCGGACTGGATGATGCAGAGGTCTCTGAACGGCGGAAATATGTGAGTCACGTACGTCGTGAAATCGAGGTTCGTCACAAGTTGCTTGAAGCATGCACACCCTAACCAAGATGACCAACCTAAGGACAGGGTATGAGGGCGGACGTCGAAGGTCGAAATGTCGGTATTTATTTCTGCCAGGTATGCGGTTTCTGACAGTTCATTAGTTGCCGTCTGGAGGGAAATCACCGTCCACTCCCCTTCCTCAGTCGCAATCATCGTTACCTAGTGGTTCACGGTCTCCGTTGCAATCAGTACCTGGCTCGCAGTCAGGAGAGCCCGATGATGAGCAGGCAAAATGGGCTCATGAAGAACAACAAGTATGTTTTCATGCGTTCATTTCATAAGAGGGGAGACCAACCAAAACGTGCGAAAGTTATTGCTTCAGGAGCAAGATCGTGCCATAGATTCAATATCAGGAACTTTAAATACTCTAGCTCAACAAGCAGGCCTGATGGGACATGAGATTAGCGAGCATGTTGAGTGGGTTATGTTATTCGCTGCCCCTAGTTCATGCTAAGATTTTTGACCAGAATGCTTGACGATCTTGAGGCAAATGTTGACCGGACAGATTCCAAGCTATCAAATGCGATGCGAAGAATGAAGAAATTTGTACGAGACACAGAAGGCAAGCTTGAGCCGGCTATGTGGTCGTTATGACATACTGACGTTCTAGGAGTAGAAACGAAGTCGGGATGGTGTATAACTATCCTTATAATTGTGCTGGTTGCTTTGTTGTTGGCGGTCATTCTCGTGTAAGAGCTGTGGAATTTCTCCACGATACCTTAGCATTATACATCTGATGCCCGCGACATCCTTGCCCGTATTGGTGCGACACGAACGCTTGTGCTTAGTACGAAGCCGGCTAAAGGTCCCACCAGTAAGAAGGTAGATTTTGTGCGGTTTGAAAAAACGTTTCTAGGTATGTGAAGCCGCCTTCAAGTTTGAAATAATCGAGCTGTAAATTGCCTTTTACACAACGTCCAATTGGTCGATGCGTCCGAGTTTCGCGGGCCTATGGAGACACCCTTTATCCGTTGTGACACACGCTGAGCAGTCACCGTCCCGGATGACGGAGATTCTATTCTATGCACGAGATCACTGAGTCAGGAGTCGTCGTCGTCGTTCTAGCCTGAGGTGCATAAGCGAGCTTTCTCCTATTCTCGTCCCACGTTCACCAGGCTGAAAATCCATAAATATTAACGCCGAGTGAATAAATAGTTACTATGCCCACTCAGTATTAACACGAGACGAGCGTCGGGCGATACCCGGTTGTTTGTGTGACTTTCCAAATCTCGATGCCAAGCGAGTTTTATTGGAGTTTTACTCGGCCAGCGGCCGTGTCCCGTATGACATCGTCGCCCACCCTGTTTCTCTCCCGTCTGTTACTGCCTGGCTTCTACCACACGTATTCACGCAATTTTCGTCCCGGTTCCCCACTGATACCGATCTGGTGGTTTTTTAGTTCACCCGAACATAGGTGGGAATCATCTTGCTGGCTTATGCAGGCTAATCCCCGTATAAACTATGATTCTAAGCGCTACGAAGAACCATCTTATTCCTATAGTTGAGAAACAATTTTTTGGCCCTGACCCTTCATTGTGTACTCGTGATAGGAATGAATTTAAATGCAACAAAAACCGAACAGCGGACAATAACAGAAAATAGCTGGGGAATTTTCTTTTCAATTACCGAGTATTGATCTCTCACTCAAGTGACATAGGTAGCCGACTCAATATAATAGACCCATTGAATTATTTGAATAGGTATCGAGGCCCGAGGGTCAAAAGCGGGGCCCGGGTGAGCTCGGGACTGTCTGATTTGTTGAAACAAGTTACAGCAGCCTGAGTTCGAGTATCAGCTTATTCAAAATTTGGCACTGCTCAAGTGCCAATAATGAGAAAGGGGATCATCTATTCCTCGGCTCCGAATCTCGCTTGACCCACTACTCATCATCCTTCCAAACGGAAGACTATATAGAAGAACCTTTGACGTCGAATCAGCCCGCTGGATCACTGCATCAAGAATATCTTTCAACTTCTTTCCAGTTGGTGTTCGCTCATACACTACTAGAATTATGGCACAGCTATACCCGACCTCATACTTTTTATTTATTTATTTAAATCCAATTTGTGTCCATTGAGGATGGTATCATATGTAGGACAATACTTTCTAATCTACGGGACCCCCAGTGTCCCTTCCCTCATACTTGACATGGGAGCCAAGGAGTTCAACGATAACAACTTGTCCTATCTGAGAAAGGAATGCATTTCTCGTACGCGGAATGTATAACTGCTACGCACCTGAAGTTCATGTAGCGCCACGCGCTTCTTTAACCTCCTGGTCCACCGCATCTGCCAGATCACCTAAAGTTTCGAACCTCCATGTCCACATGCCTCGCTCCTTCAAATCGGGTTTGGTCCCGATAATATTCTTCTCATGGCGTGAAATCCACACACTGTCAAGATTGTGAAGATTTGCGGGCTCTATATCATGCAGAAGCGAGTTTGCTACTACAAGCACCTCATGCGCCTCCACAGCCCAGGGTGGGCTGGGATGCGGTAAGACGGAGTGGGGCGCAGACGAGAATTGCTGGAGTGCAGTTCCCAGCACCCTCAAGTCTGGTTTATACGCATTAAGTTGCTGAGCGGTGAGGATGAGTGAGAAAGGGGAATCGGAGGTATCTGTCGGGTATCTGCTCTTGCAAGCTTCATGTGTTTCAGATTTCAGCAACTCGTGTGTGCCGCTGAAACTTTTATTATCCACGTTGGATAGAACCACTAGCGCAAAGTGCTCCTTCAGTCTGTGGAGGGCTTGGACGGTGTCTTCAAATGGCTGCCACGTGGGTATGGAAGCTCCGAAGCACTCAGCATCGCTTGTTGGTAGTGTCGAGGAAGGTAGATCCAAGTCTTGTTGAGTGATCGCTGAACTGGATGCTCCAACCCCCTCCCCTTCATCCGTGACTGCAGCTGGTCCGCCGTGACCAAGACTCGTGTTAGCTTGACCACTGAGCCGCACCCAAGCGAGATCGAGGATCTTCGAGTATGCTACACTCGGATCTTTCATCTGAAGATCTAGCTCCGCAGCAGCATATTTCTCCAACACCTCCTCCCTCGGAGTGTCCTTTGGGAAGAGCGGCTTGAGACTTTTGTATATTCCAGATTCCCAGTCGATGAGGGTCCCATAAACGTCAAAGACCAAGACTTTGTGAGACGTCAATTCGAGCTTAGGCATCTGACGCAGAAAGGGGTGAGTCGCGTGCCGTTAATATGACTGGACGGTCTAGTAGTTTCTCACAGTTTTCTCCAAATGCAAAGGGGTGGCCGAACGAACTACAGTGTGTTGCATATGAAACTACAGTGCGAATTTTTGAACAATTCGGCCCCGCTGCCTTTGCCGGGACTTTTGTATCTAAATGTGGTCAACGCGGAAAGTATCACACTACTTTTCCTAATTTGGATGCAAAAGTCCCAGTAAAGGGCCGAATTTTTCAAAAATTCGCACTGCAGTTTCATATGCAACACACTGTAAATTATTCACGCATCAACGCATCCATCTCAATCGCGGACCCCTCGGCTATTCGTACTATACATCCAACTTGTATTCGTTACCATTATCCCTTGGCCAACACATAGGGCGCCGCATCTTAACAATTTCCTTTGTTTGTAGCGGTACAGCGACAAATACAGAAGTTCTCTCTCATACAGGGGCGTCTGGTCATCAACAGAAGACTAAACCAACTTCCGCCACGTTTGCATGACTCGGAGGTCGTGTGCTGGAAATGGGACCCGTCAGAAGCGAGATAGTCAAAGTTTGGAAATTGGGGTCAAGCTAGGCTTGCCATACGATTACATTTTCAGGCGGTTGTATATTTTTGCCGTGAGTACAAACACCGTGATCAACCTGTCGACCTCTGTCGCCACGATCTCGTCATCTACTTACCACTGTCGACCATGGCAGTTTTAGCAACGTAAACTAATCAATATTTTGCCTATGTCATTTGGATTACATCCATTTTTGGCTTTTTGCCAGGATTTCGGTGTCCATAAGATCCTTCAGATTGAAACCTGACACCTTGAATTCACGTTCCTGGAGCTTTTTTAACGACTCGTTTTCACTTGCGTGTCAGTCGAAAAGTTCCACTATCCTGTGTGGATCATACCCTATACGCGCTCCCAGTACGTCCAGCATAACCTGACAGCCCACAAGTTGCGGGACAGTGATGAAGTTTGCACGGTTAGTCGACACCCCCGATTTCTATCCTCCTGCCTGTGCTCATTTCGTGCAACTCCTTTTGACCCCAGTTACCTCAACGACACACAAGTCAGTCCGCTAATTCAGACTAACCAACCTTGTATTGGTGATGCGTGTTCTGAATGATATCTTGTTGCAGACTCCCGAGTGGAAAAGGGCATACATGTGCGTCCCAGCTCTGCCCATGCCGATATGTTTTGCATGTGCTGATTGATCCCCTTCACTACCGTTTACTCTCACTACGGTTTTCTTTCAGTGATTATCGTTGCCTAAAGAAGTGCATCGGTGCAATTCGTGCAGAACATATTGCCAGGCAGAATTCCACTGGAACCACTGATATTGATCACGTTCATAAGCAAGCCAGAGATTATGAAGGGCACAACGGTATGTTAGCTATTCCGAATAAACTCTCACTGATTCATTTCACTTCAACTTACTCTTTAGAGCTGTCGCTCCTTCCACAACCTGATGCTCCAGTTGAAGAAAATTCAACTCTTTCCGCAACTCAAATTCAACGGAGGAATAACCAGATGCGTGAGCAGTTTCGGCATCGTCTGTTAAGTTCTATTTAACGGAGCGTTTTGACAGGTCCTTCGCTCAGAATTTCAATGCATAGTTTTCCGCCTCCACCTCATCTCACAGGCTCGTCGTCACAAGCCCCTTCGCAAGAAACTCCCTTACCTCCGAAGACTGCGCACTTGCCGCCCATATTTCCCTTTTTCCGTGATGCAGGTCAGTTCAGACGCTTTCAGTTTGTTGCGTAGAAACCTCACTTGACCAGCAGGTTCTCCAGCTCCTGCTGCCTTACACACGATTCTTCCTCTACTACCACCACTTCATGCAAATTTTTTCGAGCTATTAGATTCTGAATTGGAGAAAGTCGATTCTTTTTATGCCGAACGAGAGAAGGAAATGCGAGACCGCGGCAAGCTGCTCAAAGAGCAACTTAATGAACTTGGGCTTCATCGCAAGAAGTACTATGTCAGTCTATCGTTCAGCATATATGCGCTTCCTCCTGTTGTTTTTTGAAACATTCTAACTCCACGCCTATACAGGAATCTAATCCAGATACCACAACGCCGAGCTGGGCTGCACGAGCTCGCCTATACCTGGCAGCGGCTTTACTTGCCCTAACCCAATGTCATACAGATAAGAGTGATGATCCACCAGAGCTAGTAGCTTCTGAGTCGTATCGCGGAGGTATGCATTTATCATTATTGCACTCGAAAGGGGTAACAAAGTGGACCGCTGATCTTAGTGCATGCGGAAACAGGTCATTCGACCACCACTGGAGATGGAGGAACTTCCGAACGTAAAATCATGTCGCCGCTTCCTGCGTCTACCGCAGGTGATTCAACTCAAGTTGCATCACTCAAGAGCAACCGTCCAGCCCCGCCTACAAAAGCGAATGGCAATATCCCGCTGAGAAACAACATTATGCACTTCACAAGCCCACAGGAGTACCAGAATGCGAAGAAACGCCTCAAGAAAGCTGTTGTGGAGTACTACCGGTATGTCCCGTTCACGTCGCCGGTTTTCGGGACCACTAGGAAAGATCGACGCTAGATTCACTGTGTTGGCAACGTGGATCTCCTCATGCCAACCTGTTTCTCTTTTATTCTTCCAATAATCACATGCCAGCAGAAACTGACTTCTTCCCTTGTGCAGTGGGCTCGAGGCGCTGAATAATTACCGCGTACGTGACTGATCCCATCATCCTGATTATCTCAATCATTCATGTTGCCTGCATACTACATCCATCATCACCACTAAACCACTGCGGGACTGCACGCCTCTCACTCACTTATCGCGCTGCGTATTGATCATCGATGATCTCAAATCAAATAGATACTGAACCTCACTGGTTTCCGCAAAGCTGTCAAGAAGTATGAGAAGATTACACAAGTGCCTGCTCAAGCAGCTTATATGAAGGAGAGGGTAAGACTTTTCTGATACCTTTTATAACATCTTAAAATTACACCATGGTCAGGTTGAGCCCTCAGCTTTCGCTTCTGGCGCAATGGTCAGCTCAATGCTTAAAGAGATGGAAGAACTGTTTGCCGCAAGATTCGGTATGTCGCTCAAAGGTCCCGGCTTTTCTCTTTCTACATGTTATCGCAGAACGTGGTGACAAGAAGAAAGCGATCACTCGTCTTCGTGTTGGTACGATCCAGAAATCCCATCATTTCAGCACGTTTCGCACGGGCATGTGGCTTGGGTTATCTATACCAGCGACGATTATCGGCTTCATAACATGTACGTTGTGTTTTCCTGATGCTGACGTCTATAAGAATTCTCATATTACCTACAGGTCTGCGTCACAGTACCGCTACCTCATTACCTTCATGGAATATCATACTTTTCATCTACTCCATTTTGTTAATCCCTGCGTTACTCGCGTTGCTCGTCGGTCTGAACCTCGTCGTATGGGCCAGAGAAAGGATCAACTATGTGTTCATATTTGGTGCGCATGACCTGTCTTGTTTATATCCCACATGCTGACCTTCTTTCGAAGAATTCAATGTACGATCTCGACTTGATCATCGTGAATATTTTGAGGTTTGACGCCTTGGTATTCTATGAGGTTCATTGATACAATTCCACATTAGCTTCCTGCTTTCCTATTATGTGCACTAGCATACTGCTTTATGCTTTCTTTCATTCAAGTCGGTCCTCCACTCATCTGGCCGCTTGTGTGGCTTGCCCTTGTGGTCATTGTCGTGTTCAATCCCATTCCGGCAAGGTCACATTACCTGTGCCTATGATTCGAACTGACACGTTTTTGAAAATGTATAGATCATCTTCCGGGGTCATTCGCGATGGTGGCTTATCAAGAGCGTTGCAAGACTAGGTGTTAGCGGTTTGTGGACCGTTGAAGTACGTTCGTATTAAGTGACGCATATAATGTAATTGACGCGATTGACAGTTCACGGATTTCTGGCTTGGGTTAGTGACTACAATTCCGCGCGATTGTATCCTTCATCTCAACCTTCACAGCGATCAGTTTTGTAGTCTTGTCTATAGTTTGTCGAACTTCTACTTTGTTGGATGTTTCTACTCCCAATACTTTCCTTATGTTCCTTCCTACGTCAATGCGTCGTCATCGCAACAAAACACCTCCATGGCTATTGTCCCGCGCTTCTTTTCCTCCTCTCAGATGTCTAGTTTGGTGCCAAGAGACAATGTCCTCTCGTCTGCGTACGACTCTGCAGTTCAAGAAGCGTGGTCGACTTGTGGAGCGGAATCACATTGGGGTCCTTACTTCGTACTTGCTATGTTACCGTTCCTAGTGCGCTTCGTGCAGAGCGTCAGACGTTATAGGGATTCAAAGTTACCTAGTCATCTCATCAACGTAGGTCTTCACTATCGAATGGAAGCACTCGAAAATAGCTTACGTCTTGGTTGAATGTGCAGGCCGGGAAGTATGGGATGGGCATGGTGTACTACTTCTGTTATTACCTTTGGAAACGCGACGGTAGGCTGCCTTCTTGTGTTCCAACTCTCATCTGATCTTCTTCAGGAGAAACTGACAACGGTGCTTCTTTCATTCTCTGGTGTTTGTCGGCAGTCATCTATTCGCTATATGGGTGTGCATGGGTGAGTCGACTTACAGTTAAGGGTGGATACACTGTCAACTTCACTCAGGACTTTGCGATGGACTGGTCTATCTGCAGACCCCATGCTAAATACCCCCTCCTCAGGAGAGAGTTGGTGTACACATCCCAGATTCCGGTGCGCTCTACCTTTTACTAAATCAAACGTTCCAAATTTTTATCCTATTCAGCTGTACTATGTTGCTATGGTGAGCAGAATATATACTTGTGACTCCCTTCATTCTAGACAATCTACTATAGGTCACGAACTTTTTTATTCGTTTTCTCTGGGTCTTCTACATACCCAATTGGCCATACTTTAATACTCGGTCATTCATATCTGCCCTAATGGAGATGGTAAGAAGAGTCGTGTGGAATTTCTGTCAGTGTCTTCATTTAATATTCTTTCTATGCAACTCGCTAATCCTCAATGCCTGACAGACCGTCTCGAGAATGAGCATCTTGGGAATATGGATCAATACCGAATTACGCGCGAGGTTCCATTGCCATATCCGTTCGACAACCCTCAGCTCGAGGACGATGATGACGAGGAGGACAAAGCTTAGGCTGGACCTGAAATAATATGCAAGAAAGCTGAGCGAAGACGTTATTCTTTAGGCACCAATCGATTTAGATGCGTATGATCTACTGATATTATTATTAATCGAGTTGGTCGCGATATCGAAAGCTGATTATGGGCTAACATCAATACTACTCTATGGCAGACATGTAATACTTTAAAGCGTTAGTCTGTACGTGTTGTACGTGTCAGTGATGCCAATGGAGCAGGGCCAGCAGCCTAAGCCCAGAGCAAGGCAGACAAGCTATGATGATGATGATGATGATGCTAGCTACGGACATGGAGTCTACATACTGACTAAGCTGTGGAAATGCCCAAAGTTTGGTGCCTGCCCCCTGGCCCACTGATTAGTCTTGGTGACAATCAACCATTAGAATTTCGAAAACGTTACAGCTGTTTTTGTGCACGAATATAAATGACAACAGTAACCATCGGATTACCAATCCAACGACGCATTTCCACTGCACGAACTTTGCCCCTCAGCGCACGCAGGCCCACTTTCAGATAGACCGATTCCAACACTGGCAATTTCGATCCCTTCTCCACCACCACGTGAAGAAAGCTCAGCCGAAGCTTGTTTGACCATCCATTTACTTGTTCCAATGGCTGCATCCAACTTGTCTGAATCAGGGAGGAGCACGAAGAGATCGTCGCCTTCTTGCTTCACGTCAAACGGAATGATGAAAAAATTTTCATCGTTCAAACATTTACCGTCTGTAAGGCGAAAGTTCCGTTTGTGCAAAGGACCTTAGGAACGGACACTTCAGAAGACTAGCAGGAAGCGGGTAAGACATGGCACTTGCATGAGACGTAGAGATTGCCATCCAGGTCATCGCCAACAATTCCGTGATCGAGCACGAAAGCCCGCTTGTGTGGGCACATCTACAAAATCAATTTCGAAATATGTTCAGAAAGGGAATGAAATGGACAGCACCTGTTGCGTGGCAAAGTAGCCCCGCCTGGGAATGTGAAAAACAGCCAATTGCGAGTCACCATACTTGACAGCAGCAGACCTGAGAAGGCGGAGGTCTTAGTATCAGGGGAAGGAATGTGTGTAGGAACTCACGTGGTGGCGTCATCAGTTGGTATAAGATCGTGGATAGTGGCCAACTTTCGCCACTCCCACTCAGATTTAGGAGTAACGATGACTGATTCACCAAGTTTAGCGGGAGGGAACTGTTTCGGCCAGTCTGCTGGACGTTCCTGCCCTCGCTCTATGATGACTTCCGTTTGAGGGCGATGTTCATCCTGTACGTGGGCCATTAGTACCATGGCATGCGCTCCCCAGACATGCGGCTCTACTAACAGTGTTGACGAACTGACGGAACTGACGCCTCCTTGCAGGATCATTGACCACAGCTTTCCATTCATCTGCATAAGATCCGATAAGTTCGCCCATTTCCCTCTCCAGATCCACACAGATGCCGAGCTCGTCATCAAGAAGAATTGTTTTGAGTCGCTGCGTAAGATGATATCAGCAAGCATAGAAAAGATTACACGATACTCTATGACAGACCTCAATGCCACCATCAAACTGTTCTACCCATCTTGCAGTCCTCATGAGCTTGTCCGCAGTGTGGATATAGTACATTAGAAAACGATCAAGGATCTGGACAACCTTTGACGGAGGAACATCTTTAGCAAACAGCGTTGCATGTCTCGGATTTGATCCACCATTTCCGGCGAGGAAAACTGATGTAGATTTAGGTTCATGGGTTTACAATGTAGTGGAGAGTACGTACTATTCCATCCTTTGTCAGTTGCGATCAAGCCGAAGTCCTTGGACTGTGCTTCGGCACACTCTCGAACGCAACCGCTCACACCGCCCTTAAACTTGTGAGGCGAACGAATGCCCTTATACCGTTCTTCAAGGTGAATAGCCACTGTACATCTCATTCAGTTGATGAAGCTCAACATATGCAGCATTACACGAACTTCCAACAGAATCGCCGATTCCGTAGCGGCACCATGAAGTACCAACGCAGGACTTTACAGTGCGCAAGGCCTTTCCTGAATTATGGATGATCAACATGACAAACTTGAATCGACTAGTAGGTTCTATCGCACCATAAGCATGTCCACTTTCGAATCCTGCAGCGACGAGTTCTTCCCAAATGTCCGGGAGATCTTGCTTATGAGCCCCGAAAAGGTCGATGCGCTGCCTGGTACCGTAAATCTCAAATTTTCACATGTAACGCCTACACAATATGATACACTCACCCTCCTGTGATCTTGGTGTACAACTTGTCTGCCAGTATAGCGTGAGTGCGTGGAAAACATGCAGCAACCACACCCACATTTATTTGCGACTCGTCCGAGAACAATGAGTTTATCCGGCGTGATCTGGAAGGTCAGGAGTTTCTACCCACAAACAGAAAAAATTGCACCGACTTCTCCTCCAGGAACTCGAGGAACGACAGAAAATGTGCCTGACAGTAAAATTAAAATTTCATTTAAAAAGGAGATATAACGTAAGGACATTCGTGAATAAACAACGACTCACCATTCCTTTGAATGTTAGCAAGGTATTTATCATTGGTGTCTTGGTTGGCGTGGTGTACAGGTGCGAGCACGAGCTCGTTATACAATGACGACAGGATGGAACCTAGGCAGGCTGAGCATTGTACGGATAAACACCATATCATTCCCTACCGATAGCTGGCTTGCATATCTCGCATCCGAGTGAATCTTTCTTGACACCGGCAACCTCCATAATCTCTGGGAATGTTTTCAACTTGCGTATCCTAGCGGACACGATAAATTAGATTTTCGGGATACAAAGCCGTAGACACACTTCACGACGCTGAAGAGCTCTTGCCGAGACATACCAAAGTGGGGACAAAGGTGGTTCGACACGGCATGTCCTGTTTTCTTCATCTCCGCCTACAAGTTCTCAGGTCATTGAGGATGTTTGCGATGAAGGGAAAATTAATGTACCTTGAATATGTTTGTGGCTAAAGGCACACACCCACCACATCCAGTACCAATTTTTGTCTTTGCCTTGAGGTCTGACAGAGTGGTGACGCCTGCTTTCACGGATGCGCCGATCGCACCCTTTGCCACATTCTACAATCAAATTAGGATGCGTGAGCTTTGTGATACAGAAGAGAGGATACTTGCGTGGCAACTACAGATCTGGGTGTCAGTCGTCGAGGTCAGCGCCGTCGTCCGGGCCTTTGGAGCCCGATCCCATAATGAACTTGGAAGGTGGCTCTTCCAGCTCTTTCTACCTTTTAGCATCAGCAAGGCTGCTAGGAAGAATTTTTTTGTTAGGTTCACCTTCTTCTTGACCAAGGACACGAGTTTCACATAGTCGGATGTATCACCGACCATCATGCCACCCAATAGGTATTTGCCGTCGGCGGTGAAGATGTACCTACACGTCCGTGAGCATTATATAACAACCTTCTGTCTTTGCAACTCACTTCTTATAGACATACGAGAACGGATCACGATAAGTCAAGCACTCAGTAGGACCATCGAGTGCGGTCTGGCGGCTTCCGTGCTTCATCCCCGTAGTGACAGTGTTGATTGCAACTTCGCCTTCCTTCACCGTGTTGCTGCAATTGCTTTCCAAAGGACTTATCTGCCATGCAATAGGTTTCGCGTCGATGGCTTTCTCGGCTTTGTCTCGAGTAAGAGACTCTGCCACTGCCACCTTACTGGTGAGGACACCCCGTGCACTGCGCTTGTCGGCAAAGTAATCACCGAAGGAGGCAACCTAATATCGAGTGATGTAGAGTAGCGATAGGTGCGGAGTGTCATAACTTACATCGACTCCCATCAGTTTCAGCTTTGTTGAGAGGTCGGGCATATTCTGTCAATTTTAGTTGTGAACAAATGGCACAAATGCAGGAATAGTTACCTACCATCACCCTTGGTTTGAAGCCACCGAGATCAGTCTCAACTTGGGTGAAATTGAATGACAGTATGTCAGCCATCTCCACTGATGATACTATCAGTAGCATCCGATAGGTGAATGCAGGTGCTCTCACCCCCAGGAGCAATGAGACCATAAGTGTTGCCCTTCCAACTCGCGCACTCGCCGATTGCATAGACGTCTTGGGCACTGGTCTGCAACAAATCGTTGATAACTATGCCTCCCTTCTCAGCGCATTTCAGGCCCGCCTGGCGGGCCAAGTTGTCTCGAGGGGTGATGCCAATAGCATGAATGACCATCTCAGCTTTAAGATATTGATCATCCGACAGATTGAGGCCAGTTAGGACTCCATCTGAAGTGATGATATCTTTGACAGTCGTCCTAGTGAGGACTCGCACACCCATAGCTTCAATCCGTCGAAGGACAATTTCTCCACCTTCATCGTCGAGTTGGCGCGACAGCGGGAAGACTTGACGGTTGATGATCACGACTTCTGATATGGTCTCACTGTCTCACGAATTTTCAGTGAGAAAAGAATTAGTGGACGGAAGAGGGTCACTTACAGATCAAACACTGCTTTCGCGACCTCCAGTCCGATAAGACCGCCTCCAACGACAACAGCCTGTGTGAAGAAAATGAGCCCACTGCGTGGGCATGTCTTGATTTGTATGATACGTACTCGGCCACCTTTAACGTGTTCTTGTTCAGAATACGACAATATTTCGTCGAGATCAGAGATGTTTCTATAAACAAATAATCCTCGAGCTCGCTCAGCCCTAACTGGGGAAACATATGGCGGGAGAGTGCTTTCGGAACCAGTAGCAAGAACGCAGTAATCATAACTTATCTTGCGCCCTTTGCTGGTTATAACAGAATGCGCGACGGTGTCTAAGGAGGTAGCTTGTTCTCCAGTGTGGAAAAGAAAGCGCTCCGGATCTTGTTGCGCATACCACTCCACTGTTGGAAGTAAACAATGTGAAAACAGTCACGGTAAGCGAATACACGTCAGGGCATGAATGTACTATCAAATACGCCACCTTGGTTTAGATAGAGTTTCTCGACAGAGCGGTGTTGAAAATAGTCCGTGAGTGCGACACGATTGTACGCCAAATGGGACTCTAATAAGCGACAGGTTAGTTCATATTTCATTTCACTATGAAACGATAGGTTTCCACAGTAGATAAGATAATTTCGCTTACCTTCGCCGCATGTCACCAAGCGGTACCGTTTAGCTTCATCCAAGAGGAGCATCTTTTCGATAAACGCTTTACACAAAGTGTAAGTAACAGTCAACCTTATCCTATCTCTGGTTTCAACTTACCTATCCCCACCATCCCCAGACCGACCACAAAAATTGTACTTCGTGCACTCTGGCTCACGGAAATACTATCCTGATGTATGACTCGCTTTTCTGGGGTGGCCATCTTGGTGGTAATTCCGCAGACTGACGACACACTCTGATGACAAAAGATCACGGTGTTGGCAAGGAGTTCAGCGCCAGGACAAGTGAACTCAGAAGTTTGGTGTCGTTGAGCTAATAGCCGCTAGGTCTCGTACGTCAGATCTGTGGAGAGCATAGACTATCTTCCCTCGTCTATAAATGGTGACTTGGCTAGGAAACTATTCCCATGCCGCATCATGATATTAAGCTTGTGACAATCGCTGCAAGAAAACCGAGTGAAAATGACACACACAAAATATAAGGAGCCTATTGATCTGCTCGGAAAGACCACAAAAAGCAGGTTGAGGAGCATGGTAACCTGTAATCGTTGTTCCTGTTATAACTAATCGTTATCAAAGTTCGGACCTGAGCTCAGTTCCTTCGAACGACTTCAAATTTCCCTGAGAGAAAAGTCCAGTCACCCTCCGCAAGTCCGCGACAATGATCAAAAAGACCCCAAGAACAGTCTGGGCCAGACTGTTCTCGTTCAGCTTATGTAATGTCGTAGCATTCCCCTGCATACTACTTTCCTTCCTTTAATGATTAACTTCAGCTTTGTCAGTTCGATATTTTCCTCGTCGCGTCTTCGACCTGATAACTTCACGCATTTTTAGTGTATTAGCTCGGTTAGGATGTGGACTCACTACGCGCTCGCTGCAAACATCCGTTGACAGCTTCTGCATGACTCCAGCAACCCAATACTATCATAGTAGTGAGTGATACCAACTGGACACTAGTAAATTCGCACTGCCGGCCCTATACCGTTCTGCAAGCTTTATGCCTGAAGATATATGGCTTGTATAGTATCCGGTCACCACGAACGACAATGAACAGGTTTACCGAAATGTCAACTGTGACGGCGTGAACTTGACACTTCTAGGTGGCGTCATGAGAGGACGAGCTTTTGACGACCGAGCGGTGCAGAGCATTGATGTTCACGCGTCACTGGGTATCGCCACTCGTGATCGTGATTCCACTCATAGTAGTACCTACCGTGCACCATCGAGAAGTATCACTCGCCAAGGTATGCAATTGCATTTTTACTCACGCCAGTCGATTTTTAAGAGTGATTTAGCCTTATGATCACAGCGCCGCTATGTCAATCAAAATTCAGCGGAACAACTTGAAGGCAACGGACACCAGCACTGCGATTCCCAACATCACGCTACGCATTGTGATGCACTGCAGTGGCCAGCGTCCTGAATAACCATACCATTTCCGCCAGTGCCATCCTGCACACTTGTTAATGTCCTTCGACCAGGAGTACCGGAGCCGTGTATGTGGCCACGACATACTATACACAATTATATCGCTGCACTCGTGACTGGCGAGTTTGATAACTCACTCGTTCCACTCCATCTTGCCCGTGTTCCCATCTCGCAGTTCAGTACTTTCGATAGTGCACTGTGGATGACGATAGCCCAGGCGCCGCCCAAACCTCAGTCTACTCAACCTATAACAAGTTACAAGACCCATTTTACGGCCTTGAGCAGGCTTCGCGGTTATGTGCTCAGTCGCCCACCTTTTTGCTTGTCCAGAGTGTCCCCTTCTTCTAACTCTCAAGCAAAGTTCCCCTATTTTATCACATATGCACTTCATCGCACCAAACCCCATTCTTCTGTGACCTTTACTGTTCTCGTCCTGCTCCAGGGACTCAAGGTGTGCTCTATTTTACGGTCGTCAGTCACTCGCGGTTGTGCAGTGTGCGCCCTTGTATAAGACTATCCATCATATTATTGTATTCATTGATGTGCTACACGCTAGGATACCAATAACACAACGTCCGAACGAAGTTTAACTGCCACGTCAGCAACAGGAAGCGCCATGTCAAGTAACGAAGTGGCGGGGAGGGGATCCAGCGTGCGGGCAATGGGGATACACTGTTGAGGATTATATACTGTTCGGCGATGACTGCAACATAAACTTGAAGCGAGGATGTGGAGTAGAGTAAACGTTCGGAGTCTTTTGATTGTGAACAACGTGAGGGTTTGAAGTCGTTCCCCAAGAAGAGAACAATGGCGACTGACAGCGTCCTTGAAAGACATTGTATCGCCTTCTGTACATGTGCATGCATGAAGCTTGGGCCATATGGCAATTTGTTAATCACCTCAGTTGGCATGGTCACCCAGGCTGTGGAGCCTTTGCTCTTATCTTTCGAATTCTGACCCTACTACCGTGTAAGTACTAGATCATCACGATTACTAGCCATATGGTGAAATCCGGTTTGTGGTACCCTGTTATCTCCTGAGCAAACAAGTCCCCCCGTCATTCACACCCTTTCGAAAAGACCCTAGACTCTTCCCTACTACTAGGTGTTTGGTTCCACTTAACATCCAGTCGCCATCACCACGGTACCTCAACTCCCCACCACCCGCATGATCATTCAGGTTTCGTCTTTCTTCCCCTGCCTCTCATTGCCTCTTTATCATGTTAATTTATGTCTTGCTTTTGTCGCTGTCTTTCCTTCGTTACTGTTTTCATTACCACTTTCCTTGTTGATATGGCAATTAATCTCCGGATGTCGTACGTGTTACAAACCTTACAATCAATGTATACATTCAATTGTCAATGTAAAAATGTCATGAACAGTTCTAGAGCTTGGATGAAAATACACAAATCTATATAGTTGGTGCATGTGCTGGTGGGACAATAAGTATTTGGCCCCATCGACTGTGGAACTTCGGGTGTCCACGGCCGCGCGCAACAACAAAAACTGCTCGTAGGTGTAAAATTAAACAGGTCAGAGTGTCATATTGTGGCCTTAAAACGAGTTGACTGAAGTTGGGCTGGGCGGATACGAAAAATCGGTGACCCCAAGATCCCCGAGCGGTGGGAAGGCATGCCTTCAGAGTCAATCGCTGGAGAAGGACGAGAGCAACGAAAGTGACGGATGAGTGGATTTTATTGTGGTGAAGTGTGTATGCGATAAAATGCGAGAGCTTGGAGGGAGATACTCTAGAGTCTAGACAAGTAAAAAATATGGGCAATCAAACGAGATATAACCGCGAAGCCTGCTCGTGTCTGGTTGAGTCGGGTGGCGCCTATGTCACGTGGGATTATGAGCGGCTACTAAAAACCTCTAAAACTCGCCAATGCGTGTGGGATGATATGTTTATTGCAGTTTTCGAGGTCTCAAGGAATCAAGTAGTAAGATTCAAGTGATACCAAGCCGCAAGGTACCGTGAACTCGGTGAAATATTCAGGGCACCTTCCTCGAGCCACGACAATTTCCGGTTCACGCGCTACTGCGGCCAGCACAGGCTGGTGGCCGCACTGCGCAGCATGCATATGGCATCCTTGATGATCGGCGGCGGTAAATTGTCATGTTGCAATTTGTTCTCATCTTGTTTCATCATTATCAGAAGTTCCTGGTGTTTGCTGTAAGTATGTTCGTCACTTGTCTATCATTCACTGTTGGACCAATGTCTTAGCTTGCTGCCAGTAGTTGAAATAAACCCATTCAAGAGGCTCGCACTCCGTTCATGATTCTTGGAATTCGCCCTTCAACACTGTATTTGGTTGACTACATTCATGCCTGCTCTGACACTTTCTGAAACTAGCAGTGCTTGGTATGCCAGCCTGCGTTACCCAGTGATCAACCCCGCCAACCGCAAATGCTCCACGGTCCCTATTTTCTCGCTGAACAATCAGTACTCCCGCAATTTCCATCTGTACGTTTCTCTAGACAGTGTATGCAGCGTCATATCTTACTAGTAGCCATGCAGGTCGTGGCTTGGATTTTTTGTTGCCTTGTGAATGAGATTTACTATCAGATGTTTCGTGCACGTTAGTCGCTGAATGTGATTTGTTTATACAGCTTATCGTGGTTCGCGTTCTCCCCTCTCATTCCAGATGTCATCAAGACTGATTTGAACCTGACATCTGAGGAAGTTGGTACATTCGAACTCTGAGCCCATGCGCTGTCAGTTATAATCTGAAATGTTGTTCAGGGAATTCGAATATTGTTTCGCTGTGCTCTACCCTCATTGTACGAGTCATATCAGGTCCGCTCGTCGATCGTGCGTACACCTCCACACCCTAGCACTTCATATGTCTGATACCATTCATATTGCAGGATATGGACCTCGCAAAGTGATGGCCGGTCTTCTCATTATCGGGGCGATTCCTTCTGGCCTTGCTGGAACAGTATCAACTGCGAACGGTCTCTACATTGTCCGCTTCTTCATTGGAATTCTCGGTGCCACATTTGTCTCTTGTCAAGCTTGGAACACTGTTTTCTTCGACAAGAATGTCGTTGGTAGAGGTGAAATCCTGTTCAAAAATCTTATGTGTTGAGTATTCTGATACAGCCGAATTCACAGCGAATGCCTTGGGCGGAGGCTGGGGAAATGCGGGCGGCGGTTTCACGTTCATCATCATGATCGCTCTCTTCAATCAATTGCTTACTGACGGCATGAGCCCGCACGTTGCCTGGCGGGTGGCATTTGCAATTGTTCCTGTCCCCGTTCTCCTTTCTGTTGCCGCTGCCACTCTAATGTTTGGCACTGACCACCCCGCGGGCAAATGGAGTGATCGCTATAAGGCTGTTGCTCCTGCACTTCCTGCGTCAGACGATCAAACGATCATCATCAATAGTGCCAAAAATACAAATACAAAGTCTGGTGATGATATCGAGACTGGGGGCGAGAAGAACATTGAGGTCACTATCACTACTATAAGTCAGTGCTTATTATCCTTCTAGATTTTACTTGTTCGCTCAACCGAATGTTGTAGACTTGGTTTCAGAATTGGACACTGCTGTCAATAACCCACTTTCCCTGGACATGGCGTACGAAATCATGTTAAACCCGCTGACCTGGCTGCCCTCATTGGCTTACATGACTACTTTCGGCTACGAGCTTGCCATTGATGCTAACCTAGCTACCGTTCTGTATACGCTACTCAAGTCCCCCACTTTTGGGCAGACCAAAGCTGGCTATGTGAATCTCCTTGAACAGTCGTTGCGACCTATGTGATGACAGATTAATCAGATTGCAGGCATCTACGGTCTCCTCAACGTGTTCTCCCGGCCGCTTGGTTAGCCACTTTCTTCGCAAGCTAAGCTGTCTTCTCATATCCACCGCCTCATTGCAGGCGGATATTTTGGAGACCTTATATATGTCAAATTTGGTGTGAGTGCCATTGATATTATGCGTGAAATTGGTTTGAAGAGGCTCTGCAGGTGCCTGGCAAGAAGTACCTGACCATCGCTTGTGGAGTCGCCCAAGGGTTTTTATCGTTTGGTCTTGGCCTTTACATTGATAACCACTCTCATCCATCTCGTGAGTTCGGACCCCAATTTATCACTGATGGTCTGACAACAACAATATCAGTCGCGGTCATTATTGTGATTTTTGTCATCCTCGCAATCTTCAATGAAGTCGCCAATGGAGTCAACTTCTCCCTTGTTCCACATTGCAACCCCAGTCCGTGTTCAATGTACCGAATTGCCTATTTTCATGACTGACCCTGTTCTGTCACAAGACTCCAATGGGTTTATGGTCAGTGTTACATCGCTTAGAGTGCGGTGATGGCAGAAAGATTCAAACTTGTCTAGACCGGAATTGTAGGCGGCATGGGAAATATTGGAGGGATACTCTTCGCGATTATCTTCCGCTTTGAACCATCTCCTTCTGGAAAGGCATTTTGGATTTCTGGTGTTATCGCGGTTGTAAGTGAAAATGCTTGTCTATCTTGTGCAATGAGTACTGAGATGACGCTTCAGAGCGTGAACCTCTTACTCTGTATGATCCGTGTACCTCAGGTTTGAACAAGACAAGGTGGGGTGATTTCTTGTAGCTAAATGGTTCTCTTCTGACAGTACGTTTCTTTAAGGAAAGTGCAGTCTGTTCGTATGGTCCAACTACATGAGTCTGTCACAAATTGGGTCTCGGCTGATATGAAAATTTTCTGTCCTATATGATAGTAAGAATGATAGCTCATGAGTGCTCCAAAACTCCCATAAATCAGAGGAAGGCTACGTCAATATTTGTAACAGTGAGCTCGAGCAGGGGAGTATCGACTCACAGCCTACTAGCTTTGAGTAAAACATGTCAGTCAAAAAGGCTTATGTACTCAGGTTGGCGTCATGGCATCTTGACTGAATTACTTCGAGTGGCATGCACCCGTACGATAAGAATGTACATAACAAGGATCCGTATACACCGGAAATTTGGAAATGATTAATGATGACTGTCCGTCCAGTAACTCCAGTTCGTACCGTCGGACCCTGATTTGGCTATCCGGAACTAGAGCGGACGGACAGGCCGGTCCGACAGAACTTTCGTTCCCTTGGTAGGACCCAAGCACCTGCTCAATCAGGTAAGGACCCACTCCACGCTCTTCTAGATCTGAATCATCTGATGTCCTCCATAAGTGTGTGAACTAAATCAAGTGTCCAGGTGATATGTAACTGGTTTTATTTGAAAGGATCATGATACTCATTCCCCTCCTACACTTGGGAGGTGGCTAATATTATTGAGGTGACAATGATGACCCAATATCCGGCTGCTACCCAACAATTCTCAACTTCAAGTTCGTCCCCCAACTCAACCAACAACTCACCTGGCGCATTCAGTCACGTTGCTACCACTCCGCCTACTGCTCCCTTAGCAGGCTCACCAGGTCCCACCTACCAAAGACTTCAGGATGGTCTACCTATACCGCTCTTTCCCCCATCTCTGGACGGACCCGAAAGGAATGGTCCCCAACTTCCCCAGTGCCTCCCACAGCTGCCGATCAATGCTACCCCAAAGGAAGTAGCTGAGCAGGTTGTGCTTGAGATTTCAGCGCACAGCGTTAATTTGACATCTGCATTCACCAGGATCTCGAGACGCCAGATAACTGGGTCAATCGTGTAAGGACCGCAAATCAATGATAATTTGCGTGATTTTTGACAAGATCCTCTGCACTCAGAACCCAGAACTCGTACGGTTGACAGGGAAACATCCGTTTAACTCCGAAGCGCGACTCGGTGTTCTATTCGAGTGTGTAGGTATCTTGTTTACATTGACATGCACGGGACTGAGAGCGTCTTTGCAGGGATTCCTGACTCCAGCTCACTTGCATTTCGTGCGGAATCACGGTGCAGTGCCACAGGTCAACCACGAGATGGCTACTAACTGGACAATCCGTGTACATGGTCTGGTGGAACGAACTGTTACATTTACTCTGCAAGAGCTGCAAGAAAAGTTCCCCGTTGTTACCCTTCCTGTGACTCTGGTATGCGCCGGCAACAGGCGGAAAGAACAGAATGTCGTCCACAAGACACTTGGCTTCAGTTGGGGAGCAGCGGGAGGTGAGGTTTCGGCTCGTGCTGATTGGAAGTCCTCACCAATATCAATATCAAGTATCAACAGCCCTTTGGACGGGCGTGTATCTGGCCGATGTGTTGGATCACGTAAGACCAATTCGTAGACAAGCCAAATATGTCATCTTTGAAGGCGAAGACAACCTTCCGAATGGACCCTATGGAACATCACAGCGACTGTCATGGGCTTCCAATAAGGACAAGGGCATGCTCATTTGTAATTCAAACCACTTACAGTGTTACAATTCCTCCTGACCTCCTACATTAGCCTGGGCAATGAACGGTTTACCGTTGGAGCCAGACCATGGTTTTCCTGTGCGCGTCATTGTGCCAGGTCAGATTGGTGGACGGTCTGTTAAGGTAAGGTGTTGTCCAATGACAAGGATCCCGTGAGCTATAAGATACTCCCTTAGTGGCTGAGACGCATCGAAATAAGTGATCGTGAAAGCCAGCACCACGTATGCCAGTTCTTGTACAACTCAAATCAGTATTAACTGATAATTTTCGCAGCTGCACTTTTGGGTATGTGTGGATCACTTTATCCTCGAGAATGAATCGCACCAACGTTGCATAGGACAACAAAATGCTACCAACGCAGGTTATGCCTGACCAAGCCCGCGCTGAAAAGCATTGGTGGTATGACCCAAGGTTAGTCTCAGTGCTCTGACGTTCCTTAGCAAGTGTACTCACCAGACCGGGGATGTCCCAGATATATCATCACGTTGGTTTAATTTTGTTCATTTATGTAGCACATGTTGAACAAGAGTCTTCAGCGAGCTCAACGTCAATAGTGTGATAGCGAAACCGGATCATAATGAGAAGCTCTATATCGATAAAACACCGGATGAAAATGACACAATAGCGTCATATCCCATCCGAGGATATGCGTATGCAGGTGGAGGCCGTAGGGTAACCCGTGTCGAGGTTTCGCTTGACCAAGGGGAGACATGGACATTGGGAAACATGTACGTCCACATACTTCAGAATCGATACCTCATTAATACCGTGTCGAAAAGTGAGTATCCCGAGGACCGATTCAGAGAAGTACGTCTCCAAGACCAATTTTATGGAACTCTTGATGCGACAGAACGCGATACTTCCTTGTGAGCAGCAAGCATTACCGCAGCAATGGAAAATGTTCAAATCCTGTGTAGCTGTTGGTGCTTTTGGTCTTTTGATGTCTCTCATGACATTCTAGCGAGCTGTGATGCGCTGGTGGTTAGAGCTATGGATGAAGGCCTCGCGCTCCAACAAAGAGACATGTAAGGCAGGATCAGATCGTACCGTGTGGGTCCATTAACATCAATTGTCAACAGGTATTGGCATGCACTTGGCATGATGAACAACTGGTACGTTTTGATAAAATAATATTCTGGCTCGCTGCGAGCTGCTGGCAGGTGGTTTCGCGTTGTCGTTCATAGAATCGTCAACGATGACGGGAAAATTGTCTTGCAATTTGAGCATCCAACGCTCGCAGGGACAGCGCATGGAGGATGGATGGAGGTGATGGTTAATTTCTGGTCCCAAAAAAAATGCTGATGGTGGCAAATCAGCGCATGAAAGTGGCCGGCGAGGATATTACAAAGCCTGTCTTCGGCGAAAAGGGACGGGATCTCGTACCACGTGCTCCAAAGCATGAATCGGATGAGATCTGCTTGACCAAGCCTGGCATAAACCGGGAAATCACCCTGGAAGAGTTCAAGGCGCAAGATCGACAGCGACCATGGTTTGTCGTCAACGGCGAGGTTTACGATGGAACTCCATTTCTAAAGGACCATCCGGGAGGCGGCGACTCTATATTGCTTGTGGCTGGCGAAGACGCGTCTGAAGACTTCTTCGCCATACATTCTGCCGAAGGCAAACGTAAATTGGCTGAGGTGAGTTCTCGTGACTTGCCTGCGGAATGTCGGTTTATGACTCTTCCACAGTACCATATTGGCACCCTCATAACCAGTTTAACTAAAGAAAGGCCCATTACAACGCAATCGGATGAAACCTTTCTAGAGCGCAGCCGGTGGAAGGACGTCAAATTGTGTGCCATCAAGCAGGTCAACCACGATTCTTACCTGTATCGTTTTGCCTTGCCAAAAGAAGACCAGCCGCTCGGTCTGCCAGTCGGACAACATGTTTTCGTCCGCTTACGCCGGCAGGATACCGGGGAAATGGTACAGAGAGCATATACTCCGGTATCACAACAAGGCACAGCAGGCTTCATCGACCTTCTCATCAAGTGCATATTCTCCATCAGGACATGCTCTTCGCAGCTTGACTGACTTCTTCATTAGATTGTATCTTCCTTCCAAGTCAATCCCTACTGGAGGGAAGATGACCACCGGCTTCCATCAACTACGTATCGGAGATAGCGTGGAACTCAAAGGGCCGTTAGGGTCCTTCATTTGGGATGGGCCAAGCACTGCATTGTGGAAAGGGATAAGGAAAACCATCAAGGAAGTCGGCATGATTTGTGGTGGAAGCGGTACGATTTCGAATGCGACATCGCATCGTCAATGTGCGATGCTAAATAAAGATGTGCAGGGATAACACCGATCCTTCAGGTGCTTCGCAGTATCCTCCAAAACGCGGACAGCAAGACCCGGGTGTGGGTGATCAGTGCGAACAAAACAGAGCACGATATCCTCTGTAAGAAAGAACTTGACAGACTCTTCGTACTGCATGGCAGGGAGCGTTTCAAGCTGCACTATACGCTTAGCGTCGCTCCTGAGGAGTGGCCGTACAGCGTTGGGTGGATCAATGATGTGTTACTGTCTGAACACATACCTCGGCACTCTGAGCATGGACTCATCCTAGCGTGTGGTCCTGATGCTATGATAACGCATGTCGTCAAACCCGGACTGCAGAATATGGGATGGGATATAGAGAAGTCTCTGGTAGTGTTCTGAAATGTAACAGTTGTAACAAGTCGCCTGGACAATGAATGATCGTGGTAAACCACCTGCAAAGTGTTCGTTTATAAGGCGTGTGTGAGTGGCGAGAGCCAGCCCCGGTCATTTGTGTTAGCTTACAGGAATATTACATTGACCAATAACGAGGTCGATGTACGGTTATGCATAGCTTTGACAGAGAATTTGAAGCAGTAGATCGTACCAGCGTTCCTGGGAAGTCCACACTGCAACTGTCCGCAAAGGTTGCGAACTTGAGAGAGGAGTTGTTGAAAGTTGATTGTCATCGCGTTCATCAAAACGGACCGAGCGCTGAGTACTGAGTGCCGCTCATGCGATTAACAAGCACCCCGGTATACAATACCGATGGAGCAGGGGGCAGCGGCCTAAGCTCAGAGCAAGGCAGACAACTTACAAGGTGTGATGATGATGCTAGCTGCGACTCGAAACATGGTGAAACCTAGCCTACATGCTGACTAATGCGGCAAGGGCCGACAGGCCCTTACTCTCGCCCCTTGTCCACCATCTCCTGGTCCACGACTAAAATACTTGGGTCTATGGTACAATTATTTTCGCCTTACTGAAAACGACTACTGTATTGAATGTGCACTTTTCTTAGCCCATCGCACGACCGCAGGCAACCGCTTGTATCCCGCATTTCTGCAAAATGAAACTTGACAGAGATCTAATCACAAACTCCCATTATATCCGCCATCCAGCACCCCTTTACTTGTAGATCTGGTCCCGCACCTGCCATGTATTGTCATACCAACCCACTTTCTCGAGCACAAGATATTCCACGACATGATGGGGCTTCGCAGATTGAGCCTCTACAGGCTGGCCCTGCTTGGTGAACACCTCGAATTCCTGGAGCAGCGTCGGTTTGTATACGATTTATGCATGCTGGAAGGACACTCACTTGCGTGGTCTCAAACTTGACTAGTGCATGTATCACCAGCCGGTTGCCGCGCTTCGGAGGTTCCTTCGCAATATAAACCTCACCAGAACGGATAGATACGATGGTAGCTCCTGGCGATATCGTAAGTGGACGGAATACTAAATTATCGTGAATCCAAAAAAATTCGGAGAGCGTGACGTCGATACTCACAGCTTTTCTCTTGGAAGAGGGCTTTGTCTGAGACATCACTTAGAACATTCCATTGCCAAACCTGGCCAGGTTTACGAGTGCGAACAATCTTGTTCACCTTAGTGGCATAGTCGGCTGTTGTCAGTGTTTTCAGGGTAGCTTCATCCTTGCTATTGATATAATTAATATAATGGTGGTCAGGGGAAAATATACGCACTCAGCCATGGCACGGCCTATGGCCAGATAGTTATCCATTGCAGTGCGTCGCATTGGTGCTAGCCAGGATGTTGAAGAATGTGAGGTTACGTTGCCCAGTTGACGCCATGTACGTGGTAGGAATAAGTGACTAAATCGAAAACCACAATCTACTCCAGTAAAAGCTCGAGCTTTGGCGATGGTATACATGCTGCATAAGGTGCAAAGGAGGCTTAGAGGGGCAAAAAAAATGCATGAAACTATTTGACGCGAACCTGAACGTGTTTTTCAACCAATTGGAGAAATTGTGCTGTTTCGCATGCCAAAATGCGCCAGGGTTTGTGAAAAGCATACGCAGTGAAGCATCGCGTGGTATTTCTATGTCTGAATGGATAACAAACTGAGCTTGGGTGACATTTCTACAGGGAATGTACACACCGAGAGTCACTAACTTAGTACCCCACATATCCATGGTTGGAAACAGATTCGACGTGTTTGCCATGTTCATCATGCCTTCTATTTGTTTGAGATGTGCCTCCGTACTGTCTGGAGCAGGGGGAGCCTTTTTCACTTTCTTCTCATTCTTGGTCGCAGATTTTCTTGAGACACCGGACGAGGTTGTAGCAGACGCTTGCCCACTCGTGGCAGAAGCCTTGGACGTCGAAGGGGGAGGAGCCGTTCGGGTAGCGGATTTTAAGGCCGAGAACGAGCGTTGTGGAGAGAGCAAACAGGTTTTCTTCAGTTGAGACCCGAAGGAGACACGCGCCACCTTCGCCATCGCCATCACCGTCGCCCCTGTAGCTGGAACTTGTCGTGCAACACAGCGAGCTCGAGCAAAGACTTTGAATTTCGATGTCAATTTCTCAAAAAGGATGTCACCAGAAATTCGGAATCTATGCGTGCGAACGAACCCGGCAGCCGGGGACGCGTGTGCTCAAGCCGGGGAAGACAGATATAAAAGGTTCGCTTCGCCGGTTAAAAATTCCATCCAGTTCTACCCGACGCACCTTTGCTCTGAACCGCCATCTCAATCATCATGCCTGTAAGACATCTCAACTAATTGTCTTTTGCTGCGAGTTTAATTGGTTTTTCTCTTCACAGCGTTCTTCGCGTTCCTCTCGTCCAGCTGCTAAGCCTGCAGCTCCTCAGCAGTCCCGCGGTGCTCATACTGCCGCAATGCCTCCTGCTGCAGCCCACGGTAACCCAGCACACGCTCCTGCACCACCTGTCCCCGCTCAGACATCCAGCGGTCCCGGGTTGATGGCGCAGATGGCCGCAACTGCTGGTTCCGTCGCTGTTGGATCTACCATCGGTCATGGTATCTCCTCTATGTTGTTTGGCTCCAGCTCATCTGCAGCACCCGCGGAGTCAGCAGCGCCTGTACAGCAACAACAAGCATACCAGACAACTGGCGCTGCTTGTGAAGTTCAAGCTAAGGAGTTTACCAAGTGCTTGGATAAGGCAGATCTCCAAAGTTGCTCATGGTACCTTGACCAGTTGAAGGCTGTAGGCATCCATTTAATTACATGTAGTTCTATGACTGATTGTGCTTTCAGTGCCAAGCTGCCGCTGCTCCCTATTAGTTTAGCGGAATTTGACGGTATACACTGTTGCTGAATAGTGTCACATGTTACTTGCCCTTTGTCTCATCCCACGCGACGCAATCAGATATCACTGCAAATGAATCGACATATTCGGTTTCATCAGAAACGACATACAATTTGACATTTGAGATGATTCAAGATGTGAGGGTATCGAATACTAGGATCGTCACGTCACCAGCGGTACCCTACCGCTGTCATTCCTCTGAATGCACCCGTTCCAAACATAAAATAAGTACATTCTAATGCGTATCGACCACAATGTCATCTTCTGGTATCGTGCGGTATGGATACTGCCCAGTGGTTCACTTTTGTAATCATACCCCAGCCAGATTCTTCAACATCGCAAATTCATTCTCACCCGTTGCCTCGCACAACCCATGGAATTGCGACGAGGGGTCAGAAAGCAGGACAGCAGGACTGGAGATCTTAGTTAAACTTCTATACCATATTATACTTCGCAATGACTTACTGGTCAAACTCGACGATTTTGCCTTGGTCGAGGAGCATCACCTGGTAATCTATGAGTAATGCACAAACCACATAAACTGAAATTATTTACCCTATCATAATCGATGACAGTGCGCAGTCGGTGCGCGATAGTAAGGATGGTGCTATTTGCAAATTCTCTGTTGGGCATGGTCAATTTCTCGTGAGGGTTATCAGCGTCGCAAAACGAACTCTCTGATCGTCTTTCCAATGAGCTCGTCAGTCGCGTAGTCAACGCTAAAGTTATGTTACTTGAAATCACGACTTGCATCACACGATCGACATTACCTTGCTGTCGCCTGCGACATAGCCTTGAGAAATGAAGCACAAGTTAAAGACAAGAAAACGTACCTCGTCCATGACCAAAACTTTCGTCCGCTTCAGGATTGCTCGAGCCATACATAGAAGCTGCTTCTCGCTAGAAAATTGTGAGCAAGGTTATTTGGTGGCGTTGACAGAGCGCTAACCCCGTAGAAAAGTTATCCCCTCCTTCCGATACTGGCGACTCTAGGTTTCGGAAAACATTAACATTGACCTCGACACCTTCAATTTCGACAGTATCATTGGCAGTATCAGACGGAATCAAATGCACGCGTCGAAGAGCCTCGAACTAAAGAACAGTCAGTATACCTTTGTGGTCAAGTAATATAAATGTAAACCGACAATTTCCGCGTCTTCGTATTCGTCGAATACGTCCAGCGTGGATCGCAAACTGCCACTAAGGATGGTAGGGTCCTCTGTTCGGTGTAAGCATAATAATCATCACTTGGCAGGACACGCACGAGGAATGATGGTAAGCTTGCTGCGAAGGTCCGAAAGTCCCATTTTGGAGATGTCTTGATCGTCGATGATGATGGAACCCTCTGTTGCCTCCACGAAGCGGAAGAACGAGAGTGCAAGCGTGCTCTTGCCGGAACCCGTGCGGCCTAAGATGCCGACCTAAAAACAAAACTCAATTGCTGACGAAGGAAGTCCTCAAATATCTAGTACCTTCTCTCCAGGGTGGATCTCGAAGTTCAAGTTGTGAAGAACATCGGGCAACTCAGGCTATGGCAAATATTATGAACTGACGAGGTTCCCACTGAAACCGGCTTACCGCATAACGGACTATCAAGTTTTCGCACTTGATAGTACCTCGGTCTGGCCAAGAAGCCGGCGGACGTGGCTCGATGTATTCAGGAGGCTCGCGCTTAAGCTCCGAATACTCCTTGACACGCTCCAGGGCGACCTGTTAAATGTCCATCAATAACACCGCATGTCACACAGTATGCTAAGGTACTAGCCATAGATTGCTCAAGGCCGACGAACCGTCGCACCTAAGTTCAAGATTAATAAGAAATCTAGACAGACACCAGTTTCACCTACCAGGACCAACAACTGCAGGCAGTGTCAGTATCGTTCCGTAGTCCATGATAAGCCGGCACTTACTGTCCACGTCATGCCTCCAGCAAATGAGAGAGCGAATCCAGCGAGCGCAGCTGAGATGGTTGGGGTGGAAACAGCGATAAGACCTATCACACCAACGGTCGAAGCGGACAACACGTCGAACCGGGTGGAAAGCCAGCGATTCACTAAAAACATCAGTCAGAGTCAACTACTGTCGACAATCAAACAACCGTTCGACGTACCACCCCATTGCCAATAGTACGGGTTTATATTCTAATAGCCATCGATCAGATTAAGTGAAAGCGAGCTTTGCTTGACTCACCGTATCGACGCAGCGAAGCATGTCTCGCAAGAACTTTGATGAAGCACCGAAAGCTCGAAGGATAGGTGCTCCGGCAATGGTTTCACCAAAGATCGAATAAAGGGGAGACCGTGCCACGGAGTCTTAAGGTTACCAAAGTCAATCGACCGCTAGTGAATATGAAGAGCACTTACCCAGGCGCCGCATATCTCTAGCAGCTTGTCCGTAGTTCTAGGCACTTGAGCATCTCCTCCTATAAGAACATGACAGAAAAGTACCTTTGCAACTAAACAAATTCAACAATCAGCGCTGATGTGATGGATCGAGAAAAAAGTTGCAGACCATCGTAGTAAACGAAGCCCAAGAGAATAATAGCAATGACGGATGGAACACCGCCTGCGAAACTAACAGACGCAACCGTTACTATGAAAGACAATGCAAAGACGAGACTTCGACCAAAATGATCCGCGAGTCGACTGTCAATGCCTATAATGTTGTGTCATTGTGTAAGCGAAGAAAGCGCTGTCTTGGAAAACGGACCTTCAAAGTCTTTCCCGAATCGATTCAGGAGTCTCCCCCGCGACACGGTATCATGGAACCGGATTTGCGCAAACAACACAGTTTCCAGAAGTTCTATCACGAATGATGTAAGTAAGTGGTCAAAAGTAATGTCTCCACTTCGACCTACGTTGGTATAAAACGGTCGACGCGTGGATAGAACCGTTATCTGAGTGAGAAATGTTTCAATAGAGGTTCAGGAGAGTGGATGAAGTTTGCATACATAGTACGAAGAATCTATAGGTCGAAAACAAGACACCTGAAAAATTATTAGCACCGTGTGGTGCAAGTTAACTGATTCAAACCTGTGAGAGTGACCTGCAAGGACATGAGTCATCATGAGGGATAATACTGTAGAGCCGTGCTTACTGCAGCATAAATGACAATGTAATACACCGGTCCTTTAGCCTCGGTCTCTTCTATGCTCGATCCCGACCATATCCTACGGATGCCAATATTAGTCATGCGACAGTAAACTGCTAACATTATGAACATACTTAAGCCACCAGTTCTCGGCAACAGGACAGAGAGCACCCAACACGAGAACGAACAAGAACCATGCCCAGTACCCTTGGGCGCCAAACGACTTCACATAGAGTTCCCAGACATCACGACTAACGCGCCCTACAGCGCGTTTCTCGTCTTCCACAACTTTCCTAGGTGCTTTCCGTTCAACATTTGCTTGCGGCTCATTGACCACGGTGGAGCCCGTCTCAGATATTGGGTCAGGTTCCACATCGTCTTGCACGAGCGTGGCAACGGGAGAATCGCCTGCAGATACTGATGGACTCTTCGAAGTGCTTGCCGTGCCCCGACCCTTGCCAGCGCCACCCATGGTCTGCACCAATGTCCCCTTCACAGGAGATGCTTCAAAGGCTTCACGTTCACCAGCGAATAGAAGATGCCCGTTATCAAGAGCGACAACATACGAAGCGCCAGTCAAGCAAAGTTGGACATGGTGTGATACAAGGATCACCGTTCGCCCATGCATCAGCTCTCCCTTAATGCACTCGAAGTAGATGTGATGAGCCGTGTGAGCGTCAACTGCACTCAAAGGTTGGCATTTAGAAGCACAGCGCTTAGAACGGACGCACCAGCAGAAAGAACGTCATCAAGCAACAGTATGGATGCTCGGGAGTAAACAGCCCGAGCCAAGGAAACTTATGAGAAATTCAATATGTGTGGCAAGTCGACATGAAGTTCACTGACCTCGAGCTTTTTGTCCACCTGACAAGTTCACCTGCCAGTGCAACCACGATCAGTATGCATGATGCTGAGTGGTAAAACGCAACATACGCCACGCTCTCCAATTTCGGACTGGTCTCCGTCTTCAAGGATCTTGAGATCGCTTATGAGCGCGCAGACCTAAGGATGCAGTCAGTCGAGCGTTTATTGTCCATGAAGTGCGGCCGACCTCTAATGTCTTATGATATCGCTCTTCGTCAAGCGGTAGACCGAACAGGATATTGTCTGAAGATTGCGATAAGCGTACTTGGAATGGTTCAACGTCCGTGGCTCACCTTGAATAGAAGCATTTCGCAGCCAGGCAGCCTTGAAGTGTCAAGTTCTTTAATTCATGACATAACCTACCACCACTCCCGCTCACCTGTGGTACGTAGGCGCAAACGCCAGGCACTATCCATTCTTCCTGTGTGACCTTCTGAACGGCGAAGGAAGCAAGCGCGTCTGGTGGTGAACGCGGACAAATGACCTGGCCGGTGAGGACGTCCGCCTCGCCGAGTAAAGCTGCATTGCCGTGACATTGAGCAGTATTCCAGAATTCGCTCTATAATACGTACCCAACAACAACAGAGTCTTTCCACTGCCCAGCTTACCACAAACCAATGAAAGCTGTCCTTCAGGGAATTTCAGAGCAAGATCAATGAGCATAAATTTATGCCGGGGCGTAGAAGCTGCCGATGAGTCCGCAGAACGATCATGAGGCCATGTGATGTTAGCAGATTGAACAGTAATGGTGTTAATGACTGGTGCAGCCGAGAGTGGAGGTATAGGCGCCACCTCGGTTAGTTGGAGGTACTTCCCAATCCGCTTGAGGGAAACGTGGACCTGAAGCATATTAATGAAAGTTTCTGGGAGTGCGTTCATCGCAAAACGCATTTCGTTGAAAACTACGCCACGTTGTTTAGCTCAAGTACCGTGCAGATTATAAGTGCCTACCCATCATCTAAGCATATGCGTTCAATCTGTGAACATAGAGTGAACTGATAAGGAAAGGCTTACGGATGTGAAGGCGATAGAGGGAGTCAATGTCTGCTGACGCCACACTGCAAAGTGCCAGAAAGAAACTAGGGTGACAATGAGAGGAGACGCCTCCCTGAGCCCTCCGTTAGATGAGGCAGAGGAAACCTGCATGAAAACATACCAGATAGCAGAGAACACGACCTAACGGGTGGACAGATTAGGAATCGGACGACACGAGAAGGAAAATTACATGCCTCAATCCTGTAGGTCAACTTTTGGTATTTCAGTTCTCTCTCACGAATTTTCATCACGCGCTTTTCGAAGCTGCGCTCCCATGCCATGAACTGCAAATCTATGAGGGAGGGTTCCATAAAATGACGTGCAGGGAATTATTACCTTTAGCATGCGGATGCCACCCAGTATCTGTCAAAGGTGTCATTGAAGTCAGGTCAAGAAGTGTTTCACAAAGTAATTACCTCGTTCATGAGTGAGACCCGTTCGTCCCTGGCTTTCATCAGATTGTCCTGTGTAGTGATCACTATTTTACCTGCCAGATGATTCAATGGCAAGAAGAGACAGATCACCGCAAGACCAATGAAGCACGAGACACCAAGCATGCTGTAGAGCAACGTCGTCCCTACAATAATCTCGATCGGGGAATCTGAAAGAAATCAGGACTAGAACGATGGCGTAATCAAAGAATCTCACCCGTAATGGCGAAAAGATGGTAAGAAAACTCGGAGACTCGATCAACATCAGTAGTCATCAAAGTCATGACCTGGGCTTTGCTCGAAAATTCATTCTCTTCCTCTTCCTTGTCTTTGTTTTCTCCGTCCGCAGTTTTTGATTTTTTATCAGTTTTCTCGTCGGACGCGGAGGTACCAGAAGACACAACATCCTTCCGAACGAGGGTTTTTGCGAAAAGCATGGTATTGAGCTGCGCCCGCAAGCGAATTTGGAGAACGGAAGTTGCATAGTACCACATTTGAGAGTTGACTACAGCAGGTTAGTGTCGAATTAGACGGTGTTGCACTAAAAAAAACTTACGCTGCGCGACAATAATAAGGGAAGCAAACTGTCCGAAAGCATATACCCATCCCCATCCTTTATTAAGGCGGTCAGGATCGTCTTCCAGGTATGCGATGAGCTTGCGAACGAAGAACGGGGACCCAAACCACATAGGAGCAGCTGCGGCAGCCAAGATTACTTCTGCAGTAAATGCGAGCTTGTTGATACTGATGAGGCGCCAAGCGAGGTCCCATCCTGGCTTGAGAGGATTTGCACGAAGATTCATGCGCATCCTATAGAACTGATAAGTCGCTCGCATATTAGCCGGAAGGATTGGCAAGTCGCCAATTTCGACCGAAACGGAAGTTCCAAGCTGAATGACACGCGTCACGTAACGGAAAAACAGATAATCGATCACAGAGGCGCCCGGAAGGCCGCAGACGTTCTCGTATGATGGATTGGTCGTGTCATCGATGGTTTTTTTTAGAGTAGATGAGTGAAGGAGGAAGGTGCAACGGTGGACCACGGGGTGTTGTCGCAATTATCGCACAAGTCAAGATATACAATGCGGTCTTGCTATACCAGAAAGCGAGTAAGGGAGGAAAAGCTTGTGGATTGTGTGCCGAGATAGAGTCAGATGAAGGAAGGATTGCTACGACGAAGTGAAGGACCGAGGAGAGGAAGGTCAAGGCAGTGATATGTATCACCGACTCGGAATGACGATCCGGAGTAACAGAACGAATAACTAGAACGCCGACGTAGAGTCCAAACATAGTCCGAAATATATGTTCTGGAAGCGTATTTTGATCATCTGGGTAGGCCGACCAGCCCAGGGAAACGCCCTCGAGCACAAGGATCAAGGCTGAAAGCAAGACAAGCAGTGATTTCCTGTTGCGCATCTGAACTAAGATAAGACCTTTCATCATACGTGGCCCATAATTATTATGATGCTCACTTTGAGCCAGAACGCATCTTCGTCGATTGGTTCTCCATTGATAAAATCTTCCGGTTTGGTCACATTAAAAGGATCATCCTGGTTCAGATCACCGGTCAAACTAGCGTCTTGGGTAGTCGGCAAGCTTATCTTCTGCTGTTGAGACTGCCGGACGAGAAAAAGCGCGAAGCCACTGATTACTGTCGCCCCGAAGAGTACTTCTGCTAGAAGTAACTGGTATGGAGGCATGATGTTCCACGCCTTCCAACTTCCAATTGGTGGTATGGAAGGGAAATGTAAAATTCGGAGTCAACTAAGTAGTAGTACTAGTACACGCACACAGCCACCATAGGATAAGAATGTCAAACTAGCGCGTTCATGAGAAGATTCCACATGGTCACTTTGTTTGATCAATAGAGTTGTCGGAGCCGAATGAGTCGGAAGACTAGTGTGACTAATATGGCATGACTCACCTTGGTCATCCGCAGCAGTACTTACGGTCCGAGATCAGTAGTCTAATTTTGGGCCATCTAGGCTGCTCATCAACTTGATCAGCCTCGACTCGGTCGATGAAATCAGGGAAGCACACCGTGACCAGTGATCGTAGTACTCTTCGCCATGATGGTTGACTAGGGGAGACTATGAATGCTGCATATGGTTTATCATTTGAAGGACAATCCATCGACCCGGGTTCTTGAAGAATGTGACTGCCATCACTGTCGATGTATGGCTTCGCATTATCCACGTTTGCGTTGATCGTCTCCTCACAGTTGAAGACACGGATCTACAACGAATAGCAATGACATGTTGTGTTGGCCTAGACAGACTGTCAGCGATCCCCTTAGCCTGAAACAGACCCGCTGATAAGTTGGATTCATGGCATGAACCCACTACTGAGCGACTGCGGTGGAGTGGTAAGGTCGAAGCTAAGGATCAAATGAACTCGGTATGACGGGGATACTGTATATGGCAGGCTCTGATACATCTGATGCTGTAAGTCATTACGCCACTATGGGCAAGAACGTATAGCAGTTTTCATTACACTGAAAGCTCTTTCCCAGCTATTGTCAGTCAGTGCAGGTGTGGGCACGGCGTTGAACGTCCGCATGTGTTCATCTTCCCGGTGCACGCTTGCCCCTCCGTGTCGCAACATCGCCTACGCCTTCCATTGCATCCTGCTCCTTGTTACGCACATCAAACCATGAAGGCTTGCACACGTTCTGTTCTTTTCGTGGATGAGTCGTCGGGAGAGCATGAAGCGTGGACAATACAAGTGTCAGAAAGGTGTGTGGGGTGGTGGACGGGAGGGCTGTGTCGACGAGAGATTACAAGGGGAGAGAAGTGAGTATCGCCTGCAGGGCCTTGGTCATCAGCGTCGGTGCAATATGGTTGAAAGCGATGCGCGTGACGTATGGGCTGGTGGAAAGATCAGCCCTGAGAAGACTTCTATAGTCTCTTTCTTGGACCAACGCGCATCGCCCACGCCGTCCCACGCATCATCATAAGCATTCTCGCCGCGGAGATCTGAGTCAGATATAATGAAGAGCCGCAGAGCGACTGCAAGGCATCGTGAAATCGCGTGCAGAATATTAGGCAGACCCTCTAGAAGGATCAAGTGGCGGTTAGAAAGCTAGCTCGGGGAAGTGGAGGGACGGGACGGTGTGGATGGCTGCGAGATCGCAACTGCGTCGATGCGATTGCAGAACTTGCAGCGAAAATATAATAACATGAGGAAGCTCTCGTGAGGAATGCCTGAAATTTGTCGAACAATGCTTCCGTATTCATCCAAGAGTCATCTGGAAGGGAGGAGTCAACGATTTCATACAAACAGCGCATCACGATGGTCCTGACCGCCAAGGTCCTTGGAATCGTCGATAAAAGCACTCGGGGCGCGTTCGCTCATGCTGTTGCGCCACTCGACGATTTCGAAACCCATCTCTCGAGCTAACACACGTAGTGTGGTGGTCTTTGCGGTACCAGCAGGCCCAGAGAGGACCAGAATCCGCTGTTAAGAAATGCGCGGGATATGATTGAGGCGTGAATAAATGAACAGAACAGGACATACGCGATATTTTCGAAGCTTCCCAGTCGGCCCGCCTTCAAAGGCCTCCGAGATCCATCGCCGCACGTCCTCGACTTTGCGCTTGTGCACTGCTAAATCGGCCTATGGGTGATACCAATCGCACCGACGTTCAGCTAGGTACAACCACATACAAACTGAGGTAGACCTCGATGGTTGGCTCATACTTGTCCACCCAAAGACTATCATCGTCCTGATGGACTGGAGGCGAAATCGTCTTTCCCTTTCCCTTCCGGACCCTTCGCGTCCGAATGATGTATGATCACGAATGAAAGTGGATTTCGACAGACTCGGCCAGTGTATATGGATCGAGCATATCCGTGCCTTTGGCAGACTATTATTCACGCCGCTTGAGTTGCAATAAATAAATTTTAGTAAAGTTCAGCGATCATGATGCATGATGGTTGTTTGTGCCTATTGAATCCTAAAGCCTTCGACTTGCTTTTACTACTAAGAAGAGCGGGGCCTACCACCATACAAGCCGTTCCTTTGAAAATGCCTGTTGTCAACTCGTCTTCTGGCTCTACTTTCAAGGCGTCCAGAAAGAAAACAAGACTCAAGACCGTGAAACTCGACGCGTCCTTAGACTCTGAGCCTCCGAACAAGAAACTGAGAACTGTAAGTTTGCCATCATTTGGGGACGCGTCTTTGCCCGGTCTTATGCTACGCGTCAAAAACAAGCTAAATCATCCTTGCACTCACTGTCATATCAGTCTGCAAAGCCACCCGTGTTTGATCTGATAGGGTCTGTACCTCAGCCGCAATCACAAGGGCCGCCGGTGTCATCGCAACTACCCTCACTTCTGCAGCCGCAGACCCAAAGGAAGGACCCGAAGGGGAAGGGAAAGACGATTTCGTCTCCAGTCTATCAGGACGATGATAGGCTTTGGGTGGACAAGTATGAGCCAACGATCGAGGTCTGTCTCAGTTTGTATTTGGTTATACCTAGCTCAACGTCGATGCGATTGGTATCACCCATAGGCCGATTTAGCAGTGCACAAGCGCAAGGTCGAGGACGTGCGGCGATGGATCTCGGAGGCCTTTGAAGGAGGGCCGACTGGGAAGCTTCGAAAATATCGCGTATGTCCTGTTCTGTTCATTTATTCATGACTCAATCATATCCCGCGCATTTCTTAACAGCGGATTCTGGTCCTCTCTGGGCCTGCTGGTACTGCAAAGACCACCACACTACGTGTGTTAGCTCGAGAGATGGGTTTCGAAATCGTCGAATGGCGCAACAGCATGAGCGAACGCGCCCCGAGTGCTTTTATCGACGATTCCAAGGACCTTGGCGGTCAGGACCATCGTGATGCGCTGTTTGTATGAAATCGTTGACTCCTCCCTTCCAGATGACTCTTGGATGAATACGGAAGCATTGTTCGACAAATTTCAGGCATTCCTCACAAGAGCTTCCTCATGTTGTAATATTTTCGCAGCAAATTCTACAGTCCCGTCAACGCAGTCAAAATCTCACAGCCAATCCAAATCCCCATCACAACCATCCACGCCATTTATACCCTCCACTTCCTCGAGCCAGCCTTCTAACCGCCACTTGATCCTTCTGGAGGATCTGCCTAATATTCTGCACCTTCCTACGCAAGCGCGATTTCACGATGCTTTGGGGTCGCTCTGCAGCTCTTCTGAGTCCGGGCCCCCGGTTGTGATCATCATATCCGACTCAGGTCTCCGCGGCGAGAATGCTTATAATGATGATGCGTGGGATGGCGCGGGCGGTGCGCGCTGGTCCAAGAAAGAGACTATAGACATAAGAAATCTTCTCGGAGCTGATCTTTCCACCAGCCCATATGTCACGCGCATCGCTTTCAACCCTATTGCACCGACGCTAATGACCAAGGCCCTGCAAGCAATGCTCACCACCCATTTTGCGTCTACTTCTGGAAAGCTACCAGCCAAAGATGTTGTCGAAATGATCGTTGAGTCATCGAATGGGGATATCAGGAGTGCGGTGATGGCGCTGGAGTTTGCATGTGTAGTAACGTTGACCAAGGGCGGTGGGAAGGGAAAGACCCGACGGAATACGGCTGGAAGTGGGGGTGCACGGGCTGTACTAGAGGCTGTTACGCGAAGAGAGCAGAGTCTAGTGCTATTTCATCTGATGGGAAAGATATTATATAACAAACGTGAGTGCTCGCTTTGTCGCCATTTTGGTTAAGCCTGACGAGATGCAGGCAAGGGAGACCCTCCTGCTACACATCTCTCCGCCAGAGATGCTGCAAAGGAGCGTGAGTTGGACGGAACGCTCCTAGACCCGTCACCTCTGCCAAACTGGCTTTCGGAACATGATCGGAAGGCGAGTCGAGTCTGCCTAGAGGTACGACTTCCATTGAGTGTGATACTAATGTTTGCTGAGGTACTTTTGCTCGGCTGGCAGACGATTGCATCGGATTCGCCCATTGACTCGTCACTCCTGGGATTGTACATCCACCAAAATTATACTATGTTTTGTACGGATGTTGATCAATGTGATGGGGTCTGTGAGGGGCTTAGTTGGGTTGACTGTGTCGGTGGTGTGAGTACAAACATCATTCATATCTCTCCCCCTTGTAATCTCCCCTCAACACAGTACCTCCCGTCCACCACCCCACACGCCTTTCCAACACTTGTATTGTCCACGCTTCATGCTCTCCCGACACCGGTTCCACGAAAAGGACAGAAAGTGTGCAAGCCCTCATGGTTTGATGTGCGTAACAAGGAGCAGGATGCAATGGAAGGCGTAGGCGATGTCACGACCTGGTTGGGACACGGAGGGGCAAGCGATGAGCATACATCGGGAAAATGGACCCATGCTGACGTTGCGGTTGAGCTAGGTGGCTGGTTGCGCGCGGTTGATCGCACTGGTATTCCTCAACTGCAGGTGCCGCGAACACACAGACTTTTTTCGTGCCTTCCGTGGGGTGCAGGAGGTGTTGGTGGGGATGTCCTCGGAGAAGATGAGTATGGGGAGGCAGATAACGTTGATGACGAGGGTGATATCAGGGTTTTGGGAGCTTTGAGAGATGAAAAGGAAGGAAAGGACTGGTGGTTGGAGAGCGATGATATAGAAGAGGCAGAAATGGAGGCTTAGATTTGAGCATAATGATCTAATCTTGGCTGCCTTCACCGTGGATATCAATGAATCATTACCAAACGCATATACTGAAGCTTACTACTAGTACTTGCTTTTGTGATTTGACTTGTTTTCAAAAATCAACCACAATGTCCGCAATTAGGGATGGCCAATGTAGACTAGTTCGACGTCTCAACTCTCGACCAGTGTGGCGCCAAGTTGTTACCCGTCCAGTGGCATGTAGGGGTTTCTCTTCAGCTGCACCCCCACAAAGTACAATCGGCGGGGTACGCGTTTCCAAACTTTTCGCAGCGTTACTAGCACTTGGGATTGGAGCGACCGGTCTTGGACTGTGAGTCCTGCCCTCGAACTTTTCGTTCAACCGTAATAATCTTCAAGTTGCTCTCTAAAGATACGAGTTCTACACATCCTTTACCCTCTGGCCGGAGCAGGTTCGCGGAGACCTCCGCGCAGGAATAAAAGCGAGGAACCAAGGAGATTTATCTCTGAGCGAGAGATACATCACCCGGTCTGTATTGCTGCATTCCTTATATCTATGGAGTCCTGACCCTTTATTTTAGCGCATTCCAAACAGCACTGTCTCTTCCATATCAGACATTCGCGCCAGATCCGTATCTAAAGCTATCAGGCATAGCCTCTCTCCTTTCCGAAGTCGCTTCAGATCGTCGCTCCCGAGAGGCCCTGCATATTGTTTGGGAGCTAGGTGCCGGTCCGAGCGAACAACATTCTCCCTTGCCAGACGCAGAGAAGACGTCGAGTGCTGTAGTAGAAGGAGCGCCTGGATGGTCAAGCTACACATTGAGCAACGAGGAACGCCTTCGACGCGTGGCTCTTGCGTATAAATTGGGCCAATTGGCAAGTGAGCGGGACCTGATTGAGGAGGAGAAATGGCTTATATGGGCTGTAGAGGAGGTTTTGAGGCTATCTGGACTTGGGATGACAAACGCCAACTCAGATGCGAACACAAAAGCGCACGAAAATTCAGGGTCTAGTGCACTCGAAGATCTCGAACTTCCGTCATGGATATCAAAGACAGATCTTGGTGCTCCACTGGAGGCTCTTGGTGCCCTTTATGCGAAGAAAGGTAGAATCGAGTGAGTAGCACTCGTCCAGTTAGGGATGTGGATATCCTTCCCATGTTAACATCGGCCTTTCATTGAAAACTAACGCTTCTACTGACAGGTATGCGATGCCACTGTACCTTCAGGCGATCTCCTTACTCTTACCACCCAAAGCGAATAACGTATCCATTGAAGACCGATGTCGAGGTGAGCAATAGTACTGCGGCTGGTTCCACTTTCTCTCATGCACAGACCACCAACAAGCCGCTCAACTCATGAATAATCTTTCTGAATTGATAATGCGTCGTCCTCCCACACCGGAAGTACGTGGGCAAGCTGAGGCGTGGGCGCGTCAAGCCTTGGGAATTATTGAGCGAGCACAAGCGCAGCCAAGAAGCTCACAATGGTTCGGATGGGGACAGCCCGCTGATGACGGAAGGGAAGTTTGTGAACAGGCGCTCGGCGTGGTGCTCTTCAATTTGGGGAGCTTTAGAGAAGTAAGTTCTTTTCAACCATCAAAAATGCTTATTCATTATTCTTGCAGATGTCATCCGACTTGGATGGTGCAAAAGAGCTGTTCGAGAAGAGCGCCGAGCAATGTAGCAAGGTGGGCATTAGGGAGGGCGTTGTTGAAGCGCAAGAAGCACTACGGAGGGTTGAGAAAATGAAGAAGGTGGGTTGAAGGAAGTACTTATGCTATGTTTCTATTAGGAACATGTTTCTGAACGTTGTCAGATCTTAGCAGACATTACCACCAAACTTTACACGCGCTAGAGATAGGTGGCGACAACCAAGTCTGAGTCAGCCTCGGCAAATCACACTCCGGGTCAGGTCCCAAGTCTCCTACTGAAGCATGCTTCCTAGTAATACAGGAAGACACAGGTGATGCTCACTCATGATAATCATATTCGACTTGGATGGTGTCACTGCATGACCAGAGAAACCGACAATCACTGCGAGGGTATGCGAATGCAAGTCACGTCGATATTCGGGAAACTTCAATCTGGGGCATGAACTCTTCAAGTCGGCTCCGGAGACCTTTTCAGCTCACTTCGTAGGCGGGGACGCTTTCAACCCTGAAATCCTCGCTGTGGCACCACCTGCCTCCATGCAGACAGTAGGAGTTTCAACTCCCAACCTCAGCAACCTCACTTCGTTGAATCCGTTACGCGGATGTGTTTCCGCAATTCACGCAACCGCATTCTTCCACCTGTTCAAAGAAGATAAGCAGCTGCACATGGCCCGTGCTCTCGCTGGTCTACTCTCCGCTGAGCCAGGCTCCATCATTCTCGGAGCGCACACGGGTGCTCAGAAGAAGGGTGTCGTGAATCAAGCATATAAGGGCATCGAGATTGACATGTTTTCTCACAGCGCCGAGAGCTGGACTGCCATGTGGGATGGCGAAACATTTGAAAAGGGGACGGTCAAGGTGGATGCACAGTTCAGGGAGATTGAAGGTGTGGGAGGCGATGAACGTTACCCGGTATTGTTCTGGTCTGTGACCAGACTGAAGTAGAGTTCTCGGGTGATCCGTTTAGGCAGTATCCCTGAGCGAGAACAGTTTGACGTTTGCCGCCTGGTGACGAAACTAATAACAGGTAATGATCATGCAAGCATGTTTAGATCACTCAGGTAGAGCCCTATGGAGAACTGTGGGTCACCGGGGAGTGGTATGTTTGTAAGTTACTTGATTAGCAAGGCGCCCTGAAGGAGCATCTTACAATATCGTAGGGGAGCACACGCATGCCCGGGAGAAGGGTGTCCGATAAATTAAGTAGTCAGGGGCCTCGAGGTTGACATGTTTGCCCACAGTGCCGAAAGCTGGGCTGCCATGTGGGATGGCGAAATTTCGCGAAGGGGACAGTCAAGGTGGAGGCAGAGTTGAGGCGATGCCCGTTCGTGTGGGAAATGATGAAACCTACCCTGGTCTGTCTGACGAATCGAGAGGCTCGGACTAGAAACGAGGAAGAGAAAACTATGTGTCGTTAGCACTAAGTATGCCGAGGAGTCATAGTAAGTAGCTCACCTCAGTCTTAGTTGGAAAGACTGAGGGAAGGGAATATTGTGAGCGCTGAATATCAAAGGATCGTTGAAACGCAGAACGAAACGTGAACGTTAACGTGAATGGAACGTGTATGATAAGGTGAATGCGTATGTAAAATAGATACGTACGAAGGATGTATCGTGATAGTCTGTGATCAGACTGTGATATGGAATTCTGAGATGCCCTTGCAAGATCGAGCCAGGCGATATCAGATAAATTGACTTTTTTTAGTGCCACTGCGGTCTGACTCTGACCTCTGGCACCTGCTGACCACCATATCGTTCGTGTATACGTGCACCAACTGAAACTTAATGGTTAGCATGGTGGTCACCGGCCTTGCCAATTTTAGTTTCTAATAGCCTGTCACTTGGTGAAGTAAGCGTTCGATCTTATTCAGAGAAAGAACACTAGATACTTGACTTTCCAACTTCAACACCACACTAGTGCATGAGAGTGCACGAGCTAGGCCAGAATCTGGGTAGAGCGAATCATTGAAAGCATTTCGTTATGTACGTTCCTGTAAGTTCATGCGTTACTAACTTAAAGTAGGTTGCCAAGGACCTATCATAAGAGTCTCTGATTGCAATACTAAAGATCGCAAGCGTCTCGCGGTGATTCGCATGGTCGCCGCGGGCGTTACGCTAATGTTGATGTCCATATTGGCAGCTTCAAGATCCCCTATGAGTAGGAGGTTAACTAACCGTTGGTTCTTCGGGCAGTGTTATTGACCACTAGTACGTTTGGTAATTGATTGCTCTAGCAAGTAGTCCTAGTTTTGCACTAATTAGTATTGCGCAGCCAACTTTTCTGGGGTTTAAGTACAGTCACGTCGCCAAAGAATCCTCCAACTTCTTGGATCCTGGTGCCAACAAAGAACGCGACATGACGAACAGAGAACCTCCAAGGATCGAGGTTCAGCGCACTTTCCCTCTTCTTGACCAAAGTCTTTATAACTTGCACCCCGAAGACGCTACATTTTACAAGGAGCTGACTGGAATTGAAGATGATGAAGCTCTGAAGCAGCATATATTGGATGTTCAAGCAGAAGCGTACAAGGTGTCTAGACCCTTGAACACATCGTTCTGCCGTAGCGAAACTTACTTGTTCACGGCTAGGTTGCCCCTTACGCGTTCATCTATCTTTTCCTTTTTATCAGGTACCTTGTTTGTAAGTTTGTGCCGAGCTAATACACAAACATCGAACTCTTCAGACGCAGGCTGTCGGTGCTACCTGCTTATCAGCAAGTTGTGCGGATCGGACGTGAACGGAAGAACCCAATTTTCCTTGACGTCGGCTGCGGCTGTATGTGCCCCCTCCATCATTTCCATAAGATGCCGATGGACGTTTTATAGTTGGCAACGACATCAGGGAAGTGATTCTTGATGGGTTTCCTGCAGCTCGGGCAATTGGAACTGACCTTCGTCAAGGTGAGCATAGCATAAAACCTCGTACCTGACTAACGAAGTAGTTCAGAACTCTGGGATCTGGGGCATGAACTCTTCAAGTCGACTCCGGAGACCTTTCCAGCTCACTTCGTAGGCGGGGATGCTTTCAACCCTGAAATCCTCGCTGTGGCTCCGCCTGCGTCCAAGGAGACAGTAGGAGTTCCAACCCCCAACCTCAGCAACCTCACTTCGTTGAATCCGTTACGCGGATGTGTTTCCGTAATTCACACAACATCATTCTTCCACTTGTTCAAAGAAGATAAGCAGCTGCACCTGGCCCGTGCTCTCGCTGGTCTACTCTCTGCTGAGCCAGGCTCCATCATTCTCGGAGCGCACACGGGTGCTCAAGAGAAGGGTGTCATGAATCAAGTATATAGGGGCGTTGAGGCTGACATGTTCGCCCACAGCGCCGAGAGCTGGACTGCCATGTGGGATGGCGAAGTATTTGAGAAGGGGACGGTCAAGGTGGATGCACAGCTCAAGGAAGTATCCGCAGGTGAGGGAGGCGACGAACGTTACCCGTTATTGTACTGGTCCGTGACCAGACTGTGAGCATGTTTTTTCCTCCATCCCCATTGATAGAGTCTAGACTAGGCTGTGAAATAGAATTCATAGATGATCCGATCAGGTGTCTGGAGGCAATATCCCTGAGCGAGGACAGTTTGACATTTATCGCCTGGTGACGAAACTATACCGGTAATGATCATGCAAGTATGCTTAGATCACTCGTGCGGAGGACTGTAGAGAACTGTGGGTCACCAGGGAGTGGTATGTACATAAGTTACTTGATGAAGGTACCCTGACGGAGCATCTTACAACATCGTAGCGGCCCTCAGCGCGCCAGTCCCCGACTCGTCTCACAAACGCCAGCAGGTTTGATGACCATGTACAGTCTTGGCAAGATCTGTCGTCCTGTAGCGAACACAACTAGTGGGCTGTAGCGCCAATATTTTACCAATTCTGTCATGCAGATGAGCCACTTTTAGCTAGAACGTGCACCAGAAAACTTTAGAACGTCCACTGAATATGAGTGGATAAATTATTTGCACTACCTGAATAATCTGATACATCCTGGATTGCTGTACGACTCCTCACTGCTTCGATGTCTTTGTCAGAGCGAGAACGGTACATCACGTCAAAATTTTCAGGTGCACTGGCTAAACTGAAGTGGTCGATATGGTACTTCACCGGACTGCCATGTGAGATGGTCAAGTGTTCCCAAAGGGGATGGCCAAGGTGGAGGCAATGTTAAGGCAGGAGACGCACGGTGCTGCGGACGCCCATTCTCATTGTTCTGGTCTGCGATCAGGCTGTGATCCTCTTGCCACTAGTGGAAACCACGGCATTAGCCTAAGATGTACAGAAGTCTCGTAATCTGTTCTAGTCAGGTGAAGATCCGACTGTCTAAGGCTAAGCATCTATTGGATCTGAGAATTTACCTTGTGAAGAACACCATCCTTACTGTAGGCCTACGAAGAAGAAACACTTCTGCAAGTATCCGTTTCGATTTTGTAATGACTAGGAATATCTGGAGGGTCGTTCAATGAAAGTACAACGCTGTTAGAAAGATGACAGACGGCAAGCATCATGGCGTTTGTGCCGCTATTAATGAAATTCGCATGCCAGTGGTGAGGCTACGTGTAATCAGTTTCTGTTATCTGACACCAGCCTGAGACGACTTGGTCACTTGCAATTCGATAGTATTCCTGGATGCAACGCAGCAACCATCGAACCTTATCGAAATTACTGTACTAAGTGGGGGATTTAGAGGGGACTCACTTCTGGTGAAAGATGAGCAACACGGCCGCTGATTAAAGTATAATATACCTGTTGAATCCAGTCTTCCAGCTTTGCGAGTAGTAACCCATACCATTGCGATATGGATGTCACAGGAAAATTTGAGGCTGAACTTCCGAGTCTAAGACAAGGAGTGTTCATGAAAGCGCCGTTATAAAGGAAAATATGACTTCGTGGGCTAAGGAAACTCCCACAGGTTACGATACTATGGTAAAGTTGGGTCACGCAACCCCGCGAAGATCAACTTGACCATAGCACATCGCACTGTAAGTCACTAGGTAGTACCCAAATTAATGCTGCACCGGTCGATGTAGTAATGCTGGGAGATTGAACGCTGCGGGGATGTCGACGCGCTGTATTTTCCAATTCGTCGAGTAACTCGAGTTGAAAGCAAATGCAGGGACAAGTCCAGAAGAACTCACGGCGGAGGTCTGTTGAGTTGATGCTGAGTCTCGTCAACCCAAATTTTTGACTGACTTCGTTGCTGACATAATCACACCTGTCCTTTGTTAGACTCACTCATCTATTCGCATACTACGGTCACCTACGCCTACCTCAATCCCAGGCATCAAAGTCCCTACCAGACTGAATTTTTAGCTGTCATCCGTCTCAAATGGCTTCGAAGGATGACACGCAGGCCAAAGCGCCTCCAGAAACCCGCAATGTCGTCCAATTCCTTCGTAGCAGTAAATCTGGCATGAAAATACGTGTCGGCGCGTTGAATGGAAAGCGCGTCGATTACTTCAAAGGTATCTTATTGCTTTGGTTTTTTTTTGTGCCGCCGCTCTAACCTTGACCATCATCATCACCACCACTACTAGGCAAATCTGCAGTGAAAGCCCTCCTCTCGCCCGCCTATGCAAAAGTAAAAAACGTACCCAAAATCACCACGGAAGCCGAAGCCGAGGCCCTCCTCCAATTATCCATACAGTACGCTTTCTACCTCCGTGTAGATCGCGGCGCACCCACAGGCTCATCCATATCCCCGCGCCACGTCACTGTCGTTCCGCAACAACAATTTGCCCAGGACGCGTACTTTGTGTGGCTCTACGAAGGTTCTCAATGGACTACGTATGCTGGCGGACTCTTGATGGTCGCGCTTATGCTTGCTGCCGTCATGTTCCCGTTGTGGCCCCCGGTGATGCGTTTGGGTGTGTGGTACCTGAGTATTGCCATGTTGGGTTTACTCGGTGCATTCTTTGGGCTCGCGATCATACGGTTGATATTCTACATAATCACCGTAGTCATAGCAAGCCCTGGAATTTGGATCTTCCCTCAATTATTCGCAGACGTTGGTGTTGTGAGTCCTGATATTTTTGTGTTTTGTATTTTTGGTTCTTAGGCGTTGGGTGTAGATCGAGTCGTTTGTTCCGTTTTGGGAGTGGGATGTTCCAAAGAAGAAAGCTGGGAAGAAGAAGAAGGCAAAGGCTCCCTCTGGTGCGAGTCCTGAAGAGCAGCTTGCTAATAATGGTGGGGCTTTTATTGAGGAGGTTGGTGATGAGTCCCCAGAGCAATCGCGTCCAGGGAGTCGCTCAGCACGAGTCGAGGAGGTTCCAGATGTGGATTCATAACAGGATCGTTGCATGACTTTCAGTGGAGCAGATGGGGATCAAGGCTTAAATTTCCATTACATTCATCAGGAGTTTTGTCTAGACTGCGTACTTCTCACACTCATTCCCTGTCCCCATGCATAATTCACCCCTACTAGTACTGGCAGCTCTTTGGATGCAGTCACAGCCATTACTCAACATCGATGCATCAACCATCTAGACTCCCGTATGGGTTTGGACATTTGGAAACATACTCTCAAACGACTCGAATACAACATGCAGTTATCATGTTATAGCTGATGGCGCAACATTCATCAGAGTATACAATCTGGCATGATATGCCCTGGCCTCCACACAGTAGTAACTTGGGATAACCCATGCGTAGTACGATGCATACCATACTCATATAATAGGCATGACATAATGACGATGAACGACAAGGACCAAGACCGGTGGTATGATCACGAACTAGCACAAAACTTACAGCTTGCCAAGAGCAGCAGCCTTGGAGTCCTGACCAGCAGCCTTTGCGCGCTTGCGCATCATTTGAGTGGACTTGTTTCCACGGAGACCGCCACCCCAGTGACGGCGCTGCTCCTCGTACTTGTCAGCGCTATAAATTTGCATTAGCATCGAAGCGTAGATATGATATGAAAATAAAAAAACTCACAAGTTGGCCTTGGCGGCGCTGACTAGGTTTGCAAGCTCGCGCTGATCCTCGCTGTTGACATCTTGGAGAGTAAGGACGGCGGCGGTCTTCTTGTGGACGACGGTGCCGAGACGGGCTTTGCCCTTGACGATGACATAGGGAACACCCATCTTGCGGCAAAGAGCGGGGAGGAAGACGACCAACTCAATGGGGTCGACGTCATGGGCAATGACGACGAGGGACGCCTTCTTTGCCTCGATGAGGGCGACACAGTGGTTCAAACCGTACTTGACAAAAAGAGGCTTCTTGTCCTGTAGATCATCTAAATCAATAACCTGCGTTCACGATGTGGCGAATACAAACCTTGACAGGCTCCTTTCCTTCAGTGGCAGCTTTTGCTAGAGCCTCGAGACGCTCCTTCTTCTCGACCTTGCTCTCTGGGCGGTACTTGTTGAGGAGCTTGAAAAGCTGTGAAGCAGTATTCTTGTCCAGAGTGTGGGAGAACTGGGCAATAGCGGGAGGAACCTTCAAGCGCTGAGAAAGGATGACCTTCTGGCGTTGAAGGCGGATGTACTCGGGCCACTTGACGAAGCGAGTGAGATCAGTCTTAGGACGAATGTGTTGACCTAATAAAATCTATCAGTTGATGATTTCGCCAAACAGAGATGAAGCGAACCAATGCCAAAGTTCTTGGGCTTGGCCTCGAAGAGAGGGTTTTTTGTGATTTTTGCGGATTTGCCAGCAGCGCCTGGTGCGGGTGCGGGCTTCTTGCGAGAACCGGCCTTGGCTTTGGGGGGCTGGTCATTGAGACGAGAATGAATTAGCATGCGAAGCAGAGCACAAAAGTGCCAGCAACGTAAGCTGCATGTCTCGGAGCTCTAGCGCTCGTGGATTACTATGCATCCAACAAGCCCAGCAATATAAAGTATCATCATCGTACGTGACGACTCCACTTGACTTGATAACAAGGATCAAGATTTGTGCTGAACCGATTCTACATGAATATGAGAATGATGTCCCATGATGTTATCTGGATGAAGGACTTGCCATCCATTGCGTTGAGGGATAGAGAGCATGGATTGAACAGTGCTAGGGTGCTCCGATGCACGCAGAAAACGACGCTTGCTGGTAACTCACCATTTTTGATGGTCTTGAGGAGTAGGTCTTGAGGTTAAAGTCGTCGATAGTCGATTTCTGTATGTCAAAGTTGGGTATTTGAACGTTTATACTCCGCTTCGGCACCGCCCGGCACTGACTGACTCAAGCAGTCGTCAGTAACGGGACCGCATATAATATGTCTTCTAATATTTTGAGACGCATCCTCACAAATGCACGAGGTTTCTCGACCGGGCCCCCGCCCGCTGCCCGTTCACCATACCGTCACCTCCGAACACTAGCCCTCGGTGGTTCCGTCGCCGTCACTGGTTACGCCCTTGGCGCCGTCTACCCGCATCCTTACATTACTTTCATCTCCCCTCGGCCAGCCCCAGCACCCCCCGATCCCGATTCCCCACAATCAATCGTATACACCGCAGCTCTCGAACAAACCCTACAGACCCTCCCACTCCTCACGTCCCACCGCGCTCAGCCCGACGCCCACGAGTGGTACGAGACCCGTCCTTATGTTAATTACCCAGAGCAGCTCCGCGTAAACAGCCTCACTGCAGGCGCACTCCGCGGCCCCGGAAAACTAGCGCTTCCACCCCTCGTACGCGCCAGGAAGGACGAGAATGAGGCTATTGTCATCGTGCATGTAGGTCGGGGCGTGTGTGGCCATGATGGGATTATTCATGGTGGGCTACTGGCTACTATTTTGGATGAGAGTCTGGCGCGAACCGTGAGTTTTTGTCCCGAGCATTGAGTATGTCTTGATGTATCGTAAAAGGCGATTACCAATTTACCAGAAAAGATTGGCGTCACTGCCAACTTGTCCATAAATTATCGCGCCCCGACCTTTGCAGACCAGGCAAGTACCTCTTCATTTCACATACTTACGTGCTTGACCAGATACTAGTTCATTGTCGTCCGAATCAGTTTAGTCGACAAGGCAGGTCGCAAATCCAAGGTCATCGGTAAAGTAGAGGACCTCAAAGGCAACGTACTTGTCGAAGCGCAGTCAGTCTCTGATCTTTCGAACTTAGCTCTCCTTACCCATCCTGCGTTATACAGCGCAACTTTCGTTCAACCTAAATATGCTCACCTGCTCAAGAGCAAAGCTGTCCAACAAATGATGGGCGACCCCGAACCTGCTAAATCAACTCCCGTGCTCCTCAGCGAGGGCATGCCGCCTCCCCCATCCAAGGCATAGAGTAATTCATACCATTTATTAATTTATATGGCATACCGCTAGAGATACCTGTATCATAGACTACCTCGCTGCAACCCTAGATGCAACTTACCGCAGCCATCGCTCGGGATGCGACAAACCCACTTCCATTCCTCAAAGCACAATTTCCATAGCCTCTTCCACCGTCCGTGTTCCCCATCAGTGCCATGTTACAGCTGCGTCACGTCTTCCAAATGCCGCCCCAAGCTACCCGCGCTCCTTCCAACAGATTTCTACTACATTTACCTTCAACAAGCCAGTGTATTCAGGCATTGGGAATTCGAAGGAACCTTGCCGATGCTAATGGCAACGCTACAGCAGTTAACAACAGGCGTGTGCAAAGTGACGATCACGGTGAGATCTAGACTGATCTGGGCCGCATGACAACCAGCTAGTATATAGCAAGCGAGGTAAGTACTTTGACTCGGAAAACTGGGCCAGGAAATGTCTGCCTTTCAGATGCGAAATCTGAAAACATGGGTCTATGAATCAGCGGTAAATGTCAAAAGGCTGAGCACTGCAGTCCTCCGCTTGTCATCCGCGGATTCACTACGTGAAGACCCCATATACTTTGTACCTAGTTAGCTAATATTTGACAATATAAATACATCAAAATTAGAACATCTACTGAGTACATGAGTAGGCCTGAGTAGTTTCGAGGACATGAACTACCAACCGTCTAACTAGGTGACCTATCCTACCTTCCAACTAGGCCATCTGTCTTAGAGTAAAAAAATGGCTTCAATCTGGTGGCTCAAATTCTCGTCTAATTGCACATACAAGCTTCAAGTAGATGGATAACCAAATTTAAATTATCTATCAATATGTGATCTACATCACGTGGCAATTATATCGACTACATCCAGCATCGCGTTCCCCCTCCTTTGCCCACCCCCTAGCACTCTCGTAACTCTTGTAAACCATGGTTCATCGTCCAGAAAATATCCCCGTCGATGTGTGGAATGCTTGGCCTGACCACCTTAAGCAAGCTGTCTGTGCTAACACCGGAAATAATCAGCCAAATAGGCCTGATCCAAATATTGATCCTGGACTCACCAGCGGTCTAGCGCCAGCGCCGCGTCGCGCTCATGACGTGTATCGTGATGGGCCCACATCCCCTCATCCATACCAAAGGGGAAACACCAACAAGTAAGTGCATATAGGTGCATATATGCATCCAGAACTCACCATAAGGCACATTAAGTCCTGTAGCAAGTGCTACCACAAGTACCAGACCACGGGAATCTCGTAGAAGTGACCGGGGCGGTACCAGAGCTTCTCACAGGTACCGGAGTGTGTCTTTTTCGCGTTCCCGCTCGCCTCGTAATCATCGTGGACGGAGCCGAAGGCATAGGTCTCCCAGTCATCGTCACAATGACTCATCCCCATCTACAAGTCGAGAAAGGTCAGCATTCAGGGATCGATGGCGCTCAGGACGTGCCTCTTCGACTCTCACACGTCATACAACACCAGCTTCCACTAATGACGGCGCAGAGCATGAAATGGGAAATAATCATACCTCTGCACGTGGTCGTTCAACTGTGCCAAGGGGGGGTAAGTCAGCTAGGAGACGAAGAGCAAGGGCTGTTGCAGAACCTGACAGAGCAAGTCATGTCGAACTGCGTGTTGGCGAATATGACGATGATGCGGAGGATGTGACTCAAAGTCGGAGGTAAACTATCTGCAATCGGCAAAGAGGCACGAAGCGAGCTAAAGGCAAGTGCTTTGAGTAGCATCAAATATAGCGCAAACTCAACAATCTTATCTAGCGTTTTGATCACCATGAAATTCCGTCACGTTTGCAATGTTTCTGAAGGGAAAAGCTGGCCAGCATCAGCAGATGAAGAGTGCATCAATGAAATGACAGGTGAACGTTACCTCATGCCGGAGTTCACCAAAACAGTAAACGACGACCACAACCGCACGATCTTTGCCAAGGTCGCAAGTTTGGTCTGGCAAGACCTTCAGGTAAGTCATATGCAACATGATATGTAATTGCCACTTCACCTTTTGCAGAACATGGCCAACAGCGACTGCCTTGTGAATCGCAAGGTAAAATGGAATAAGCAATCACTTTTCACATTTGCGAAGGAGACGTACCATGGATTCAAAGAAGACTGGCGGGCCCAGAACGACGCCGAGAAGAAAGCTGCCAAAGGTGTGAACCAGCGAAACAATAGACGTGCTTAACGTCGCAAAGAAGTAAGTGTTAAAGCTATTTTTCATCAATATGAAGACTTACTATGACGAATTAGAAAGCAGATTGGCTTATGACAGCACGTCAGGCTTACATTGAGAAATTCAGTGTTGATCCAGTGGACCTTGTGCATGCAGATCATATGTCGGATGAAGCATCTGGACCAGACGATGATGAGTTGGAGGATGGTTGGAAGCAAAGGATGGCGGAGAAAATGGGAATGCCTGCCAACTCACAAGTCAAAAACTTGTCATTCCTGGAGGTTACAAGAGTCCCTGGAGATCTGACGAAGTAAGTGTTATGCGGTCCTCAAATATGAGTAGAAGCTTACAGAAATCATTAGCTTGGTCAGATCTTTCATACCCTGCATGATCTTTGGCGAGCGTCGCTGACCTCCAAGCAAAAGAAGCGTTTCCACATGATCCGAGTCACCAGCACAGATCGTCAATCACAGCGTATCCCCGATTTCACTCCCTATACCTTCGGCATCAACACGGAATGGCTCAAGGCCAACAAAGATAGACTAGAGTATCAAGACTTACTCAAGGAATGGGGTGCATGGGAGGACCCAGAAGGTTTTGGTTCGAAAAAAAGGGAGCATCAGGATGATCAAGGCACTCCAAATGATGAAGTTGACCAGGACAACACTAGAGGAAGAGAAGGATGATTCCGCAGATGATGTTTTCTTGAGGGCCGGACAAAGGAAGGGTGGTTGCATGGATGATATTTTCTTGAGGGCTGGACCAGCAAGAAAGGGAAGGGTGGTTGGACGGATGATGTTTTCTTGAGGGCCGGAAACTAAACAGTAGGATGCTAAGTAGTAGAGAAGAGTCATTAATCATTGTATGATAGAGAAAATTTTGCACGTACACGGTCAAGCGTTGTTGTTATCCACAATTCTGGATTACTGGTCTTGATGATTCCACGAGCGATCTGGCTGGTGATTTGATCAAATGGAAGAACGGTAGGGGGAGCTCCATCTTCGCCTGGGCTCCAGTATTCATTTAGTTTAAAACACATAACATCGAGCTCGGGACTTGACAAAATGAGTAGGAGGGATAGAACCACAAACGAGACACATACAACTTGCTCCATGGATCATCTTCAACAGGCACCAGCGGTAACTCTATCATCCACCTGAGTTCAGTGAGAAGCCGAGTTCCGTTCGCTATCCCCAACTGTATGTGGCTGAAGATGTTGATTACTTCACCGTACCATGACTTATCCATGTATGCGACCTTGACGAGAGATGATCCGGCAGACTCTTGAGTGCTTCTTGCCAACGGTGAGATCCTACGTCCATCTAGAAGTGCGAACTGATAGTACAACGCAAAGTCGTTGAGTTGAGATGAACCTGGATGGGGATTTGCTTCAAGTGCATAATGAACGCTGTGGGGTTGTTGTGAGTTATAGTGAGTATATAATGCAACACGAGCTGCATCGCTGAGTCGTTGTGGGTTTGGTATCGATGGACCAGGTTGGACATGCAAATATGGACTCAATTCTAATGAGAAGTCAAAAATCAGCGAGTTTGTAAGAAAATGGATGATATGAAACGTACCGTCAAAGCCTGTCCCAGCAGCAGCATCCTGGATCGTTCCAGAGGCCTTGTGGCCATCACCGAGCATGCGTTCTAGAAGCATCTTGACAATCGGACTTTCAGCATTTGCTATCGCATCACGAGCCTGAAAATCCTAGTGAGTGAAAGCATGATAACGGGCAAAGAAATCACCAGAGAATCTATCTGAGCACCATGTGCAAACTCCCTCATCATCGAAATCTCAATCTGCCCCCCAGTCCAGTTGTTCGAGTTTGAACTCTTGAGGACTTTGTTGAGACGCTTGGAGAGAAAGGCCCAAAAGTTGTAGACTGGTCCATAGTCAAGGATCTGTTGCCTAAGATGAACTGCCCAATGAAAGTTCGGTTTCAGGGCGTCAACACCATACAACTGTTTAGTATACAATAAGATTGAAACGTGCATTCAAAGCAAGACCATACCCTTTTGTACTCAAGCAAGTACTCTTGAAGCAGTGTCTCCGCACGAGGGAGCATATCCAGCTTGATAGAGCTACCACAGAAGATCTTGAGAGCAGTTGAAAGGCGCAGAAAGTTGATTGGTTCGTCACGTTGCATGCGAACCTTTGGTGGCTTTGGCGGCTTTGGTTCCTTGTCATCTTTTGCAGGCTTCTTTCCACGGCCTCGTTTCGCACCAGCAGACCCTTGTGGTGCTTCTCGGTGCGCCTTCCAAGCCTCGTAGTCCTTGATAAACTGATTCTGACGTTTAGCAAATGATTTAATTGAAGTTTTTTGATCCGACTCTGCTTCTTCCACGAACATGTCCCAAATGATAGGTATCTGGATTGTGGGATGAATACAATGAATAAAATATAGAATAAAACGACTTACAGTGATGGGCCAGGCTGTCGTCGCAGCAAACTTGTATTCATCAGCCGTCAAGGACCCACCTGCAGGCTCTCCAACACGAAGCGGCAGCTTTCCAGCCCAGAGTGGGGCTTCGAATGTACTGAGAAAGGTGTGCATTAAATCAAGCTCGCGAGTTCTTGTCTGAGTAGAGGCACGAAGGGCCGGAGTCAAGATCCATTGCGTGTACCACTGAGTCTTAATAATTCCTGCAAGGTCCATATTAGCCCGTTCATTGTTAAAGTAAATATGACGACACACCAAGTAATAAATTGTGCATCGGATCAATGATTGTCTGTCGCACAAGATTAAAATATGGGAGCCGTGCAAGTTCGGTCCAACGGACACCATGTTCGTCAAAGAAGGTGTTATGTTCACCTTGTGTTTTGAGGGCTTTCTCTTGAAAAGATTGACGTCGATGTTCTTCACCGTCGCGTGGATCAAATTCTATTTTATGGTTAGTTCAAAACTGTAAGCTACCAGTAAAATCAAAGGCACGTACCATTACGTAGAGACTCATCAGAGAAAAGTTCATCCTGGGTTACCTTGCACTTAGGGCACGGAGAATTCTTGTGACTGTGATCGGCAAAGCCACACATCTTACACATGGCTGGATGGTCGCATACAACACCTAGGAGTACAACACGAACTCTTCGACCTATAAAATATATGTTAGTGCGCCAAATGGTCAAACACTGTTAGGACTAACCTTCTGGGTGCCCTGGGGTATGATAGACAACACCTTCCTCGTAGAGCTGGAGCAAATCGTCGACAACAAGTCGCAGATAGTTTTGGAGCTGAGCACCGGTTGGTTCAGTAGGTCCAGGTGTCATGAACGATACCAAAAGGTTCTCGGCACGATACCTAAAGACATGAATACAAGATACGAAAAAAGTTAGTGGCAACTCACCTTAGTGCTCTAGGAAGGTTTGAAACACATAATGATAAGACACCAGAGGAATGGCTTGGCCCATAGACGCTGGTCTTACGTCCAAACCTTGGAATAAAATTTAATCAGTTGTCACATCGAGAATACTGTGTGGGTAATTACATACCAGTCGAGGCTCATGGTGACACCAATGCGAAGCTCCTGTGAGGTTTCCGTCCCAGAAAAGAAGGGTGCTTGATCTGGGCCCTGGATGGTGCGCCATACCTCACCATCTGAGATATCATGAAGCTCCCCTGGTTTAACCGTGCGTGATCGCCAGGATTCACATGCCGCCTCATTATCTCCATGTGCAAGAAAATTCGCAAGTAAGGAAGATGGTACCTGGATAGGCGCTGCACACACTGGAGGAGGGCGCTGAGCTTTGCGGCCTGTTACCATCCGGAAGAGCCTATTGGAGACTGGTTTGAATAGCCGGCTATCACAGTCGGAACACAGTGCATTAGTGGGTATATCTGTAGGGAAAATACGGTGACAATGACCGCAGACTGGATAAATAGTAAAACGGTCATGGAGATCGAGGTGGTGGATAACAGTGTTGAGAGTTGTAGGAAGAGGCTGCGTGGGATGAAGAATGCCTAGAGAGAGGAGAATGGTGGTAACACAATGAAGAATCAGAGCACAAGCACGAAAAGAAACATGATGCTTCGCATGTAGAATAGCCACCATGATGATAATGATACGTCCGAACCAGTCCGGATGAGCATCTTGATATACCTGACGTGGATTGAGGGGCGCTTCGAACTCGCTTCTTGGCGTGATCTGCACCTGATCCACAGGTGCATGCTGACTGTTGGAGGGGGCAACCTGTACATCGGGGATGATCTCTGCATCCGAATCTTCATCGTGTTGTTCTGTATGGAGAAGTGGGTCACGGTGGACCTCATCACCTGCGTCGGGGTCATCATATAACCCAAGAGAGTCTTCTTGGGGAGGCTGGGACTCGGACTGTAGGGCATCACGGATCGCTTCATCTTCTTCACGTTGAACCATCACATGCGTACTGCTGGCCTTCTGCCGCGGGCGCTTTGCGGCAGGTAACTGAGTTTGGCAAGGGACAAGGGTAGGACGAGATTGTGCAAGAGGGATCTGGTGACCGCTGGCAAGTAGAACAGGTGTAGTACGTGTCGCTAAGAGTGGCGCAGTGTGGGCTTCAGGGGCAACCCGAAGATATTTGGATGGTGGAGATTGTGTGGCTTCCGATGAGGTCGAGCGCTGAAGATGTTGGGATGACGATGGTATGGGGTCATGAGAAGGCAGTGTTGGTGTAGGTGATTCTCGCTGGGGATATTCAGTGTCGATCTCCATAGGTTCGTAGCTATCCATGCTTAAAAAATTGAAGTTAGTATGATGCTACAGGTATATACATATATCACAACTCACAAGGGCGACGGTGTACGGGTGAAATTTTTCTGAATATCGGACTCTTCACTGTGCGATGTAGCTGATCCTAAAGGCGATACCTGTGCATTACCAGGAAGAATAGCACCGCGTGAACCACTCATTCGGGATGAGGAGACATGAGTTGAAGTGCCAACACGGGTACGAGCAGTTGATACCACCCCACGAGGCAATCGTGGCATCGCACGTCCGCATTGAACAACAGGGGGGGGGAGCTGGACCTCTAGCACGGCCTCTCTGTGCAATAGCAGACTGGCTGAGGTTCTGGGTTCGGCGGTGATTGTCGCGTAGATAACTCGGGATGTACTGGCCACCTTCAGCAGATGTTGTACCCTTACAAACAGTGCAATTGCACCAAACAAGGCGTTGGCTTGAGAGCGTGCTTGGATTTACGGTCTAAATAGTTTGAACTTGCATTAGATGACAGCTATCAAACAGAAAAAGTGTGCAACTCACCGACATGTTGCAGGATCACGGAGATGGTAGTAAGAAAGAGGGAGGTGCTTAAAGCGACTTGGGCCGCGAGCAACGAGCTTAAGTCCTTTTGCCTCGTGGTAAGTCATCTGGTCAGCTTGGTGCATACCTGACCTAAAGTTGGTTAGTGGTTCCCTTAAGTTATCACACCAAGTAGAACGGGGGCAAGGTGGTCTATTTGCAGTAGATAGCAGCTACATGAGGCTACATGATGCTGAAACGAGGCAGCATACTCGACGATCCGGAGAGCCTGCGTACTGACAAGTGTTCGATAAAGAAGAAACCCGGCGTAGTTGTAGTGTGTGACTAAGTCTTTTTACACGTGATGACTTCACCTAATCAGACCTACTAACACTAACATTAACCAAGGGCTAAACGTAGTGATTGTTTTGTGATGCGCAGCCTTAGTGAAGTCTCGTTGACGAATCAACATGTAGTACAAAAACTGAATAATCCCTGAGGCGAAAAGGAGCTCTCGGATTCTGCAAACGCCTGATAATTATCTGGCGATTTCCGCCGCATGCCCCCTTTTCCCTACCCAACTCCATGAGAACCTGAATCGCCTTGGAGTCCATCATGTGTGTCAATTCAACATGATCCGGAGCGCAGTTGCCCCGCTCAGAAGCACGGTGTTCACTAACCACTGGAAGACTCATCAAAGGTTACCTGTGCAACCTAACTGCTTGTCGTAAAATTGTTTTGGATACCAAGATGTGGCGTCGTGCGAAGCTCAGAACCACACATCCCCGAATATACAACAAATCACGGCAAGGCCATTTGTGCTAGCCGGCCCACTGCTGTGGTCTTGAGTAAAACCTTTGCCAACCTTCTGATTCATCTTCATTAGTGAGATAACACGGCCGAATTTTCAGTGTGCAATTTGAAAATGTCGAGGGTACCTGTGAGAACCAAGTTCAGGGGGACAAGGAGGTGATTGGGTGTAAGTACTTGCTTATATCATAGCCCGGCAACAGTTCTCAGCCGGTCCTCCGCAGTACCGGAAACTTCAACCACGGAAACAACAAGAACCACGCGGAAAGCGATCGAACACTGGAATACGAATAGCAGTCAGTCAACCCTCTTATCGGGAGTTGCTATTTTTATTGATCGAAGTGATGAGAAAAGATGTGAAACGCACCGGATACTTGATCTTGCACCTCCGGAGGGTGCTGAAGCACCGGTTCATTGCACAAATTAAACTGCGCCTTCGAAATATCTCCTGCATTCATGAAGGGATATATATATTATGATCATCGTTGCAGCCGTCGTAGCGGTTGGTATTGGTCTGTCTGAAACTGAAACTCGTACTACTGGCTGATGGCGAAGAAACGTAGTGTTCCCTAGGCAAGACCAAATAGAAGGAACATATGGATATAGTGATAGAGGAATGTTTGGTGTAGTGAACTTGAAGTGCCAATGGAGAGCGCATTACTCGCAGCGCTAAATTTATGCCCAGGACAAGACTTGTAAAAAGGGAGACCCCAAACGAGCCAACAGGTGGGTTCATGTTACATCAAGTAACTTGATACTAGAGTGTTGCTTAGCGGAGAGTTATACACCAAATACAACCGCATACCATTTGAATTTCTCCGCGACTTTTTGTTGGGCTCTACTACTAGTACTAGGTGTGCTCATATTTGCACAGTACCCACCTGTATCCACCTAATAAGTCTGGGACTCTGGAGCAGCGCCCCACCGGGTAAAGGTCTGGGTATGCAGATTTTAAAAACTGTGTCTGTTAAACTGGAGATGGAGAAATTTACAACGTGGTAAAAACGCCCCGAGTACGATGCGACCAGCGTGGGAGTCGACACTTTAGGCATATTCTCTTTTCTCTTCTACCGCCCATCGGATGATGCCGTCTTCGAGGTCCAACAGTCTTAGATCCATGGTTAATGGGTGATGGTAGGACATCAACTTGAACCCCTTTGGAAGGCCCATCTGTAAGTTCAATCATCCGTTTGTCGTTTTGTGGTGACCCGCTTAACTGGCTTCCTGAATGACCGCAGTCAAAGACAAGCAAACAAAACGTTAGGGGGGAAGGTTTAATCTGCGCGATGGCACACGCAACACGAGATTAACCTCGAATGAGGCCTGCGGTTCGGGAAACTTTCCTTACGAGCGTTCCTAACATCACCCAACACGAGCCTCACAACTTGACATGAATGCGAGAGGTATGAGCAACATTGCATGCGCGGCAATGAAGGGAAAGTCGAAGAACACACAGGAGACGTTGACTAGTGTTAGGTCACCCGCTTAGTCAGACTTCATTAGTTTCATGTTCGAACGTTCGCGAGGTCATGCGCTTATAACGAACTAAAACTGCACTTTACTTAATCGGCAGCGGGGTTTGCTACCCATGAAGTTCACGTTTTGGTCTATAGTAAATACTACTGGCCTCGGGGACCGGGGTGGCGTTATCATGTTTTCGTCCACCATTTCTTGGCTAAACGTTTCGATCTTGGTTCTTTGCAGGGATGGCCAATTCAAATGACACTTTCAACGATGATGCTTACCCCAATTCATGGACTCCTTCACTTAACACCACCTGGACTCGGGGAGTTGATAAGACTTACGGGTTAATGTCATCCAGATGCTACGGTATCAATATCGGCGGACTTCTTGTCCTGGACCCCTTCATTATACCCGCCTTTTACCGGAAGTATTCGACGCAGTTGAGGAGTGGAACCCGAGCACGCACATGACATATGGCAGCTGGATCGAGCAGCTAGAAGTGCCTTTATTGTAAGCGACTTGTACGTTTTTAAAATGCTGATGATGCCTGGATTGTACTCTAGGGAATTGCTGGAGCTCCGAGCTGGAGGTCTATTTACCTGTTCCTTTCTTGGAAGTTTCTCGAAGTCTGTTAGCCGTGAGCACTGCGAGGTGCCTCTGAATCATTGCATGATCACTTTTTCCATATGTTGCTAATGTGACGTTAGCTATATCACGCGTATTATTCAATAGGCACGGATGTCCAGGATCAGAGTGAACCTCGACCTCCATATCACCCCTGGATCTCAGAACGATACGTGACAGGGTATGCGATATTATTCGTGTCCGTGCAAACTCAAGATCAGCATTATCACAATCACTTGAGCAAACTTGATTCGGTTAACTTTTTTGAATAGAGTCATGGGACTCTATGCTCAGCGTGCATTTGATTTATTACCGAGTTCATATCCCAGCCTGAGTCTCGTCCCTGTGTTCAGCATTTGTCAATGAGGTCCAGGCCTGATCTCTTCTGGCAGCCTTCGGAACTGCTTGATAGCATTGTACGTCCTGATCTACTTGCATGCGCTAGTGTGTCCTAATCGCCATCTTGTCGGTTCTCCTTGAGCATGACATGATCCGCAATATCGCCGGTTACGGAGAAGGGCGTGCGCCTTTCATTCAATTTCATCGCAATTCATGATGGATGCCTAGGCTAGGGATGGCAACCCGAATTCCTTACAAGGTTCTGACCGAATTATTCTCAAGACCCGGACCCTTACTTCTCATTCGATGGTCGTACTGGGTCGAGGCTGCAGGTGTGTGCAACAAGGGACGTTATGAACACCAGGTAAGGTATGCATATTACCTACGGAGTGACAACGTTCTGAATTTACACGTAGCTTACCTGGTCAGATTGCATTTGGTGTGACCATCGCAAGCGAATCGAGTGGTGGTTGTGATGATTGTGATTCCTCACAAATGTTGAGAACACTGCAAGCTATGGAGAGTCGTGATCTCTTCTTAGACTCTTTGCAGTGGAACAACGCGGTAAAAGGTTTCATGGATTCAAGCTGGCTACTAGGAGTAAGGATGCTTTGACATTGCCCCTTGCAGATCGGAAACTCATCTACGACTGATCGCCTCGTCCAACCTCGTTCAGTCTCTCGTGTAGTCTCAGTTGGGTCTCCAATACAAATGGATACCTACTGATTCCTGCACTGCTGGCGTGACGTTTGGAGTGGCTGGCCCACAGTTCGATGGGGTTGATGAAGCCTACCAGACTGGGGGTCCTGGGCTGTCGCGTCTTCGATCCCCATCTTACGACCGATTTCCACCTAGCTCCAACATGTATTAAAGGTCGTAATAAAGTCTCTGGGCTAGCTCCTGCCAAAAATACGTACAGTCACGGTGGAGCCAATGGTTCATACATTATTTACGATCTTAGAACACAGTAGTACTATATCGCATATACTGTCGTGACATCGCCGGGCGTTGCCCCAAGCAGACAATAAATTCAAAAAAAGTGGCACACACCACAGCGCAGTAGAATCTGAAGATTAGCATTCGAGTTAGAAGATGTTCAATTCAAGGGTTTAAGCTTCTTGTACTCGAATGCGGCGGCCTACTCTAGAGATGAATCCTTGTTTGAATTACTCCTTATTACAAACTGCTGTGGCAGGTTCATGTATGTAAGCCATTGCCATTAAACACTATCGCCAAGTTGTCTCGGTTAAACCCTACGAAGCTGGTGCCCTGGCGAGATTTGGGGTTCATTGAGCATAATACAGAATTTAAAACGAATAATGGTTGTCGTGCGTCCTTTTTGAGCTACCGGCGGTCCAGTTTGTTCATGATGCATGAAATCTTCTCAGACCGCCAAGTAAATTAAGGCTTCTGCTGTTGCAACGTTGAAACCTCAATTGAGCAGCTCTTCTAAGAATCTGACCCTCAACGTGGCCGAGGGTCTGAGGCGAACAGTATCTTACAGGTTCCGAAGTTACAGTGCGACATGTTAGGCTTCAGATCGATTACATACTTTGCAATTGTGGAGTTGCCGGAATAAATGAGTCAGGAGTATTTATTACGTGGATCTCTTACTCTTCAGATGTCAGGGTCGAATTTCATTCAGGCCTTCAACTCGAAGTGACGCTGAGTTGTGGCAAGAAATGTAGGGCTCGAGTCCAGTAGTGGGTATTCACCAGCAATTCTGGCGCAAGGCAGGCCCATGATCGGCGCGCATAGAACAAAGAGATGCTGCAACGACGAAGCACGAGGCTAACGCACAGAGCGCCACGTCGAGTCTAAAGGTCTGAGAAACGGTAGTAGTCAATTTCCTCCGGTGTCACATGGTACTTGCAAGCTCGTTTGAAATATTCTTACCTCTCGTTCTTGTACGACAATTGTAGCCACTGATTAGAAGACAATTGACAAAACCCTGGTCCAACGTGATACGTAGTATCCAAACTGAGATTGGCACAGGTGCGATTGGACGTGGTAAATGATCTTTGCTTATGTGATTACGAGACGATGGATCCAACGCCAAACCCGAGTTGGGAAGGTAGGGACATGAAAGAAATTCCCCGTATTCGGGACGATCACATCGCCGGAGGGTGAAGAAGATCTATTACTTGATTATGAAATCAGCGCGAGTGACAATACGCCACATCGCTGAAATACTGGAACTCATCTACATCAACGGCTTCTTGCGAAGGTTTACTATCGAAATGTAGTAATTACGCCGCATGTTTTTTTGGCATCATTCCGTTCTTGAATACTCCAAATGGGTTGCAAATTACTGGAGGTATTTATTTGTGCGGCCCCGCCCTTTTTTCGGGCAGCGCGAACCAATAGAGGCAACACCGTCTTGTGCTTCTCTAGAGTACCATGTCCCTGCGAATTTCGGAACCTTGTATGCATGTAGCTTGATCAACGGGGATTATCGTCCCTTCCGCCTGTCAGACTGAAGCTATTTTTTGTTAAGGGTACAACTATTCCGCCATCCGGGAAACTTGCTGCCATGTTTGCCGTTACCTACACCCCACACCCTCAGTGGGGTGCCCTTAAGTTATATTAGCCAGCCTCCAATTGGTATGCTTCACCAAGTTCACCTGCTTTGAATCTGTAATCATATTACTCTCATGTTGTATTCCCCTGCACCTATTATTTGATCGCTCACACTCTGTCACACTCCACGCTCGCCAAGTGCGTTTTGAACGCTGCACAATGTCATCAGCTGGTAGTATAACAAGCCTACGACACGGCAGTCCCGATCCTCCGCGGCCAATGTCACCGAGTCAAAGTACAGAAGATATCCTTCAGACGATCATGAAGATCAGAAAAAGCTGGAAAACTTTGAAGGGTAATACCGAGCCTGTATGGCCACCTCATCTCGAGGCCACGATGCTGAAAGGTGCGGATCATATTCATTGATCACAACCCAATTAATTCACGTGACTCCGAATCCTCAGGCCTTCAAGAATATGGACCTGTTCACTCCCGGGAAGCACATACATTAAGTCGATTCCCTCAGCGCAATCAGTTCATCTCGGATTACATTTACCGCAAGACGGGAAAGCACAGATCAACAAAACAAATAGGTAGTCGCCTACAACAGTTTAAGGACACATTGGAGGGTCGGGAATGTAAGTAACCGTTGTCCTGTGCACGGCGTCACTAGTTTACCCTTTTTGGAAGTGATTGATTCCCTGCAATTTCATGATGCGCGGAGTGAAGTCGACTTGTCACGGAGGTTTTCTCCTCATAGCCATGGTTTCGAGGATGAATTCAATCCTTCTACTTCCTCTTTATATTCCAACTCTTCAACGCCAAGCAACGACAGCTCATCCACCTGCTCATCCACCGGCTCGTCCATATCTTCTGGACAATACCGCGACATGTCATCGTCTAAACGAACCCACCTTCCTGACACCCGTACCCCAGTATACATTGACATTTTGCCAGAGTCTAGCTCATTCTCGAGCTCATCCTCCTCACGTTCGCGTGTACCACTGTCTTCTCCATATAGGTCCCTTCAAGGCGTCGCTGCACACACCTCCTCAGGCACACCGCGTCCCATAAGGAACATTGATTCCACCGTAACCTTCGTCTCACCCTCTACCGTCATTGGCAAGTCATCCTATATAGTGTTATTGGATGGCGCACCTATACACAGCGAGGACACGAAACTCGAATGCGTCGGACCATATTTTACCGGTTCTTCTGATGATGGTCCATTGCTGTACAGCACAGCTCTGGTTCCCAAGTATTGGGAGACCCTGTGCAAATCTCCAGGTCTGTACTTTATGACCTTGATGTGTAAAAAGGTGTTTGATTGATTTATCAACAAAGATCCTACCGTATACACCATCATTCAGGACGTGTACCGTACTCTGGGCCCAGGAATTCCCGCAAGATCCTCAGGTCGCCCACGCCCAGTTCCTATCTTCTCTGCTACATACCACTTCCGATATTCTGTCACACCCACATCTTCCATATCACCACACTTCGCATATCAAGACAATTCACGACTTCTCGCAAACACTACTCATGCTTCTTCCGATCTACTTAACCCCATACGTCCACTCTCTTTCCCAAATTACCCAGTGTCTCCGAACTTCTCGGAACAAGGGAGGCTTCAGTCGCACGAATACAACACGCAAAGCAGGCTGGACGAGCAATTCATATCGGATGGCAGCCTCGATAACTTTCCCCTAGATGACTTCATGACCAATTTTCATGACTCGCATGAGACAACATACAGTGAGATGATGGCACAGTCATCGTCAAGCTTCCCGACGGACATCCATAACTATGTGAGTAATCTACCCAATGAAGGTGACTTCCTGCTTACATCTCCACCAGATTATGTAGAATAGTAGCGCACAGATGGTCATAATAATATTGACATGTACTGTATGCTTGTAATTATATCGGAGTCTTCCAGTGGAGCTAGGTCCCTGGCATTCGCCCTTCACTAGCTTCCGCAGACAACTCATTGCGCGCTTGTTGTCATGATGGTCGTCTGATGCGGTGTAGGTCCGTCATTATGAGCAGTACAGACAGATATGAATATCAGCACCGACAGCGGATCATCGACTCGAAGCCTGTACTAACTACATATTCTCGTTCCTCTTCTGATGGACAGTACGTACGAGTATGTAACTGCATATTTGTATTCTGATTGATGTCGCCATTCTATAGTGATCCCTCTAAGGAACGCAACCAGTGGGTGTATGATACCCTGTAAGCCCATTTAGCCATCGTGCGGAAACTAATGATCCTAACTAGTGCGCATCTAAGCGAAACAAAGACGTGAAGCATTCTGACAGGATAATTTTCAAATTGCTTAGCAGCGCAATTACATTTCGTTTCACCTTCAGCAAATGAACTTTGTGTACCACAACGCCCCTTCAGTCGCCTTAATCAGTCTAATTCACCGCTCTTTACCAGCGAAATGATTTATATCGCCACAAACTCTATCGATACCAGGGCGAGGTCAGTCGGCTGATCGATACCCCTAAAGTCCTTGGCCAATTTAGTATTTCTCAGGGACCATCTTTTGCGTCACTAGACGTACTGCTTATCAGCGTTAGAGAACGTGACCCTTTTGACGTCTTCTTTGACTCCACTAGCGCTTCCCGCTGCAACGAGGGGGCTGGAAATGCGGCCGGACTATGACAAGATTATGTTTAGCTCCTTGGCGCTGTTACAAATTGTCAATTCCAATAGCCACGGTCTGGAAGGCTCCCTTTGTATATTTAGAGTTTATAACGAGGTCAAGACAGATATTGTTTTACCAATTCAACTCAAGCGCCTTGCTAACTGGTCTTTTATTCTATTCCGAGCCTACGGATAGCCACTCATTAATTGAAAAGGCGTTCCTCGGACCTGCGCCCAATGTCGAGGGAAATTAAAGTAAGTCTGGAGATGCTTGTGCATGTGCCTCGTTGGCATGTAAAATGGGAAACATGAAGTGACGGAAGTTAAATATGGTGCAGTATAAACGTCTACTTTAACCTGAGGCCGTCATTCTTTCAAGTGACAAGCATGCGATTGGATGCGCGGCTTGATACCGGAAAAGTCCCTCAACGTGATCTCTTGACATTAGATAGCGTTGATCTAATCTTGATCAGGGAGCCCATAGTAACATGTGTGCACTCCTTTGTAAGTATCAAGATCCTATACTGGACACGGTGACTCGGATATGGCTATGAAGAGTAGCCTAACCTCTATGATATTACCTGTTGCCGTGGCTATTTCATTTATGCGCACCGATACGTGTACCATGGGGTCACCGTATCAGTGACTTCGTACCTTGTATTTTGGCGGGCGTAATACGAGGGTGCACCAGTGAGAGCCGGTGAGGGCATCTCGATGACTTGGGATGTCCCATACCGAGCACGCCGCATTTACAGGATGTCTGGAGAGATCTGCGAGTTAGGCGAAGCTCAAGGTTTGCCATACATATCGTTAATAGCAGTACTCACCATAATTGATCAAAAAATTCCTACACGGGAAGCGCCTGGGCTTGTAGTCATACAAACTACAAGTGCGATAGTGGCGTTGCCGTGAAGAAATCACCTGTGGTCCAGCATCTGAACATCATCTCTGCACGGAGACACCATATTCAATCGGTTCGGAAACGGCCGAAAGGGTATTTCGGTGAGCGAGTTTAGCCTGAGGGTCCCGATGTGCTAAAGGCCACGATTGGTCTGAAGCTTCTTACCCCCACTAGCCCTCCCCAAACCATAAACAACCCTACCAGTGGTTCACGGTTACCGTATGCAGCTGGCCGGTCATCGGACGCGGTTGCAGCCGTGCAAAGGAACCTCTACTCCCACTAGCTTAGTAGTAATCCTAAACAGAACGAGAAGGTCGGCGCGGTTGGGGTAGCAGTAGCCTGACGTGAACTTTCGCAGGTTCGAGGCCGCTGCCATCCCCACCATCCTAGCGTTCCTCTTACCTTAGCTAACATATACTTATCCTAGGAGACGGGTACCTGCAGCGGGTGCTAAGAACGTGGTCTGCATCGCAACGCTCTGCTGGACGCCCTGACTTATCCAAACCAGTCGCCACACACAACCCACATCCTCCCTCGTTCACTCTTTAAAAGAGAGCGCCTACAAGTTGGTCAGGATTAAGCTGAGAACTGTGAGCACGTTGGCTTACTGGGGTTCTAGTACATGCGTGAGTACTGTCCGAGATATTGAAACACAAGCTTTCAGACGGCAGTCGTGACCGAATCGTGCCACTCGTCCAAATAAATAAATGTAAACAGACGCGTCGCGTCTGATAAGTATGAATTAATTTATGTACAAGTTCTTAACCTTTAAAAACTCTTGTGAATTGATTCGCCTCGTACGGCACGTCAAGACTCGAGGTATGTGTACACAATATTGATGCTCGGCAGCGAGCACAGACAAACTCGCAGTTCACTCGTACAAAATGATAGTCTGAAGGGACAAATATTGCTCGAGGGCTGCGCCACAGTGCCACATGCGAAGAATTTAGGTGCGGGTGTGTCGGAGGATACATGCTGATGGTAATCATGATGTACGGACGCGGTGAATATAGATGTCGGATCCTGGTGACAGCGACGAGCCAGTGTAAGTATGCGAGGGTGTGGCGGGAGTTCGGCGGATCGAGTGAAATGATTGAACTAGGGGATATAATATTAATATTGCTCACTTGCATGGACAGCAATTTATACATTCACTAGCTTGTATACCATATATTACTGTTTGAGATATCATATATTACTCCGCTGCAAACCCAGACGCATTCGACCCCAAACATACGCTCGCGACGCGACGAACCTACTTCCACTCCCCAAGGATCATCTCCATAGTCTCTTCCACAGCCCACGCCCCAATCCGCGCCCAGCGCGCATCCTCTCTTCTCAAATACCTGGTAATCTCCTCCGCTCCAACCTTGCCTCGCATCCCCTTCGCACGCATGATCTCGCGTACAGGTGCAGCGAGCAATGTCGGCGTTACAGAAATATAAGCCTCGTCTTCCTCATACATCGGTGGATCTGAGAGATAGGCATCTTCTTCAGACATGACGAACTTGGACGAAGAAACACCAATAGAGGAAAACATCGTGCTATTGGCGGTTGAAAACACAGAGTTATTCGCACTTGAGCAACTAGCAGTGTTGTTCGCAGTCCTCCACAACCAGCTTGTGTCGCCAGACCCAGAAGGACGCAAACCAGAGACAGGGACGGGCATCAGTGGTTTGTCCCAGAGCACGATGCTACCCTCTTCATATAGCTTTAATACCGCCCATGAAAACAAGCGCTTCATCTTCACGCGCGGCATATCCATGGGCTTGTTCTTCGTTTGTGAATGCGCAAGGGTATGTTTCGAGGAGGTCTTCTGCATCTGCACAGCCTTGTCTTTCTCTACATCCTTCCCTGCTCGGGCACGCCGCTTCCTCTCGGTGTGAACCACCCGGCAAGCCAGAAGTGCGAGCTCTGGGACGCGGCGTAGGTGCGAGAGCGTGAAAGCAGGGCAACGGGGAGCACTATCATTCAGGGCAGATGCGCGTGGCGTCATGTCATGTGTTGTGTACACCGTTCGTGCCTTGGGAGTCTGGTCCAATGGAACACGTGGCCGCTTAGTCGGTGTTGAGAACAAATCATCATCTGCGTCCCAATCGAGAGCCACAGCAGCATGATCCATGTAATGCTTGAGGTACAATCGAAATGTGTTCTCAGTAAGGTCTCGCGTATGTAATCGGGAAGGGTGACGAAGTTTCGGTGGGTCCTGAAAAATGAAGGGTTGGGTGATGGTTGTATACAGTGCAGAACACTCACTGTAGATCCATGTTTGATTGGACTGGATGGGGCGGAGGTTGTGCTATCCGTAAGTGGTGAGGATGGGACATGGTCGTGTAATGGACGCTTCAAGGGCGTGCGGGGCACAGGGATACCTGTCCCCGATGCCAACGCACAAGTTTGTCTATTGGAAGAAGTTAAAATGTTGGATGTCGCAGCTGGTAGTCTCTCGTGCGAGTTTCCAAGCTCTTCCGAGCCAGTCTCGCATGAAGAAACAGCGAGAGGCGCTGGTATCTCAAACGGTTTCGGCACGGAATATCTCGACTTGTGAAGCTCCACGACGGTTTTCCAGTGTTTCCATTGGTCATTAGTTGACTGGCAGGGCTCTTCAAGTCCATTCCCGCGTTGCGAACAGCCATGTGAATACGCTCAGCTTGCAGTGAAAGATACGTGACGCAGCACTTACCAATGGATTCAACTACTATTTGCCTCGTATCGTAGAACCGGACAACTTTGCCAATTACTTGCACTGGGTAGCCGATAGCAGTGACAGGAGTGGGTGGTGGAGGAGGAGGAGGAATAGGTGACGTCGCCTCCCATTTCGATTTCTGAACCGAGCGACTTGCATCGGTATTCACTGGAGCTTTTGGTGGCAAGCGATGACGAAGCATGCATTCTATGACAGCCGTAGAGTCGTCGACTGTTGATTAAGCTTGGTAACTACTCAAAAGCTTAGCCACAAAAACTGTTCACTCACTTGTGTACAACGTCCGTTTCTCGTAGTCCTGGATTCCAATTACTATGCCAACAATGCTCACTGTTCGACAAGGAATGTGTCCCAGCCAGTAAAAGTCGGTATCTAGATTCACGGTTGGTTAGATAGGTGTTGCGGTTGATGAAACGAGGCAGACCTCTGGCATTGCTTTCCTTCATCGAGAGGGCGTCTCTGATGAAGCATGGAGCGGTCGCTTCCTTGGTGAATGTCCACTTCCAGATCTCTTGTGCGGATGGAGATGTGCTGGAAGAACTCATCTCATTAGACTTGAAGTTGTCAGCAGTCTCAATATTCGCAGTCACTCAGTGAGTCGTGAATCGGACTTCGAATCTGATGACATTGATAGGGTCGTGACGCCACCGACGCGTAACTGATATGTCCACGTGATGTCCAGTGTGACTACTACTAGTGTGCAACTAAGTGTCTCTACAATACATATCTACATAGTTGCGCAACTTCCTGTCTCCTAATGGAGACCAGGTCCAATATCTCCGCGCCAATCGTTATCGCGACTTCTAGAAGCCTGAGCCAATGGATTGAGGGCTATCGTATCGTCAACAAGGCCGAACCTCTGTGCGCGATCCGACTTCCAGAGCTCGAGATGCATCCGTGTAACGAGAAGGGCATGTATCGTAACCTGGAGGCTTTTGTATCATCCTAGTGAGCATCTCATTCCCGTCGACACCGACACAAACGACGTACTTGGAAGCCATATCACCGTACACAGACTGTCATGCCGTCTAGTAAGCACAGGAAGTCGCATAAAGGGTAGCTGTTGGAGATGCGCACGTACAGGGAGAACCCCTATGGCCAGGATGACAAGGAGCGAAAAGACTGGTCAAATGACCTCAGCCGCAAGCGCGATTTGCCAAGACTGTTTTACTACGCACAAACTCCACAGATGAAATAGAATATGTTGTGCTGAATGAGAGTATTGAGCAAGGGATTGCCGCTTGCAAGACTTTTGTAATATGTGATTGAGCGGTATAGCGTGAAACATATAATTTCTGTGAAGAAATTGGTCAAACCTGGTAGATATTTTCATTCGGCGCTCACTCACCAAATTCGCCGACTACTAGCAAAACATAAGCTGCAACAATGATGCGACTTTCGCCAACATTATAACAGCTGGTGATGTTGGGGATTGGAGGTTCAGATACTTGTAAATGTATCAGTTGGTGCCACTCTTTGGCAGCGTCGGACGGGAACACATACTTGTTATTGAGTTGCCAAAGCTAATCAAGATATAAACGACTGGGATTAAAATTGCCTGTGAAATGACTGTCATCTCAAGAGGGACGCTCGGGAGAGATCTAAGCGTACGGTGAAGCAACACAACAGAATGATCAATACCTTCCTGCTTCTTCCCCAGATGGCGTACGTTCTCAATATGAACATAACTACGGATATGAAGTTTCATCATGAAAATAGTGCAGAACGAAGGTCAAAACCCACATTCCGCAGCTACCAACGTGATTCCCTCAAGCCCTGTACATAAATGAGATATCTGTTAATCTTAGTTTGTTACGCACTGACATGAATTTATCGTGAAGTATGTCTGACATTGCTGTTTGGCACGTCAGACATCGTATAACACACTCTGAAGAAAGTACCTCACACTCAATGGCAAGGCGGGTTGCAATACCTCTACGCCATTTTCAATCATGCGAACAAAAATACGAACTGGGGCTCACGGTAGGTATCCGCCGCCAACAGCACAAATGGCAGATAGCGACACAACAGATACAGCATTTTGGCCTTCCCCCACTTCGACTTCCGAATAAATGCCAGCTTCAAAATCATTGGGCTCAGAGTTGTAAAGATGCCAATAAACGGAGATGGTGCACCTCATCATCGAATGTAATGATATAGTCGTAGACCTTTGTGAATGTCAATCGAGAAGCATATAGAGGCTTCGGCAACAACACAGACCCAAATTACAGTTGTAGACACTGAGTTGATTGATTCAGATGGGTCATATCTGGTGATCGACAAGTGTTTCTCTCACCATAAGCGTACTAAGTAAACCCGGAGTCAGAACCTGTGAGGTTAGCATTTGCATGACTCACGTTTAGATTTAAAAGAGTGCGCCCTATCACGAAGTCGGCTGGTGTATAGAGAGACATGGGGGGAAGAATATCAAACGGCGTACCACTCTTCTTGCTATCTATTATTTATAATAAGCCGGTAGATTCAGGGCCAAACACTTGACGGCAGTGCTAGCCTGAGAGCGGCTAACGACTCACTGGCAGCTCGGGTGCTACTTGCTTGCACTAGCACAGTAGCACGGTGCAAGGACACAATTGAGCCGTGGGTCGCTCATCGTCTCTGCCCATATCGGACGCAAATTATGGAATGGACGACATTTGCCAGGGCCCCAGTGCTTACTACAGTCAACGGCGCGACATGTATATGACGTACCAGGTGCATCAAGGCAATGCATCAATGCATGAAGTCCCACGAAATGAACAAATAGAACCCAAGCGCGTGCGCATGGCCTGTGCATGTGATCGCGTGCATCTGGATATTCCCAGTAGTACTAGTAGTGCCCATAGAGCGGTCTTGCTATGCCGGGCTGATCGGAAATAAGATGATAGACTCTTCAAGTTTATCAGACGTTTTAGCGATAATTATTTATTCGGCGATATTTTTGATGATTCCAGTCTAACGCGCCCGCGCGCATGGATTCAGGTCGACGATGAAGCGGAGCCGAACTCCAAGGCTGGTAGCAACTCCAAGGGAGGAGAGAAGCACGCCGACACTGCCCAGAAGAAGAAGTGAAGGGTCCTGGGCAACCGAGTATTTTACGTAACCCCCACGTCAGCCTGATCTGTAAAGTTCCCTTGATCCGGACTACTCTTATTTTCTTCCTGTGCCGCTACATCAATTCTCTATACGTCACACATTTGAAGAATGTTTTTCGTAATGTACAGGTGCCGAGTAATGGAGCCTGCCGGAATTTCTCGGCACCATACGTCCAGCTGAGCATCGATCGCGCTGTTCGCCTTTTCCTCCACGACATCGGGTTCGTCGTACCGCGTACATCCTCACTCCGATTCCTACTTACAGTCCTTCCTTATACCCACCTGCCACTCCCTTATTTTCACACTGCATTTCGCACTCCGTAATTCACGTTATATAGACAGCCGTACTGCTCAATGTGTCAATTCATACTCTATTATCTTCTACTCCATTGTCATCTGGCATGATTCAATTTCGCATGCAGGTTCCCGCCCTCCCAGCGGCTCCACCTGCCTGCGTCCCACCTTGAGCTAACGCTCGGTCCAGCCCAACCTATTAGATCATGTCAGCGACTTTCGAGCCAGACGAAGCTGGACCTGAGCATCATGATTATCTACCAATCGGTAAAAGTGGCTGACGAGATGTCACATGTCACTCTCGAGTTTGAGTCGGCGACCTTCATGGCATGACAGGGGGAGCTTGTAACATAGTATGCGATATAGAGCAGTCTGGCGATGCGGTACGAACTGAGAGACGTCTTTTGGTCCGGCGGACACTATGATACACGAACTCCTCTCCGACAACACACTATTATGTTAATTAAGCACCGTTATCTTCCAAATAACCTATGCGTTCGACCTCAAAAAGCTCCAGAGCTCAAACGGGTCTCCTCTCTGTCCTCGGGCCAAAATATCTTTTCAAGTTCCACAACTCTCGCACAAATACTCTCCATCGCACGTACAGCTGAGTGCGAATGCCCATGGTGATGTCTCGCGAAGTGCCTATTTGCCAGAGCCTCTATCTTCTGAACAGACTCTTCGAACTCCGGTGTCGTCCAGTTGTTTGTTAGTTGGCGGATCGCGTTCGCAGTATTGTCTTCTGAGTCACTTTGAGGAGGAAATAGGGATTTTACATGCTTCCACGCGTCGAGGAACACCTAGGTCCCCGGGAGCCTGTGTCAAGCAGCTTAATGTCAATTGCGAGGCTCACGCACCTGTGCCATTGCCCACAGAAATACGAGCCCCTCTTCCAACGAACCAACAGAAGCTACCCTTGCCATCTCAGCTGTGTAATCTCGCGTGGCTTTCCGTTCGATCCGACCGTTGATATCCAAACCCCATTCCTTTGCGACCCCTTCAAGGAAAGCAACCCCGCGAATCATTCCCTCCAAGCCTGCTGTCAGCAGGGCGAGAGTCTCTCTGTTCAATTCCTCCTCAACAGCAGGTCCATCGAAGGGAATTTTTGATATGAGCAGACCAATAAAACGGGGATATGCGTGTGCCGTATAAATGCGGTCCTGACAGAGCCACAGTGCAAGACGGGCTGGAGATAGGCTCAATGTACCAGCAGCTGTAAGAAATTCGTGCTGAGTGGCTGCGCTTAGATTACATTGGTCTTTCAGATGATGCGTGATATGATGCATGTGGAGGTGAGTGGTGGAGGTACGTAGTAATGTATATGACAAGTCGTCATACAAACCATCTTATCTTATAAGCAGTAGGGCACCTGACGTGGCAAAGCCTGCGCAGTACCACCTCCAACTTAGGGTGCCATATCATGGGGTGGACCCAGGTGACACCCGTACTACCCAATCTGCGGGTAGGTGAACTTTGAAGGCCTACCTAAGCCCGCACTCGTATACGGGTGGATCCGCAGATAGTGACAAATCGAGGACATGTAGTCTGCGCGCCATAGTCTGGGGTAGTGCTGTTGGCAATACTGCACCATTACGCCGCGCCAGTTTTGCCACTTGGCAATTGCCAGCGAACTTCCGTGGCAAAACACCAGAGGGCAACTTCGACAATCAGTTCATAGATTTGCCATCAATATTGAATCAACTTATTAGTTCAGGAATAATATAACCATGTTTTTTTTTTCCATTTGTTGAACTATATCATATTGTTTGCACCCCTATCCCAGACAGGGTTGACAGACTTCCCGGCGCTTTCCGGACAACAACTGGCAGACTTTGACACGGAGTCTGTGACTTGTCGACCGCACAGACCTCACGCAAACCGGCCACCTCCTCCCAGTAGTTCATCCATACCCTGCACTAGTACCAGTTCCATAACCCTTGCAGCGTCTTTATATCGCAACGCCAGCTTTTTCACGTGACAACCGACGACAGCTTGTGTTCAATCCGTCCAGCGGCTCCCTGTCGAATCGCGCATGTATTTGATGCCTCACCACCTGTGTTTCCTTCCCCTCCCTTCTTTGTCAAGGTGCGTTTTTCTTCACTGTGCTGCGTGCCTCATCGTTAACCATCGGTTTTCTCAGATGGTCGATATTAGCGCTCTGTATGACTGTCATGACACCCGAAGAAGTGTGCCCGTCCTGATTCTGTCAAATTCCTTCTGTCGTCCACGCGCCGGATTGGGTTCTGCACCTGACGAGGCCTTGTTTCCTCGTTATCTTCCTTTTATTAAACATCCGTTGCCCTCTGTATCCCGTCTGGGCATCATCTCGGGCTACATTGAGATGCTGTATGGCAGCGCACACCTCACTGTTGCTTGATGCAGATGTGATCCGAGAGCGGTTCTCGCCCAGGACGGTGTCCAACAGGGAAGGGTGACGTGAGTGGCAAATTTGGTAGGACACAGGCTCCAATGTGCGACAGGCATCACGAACTGGACGCTGCAAGATATACCGGACCTGCATAGGCTTTATCAGTCCGTGATTGAACTCTATGGAATTGAAGACATACCTGTCATGGTTCCCAATGTTCGCGACGCTGCGGGGGTGCTCATCCACCCGTCAGAATACAGCCAAAAGATCACAGGAGCTGTGCCAGTGGTTGTTGATGTTGACCTATGACTGTGAGTGTGCGCAGGTGCAAAAGGCGGAGGGTTCACCTGACTGTACACAGCTGGACTTTTGGTCCCGACGGGAAGCGTTCGAATGGTTCTCGAGTTCATCAGATCGTAGCGGTGCGTGCGCACCAAGTCCCCGACTCCCGCTTTCGATCATTTTTTCATTGCCTGGCTACTTGTCATCCTCTATGTATTTACCTCGAATTCTACTTCCCTCAGTCCAATTCTTGCATTAACACTGATCTCCTGTGCCGTTCCAGTGCATTCACACTGTACATATGCGTTTTCCCTTCCATGATTCATGGGGGCGGTGCCAGCACTCTTATGGCGGTGATTTGTGCTGTATGTGTTCATTCTGCCGCCTATGTTGTGGCTCGGTGTGAAGTACACCTGTACCAGCGCGCCTTTTAGGTGTCGACCGTATTCTCCCCCCATCCGGCCAATCTCTTGGGCAATGACGATGCGACAGCTGCACCTCATTCAGTTATCTCCATGGTTGAGAAAATGGGAGTCTCTGACCCGGAAAGTGTCAAAGTCAGTGGTCGTCAGTTCACAGCCTCTGCATTACGGCCCGGCCCGGGAACCTCTCTCCTGACACTGACAACTCCCTGCGTCCTGACCTCGTTGTGCACCACGTGGGCAATGCAATCCCTGATTACAAGAACCCATGATTGTTTCCTGGCATGTATCCTACCCTATATCCTCATGGAGTTGGTGGCTTCGAAGACAGCAGAATCAACACTGTGGAAGTCATGTCGTCTCAGCAACGACCCTTGAGTCCTCGAGCCTCACAATATTGTGCCGCCATCCACCAAAAACGCGAGGTCGTTCTTCAGTGCAAGGATAGCAATGTCAATTATTTCAACCCATACATTCTCGTGTTTTGTAGGCACAACCACGACATCAAGTGCATTTTATCTGGCAAAGGAACGAAAGCGGCAATGTTCTACATCTCCGACTATATTACAAAGATGTCATGCACAATGAGCGAGGAAATAGATTTACATTACGAGTTAAATTTGTACATGAATGAAGTAATGAAAAGTAGACTACTGCTGGGTGTTTCCACGCAGAGCTGCAAGCTTTCTTTGCGCCCAAGATGTCCTCCACAATGGCACACCTAAGTTAGCAAACACTATTGCTTCATTTGGGTTCGACACCAAATAGTCGGTGAGGAGCATGACATCATCCAACCCCAGACCTTCAGTATTGGAAAGAGCAGCAATTGCGCAGCCAAGGGACGTAGGAGGGGGGCGTTCAGGTTGGGTGGATGACAGCGAAGTGAAGGAGTCGATAAGCTGCGGTAAAGTCTGTGCGATCAGGGTAAGGGCTGCACTGCCCTCCAGCTGAGCCTTGGTAGCTGAGGAGGGGGGATAAGAGCACTTCTGCGACGATTTCCCATCACCCAGCACGCTGTGTTTGTGTTTGCCCTTCCTGAGCTCCGGCTTGGGGTTACTCATAGATGACATGTAACTGGAGGTAGGCGCAGCTGATGAGGGTTGTGGGGGAGCTTTTGAGAACCTAGACACTAATATCAGTATCCCTCAGTCTGGACTGATATTATGCAGTACCTAGACACCAATATCAGTATCCTAAGTACGTGCGTGAGTAATTAAATACAGCGAGACATATATAACTCACCCTCAGTCTGATATAACGAACTGAGGGAAGAGTGAGACGGCGGGAAATCAATCATATATAGAAGCTTCGTGCACCAATCATCGCACTCCGACAACATGCCGTGGTCGCGGCGCAAACTACGTGCACCAACAGAGCTCCACCAATGTCAGTAGTAGCTATTGAAGATATAGACTGTACACTTTGACTCAAAGACAAGTATGATGAATGCCTGAATAATTGCTGTGAGTAGGGGTTTTGGACGCGTAGTCGCCGGCACCCATATCTTATCTTATCTAGTGAACATTATCTAGTTCCTCACTTCCCTGGCAACTCAACTTCCCAAACACGCGCACATCCATCCGCGCCAGCGCTCAAAATACGTCCCGTCTTTTTACCATCGGTGGCATGCACATCACCGAGCCAAATGACACAGTTAACGCCCCCTGGACCCGCCCCTTTAACGAGAACGCGTTTCGAGATGCTTTCCAAGCTCCACACATAGAGGTTGGTGTCAAGAGATCCCGAGACAACATGGGTAGGAGGTGACGACAGGGCCGGCAAGAACGCCAAAGAAGATATGCGCGCAGTGTGCCAGTCCCAGCGAGTCGGGATAGGCTGGCGATCCATATCATTATTTCAGTGTACCCGACGCAGTGATTACCAAAACTTACCTCGCCAGTCTGTGAGTGATATAACGCGATCTTTCCGGCAGACTGTAGATGCCATGTCGGTAACGGGAACATGAATCAGAACTGGTGCTTGAATACTCACATTTCCTTGCACTATCAATGCTCCGTCACTTGAAACAGCTAACGCAGTTATCGTGCCCTCGCTTTCTGGAAGTACTCGTGTCTCCGTTAACGTATTGCCGTTCCAAGTATGGACGTGCACGCGCTTATCCTTGAGCACGATAAATCAAAAAATCACAGTTTATTAAAACGGAGATGCTCGCCTCTCCACCGACGGCAACCACAGTTCCCCCAGCGCCCACTACATTTGGTGCATATGGTGGTTTCAGCTCGAAAACCCGTTGATTGTGACGGATTGCTTCAACCGATGTGATGCCAGCGACAAACACGGTTTCGTCTGATGTCACTGCAACAGACTTGGGCTGTGACAATGAAGGGATGGAAGCAGGCCTATCACACCCATTTCAATAAAACAACGACATGGAATGGGAAACAACAAACGTGTAGGTGGATCCCTCGATCTCTCGGATTTGGTCATCATAACCTGTGGTGAATACCTTCCCAGAGCTTGCGGTCGCCATGCCAGATACAAGACTGGTGTGCAGCGTGCCTCCCACCAGCTGAACAGCATCTGAAGGCGATGTCGAGTCCGTGTTGTATGATAACACTCGCCCGTCAGCTGACCCAGCAAAGAACGTGCTCGAAGACGCTGACGAGGCTGCAGTGATCGCTTTTTGTGGAGCCTGTACGGAGTGTCATGCGAAGCACTATGAACTCAGCAAGGGACTGCATACTTGAAGGATGCGAGCTGGCTTATCTCCCGTGCGCGGATCAAAGATGTTCAAATCGCCAGACATAGAGAGTGAAACAAGGTCATTGGTGCCACTCCAGACACCGCCAACTTGCTGGTTGGGCACCCCACTTCCGACCGTCCAAGTCTGCAACGACTTACGGGCCTCGATATCCCCTGGATATGACGAATTCAGTCAAGTCAGTTAAGTGCAGTACCTTTGAGTGCGCACATAGTCTAACAGTGCAATCCAGAGAAGTCGTAAAGAATGACTTGCTGTCTGGGCTCCAAGAGCAGGACATCTAGTAAAGACAATGTGAATCTCCCAACTCGAATCACGCTTCCATCATAACTCACAACGGTCCCTTTGTGTGGGTTATCGGTAAGCTCTGCGACCGTATCACCAGTCTTCCCATCATAGAGAAAGATTTTCGAGTCTGAGCCCACGCTGGCAAAGTGGTTGCCTGAAGGTCCAAATTGAACGTCTTGCACGAATTTGGTGTGCGTTCTGATGGTCTTCACACAGTTTATAGTCAACACTCAGATACCGCAAAGAAGTTTCAGACCTTGTCATATTTGAAAGGGACCCCTGCAGGATGTCAAGAATTCAGTGTTCATTCGATGACCTCAAAGGCTGATTACCTTGATGAAAGACGATGGAATTATCATCGGAGGCGGTGGCCGCCCTGAAGGGGCGCTGAAACCTAATAGAAACAGCATTGATAACCTACTCGAGATGAGCTTGCTGGCTCATGAAGATGGTGACGACAAACCTTTGAGTGTCCACTGATTTGACCCGTCGAAGCGCCGGAATCAGCAAGAAAAGCAGTGACCAAATCTTCAAAACCACTATCAGTCTCTGTCCGCTCTGCATAAACATTCTGCTCACTTCTCTCTGCCATCGCCAACTGCAACTATCCGTTTGCTTTCGCCATCCCAGGCCAGGTCGTTGCTACCGATTGTGAGCAGTGTCACTCAGGTAAACTCCCAGTGAGAGTACACTACTTACACTTTCCCGGAAAGAACTTTGTATTCTCCCTTCACAGATTGATCCTCGCCTATGGTATCCCATATCTTGACTGCGGGATCAGATTTGATTAGCGATTGTTGTCACATATGATACTGGTAGATGCGCACCTGTTCCGGTAATGTCTGCAGATGCACAGTAGAAGCCAGATGGTGAGAAACGTGCAACAGTCGTGTTGTATGCGTGACCAGAGAAAGTCGTTGATAAGGCGGTATTCTAGGTGGTCCAGCATTGAATAAATATTGAATACGAGCCTCAAGATCAACCCTCACCTTAAGGTCACGGATCTTGAAGTGGATAGCCCATGAGCAAACATCATGAGGGTGTATGAAGGGCGACGACGCACGATCACAGTTTTGCCATTGGCATAAACAACCTTATCTTTGCTAGCTGAGATCTTTGTCGATGTTCCACGTACGGTATTAGGAGAGCAAGGATATAAAGCGATTCGCTTAGATGACATTGCGGGGGTAACTTAGTAAGTGTCTCTAGCGAGGGTAGACTGATCAATGAAACAAAAGTCTGGGCTGCGGATGGTTGTCAGGGGAAAGACAGATTGGGAAACCAGCAACTCATCAGTAACTAGTCTTTCAAGTTAGCCAGCCTAGCGGCTAGGTCTGGGGTAGAGATTAATTATCTTTGTTTTACGAATGTGCTAGCAGGGTCATGATCTGCTAAGAGTACTTTTACAAAACTCGAGACAAAACCCAAGTAGGAGTGGAAAATGAATGTAGATCAACAATGTAGCATAACCGACGATAGCCTAGAGGAAAAGAGAGATTAAATAGCAGGGGAAAGATCATTCATTCATCTAGTGGACATTCTTCAGTAGAATAGTTCTTCAGAGGATCTTTTCTCAACGCTTCTGCTTCAGATCCAATCACAGGTCCTCTCCCAACAGTTTTTGGTTTCATGACCGTCTCAGGTGCAAGCGTTGCAGCTGACGTGTTTATCTCAGGCTAAATCGATCAAGCAGCTGTCAGCAACTTTTGTGCGGCCATATAGCAAAGTTTACTCACCTCATCTCGAAAGGGTGTGAATTGAGGAGTGGACGGAATGCCGCCGTCGGGGACGTCATGGAATGGTATGATGGCGCTGATCCTCGTGGGAGTCTTCGGTGCTGCGTCCTTCTGCCTGGCCATGGGAACGGGAGGTGGAGCCATCACAACCTTCTCTTCCACGTCCATGTCTGGTCCGGGGTCTCTGAAAGGCACAATCTTTGATACAATTGTTCCCGAATTCGACCCAGACGCAATTCGTCGAGTGCGACCTGCCTGCTTTAAGGTGCTACCAGCTGCTTTGCTAACCTCAGGTACATTTTCTTTCACCCGAGATTTACGTGTTCCGATATCAGGATAAGGTGTGACTGAATCCGTTGTGTCGGCTGATTCTACTCCAGAAGGGTCCACGAAAATCTGGAGACGAGCGTTTGTGCCTAGCCGTGGCCTACGTCTAGACCCACTGGCATCGGCTTGTGATGACGAGGAAGGGGTTTGGGAAATAGATGCGAACGAAGGTACCGCGGTAGAAGACGAGGAAGTCACGCCCAACGCTGTTCTACGTGGGAGAGCATTTGGGGCGGGCTGAGAAGGTATTGTGGCTGCAGTCATCATTCGTTTCTGAAATTCACCTGTGCTTGGTTACAAGTTTATCAAGGGGGGAAGCCTGACGTGCAATTCCAAGCAGATATGCAGCATCTGCCTCGCTACGCCTGCGACGAAAACCCCGCTTCAAAATGAGCCTTGCGCGAAATCAGGCTGGAGCTTACCGTCCGGCTCTCTCAAGTGCAGCCGCGTGTTCCTCGTACAGTAGAGCATGATCGGTTCCAATATCATTTGCGAGCAAAAATTTGTAGATGATAGTCGGTTTCTCCACATAGCTCGCGTAAAGTACCCAAAGTTTCAGGTACATCGACGTCCCTTTCCATCGTCCTTCTCGGTTGTCTTTTAATACCCTTGTCGCCTCTTCCAGAAGCTCTAAGAGTCCAGACTCTGCGCTTTGTCCTTGGGGGTAATTTTCGAGAGTCCATTGAACAAAACGCGAGTATGCTTCCAGTGGATCATCATCCTCATCTTCGAGTGCAATTTGGATGTTCGTACGGAAGCGCTTACGCGCTGCGAGTAGTTGGGCATCCCGCTGTGCGTGAGGAGTTTGCAGGATAGCTGAAAGAGTGGTAACCCGACGACCAGATGCAAGTGGCTGGATATTCTCTTTAGCAGCCTCTAGGACGTCACAGTCCACGATTACAGGGGCTTGCTTGAACACGTCGTCTTCTGTATTCTCCATGTGTCGGAGAGAGAAAGCCTCGGATTAAGAGCCAGTGAAATGATGGTTGTATAAGTGCCAAGTGGCAACAAAACTAAAAGTCTCAACAACACGCTACGTGGTCACGTGAAACACGCGTGACCTGAGTTGGAGGGACTCTTTGGAAACATCGAATGAGGCGCATCACCGGCACCTACTATAGCACACAAGACTTGTTTGGCGGCGACCAACTTACAAATTTGCGAGGCGTAAGAGCTAATATTACAGCGACTAGGGCGACAATGAAGAGCATTCTGAGAATCAAGTTGAATTTATCAGTGTGACAACCGAAATCTGTAAAGTACTCTATAGAGCCTATGTAGAAAAAGCCTCGGTCTTTTCGATCGCCACAAGACTATTGCATACTAAAATTTGCGTGACCTTCGGATTGAAGGACATCAGTAGTATCAGATATCACGGGATCTGGCAGGGTAAGCACGAGAATAAAGACGGACGTACACGACAGTACTTCAAACTTCAAGCTTCATTGAAGGCCTGTTTCAAGTGCGGTGACACGCATCGCCAATTCCAAACAAAACTCGTAAGGCTCAGCCGGCTGCCAGTGCAAAACTGCAAGTGATTGTGATATTCTGTAAGACCTGTCTGTTGACAGGAAATGGCGACCTGCAAGACCATGCTAGATGTAGTGCATTTACCTACTGAACGGTTACTGGCAGTGTCAGAGGCGGGTAAGGGCGGGTACAATATTGATTTGAGTAAGTCAGAGAGGCAGCAACACTGCGCCAAGTTAGCTTTTCAGACTCCGCTAGGTCCTTATCATAATTAACCTATAGTTGGACCGTACTCAAGCTGTTGACTCGGAATACCAGTACTCGTGAATGCGGAACTTACTTCGTTTACAATGATCCGGGAGACTACGTGATCCATATATGCGGAACTTCTGAAGTCCGAGGTGATATTTACTCAGACCGACGTGATCCCAGTCGTAAGTTATAACCTTATACGCACTGCAGGCATATCTCAAGCCTTGCGACAGGTCCGTGGTATTACTGAAACAACTTCAACAGACAGACGGCACACCATAATAACTACGCTGCCAGAAATATGTCCGCCAACTCGTTTATCTGTTATTAATCTTTCACCAAACGCGGACACCGTGCACAACTGGCACTGGCAGAACCGCATCAACGAAATGGCAGAAAGTCTGATGGATATCCCTCTAGTAATTCCAGGGGGTCCACAAAGTTGTGGCCTCCTAATGAGCTCAGTGCTATGGTTTTTGTCTAGCTGCTGATTGGTTGCTTCTCAGGCTGTCAGCGCATCATTACCTAGTCCATCGTCCCACATATCTCACTGATGGCCTATCCGAGGATGCGATAATAACATAGCATAATAATGTCTTGACACTGAACGTCCGCCGTTCAGTGTCCATTCTCATGGCTCATGCATCACCACGAGGTCTGGTGGGATCCTTTCGCACCATGGCAGTCACAGGGGCATGGTGCCTATGCCGATAGTAATATGGCCATTTGTTCTGCTACATGTTAGACTGTCCGCTAGTGCTAAGCGCAGTCCAAGCACACGCTCGGATTATCGACGCAATGTTCGGCTATGAATTATTTATTCATTGTCTTGCTATTGATTCAATAATTGTTACAAAGTATGGACTATCATATGGATTATGTGGCCGAAAGTGTTAATATTTACAGCCGCATCGACTTCGCCCTTGGTCATCACACCAGATATTGACGACCAAGTCTGGAATATGCAGTGCATATACTCGCGTAGATGTGATCCGCTGAGCGCTCTGATTTCCGTCATTTTCTTTATGGCCTAGTCTCCGATAGACATGATAGTCTCGAGATATCATTCACAGCGATCTGAGCGCTTCCTGGTCAGTTCCACTTTTCTCTTGAACAGAGGTAATACATTATCCGTTACTAATTATTGTTACCTGAACTTGCGCGGCCGTAGTGGCCAATCACTACATCAGTCACACACGTTCTTCGAAAGAAACTTCGGGTTTCTTATCGTAATGGTGCACAAGCACCGAGACCCCGACTCTGACAGCTTCCGTTAGGATCCGTTACGCCCAAGTAACTCATGCTTGACATCGTTTGATGCCAGACATAGATTTCCCTTTGCGTTTTTATGGTTAGCTTTTCGAAACAATGCAGAAGCTACTCGGGTAACGGGTTACCGCGGACTACTGTCTCCGAATAGGATAATGTTCCTTGGTCATTTCCAAGTTCATCCCGGAACCTGTCATTCCCTTACCCATCGACGATCTCCCACAACGCACTAGCAAGCTCTTCCGCTATCGCTCTCCAAGTCCGTGCTCATAAGCGCACCATCACTCTTCCGCGTCCTTGCAGCTTATTCTACAAATCTAGCATAGCCCGTAAGGGGGATTGATGTAGAAGGTGCTGTGACAAGCAGGTGAAGTCATCCTCATCGACGTTAGTTTAGTCAGCATGCCATAATATGGATGGAAAAGACGTCGGCACGGGATAAGCAGGTGTGTGGATTCTGACCCCATGACGTGGATGAGTTCCGGATGCATACCATGCAATTGAGCGAGCCGTTACATGCCCAGAGTTCAGAGGTTCCTGTAGTGATGGCAAGTCACATCATGCATCGAATACTGCCTCGTCTTGATCCAGTAGCCCTCGAGTTACGTTTCGCCTCGTAAAAACTGTATGCTTTCCCTAGAATCAGATATTGCTTCGTCATGGTTCGTGCGATCAAGGCGTCAACATGGTCCTCACTTTATCTGATGAACCAATCGAGAAGTTGCAGTACAGATCGGTGGACATTGCCTCTGTCACAGGAAGGCTATGCCTCCCGGTTGTCCCAATCGAGAACATTTCCGCCAGTTCAAATATCCAACGATCATTACGATGTCCTCCCGACTATCTTTAAGTCTGTGGGGAATCAGTTGATGATATCCTTGTCGCCTGTCAAAGAGAATAGCATACTTCATCGAGATGACCGCGGACGTATGATACAAGCTGTGTTCTGCAATGTTCCATCAGGAAACCACACGTAGGGACCGCACAATGGAATTTCAGTGAGGAAAATAGCGGCGGCTGAGCTGAGGATCAGGCTTCTGTTCCCGGTTACAGTCCACTCTTTCGTTTCACAGCAGGTCATATTTTCGATGCGGCCCTTGCGCATGCGTTGGCTCCCTTCTATTTGATGGCATAAGCATTTCCGTCCGTACGATCGGACATACTCACCCGTTAACGTCACCCGTGTCTTTGGAGGAGTACTGTTGGCCCAAGTCGGTAAATCCATCAGGTTTCGTACGATCCAGAATAGCTTGGACGCAACCGCCCTTGAGGCAAACCTCTGAACGAGCACATTGCAAAGTTTCAGCAGTAGCATGGAGTACCGGAGCAGCTAGGGCAGTCAGATTCTCCTCATACGTTACTTCTGGATAAGAAAATAGACGAGGGTTTACATTTAACCGCGAAAGAAGGATGAACTCCATAGAGAACGGAGCGGCTGCGTGATAATACAATGGAAACTTCGGTGAGGAAATTTGATCTTGAGAGCGGCGGTTGAGCTGTTGCAGGAAACGAATATCATATGCAAGTCCCCAATATATATAGCTTTTCAACGTAGACCACCGGGATAATTTAATATTGGGAAAGTGATATCTGGAAGCTGATGGAAGCTTTGGAAGCACGATGCGTTATTGATAGTTTTCTTCGTGTCGAGAAACTATTTTTAAATGTGTATATGCCACTACGTGAAAGCGCATTCACTTACATTGTCAATGCCAGCATGATTCGGGCCCACGCCCAAAATGAAACTAAATTTTAGTGTAGAAGCCTTGAGAAACTCGTCGCAGAAGGAAGTCAGGAAAACATGCGGGAAGCCCCCAAAGGTAGGTACATCGTGCATCATTTGCATTCCCTGTAGTGGGGGGCGATTCAGCAGATGACTGGAAATGGCATGAAAAAGGGCCTACCTGGAAGTGATCGCATTTCTCGACGAGCAGAGGAAACGCCCCTTTCATGAGCTCTGCATCCTGTGGAAGTATTACAAATACCACAAGACAGGAAGAAAGAACAAGTACCTTATTATGTCGACGGAAGGGACTGCACCCAGCCTCAGTACAATGCATCAGGGGATGGCCTGTATGTATTCTCAATCGAGGAAAATGCGACTATCATCTGACTAGTATCTGATATTCTGCAAAACATTAGTTCATACGACGAGCAGGTTTCACAATCGCACTCGGTGAGTCCCCTAGGCGAGGTGCGGAGTAGTAGCCGAGTAGCACCGTAGCTTAGTCAGCCACTCAGTGTCCTTCAGGCTTTGTTGTAACGTAGTGCGTTGGCTGATTCTGATACACATACCTGAGGACTCCATCCTCCTTCGAACGAAAGGTGGAATGGACAGGGAGCTGGGTACTGTCACATTTGTCTGGCTGTCTTGACATCGAGACGACGAACGCGTCGATGAGTGCCTTCGGGCAGATAAGTCAGAACGAACGGCATGAGACTACAAATGAGTCCAAGACATCAAGCACAAACAATGGCGCTCGCAGAATCGGTCCCGAAAGAGATGCGAAAGATGAAATAGAATTTTCACAGATTGGGAAAAGCCCTGGGGATTAATCATTACGAGGCGGAACAGGCTGTAAGGACCTTAATCGTTCAAGATAAACCTGATCCGTAATTCGCACCTTCGATAGCACAATTCTGTGAATGAAGAAATGACCACTTCGCCGACACGCAAATGAAACCAAATGTCATACTGCATTTCGCTGGCCGTCCCCCGGTCATGCCGATCTGAGCCTAATTGCATGACCGAGATGAACAAAGTTCGAGTTAAGGGACATTGCACGGCGATGTACCCATCTAGAGCCTAGTTATTTGATGGTCTGCGAACAAAGGAATGTGAAGGTCTCATACCCTGAAACAGTAAGCCAGCAACTGACACAACTGAAGAGGAGTAAAGAAACAAGAAGTAAATCACGAGCGAGTGTACACATAGACGCACAAGCGTTTGCAACTAGTGGGGCATCCCGACAACATATAGTACTAACCACGAAAGTGTCGAAATTTGGTAAAAGGGTGCGCTTAAGGTTGGGAAGAAAACCGGGAGAATGGGCAGTGACAGCTTTTCCACACATCGGGTTGACGCCATTTGGGAATACGTTTGTGTTCGACAAATCTGCCCTCTCCCACTAATGGGAGTCAGGAAACACGAGGAGGATTAGTACTAGTAGCCCTCTATATGAAGTGATGCGTGCCTATCATTATTTAATAGCAAAAAAACTTCACTGTGTTCCTTCCGGACTTCAAAGAATTGTTGCCATCAAATTCGAACGGGAGCAACTCTTAGCCCACGTTCAATGGCAAAGCCCAAGGCTGCCCATCGTCGACAACAATCAACCTAAATTTAACACCATCTCCAGTGCAATCGTCCTTTTCTACGGGCACAGCGCAAAATCCTATTCTGGCAGGGAACAACAAGCTTAATTACGTTTTGGGGTTATATAAACTACTGCCCAAAAACGGATTTCTCCTGAGATGCTCGCGACCCATGCTCAACTCGCCGTTGTTTCTAATCACGATTACCATGAAAATTAAGTTTAGGTTCATTGAATATTCACATGCACCACAAGGCCGTCGTATCATCACATAGTAAGCGCAGCAAAAATCCAATTGCATACATACTAGTTACTACAGTTAGCCTCAAACTCTGAAAGTGCCCATATTCACTAATCATAAAGTACATACGTATAGCTGAATAAAAGACGTGAGACACTTACTTACACTTCGGAAGTTCCGACCTAAACTCATCACGCCAAGGCTTCAGGGGAAACTCTGAAATCAGTCAACTCGATATATATTGGCTACAAGTACGACTTGGAAATCAAAATACCATGATCATAAGGATCATACATGTCTAATTGATATCGATATGGAATAAAAACATATTCAGTACGATCACAAAATTCACAGGTCATGCTAACGCTAAAAAAACTCGTACAGGTACGTGACAAATTATTTGTGTTATCGTTGAGATAAATAAGTCCAGAGTATGAGCACCGAAGCCGATTAATCATTGAGCGGGGCCGACGACCTCTTGCTTGACTCTTGAAAAACTGTCAATGACCTCATAACTGAGGCCGAGATGTGCTTTGACAAGCTCGTGGGGGGTCAGCGCAAGCCACTGAGTGAGAGAAATATCCTGGAACAAAGCTGTAGGATAATGAGTTTGACACGCGGCATATAGTTTGAGACACAGAACCTGATCTGAAGATTTCTAGAAACAGTAAAGTGGTAGTGCCAGTATTCTCAACGTAATGACCTAAAAGATATTTAGAAGAAATGTCAAACACAATTACGTTAAACCATACCAAACGATGGTGGGATGTATGCGATATCGCCAGCCTAAAGCAGAAAAACACTTGCTGTTTGTAACCGCCGATTGACAGGGATTGGGAGACTTACTTGGAAGTCCACTGTAGTTGCCGTAGCGGAGGATGCATAAACGGTAATGCGAGCCTGGCCCGAACTGGAAAGGTTTAGTTGGACTAAACCTCAGGTAAACCTGATACGTACATGAAGTAAGTCCACTCAGGTTCCGTAGGGTGCCACTTCACAAACAAAGCTTAGGAATGCTGTATTTTCAAGACAGAAGGATTTCCTCACGTGAAGCTCCCTAACAACACAGGCTGGTTAACTCGGGCTCTAAACAAAGATAGGTAAGAATCACAAACCTCATACCGCCCACCTCGACGGTTACTTCGGCGGTGCAGACCGTGGTAGCCACTTCGAAGGTACGCGAGTCTACGACCTTGTATGAACCTCCAGGTGCCTGCGTTGCATTCACTTGTGACATGGCGAAGGTAAAAGGCATCGGGGTGTCATTCGGAACTACCATGTCTGACTCAATATTCTCCGGAGGGGGTGTAGCTAATGATGACGTAAATTCATGCAAGTGACCAGAACGGGAAAAACTTACATGGGAAGATATATAATTCCTTGGATGGGATGTGATCGAATGCTGAAATATTTACCTGGAAGTTCTTGGCGATAACTTCTTTGGGCACATGGGCCAGCCAGTCCTGTAGATCATGCTCAGGCAAGGACTTGCACACCAGACAAACAACCGACCGTAAGAAGAAAAGTGGAATCTTCACTGAACGAGCCGGAGTCGAAGATCAACAAAAACTCCGCGCCAGCAGCTGTGGTGTTTTTGGCCTGAATACTGGATCGCAGTTCAGCTCGTTGCCTCAGTGGAAAAGAATACACATACCTGTGGGGATAACCTGCAGGGAAGTACCACAGATCTCCTTGTGACTGAATCGCAGTTTAGGCAAAGCATGTGAGCGGGTGCGATGTACTTACAACATCGCCGACATAGACTTGGCCATCCGGAGTCACAGTGCTGATACGAAGGTCACCCGAGATAACATATGCCCACTGTAAAGGGACTATTAGTACCACGATCAGCAGTTTGAGAAGACGTATACCTCGCCATCATTGTGCCAGTGCATCTCACGGATGGCACCTGCTTCCAGGCGCATATCGACACCTGCCAAATCGGTAGCGACACTCATGTCATTTACTGGCAAGTCGCAGGTTCATCAATTGTAAATAAGCCATGACATGAAACACATACTATTCTGCTGCCTTGCCCAACCACCAGTCTGAAGGCGGTTGGCGCTTAAGGAAAAAGGCCACTTGTAGTTTGGCCTAGTATGCAGTTTAAGAAACGAGAAAACACCGTGAGATATATGCCTTACACAGAGCCTTCATCGGTGGTAGGAGGAGCAAAGAGGTCGGTGTTTTGCAGCTCCAGTGGAATATTTTGTGGTCCAAGGATGGTAGCTCCAAGGGTGCCACGAATAGGCTCGGGGACTATATCTTCGAACTCATTCCACAGAGGGTAGTTGGGATCATCACTGGCATAAGGAACAGTTGGAGTAGCCGCCGGAGCTGATGCTACTGATGAAGAAGCTGGCACAGCAACCGCAGATGACAAGAGGGCCAAAGTCGAGAAAATTCGGCTCCACGAGTGCATTTTTTGGAGTATGCAAGAAGATGAACCAAGAAACTTTAAAAAAAATTACACTGAGGAACTGCACATTGCAAGTCGATCCTTTTATACGGTTTAGTGAACCGAGGTTCCGTCAGTGTTAACGTACTAGAAAAGGGTCGCCGGACCAGACCACATTGAATAGGGACGCGATATTTCCGGGAGTATTAACAATAACATCACCGTTACACATAACGGTATCTGTTCAATTGAGGGTACATTGCCGGCTAGGTACATGAATGAAAACTTCGCATGAGGACTATAATCTCATGGCAGCACATGATTGGCGTCATTTTCAGAATGTATTTTTTACAGTGTCCCAGAATGGAAATTTGGGCACATTGCCGACCCTGTTTGAAAGAAGTTCATGCCCAAGTTCAAGTTGGCGGTATCCCATTGATCCTTCTCCTATGTGACTTACTAGCCCATCCATGAGGATGGAGGAGCTGTGGTCTATTTTAAGCCCCAAATCACGCACAGAGGCCATTGATACCGTCAATATTCTAATAACATCTTCCAAAGTCGTGAAACTTGTCGAACACCAACTTGCAACTCGCGGCTCTCTATGGACGAGCCTCAACACTACTCCACGGACGAGTTGTCTAAGAAAGCTCAGAAAGCACTTTTTGGAAGCGCTTGTTGACCGCCTGGAATCTGGATATTTTAGTGCGGCGGGGTTGTCTAAGAAGACGCATATCCAATTCACGGAGATAGTCCGACTATTCATGTCAAGAAAGTCAGACTCGACGGAACAGTGAGGTAACTTACGCGCTCAACCATGCTTAGTAATTCATTGATCTTTCTTGGAAACTTCAGTCACCGCCAGAGATTATGAACTCACTCTCGGCGAATTCGGGTTTTGGAGCCAGCATGATCATAGCAAGATGAGAAGCAGGTGTTCTCATTGATCGCCTTTCGTTCCTGACGGATCGAAGTTGGATACTGAATGCGAAAATAATACCTGTGAGACGGGCCCCGGTCAATCTGGTTCAGGTGTGCCACGCTCAGCATATAGGTCATTGATTCTATTACTGCTCACCCATTTTGATTGTTGCGATTTCATATGGGCGAATATATCACACGAATGGAAAAATCGGGAATTCTCGGGAGCACGCGATTCTAATTCGACGCAGTGCATCAAGGTTTCAACTGCTTTCAACGAGTCGCACTGGTCCGGGCCCCTTACCTCTGTAATGATCGTATCCTCAATAAGCGAATCACCTCACCAATAGGCTCCTGGCCACAACTTGAAGCTAGATTTTCTGCGTACTTTACCCTGACATGTCTTTCACTTGTGAGTCCACGGGTTTTGGACGCTTTACAATCTGTCAACTGCTCCATCCCTTCCGAATCTGGAAAACATCTATAAGGTCCTGCTAGATGTATTACAGAGACCGTATCTCCCTGCTTGGCTAAGTCGGTGCACGCAACTCTACATTATATTTAGTTAGCGGCACCATTAGGAAATGTGCTTACCGAGCGGCGGTTGAGTGAGGTCTTTGCCACTGACACTAATAATTTGATGCGTTCAGGGACTCGTGTTTCGGATTTCCCACCCTGTGAGGAGCCAATCTACTTCGGAATGTTAACAGGGCGCTACACACTCATTATAATTGGTGTGCCTACTACTTTGATTCTGCCCTAAGTTGTTCTTAACTAAATGAAGGACTCTTCCTGATACAACCGTCGCCTTGAGACTCGTCAACGTTCAATGGCGGTTAGTCTCGACGAAAGGCACTTTAAGACAAGCACTAGTATAATATGATACATGACTAAACGCAAAATTGCACATAACTCAAGTGGACTTGTTCCCCCTGTGGGGAACTCAGATCTAGCTCGGTATCCCGACGGTCCCCACATCGAGATTAGCACAAAAATAGCTGCCGGTGAGTGAGCTATTTTGAAACACACCTAGGAGATTGTGTAAACTTTTTCTCAGATCACCTTCGTTCGATCGCTGGATTGCTTACTGGTCGAGAATTTAGAGATTGGATTATCTATATGACACCCATACTCCACGGCGTCACCCGAACCAGTCTGCGCAGTTCCTGGAAGTTCCGCGCACGCCGCAGAACGTTTGGTTTCTCATCTCAATTTCCTAGTATATGTGCATTCTAGCGAGCATGGAGTAAAAGACTCGTGACGCCTCACATTCTGAGAAATGATATATACTTATATCCACTTTTAAAATATCGTCAAAAGGGGTTGGCTTCGGTAACGGCACCGCATATAACATAGGGAGCTCACACCTGGGAGCTTAAGCGCTTACGGTTTATGCTTATGACCCCGACCCCCGCAGATGTAGATTATGTAATACGATAATACTGCTCGTGCCTATGGCACGAATTTCTCTCCATGAGCAGTATCTGCATGCATACATGTTGATCATGGTTGTCCGTACCATGAATCTAGAACTGTCCCCCAAAAAGGCTCCTCAATTGTAATTTCTGCTGTATTATCATAGTGATTCGACAAACACGCCAAGATTCTACACGAGCGAACACCCGTTCTTGCGTGAGAGTTTATCCATTCTTGTCACGCGGACCGACGCCTGTGGCGACGGCAATGACAGTTGAGTTTGGACGAGACGAGACGATGCGGTGAAGAATGGGAAAGTACGGGAGAACTCATTTATCACTGGATGTATTCTATGGCATAGTCAGAAAATGGCCGCGAATCTGAGGGTGAATAGCGCTTACTCCCTTGTCCCGCTTCCCGAGTAAAACAAGCCTGTTCTCGTCTTTCTCGACCTCAATAATGCACTGGCAAAGCGGCGCTCGACAGCACTCGACTATAGACGCGGCAGCGCATGTAACGTATTTCAGCTTGTTTACACCCACGTACGAATTGGATAGTAAGGGGGGATGTAAGCATAAGCACCGATAAGCATAAACCGTAAGCTCGGGTGTGAGCTAATAAATCACATGTTATGACAGTACTGGGCCCCACTTGGATGCTCTTGGATGGCACTTTACAGAGTAGAGTAGAAGGGGATATATCCAGTGATGGCGGGGGACACATGCCAATCAAAGAACACGGATTAAATCCCTAAGAAAGTTAAAATGCCCCATTTGTGGCGGCCGAGCGGTTGACCCTGATCCAAACGGCTGTTGCAGTAGGAGGAGGACTGCACTTCTACAGGCAATTATCGATGACTCGTCACCAGATCACTAGTGTGCAAGTAAGTGGGCCATGAACGAGAGCTTAGGGAGGCCAACCAAAAATCACGCAAATAATGAGCAGCACTTGGAGCATAAAGAACCGCGATGTTCCTAGATAACAGTATGATGATCAGATATATTCACATTCGAATAGCAACATCCCACGGCAACAACGACAAATGGAGTGATGGCAAACAGTGGCAAACATACCATGACCCAGACTTCGATGCAGCCTCGGACTCTAGAGCTTGGATGGCAAGCTGTGGCAAGTGAGAGAGTGAAAATGTCACAGAAAGACCAAAAATAGAGGATTGAGACGCGGGAATCCGGAATCGGGTAACGTGAGAACACCAGTTGTGCTGGGAATAACAATCTGATATACCAGAATGGGGGGAGGTTGCGGAAACATCTTATCGAATGTATGATGATGTGTCACTTGAAGGGCAGGCAAGGGGATCTCGCCCCTCACAGGACGGACAACCTCGATTGAGAAGGATGTGTTACAATTCTAACAATTCGCACGTCGGAATTTGTCAGAGTAACCTGTGGACCCTAGTGTCAGTGGGAGGCATCTCCGAGAAAGCATCAATCAAGGAATCGAATGGGCATTCTGGGTTGTCAGCCAGGTGCCTACTGCATAGCTATCGCCAAATATGAAATTTCTCGAGCTGCAGAAAACAGGTGGAACACTTTGACAGATGACGAAGATCCCTGCACTGATGTTATCGCGAAACAATTCGACAGATGACGAGGATCCCCGTACGGATGTGATCGGAATGAAATCCACTTGCAGACGGATGATGCCGTTTTGTGCATCACTGTGGGGGTACATTCGTAGAAAAAGGGAACTACACGTGCGCCGCGACGTGCTCGAGGTCAGCGGTCGAGCTCAAATGGGACAAATGGTTCGCAAGCTGTGCTGCTTGGCTGATCGGACGGGAGGAATGTTGTATTTTGTGTCATCTGGTAAAACCGTGACCCGCCAACATAACTTTTCAGGTAGACAAATACGTGCGTAAGTCCGAGGGGGATCTGCATAACTATGTTGAACGTGAGCTTATGAAGCAGAAAGATCCATCTCATAAGACCATACAGAGGATCTTCATGATGATATCACGGAGACATACATCACGCGAATACTGACTAGTATTTTGGGCACAGTCTCAGAGATGCGAGGGACCCTCGTTACGTGAGAGAGGGTGAAACTCACCATTAAGATGTCGAGTATTTGTACTAGCTATGAGAACCGCCCCATGGCATATCGAACGCATCCACTAGCGGTAATCATGCTAGCTCATGCTGCTATTCGCTGCTGGACAGTTGCTTAGAACAACTCGATCTGGGTCAATTGGGCCGTGATCATGATTTGAAAAGTAGTCAAGAACTAAAGCTGAATTTAAAGCCTGATCATCGATGTGCGCATCGATTGACCACGCGTCGCTGATATAAGCTTTCCACGCCCCGATTTTTTACTCGGTGCTTAGGCATTGCAGTGACCACTTCGAGTTGGTGACTCAAGGTCGTTTATTTGCCCATTGACTGCGTAAGTTTTTACTATTAGATCAAAAATAGACTGATAGAGAATTCATCTATTGAATATAGAATCGAATCGGAGTAGTCATCTTATACCGATAATCAAGATGGCTACTGGATATTCTTCTCCGACTTTGCAGGATATCGAGGTTCCCCAGTCTCATCCATATCTTCACGAACCTCTGCTTTATATCTCCAATCTTCCTCCTTATGTCACCGATGAAAATCTTGCCATGACCTTCCAGCCATGTGCTCCATTCAGACCCAACATTGCGCGTGATGGCAGTAATCGCCCTCTCTCAGGAACCATAGAATTCAAGTACCTTGAGAAAGGTTGTGCCTGATTTGCGCGTTCATTTAAATATTTCTAACTGAATTGTTAATTCGCACAGCGGAGAAGGCTCTCGCCACCTTGCAGTCGCGTCCGATTCAGGGTTTGCAACCTTCCGTGTTTCTGGTCCTATCTCCATATCCACCAACTACACCGCCGACACCACTCCCCCCTCCATCCGCTCTGCCACGTCTTGTAAAGCATCTTCCAGTTGGCTTTACTGATTTCCAGCTTTATGATTTATTCCGATCATTTGGCGCTCTTGCGTCTACTCGGACACAGACTGGATTTGGAAGTGATACCGGAGTTGTCGAGTTCTGGCGTGAAGAGGATGCACAAGTTGCTGAAGAAGCCATGCACTGTGCTGACGTTGAAGGACAAAACATTGCTGTAACAGTATACCAGGCGCGACGTACCAGTGGTACTGTCTCTGAGTTCAGCGCCCATGCCCCATCATTTGTCCCATCAGGATCTGTATTCCCATATCCTCAAGTTTGTATCTTAATATCATCATTGTTGATCGGGCCCACTAACCAAATATCAGTACTCGCCTCCTCGAGTGAGTCCATACCCTGTTGCAAGAACCCCCATATTTGTTCATGGCCCGGGTCAGCAAGTGCAACTTGCCCCATTATCGGGACCCGGATCCAGTAGTCACAGTGGTCTGATAGACCCTTGCAATCTATTCTGCAAGGTTAGCATTTCATCACATCACTCTTCTGAAGGTGCTTATCCTCGGATGCAGAATTTAGATCCCGAGATAAACTCTAACGGTCTTTTCGCCCATTTCCGCCAGGTATTGATATTTTACTTTCTTGTGTTAAATCATTCATATCACACTGTCGTGAAATCATAGTTCGGTCAGATTGTCAGGTATGCGCCATGTCTTTTCTGCCGAAAGACGCCCTAACGGTCAAAACAGTGCTCGCGTGATGCGGAACGAGAACGGCGAGAGCCGTGGTTTTGGATTCGTTTCCTTCCAGACTCCCGACGCAGGTATAATATTCCTGTTTACTCGACATTCGTAATTATTAATTACATGCCAATCTAGCTTCCGCTGCTATGCACGCTATGAATGGTGTCGTTCTAGGCACAAAACAGCTAGTTGTCAGACTTCATGAACCAAAACAGTTACGGCAAGAGAAACTCGCCCAGCGGTTTGGCCATAACGGACATCCTAGAAGTGCAAGCGGAGCAACAAGTCCTACTGCCAGTGAAGCTGGCGAGAGCTACATTGGTTTCTCCAGTCCGCGCCGTGCTCCTTCTGTTCTCGGCTCGCCCGTTATGGGTCATATTGACCGTCCGGACAGAGGCAGGCGGGGCTCAGGCAGTTACTATAATGTAATACCTCTTTTCTTTTTCACCACCTAAAATGAATATTGACATGTTTACAGGCTGCTCTTTCCGGTACTCTTAATTTGCCCATGCGCTACGATGATCTTGCCGCGCTTTCACCTGTGGTGAGGAAGGAAGTTCTCACAGGTGAACTTAGCCGGCGAGTGAAGGCGAGTGACACTGTACCTGCCAACGAGGTCGAAGCGATCGTTGAATCTTTGGTATCAATGTCTCTGAGCGAAGCCGTCTCCGGTATTCAAGATCCTGCCAAATTCGCCGAACAAATTGCTACTGCCCGTAATTCGCTCAAGCCTGCCAGCACACCCTCACCTATGAAGTCACCCTCTCCCTCGAACTCTCAGGATTCGCGTGTGCTCGACCCCAGCGCTCTGAATGCTACTGCCTCGGCGCCAGAGCATCCATCTACCCCTATTTCAATCTCCGCTTCCCTGTCCACACCTCCACGCACCTCCTCTCCCTCTGGCTCGGTGCCACCTATTTCTGAACAAGATCGCATGGCTGTGGCTGTAAGCAAACTCGAGTCATCCAGGCAGGCCGACCTCGTCGAACTTCTCATGAGTCTTCCCAAGCGCGAGCGTGCCCTGTGCCTGTTCAACGCTGATGTTTTGCGAGCAAAGATAGCAGATGCGAAAATGGTCCTGGATAGTGATGATGGAGATGAGGAACAGCATAAGCCGGATACTCAGTCTATCCAATCTGCTCCTGCACAGCCCGTCCCAGCGACGCCTCAAGCAAAGAAGATCGTTGCAACTATTGAGAGCTCTCCCAAGACTCCTGCATTGTCATCCAAGGGTCCCTCTGCTGCATCGTCCCCCGTGCCAGTTACACCTGGATCTTCTTCGTCACATACGATCGCATCTCTAGCACGTTTACCTGCTACCGAGATTATTAAGCTCGCAAATTCATCGTCAGCAACCGGCCTCCCCCTGCCGAAAGTAGATCCGTTGGTCGTCAAAACTACAGATGAGTTTATCGACAGCCTTATGGATAAGCCAATACAAGCACAGAAGCAACAGCTTGGCGATAAGCTGTACGTCGGCAGTGGCATTTCCAGCTTTACGGAAATCTAACTTTGTGATCAATTCAGGTATCGAGCTATCAAGGCATTTGGTATCAAGGGCGCAGTAAGTTTCGGTTTCATCGGTGCTACTTGTGCCACTGAACGCTTCTTTCAGCCTAAACTTACCATTGGCCTGCTTGATCAAGACGATCTCCGGGCTCTAGCTCATCTTATGAATAGCTACCCTTCTGTGCTCAAGGAAAAGGCTCTCCTCCTTCAGGCCGGCGGCAAGTAACGAGCCATCTACCTGATCTCCAGCACATTATCTTCTATTCTCATCTTCATTCCAAATTTGCCTATTCGCATCTGCACTATACCGTGCACTACACACTTCTAGGAATACATTCAGATCAATCACACCTTCCATCATTGCCTTGTGCTTCACTTTTACTGTCCAGATTCTTTTGTCTACGATTATTTTAACCATCCAATACGCTTTTGTTACCTGACACCACATTCTTCTCGCGTTTGTGACCTGGATTTACGACTTTACGAACCTTATTCCCCCTGATGTTTGCTTCGCATTACCGCCGGCCTCAAAATTCTCCACGTCCTCCTCAATGTTACGTGTCGCGCCTCATACTGAATATTCAGTTTGTTGCAAACCATGATATAGGATTAGAATCAATATTGAACCTCTCGACTTCATAGAAATGTAGACTGGTGACCAGCCCGTCTAATAGAAATGGGGATGATTTTGACTGGATAGAATTTTGGGCAGGGTGTGGGCGCCACACTGACGTTTATATCTCAAGTTCTATATACCTTTCTAGAAGGAATTCTAAATATTGTTATCAGGTTAGAGGGGCATTCCTGCTAGGGACGTGTGCGTGCCGTAGCGGCTATGATCCATGGACATACTTCTTGTTTACTTCCAATGGATATTTTAGTTAAGGTATGTAACGAAATATGGGGGCCTGCAAGACCCTGTAGTTAGGGAGAACACGCAGAACCTGCTTGTCCCGACGGTGACATAACTGGATTGGCGGTTTTTAGCGCCCAATCATGGGGACTGCATGATCCGACTTACGATCAAAAACTATTCCAACCAGTATATCCTCGGTATACCCTTGCAAATAGACCGTCAGTAGGATTACAACTAAAAATATGTAGAACATACTTCAAAAATAAATAACAGTCGGCCTCCAATTCGCGACCGACAAATTTGCATGCTAAACTCCAAAGGCGATGAGCCCACTGAATGGTCCTGCGGCTGTTGTGAAACCAAATAAATACGCAATTCGAGAACAATGCTCTGCTTTTGTGGAGACTATCAGTGACAGAAGGCTAGCCCGATCCATCAGACAAACTGTGGTCCGATAAGAATTAAAAGTACAAGACTAGCGTAGGCCCGAAGCCTGCTTCACATAATCCCAGCGCAGCTATCAAGCTGGGAAAAATGAAAGTCGTTGCCTACGATCAATTCCACCTCGTGTAATTTTGATTAATTTGCCTGCAGACCATGAGGGTTAAACATAGACCTCTAGCCAACGTCGGGGGTTGAAGGGCTTCGATAACACCGTGATTTCTTGACAGAAAATCTATCGTGTTGCGATCAACTTTCCTTCTTCAGCCAGGTGCACGTTGACTCGCAAATGTGATAAAAAAAACAGGATTGGCCATATCAAATCGTACGCATGTCCCCCTCAAGCGTGTCCCGTGCTAGACCCATTAGTCGAGCATTGCCGACGTTGGTACGATCTAAGTCTGATACTTGTGCCAGTGACGTTTGTTTCTCGAGCAACTCATGTAAAAGGACTCGGATGTGCCTGCAAGGAGATATAGCAAGTCAGCGGTAGGGTTTTCCGATCGAGGTTCAGAAGCTTCTTCTCATCTTCCAGTGTTGAAGGGTCTATTGATGCGGTGATTTGAAGTTTCTCTTAGTCACCAGAATATTCTCCGACTTGATGAGATTTATATCAGTGATGCTGGTAGTGAGAAGAAGGGGAAGTGATATCAAATATTGTCAGGATTTGAAGAAGCAACAATACATGTGCATTTCATCGATTACGCGTGCCGCAATGAATCGGATGAGAAGCAATGATTACTTATATGCTACGGGACGTATCGGAATCCAGGAGCCTATTGATTGGTCAGAACAAACATTTACCTTTCAAGTCAACTCCTTACTTTGTCTGCAAGCTCCGACGTATCTACCATATCGTCTGGATCTGGTTTGCCATACTGCTGATCTCGCTGCATGTTGTCCAAACGGAAGGAAACCTTTGGAGAACATCAGAATGATGAATTCAGGTGATCCCAAAAGGAGATCTAGGCTTACGCTCAACATGAGTGCACATAGTGCCGCCAAAAAGAGCAGGAACGCAGAAACTGAAGTCAGTTCGTCAATGTGGCGGAAGTTGCGGTATGACTGTCACATTACCGGTGAATCCACTCCTAAAAGACCGTGGATTAGGTGAGACATATTCGTGTGGAAAGATCGGAGGACGAACGTGTAAGCGGGACCCTCAGTCAAAGGGTAGAGATGGGATCCCAAGATGCCTCCGATTTGCCCAATAGCACCGTAGAGAGGAATCCCAGCAGCTCTCTTGGTTTCAGAGCCGAGATTATGGCTAACTATTGAGTGGAAAAATTAATTGAACAGTAGATGTATAGAAAACCAAGCATACACCAAGCGTTCACCAAGCCGATGCTCGAGTAGGTTCCGCTAGTGATAAGAAATGTTGCGCCATAGCGCACATCTTCCTGATGGGGAACGCCAAGCAGTATCCTAGAGCGGAATCCAGATCAGCACTTGCATCCTGTCCATGAATAACAGCCTCGTTCACATATAACCTAGACCACCGATTGTACTGGTACAGACAAGTAAAGGTCCCCTAATCTGTAGCCTGTCGGATGAGTAAGACGCAACCATGAGCACGAAACCGGCTATAGCATATGGCGGCACTGTCATCAGTTGAGCCATCGCATTTTCTAATGTGAATTCGAGTCAAAAGATAGTTTAATGATAGAAATTATAGTCTTACCATGCCCCATGGTACCAATGATAGTGGGTAAGAAGGCCGACAACGATGCCAAGGCACAGTTGAGGCCAAAGTAAATTACCCCACCTACGTAGATCTACTGTTTATATCAGATATCGGGTCACAGAAATGCAGATGCAAGGCTTGCCCTCCAGTCCTGGAAAGCCGCAATGACGTGACCTGTTCATCAGTCAGAACCTTATGCTTGAATTAATTTTATGGGTATTACTTCGACGGACAACTGCACCAAAGTCACCACTTGTCCCTCTGTTCATGCGGCTGATTGCGATTTTACGTTCCGCTGCAGTAAGGAACTTCGTGGATTCCGGACGATCTGGAAGTATGAATAGACAGATTAAACCTAGGAGCATTGTTGGCATGCCCTGGAGGGCATATCATCAGTGCATGGCTTACATTCCGTCCGACGAACATACCTCTAACAGGAAAAGCAACCTCCAGTTCGCAATCGATACCTTGACATGTTGAATCCCGTAAGCGATGAGCCCCCCAAATGCCCCTGCGACGGCCGCAAACCCGAACCAGTATGCGATGCGAGTACCGCACTCGGCCTTGGTATAGTAGAAAGCTATTAAAAAACGTCAAATCCAGCAATCACATATTGAAAATTCCACAACTCACAGAAGTATAATACAACAGCACCTCCAAAGGCTGCTTCGAAAGTTCCTAGCCCAAGCCGAGAAATCATCAAGCCAGTGAAAGTATGCGCGGTTGCCTGAGTAGGTCACGTGTCATAAAAACAAAAGAAATATGGATGATAGAGTTCTCAGACCATTGATGTAGAACATATCCCCCATAAAATAGCAGAGCAGCCAATCCATAGGCGTGGATTGTAATACTTCGAGAGGACCGTGAACGGAATTTGCAAAAGTATCTGTGAGCCGCGTTGTCAGTAATTGGCACGCGACCGAAATCCAAAAAAAGGAAAACTCACATAGGTGAAAAAGAAGGCAGAATTGACCCAGTCAAATAGTACCCCAGTTGGATCTCCACCAAGAACATCTCCGGGCAAACCCTGTAATCGAGCATTGCCCAGGTTTGACCGATCAAGGTCTGCCGAGTTCAAGAGTCAGACTGCTTGATTGGTTTCCCGCCAAAATTAGCGAGGACGCGGTCGAACACTCACAAGCAAATAGGTAAAGTAGGCACAGTATTGGCAGGATCCTCTTATCTAATTTCCTCAAGAGCCGTTGCTCTTGAGCTTCCGAGTCCAGGTCCAGCGGAATGAGCAGATCTATCTCGCTGACTTCTTCTATGCCAGGATCGTCTTGTCTTCTGTCGCTGTGTTCATAATGATCGAAGTCCATTCTGCCAACGCTTGCCAGTGTGATCCAGAAGACAAAGAGAGAAGTAGAAAGAGAGAGCCTGAGACTGGTAGGGTCATCTGGGACTCGGAAGCCAATAGAGCCGTAATAGTCTCGCTACGACCTCAGAACCGACCGGTTTCGGTGCCGAGCACGTCAAAGCGCTCATGATTCGCCGTCACACTGGATCCATTTACCGGCCCGTTTTCACTGGCGGGGCACTGCAGGCTGGGGTAAGTATGCATTTATGTGGCACGCGCTCGACCAGCTTTATAATTAGTATACTAAGTATTTGCAAGGCAGCACAGACTAGCACTGTGCCGCAGGATAACAAGTTGAGCTGATCAGATTTTCGATCGTTCCTTGAGTCGCAGCGGGTTTTTCCAGCACATGTACTATAGGCTGGGATAAGACAAACAACTCTAATGGCCGGTAAATAGCAAACAAATCTAGAACGGAAGTTTCGCGTTCTTAGCGGTACGGGGAGGTTTGAGAGGGTGTGGGCGTCGCCTCTTGTAATACTGAAGCACCATGTCAAACATCGCAGTGAAAGTGACTGTAGGGACCATACCTGCTTAAACTCTTTGATACGCTTGGGCATACTGCGCATGAGTAAAGCCCTCCGTTTCTCCCTCTTCTCTGCAATGCGCTGCCACTTGTGCCCCTTGAACATCCGCTTCTTCCCTGCATACAATCTGTTCCCAACCTCCGCACCAAGAACTTTCTTCTCCTTCACTTCACCTGTCCATTCTATTGGGCGCGTCCACGGTGCGGCAGCGTTTTGAACTTGAGATTTCTCTGAAGCCGAAGGCCCTGGAACGATAGCCTGCCCAGCAGCAGCAATTTCTGCTACCGAAATTTTAGGACCAGGAGGCAGAAGCGCAAGCGTGCCAGATTCGCGAGCTTTCTTGACAAGTAAAGCCTGTTGGCGCAGGGAGTACTTCGGCGGTGCCCATCTGCCTGTCTTTGGGTTGAGCTTCGGGATGAATGGATTCTCTATGCTAGCAACTGGAACCTTGTTGCGCGACGAGGATGCCGAACTAGGATATAATTTGGTTTTTGGAGCTGATTTCACGAGAGCGGGACTTGGTAGAGTAGTAGCCCCCAGCTCCCGTACTCGAAACCGTTTGACGGCTTGCAGAGCAGACATTGGAAGTGAAGTTCGTCCGACAAGCAAAATCAAACTTACGACAACTCAAGCTACTTCCGCTTTCCAAAAATGGACATGTCAAAACAAAACAACTTTGCCAAAGTGCTCTGGCTCTGGCTGAAACCTTTACCAGAACAATCCCAAGATTCAGTCACTCTTTTGAAAGTACTCGTCAAGCTCGACTCAGTTCAAGCAGTTCCGGCAGGCACATTCGATGAACTCGCTATCGGAAGTTTCCGGTTCTGATTCGTAACTCTTGCACAGATTCTGTACCCCGGAACTACGCCGTTTCTTACTGGAAATCTTAACAGCGCCAACGGACCTTGAAGGAATAAGACGGGGAACTCAAATCCCCGCCCCGGATGCCCAAGTATATACCGCGCTGAAAGGAGCCTTAAATTTAGCTGCATATCGCACAGTCCATGCTTATTGAACGGTAGACCGAGTTGATGTCATGCACCCAATGTTAGGTTGGGTGATTGCAAAAATAAGTTGTGCCGACAACGCCAGCAAGCCATCATATCTATAAAAAGGTTTAAGATTCGCTGCGTGGCACGCTTAGTAGGTAGCTTAGTGATTACATAGTAGGTTAGCGCATTACCCTCCACTCATTTGACCAACTCTGCTGCCGTAGTAGCTCCACAGCTCCGTCACCATTCTCTAAGAGATCCTTTGAACATCGCAGAGTAGTGTTAACGGTATCTGATCTGAATGGAAAGATAAATTCGATTCAGGTACAAGACCAAAATAATATGACACTCGGCGAATACCACCACCGATTTGGATTTTCTGCGTCAGTAGTGACCAAGAAGCTGCTTGGGGGAGCTTGAGATAGAAGCAATCGAAGTACAGTTTTGCAATACGCTAAATATTGGGTAGAGTGTCCTGAAGGAGCGGAAATTCGCAGAATATGAATTGGTTTTGCAGCATGGCAAGACCGAAGTTGTGACTGCGCAAGGGATTCCCCTTAAGCTTCAGCCTGCGGAAAAAGGGCGCTGTGGCTCTCCAGGTATGAAATTATCGTGACGACAGAGTGAGGGTCTGCATCTGTTTCGATATTTCCTTCCTGCGACGTTGAAATTCTGATATGCCAAATCATTTATAAATCAAGTTGGTATTGCAACCCCGTTTGCATAAGGTTTCATTCTATCCCCTGGTTGCATGTCGAAATCTTGATCGCCGCTTACTGTCTATTATGCACAGTAGGACTAGGCGGCGCTTGTCATGCACCTATCCACAGACATGTATTCGTCATAAGTACGGAGGAAGTACTGGACCCTCCACATTTGAATTATGGTGGAGCAGTGTGGAACTCGCGATCATGATGTTGGTGTGCATAATCGTTTTTTGAAGACGCAGAGGCTAGGGTTGTTCATGATGCAAACTGGGTGCAAGGATGAACGTTAATATCGACCCCTGAGGAAGTGTTTCGTGAACGTTTTGAACAGCGAGTCGCGATAAATTTAAGCCATGACGAAAACCAGCTGTTGCATATAATATAAATATGACGTGGAGAATGATGAACAGGTAGTTGACGAACCACGGCCGAGGACTTCAGGAAATTTTGAGAGTTCGACGGTTCACGGAAAAGTCTTGCAAAAGTCAGGAAGTGACGGTATACCAGATATCTCTGGAGAGGGAGGCACATACATTCTTGCGTCCAAGCCATGCCAATGGCTCGGTTGCCATACTACTTCTTGGACCCCATCATCATGCAGTCTGGAGTCTGGACTGCGTCTATCGATGGCTTGTCTCATAGGCTAGACGGGCTGGTCACCAGACTCACCACCTCTCACCACAGCCTGTTCACCGTGGTCCGTGATAGTGGAGTCTGGACCTTGGTGTGGACTCTCGCACGTGAGAGTCATTGGGTCTATCACGTGCAGCAACAACGCGTTAATCTGTTTGTGTCAGTTTGGCCCTTGCAGCATGTTTAGAATTGAATTAGTAGCGACTGATCTTCTCATTCCACCACCACGTGCTTAGCTCATTAACCAATCGTCCATAATCTTGTTTTCTACTTATTAATGGCCGGAGCTTTCAGCGGTCACCTTTTGGATTCATTTAATACGCCAATGCAGCGGCCAGCATCAGGATTCGGTCAGCCTCAATCGAGGGTTATTACCGGCGGCGCGATGTCGTTCGATGCGTCGATGCATGGCAGCTTTGGATCAACAAACTCCTTTGCTGATCACTCACTCTCTATGGATATGTCTGACGATACGGCCATCAAGATCGCTACGCTTCAGGCTAAGCTAAACAAGAAACTTGGGCCGGAGTACATCTCACAGAGACCTGGACCTGGAGGTGGACCTAAGCTCACGTATGCGGAAGGGTGGAAAATTATTAACATTGCAAATGAAGTGTTTGGGTTCAATGGGTGGAGTTCCCAAATTGTCAATATGACTACCGACTACATGGACTACAATGAGGAGTCCAAGAGGTGTAACGTTGGTGTTTCTTGCATCGTCCGTGTCACCCTCAGATACGGTGTGTTTCACGAAGATGTGGGATATGGGGCGGCAGAGAATGCGAAGGGCAAAGCTCAGGCTATCGACAAGGTAATATTTATGCATATGACAGTCCTGTTCATTCATTTTATTTTATTAGAGTAAGAAGGAAGCTGTGACTGATGCATTGAAGCGAGCGCTCCGCAACTTCGGATCACTCCTTGGAAATTGTTTATATGACAAGTCATATACCCAAGAGATCACGAAAATTAAAGTCCCACCTGTAGGTACCCCTCATAGTGCCGGGAACGAGCTAGAACTCATTTGAGAATTCCGGCAAGGCAAAATTCGACAAGTCCGAGCTATATCGCCGTCCAGAGTTTGATGACACCAAACCTAACATAGCAGGCAGTATTTCAGTGGCTGCACCTACTTCAGTACAAACAGCACCACCAACGCCGTCGATTGCTTCAGATGTGAAAACGAACAAGGTTGTGGTCAAGTCCGAGCCACCTCAGGGTGCAGAGGCCCCGATCACATATATCCCCCGACACTTACGACAGGAGATGGCTTCCGGTGCAAGTGGTTCCACAAGCACTACCCCAATCCGTAACGACCAAGCATCTGGGAGTGGTCACGGTGCTACCAACGGCCTGAACACTCCTATCCATACACCAGTCCAACGAGCGGGGAATGCAAATCGCGGGCAGTACAGGCAAACTGCCCCGTCACCACTTGTTCAGCCTGAGCAACGACGTGTGTCTTTTACTGAACCTGCTGCAGAACCGCCGCCAGTGGACGAGGTCGAACTACCAGTGGCTGATGAGACGTCATACAGTATTGACTCAGAAGACGACGAATTCTACGCTAACGTTGACCTCGGGGATGGTGATTTGGGGAGACCGATCGACTTCGAAGAGGGCATGGGTGGAGTGAGTGTCTCGGACGTGACTTTTGACCAGGGGAAAGCCGCTACATCTGGGAATCCTCGAGAATCCTCAAAGCGACTCGGTGCATGGACAGGAGATCTCTAACTCTGGAAGAGGCGAAGTGACTGCTCCAGGAGATCCTCGTTTTTCTCACTCGAACGCGCCACGGTTCCAAGCTGGTCCACCGACTGTAAATACAGTCCGTCATGGACTCGATGGTGCAATAGGTACACCTGCAGCGCCTCCGAGAACACGCGAATCAAGCTCCAGTGCATCAGCTTCCTCTTCAGAAGCTAGGCGTGGCACACTATCCATGGGGGGGTTCCATTTTCCTCCGGGCATGGTGGGTACATTCTCCCTCTGGGACTGGCTATTGCTCACATGAAAGACAGAATCCGGGTGCACAACAGTCCAAACCAATGGGGTCACCTCAACCTCCAAACTGGATGACGGGTTCTACTTCCAGCTCGTCCAACATTTCGGGCCTGAAACGTAAAGCCGACACCATCCAGTATGTAGCTCTTGATACTACCATATGACTGATACCAGACTCACCCCTGAATTGCAGAGCCTCTTCGTCGTCATCCAGGCCTTCGCAAGGCCTTGGCCTCGCTCAGCAACAACAATCAGTCGCTGGAAACCCTAACGGAACTCGGAGACCTCTGGCAAACCTTGATGTTAGCGCCGGCGGTGATATGAAACGACAAAAACGCTAGTATTCGCCCCCGAGTCCCAGAAGGAGTTTTTTCACCACGTCTTACCTATGTCTCCCTTGTTTCAAGCATGTTTTCACGGATTGCTTATTCTATGTCGTCTAGCATTGTACAGCTACTCTGCACTTCGTTTCCGATTCTTTGCATTGTTTTCATCGCAATCACACGCATGCAACCTAATACAATGTTCTTATATGGCACAGAAGGTCTCCTGTCTCCCAATCATGGATTTCGATTCTGAGTTTGCCGGGTACTGATCTCTTGGTCTTGTTCCTGCGAGTTTCCGGGAAACGGTGCGTCAGGCTATAACTTCCACACCAATTGGCAGCAGTCAGCCCCTACGTACTGCTAACGTAGCACTGTTGAATCGCAACCTGCACTTGGGCACAGCATACACTGCATTCAGCCGCCCATGCAGGCCCGTACACGCTGAACCAAAAGCAGGGGAGCAAGTAGATTGATCAATTGTAGGCGACGACAAAGAATTATATCTGTCGAGTCACAGCAGTACTTATTGGATGTCAAGTATTAATCCCCACTGGCAGCTGTAAGTCATCGATTCAAAGAACGAGTTTACTAACGGATCCCTCGTCTGGCATGTGAGCCAGATCCTATTGGGCGCCGAACAAAACTTCCTAGATGACATTCTGATCAGTGAGTCTTATTATCCTGCTAGTCCAACATGTATGGTCGCAACGCTTGTCCTTGATCAAATTCCACCTGCCCTCATGAGTCAACAGCAGTTGCTCATACTCATGTTTTCGAATCAACAACCCGGTCCTGATGACAGACCGGAGAACAGAAATGCCCGCAACCCATTCCACTTCGTCTGCCCCCTAAACTGCCAACAGATCTGACAGCGAGTCACTCGTGCTGGCATAGTCATTGCGGAAACTTAACAAGCCAAGCTCTGGCGCTGCGTCGTTAATTTGCGCCCGTTAGATGTGGCCTTTACCCTTTTGTCTGTCTGCGGCAACGCGATCGTTTTCCATGGCACATATCGGGCACCATACCGACGATTGACGAATGGCCGTATCTATAGTGCGCGAGGATCGGCGAGTGGCCAAGGGGACGCCTGCACGCACAAGTGTCGGTGGGAAATACTTACATGCTTCTGTGAAGCGACTATGATGGTAACATGGGTCGAGGCTGTCCGTGAGACAGGCGAACATCGAGAGATGAAGTGACAGCGGCAAAGAGAAGATCAATTACGGGGTTCAATGCAGTTGGCGAGGGATGTGAAAGGTCATCATAGGCTCTGGATGAATCGATGAGCCATGAGAGTGTCGTAACACTTATTCCTCGTGTAGTAAGGAACGTGTCCTTCAAAGCGTCAGGTTCCGGTTAAAATTCAGTGTGTGTAGAAGGTAGTACCGTTACGATACTTTGAAAATTGAACTGCATATGGCGTGTAGGCTGAAGTGGCGGTACATGATGCTGTTGTAACTGCTGCGATGCCTCGCATGAGCTGCAGTCTGAGCCACAGCTATGACGTTCTGTGTAGTATATACCACATTCGTTGAAGTCGTGACATTGCAGAAAGATGAGCCGTTCGTCAGTGTATGCCTTGGGTAATCCGGGCTTGCTCGTCCTGGGATGGCTAGTCATATCGTGGGTCATCATATTGTCAGGCCTATCATAAAAATGACAAGGTTCGCTTGTTGATGTACGTCATGTTACTCACCAATCCAGGTTCGCTCTGATGTCTTGTCATTTTTCTTCGCCAAATCTGAAGGATCGTTTCCAATATCATTAGTACAAATCCAGAATCGACAGAATCATTTGTTGTTTGGGATCAATTGATCACCTCAGGTTCAAGCTCAAGATCGTGCCGAAACGCATGCCATAAAGTTATGCAATTTTTCTAGGATATTAGTGGCGGGGTATATACGTATATGTGGCGTCCTGGGTATCCAGTTTAGCTTTCAGAAAACGCAGGCTTGCGGCAAATTGCGAGGTACATGGGCGTGAACAGCTTCAAATAAATCATGAGTCCTCGACAGAAATCTACAAAAACGTGCTTCAACTTACTTTGGTCTGGCCACCCTTCACAAGTGCATCAGCAGCGACCTTGAGGGATTCGCCAACATCATATGTGCCCTTGGGCAGAAGGCCAAGCATCTCCATGAACTTGATTGCGGTGTGTGAAACGAGCTTTCCGCTCCAGCTCATCCGCCAAACAGTGAAGCAATCCCAAGCAGTCTGGGCCTTCCATATATCACCCTCCAGTGGGTAATACCATGGAACTTCGTCAGGGCGTTCGGCGAGATCCTCTTCGTGCTCAATGGAGAAGCCGACCTTGACCATAGCTTCGCGGGCTTGCTTCAAGGGACGCATTTCTGGGATACCATTGCCAAACTCAATGGCATGCGCAAGTTCCTTGTGTGCAGGAATGGATGCATCCCACGTGTCAGTCATACACCATTCATAGACGCCAAACTACAAACTGATGTCAATATATTGAAATTCGGAGTCAAAAACTAATCATACCACTCCTCCAGGCTTCAGAACCTTCATGATTTCACCATACACACCCTCCCACGTAGGTGCATGGACAGTGGCTTCAATGGCGTACACTGATGACTCAACGCCGTTAGGAATCAATAATTTCTGAAAGCCCGCAAAAGCACCAACCAGCATCGAATGAGTTCTCCCCGAATTGTTCCGACAGCTTCATGAAATCACCCTTGGCGAAGCTAACTTGGTTTTCAAGGCCAGCCTTCTTAGTGTACTTCCGAGCACGCTGAATCTGGAAATCGTTGTTGTTCAAGCCGACGATATTGACGTCGGCGAAGCGAGCAATCTCGCGTGCAGGACCACCGACGCCGCACCCGACGTCCAGCACTCGCATGCCAGGGCGAAGTCCCATTTGTGCTGAGAGGTAGTGCTCGTGGCGGGCCAAAGAGGCTACGAAAGCCTCGCCTTTATAGAACCGCGAGAAGTGGAAAGACTGAGCCCAGCCATACTCGTACAGCTCCGTCGCACCATCGTAGTAGCCTGTGTCTTCTGTCACTAAAAGCCATTCACAACAAAAATTATGAGGTAATACCGTTTACAACGTCAGTGTAGCTCTCAACACGGTTTTGATTATCCGCTTCACCCTCCTTACCAAGGTCCTTTTGCCAGAACTTGGTATAGTTCTCAACACGCGTTTCTTGACGTCCGTCAGAGTACTGAGATGAAGTCATGTTGTCTGCAAGAGAAAGTTGCGTGAATATCGAACACTTCCGGTGTTCAAGAAACGAGCTTTCGTGACAAGAACAGATGTCATTGAGACTTACTTGGAGGTGCGTTAGAATAAAGTTATGGAAGGAACGGACAGTAAAACACTGAGTACTGAGCAGTCGACTTGGACGAAAGAAGCCCTGTAGAGTTTTTGTAGGTTCAAGTACCGACGGCAGGAGCTTCTAGCACCACATCAGCTCATTTTCTATTCACGTGACTGTTAGCTGGTTCAGTGTGCGCAGTGTGCACTGCGCACAGACTTACCCAAGATCGTTGTCGCTGCTATCAACAGCACTACTGATGCTGTAGCTAGGGCGATAGCGCCAGCTATGAATTTGACAATACGTTGTAAGTGGTTGTATATATGGGCCATAATCTTTCGACCTTCATTAACATCAGGCTCAGGCTGCATTTCTTGCCTAGTACGAGAAGGAACAACTGTCTTCTTTTGTCTATAAAGGTTTGGCTAATTCTTGCTAAGAACTTGTACATGATACCGTGACCATCCCTCCACAGTGTGTCAGGCGGATTTCTGAACTTCACACCCTTGCCAGTGAATATCTCTTGCCGCCGGGCTACCTTGGGGCTACCCGTCACCTGAGACATGTCTAAACGTACTGGAATTGATTATTCTCCCAAGAGACGGTCCGTCAAATTATCAACCAACCTTTGATAGCCTTTTATTCTCGCGAATGCAGCGGGCTGCATCTTCCGTTCGAGGCTATCATGATTAGTCGCACTCCCTAGACTCAGCGATGTTCATTGCACGGTTACCATCTGCTTCGGGGGATTGAGTTCGGGCTCATATAGAGGACTGCCGGCCCAATGGCAAATGTGGGCCAAGTACATAAAAATCCAACTCTATGATGGCGACCTCGTTATGGCACACGCCGGTCATATGATAATCCCCGTTGCAGTCTAATCACTTGGGAGTCAGCTTCCCAAGCGGCTGGGCCCATCTCAAACATACATATCCCGTGGGCAATTCCAGGCAGTCGCCTACCGGGGACTGGTATAATAATAGAACCTGGTTACGATCGTACGGAGATTATGACCTGAGAACTGCTCGAGGTCACGGTCTTATGGAACTATATTCCTTGGCATGTTCCAAATCCATGTGCCGAGGTACATGTACAGGTCTACAACCGGGCCTTTGGCTGATTGTCTCGCGTAGTGTGCGAGCGTAGAGCGAGACGACTGGTGATGTCTAATAACCAAGATCCCGGGCTAACATCGGGGTGAGAGGAGGCCATACATTGTTAACCGGAGTTAAGTGACTCGGTGTGGAATTCGGAACCTGATGACATACCCCCATTCAAAACCCATTCCATCCATATTAATGTGCTACAAACTGACTCGGCTGAGCTTGGCGATGAGGACGAGACGGAACATGAGGTGTTGGACCGTTCCCTAGAAGGCTGACTACGCCCGAAGGGATGGCATTAATAGATATAAAAGACAAGAAGTGGAGCAATCTCTGTCATAAGTTTAGAATTGTATACAGCCGAATCTGCCGTGTCACACACTAGTTAGACTAGCTATAGTACTAGCCATACCCATGCTTCACAATTCTTTCCACTGACCTCCAGTGTCTCAGTCTGCTCCAAGTAGTTTCGTGTAAGTCTCGATGATTCACTTCCTGACTGACTGCCACGGCGCCACTCACAAAAGTGCAATCTGGACCTGACAGCTGGCCAAACTCGACTCGTTGCTTAATATTCGTTGCTTAATTCTAGACAACCCTGCCAGGTCCGACACCTACCGCAGTGCGATAAGTAGCGCCCACTGTATATAGGCCTTTCGAGTATTTTCTTGATCCCCACGATGGATCAGTCTCGTCCGCAATCTGCCACATCGTTCCAGGTATGCTTTCACCTTTGCCTCGTGTCAGTTGAGATCTGAATCAGGCCACCGTGTTCCAGGCTCGTGCAGCGCGGCTTCTCAAGAAGCTGAACTGGCGTCCGCGCTTGGGAGGTAGCCGCTCAAAAGATAACATGTCCATTGTTTTAACTGTCCCAGACAACGACCGCTCACACATACCCTCTCCTGACGTTCCCCGCAAGCCAGGCATATCCACTCCTGGACTTACAGGCTTGCAACTAGATGGTGCCTTCAATCCGACGGACACGGATGATTCATCGTCTAGTAATAGCCCCACACGCCGATCAAGGCGCTACTCGGCTTGGGACGGTCTCACGCAATCCTCTGCGAGCCCAGTGTTTGCGGGACATGGTCCCGCCCCGTCATTTTTACGAGAGATAAAGCTTCCAAAGAATTCTTCTGATCAGTCTAATAGTGACGGGGAAAATGTCCTTGCTCCAGCACCATTCTTTTTGCGCGGAGGCGCCTCATGCGACTGCCTTACACGTGCATCAAATGATGGCTTACTACACTCAGCGACCCGTAGTAACGTGCCAGATATCACAATTTTGCGAGACACATCTCCTGCACCAGACAACTCGATGACGCAGTTGGACAGATCACAAACTCCACGACAAACAGAGGGACTCGTTCCTTCCAATGAACCAATCACGAACATAGACATAACCAACTCATCTGTAGAACCAGAACCCGCTCAAACACCTTTCGCATCTGCTATTTTGGTTCCACCTACTGCACAATCTTTACCCTCGTCCAGTATTCAGGGTCATCACTTGACCGAGACACAGCCGACGACGGCCCTACCACCTCCATTCCGCGTGGCCACTGAGCGTGGCCTTCGTCTTTCTCCTTCCATTATCTCAAGGCATCGTATGCCAATCTTGAATCTTCCGACTTTACCTGTGCCTACTCCTGCTCCAGAGCCCGCTGTGCGGCCAGTTGTGCGCCTCCAGCATGTGCCATCATTAAGTGTTCACGGACGGCTCCATGATCCAGAGCCAGACTCTGCTATCGACTATGAGGATGATGACGACGTGGAGGATGACAACGAGGGTGATGGAGACGAGGGTTCAAGAAATGAAGGCTCGGAGCACCAGAGTGACGAGGATGGTGATGGGGAGGAAATGCCGAGTTTGGGTACAGGCCGTTCTTTATCTCCTTCTCCGCTGCGAGAGTTCCAGACCCAAGTTGTCGACTTGGCTCCCCCAGTCGCTGGTCATTCTTCTCGACCCTTTACCTCATCATATTCAGCAGGGGAGTCTACCCCTTCTCCCCACAATGCCGTTGATTATTTCTCGTCCAAGGCACATGGGAAGCTCTCGGACTTGACTCCGAGGCAAGACGCTTCTACTCCTAAACCCTTCTCTTCGAAAACACCTCTCGGAGAGTCTATCAATGTTCGGCAGCGAATAACGCCTACGCCGTCACTTCATCGTGCACAACCTTCCCTGGAGGTCAGCCACGCACCCAGTCTGTATCGCGCGCCATCTCGCAGCATGATTGACCTGAGTGTGCCCCGGAGACTAGAACGCAAGTCACGCGACACAGTGCGTTCGAATGTACCCTCCACTTCTGAGAACACCACCGAATCCGTCGAGAGCGACAACATGGACAATGTAATGGGAAGGCTTATGCGACGCACATCCATGCCTACTTTCACTTCCGCGTCGGACCCGCCCCCGTATCCTTCCTTTGACCCGCGCCCGCCGAAGAGTGCACCTCCGTTCCAATTCCATGAGGACGAAGGTCGCGAGCGGTTACCGCTATATAGCAATTCGCTGTATCTCAGCGCTATTATGCCGCTCAAGATGGAGTTCAGCTCACCAGGTGTTCAGGCAAAGGACAGGAAATGGAGACGTGTATTTTGCGAGCTTGAAGGGACGACACTTCGCGTGTACAAGTGTCCCCCCGGCGCGAGCGGGGCGGGCCTCATTGGCGAGTGGTGGGAGAGACGCGTCGGCGTGGGTGACCTAAGTAGTGGATATCACGCGCCGGTGCGGAAAGCAGACAAGAGCCCGGCGGCCCCTTCCAAAATAGCGGACGATGAACCGGTTGCATCCCCGTCAAGTTCACCCCCTCCTACACCATACAGGCCGCGGAGCGAATCGCAATCATCAAGAGCTACGAATCAATCCACGACGCCTTCGATGTCGCGGGCCAATAGGAGGCTGTCCGGCGCCAGCTTCTTGGCCCCGTGGCGGAACGGTGGTCCATCAAGCGTGCCGCAATCGCGAGGTAGGGGTATGCCATCTACTGGGATAAACGAAGTCATGGAGCTGCTCCCGGTGAGCGAGCCGAACAGCCGTCGTAATTCTGTGTCTAGTTCGGCCTCACAGGAGACGACTTCACAGAGGACATCACCTCTAACACCACGAGCTCACTCTCGCCTCAGCTTTCTTTCATCGAGAATGCAATTGCGGAGCGGCGAGATACAAAAGCCTGGGAAAGGCGATTTGATCCGTGCATATACCCTCCAGCACGCGGAGAGTGGCCTCGGGAATGATTACTTGAAGCGGAAGAACGTGATAAGGGTACGGCTGGAGGGGGAACAGTTTCTCTTGCAGGCAGCAGACGTGCCTTCCGTTGTGGAGTGGATAGAGGTGGGTTCTATATACGAGTGAGGCGGGTTAATGTTGACTGTGCATGCAGGCTTTCCAGGCGGGCACGAACATTTCACTTGACCTTGATCATCGTGTCATGCCCAAAGGGCCGATGTTCCCGAGGTACGTTATTTTTTTTTGCTTGGTATTGTGTGTTTCTCAAATGTATCTACAGGCGTCGACGGAGAAGAAATCGACGACCAGTAGATGAGAACGCTCGGGCTGGTAATGGAGGAGTACTCCCTGCAGTGGTGCTATAACTTGGGATGTCACCTTGTTCGCGTGTTTCTTATGTCGTATCTGCTTTGCTGTGTTGGTACATGTGTCACACTATGGGTTGTATCGATATCATAGTACTTTATTCTTTGTTGTAATTGTCGCTCTTGTTGATAGAGAAAGTTCTCACGGATTGTTTCCGTTTTGAGCCGAGGTTCGGTGTTTGCCTTGACACCACCGATCTGCTCATCCAGGTTGCTTGTTATCTGGATCCTTGGTGCTTTCCCTCATCGATATTCTCATTTTACCTTTTCATTACCTGGTTCTGGCAGCCATCGTCAGCTGAACGACTATCCGTCTCCAAATCTTACACGCCGTTCAAAAAACGCATCCAAAACCAACTCTGCAACGCCGAAAACGATCTTCCTTCTCGTGGTCATTTCGCCCGTTTTTTCTCCTCATACCATCATCCTTCACGTCAAGTCCAACGTACTGAGCACATTCAGTTAGACCAGTCATGGCAGATTCGCAAACAGAGATCGATCTGGACTCGGTTATTGACCGCTTGTTGGAGGGTGAGTGGCTCGTGCTTTGACTCGTAGGCTCCTTGGAGAGCAGATTTCGGACCTTGAGGGACAGGGCGGTGGGAGGAAGGATCATGACGGGTCAGCAGTTTGGCGGGCCAGTGCAATGCGGTGCACAGTCACAGGCATGGGTGAAATGTGGGGCCGCGTGAGCACCACAGCAAGCAACCTTGGAAAAAAAAACATGGGATGCACATGCACACAGCAGCACTCATAACTTCCGTCCATTTCTTAGATGGACCGCCCTTAATATGTTACAAAGCAGGTGTTAACCCAACTTTTGCATCCAGTGCGAGGCAACCGCCCAGGCAAACCTGTCCAACTACAAGAATACGAGATCAAATATCTCTGCACAAAAGCACGCGAGATATTCATAAATCAACCAATATTGCTTGAATTAGAGGCCCCCATAAAGATTTGCGGTCAGTGTCGCTCAAGTCGTTGTGGGTTTATCGGAATGACTCATTCGGGTTCACTTTCGGCTAGGTGACATCCACGGTCAATATTATGACCTCCTCCGACTTTTCGAATATGGCGGGTTCCCACCAGAAGCAAACTATCTTTTCCTCGGCGACTACGTCGATCGGGGAAAGCAGTCTCTCGAGACTATCTGTCTCCTCCTCGCCTACAAGATCAAGTACCCTGAAAACTTTTTCATTCTCCGGGGCAACCACGAGTGTGCAAGTATAAACCGAATCTATGGCTTCTATGACGAATGTGAGTTGTGCTGCAACTCTTGATGATGGAACCCTGATAGCATTGACAGGCAAACGGCGTTACAATATCAAATTATGGAAGACGTTTACGGATTGCTTTAATTGTCTCCCTATAGCTGCTATCATTGACGAAAAGATCTTCACAATGCACGGTGGTCTCAGCCCTGATCTTCAATCCATGGAGCAAATACGGAGAGTGATGAGACCTACGGATGTTCCTGACACAGGTAGGTTTGCTGTGCATCTTGCTTGAGTTTGTGTGTCTTACCAGACCAAGGATTGCTATGTGATCTACTATGGTCAGATCCCGACAAGGATATCACCGGGTGGTCGGAGAATGACCGAGGAGTATCCTTCACATTTGGACCTGATGTGGTCTCCCGATTTTTGCAGAAACATGACATGGATCTTATCTGTAGAGCTCATCAGGTATGCTGCGCTTTGCGGGTGGCGTCCGTACGGACCCCAAGAATTGTGTTGCTGACTGACACCGTGGAATTAGGTTGTTGAGGACGGTTATGAATTTTTTGCAAAGCGGCATTTGGTCACGTTATTCTCAGCGCCTAATTACTGCGGAGAATTCGACAACGCAGGTGCGATGATGAGTGTGGACGAAACCCTATTATGTTCCTTCCAGGTATGATACCAGCTATCCTGCACGTTCTTTGATTGAGTTTGACCTTAATATTCAGATCCTGAAGCCTGCTGAGAAGAAGGCCAAGTATCCGTACGGAGGGATGAACATGGGTCGACCAGTAACGCCACCGCGTAAGCAGAAGAAGAAGGACAGCAAGATGGGCTGAGTCGAGCAGGGCCCGCCGTGCCTTCACTCATTCTCCAGTCATCGACATTCCCTCTTATCATTCTGTATTGTTCACTGCTGGTTGTAATTGTGCGGTTTACATTGGCGACAAGGCATACTGTGAAGGTGATCATTGGGCTGATTCATTGATGGTAACAAGATGGCTGAGAATGCGCGAGTTGCATTGTTGTATGGACGTTTTCTGGGTTGCGTGTGGAGGGAAAATTCATTGCAAGTACACCTCGCCATGTCACGATTCTTACATATCTATTCACTCATTGGACTAACCCACCCACGGTGCCCTGCCTGTCCATATTCTGTTCATCATGTTCCGTATTGTGCTACCCCGTGGCCTTCGTGTGCTATAGGTTTTTATGCACATAGCTCATTCCGTATTGTGCTCCTAATGCTTCGCCACAAGATATTCCGTATTTGTCTTTTCTTTCCTTTTGTCACAGTAAACGTTGTCGTATATTATGAAACTCTGTACATACTCATTCTGACGTTCGCTGTGATGCGTGGCGCTGAACGGCTTTCCAAGGCCTTCCTGTGAACTCGATCTGATTGACCTAGGTCACGCCGAGATTGATGCGTGTCCATATGCCAGCGACTGCGGGGAACACGCGGGGAAGAGTATTTTTAAATTGTGCTTTGAGCAGCGTAGCCCAGGCAAGGCCGGAGCTAGGTACAAGTGATGGAGCATATGGCACCACGTCACATGAATTTATTGGCACAAGTAGCGCTTAAAATGGACTGACTAAGAGTGAGTCAAAAATGCCCTTCGTTATATTTATCGTACATACGTAGAAGGCAGCGCGGTGTCGTGTTCTGCCTATGGTCATACATAATGAATTAAATACTGGAAAAAAACTGAACATTAGGACAGCATCATCCGAAATACGCAGTGGGATGCTCAGAGAAATTAAGCTCTAGACACCTCGTTGTCCGCGCCGATAGATTTTTTCTCCAATGAACCGTCTTCAGTACACGTCGTGTGCGACCTCTGCACTGTTAGCAATCTGTTCCAGTACGTCATCACCATCAAAGAGGGCTGCAGTTTCTTCAAGAGTCCTGTTCTTAGTCTCAACGAGGAAGAACCACAGGAAGACAAATTCGACAGCGAGCCAGCAGACGTATACGAGCTAAACATGACCGTTGAGAAAAAAATTCAGAGTGAGGCAGCGTCCACAACATACATAGTACTTCCACGACAAGGCGTCCAGTGCGATTGGGTTAACATATTGGTTGAAAATGAGTGTGACAGAGATGACGAAGTTGAAAACGTTGAAACCCTTTGCACGAATGTTGTAAGGTAGAATTTCCACGGTGTAGGAGACAATGAGAGGTGTGAACGCTATGTCGTATGCTGCGTAGAAGAGGAAAATGAAGGCGATGACAGCGTGTCCGGCGGCGGGGTGACCATGCTCAGAGTACTCGGCAAAGCAGATAGCTTGTGCCATGTAGAAGAGTGTCATCAGGGCTGCTGAGAGCAAGAACAAGAACCGACGACCGAGTCTATTGACCATGAAAGAAGCGAAGACGGCCCATCCTAAGTTCCATATTTGCAAAATACCGTTGATAAGCAACTGAGTGCCTGAGCCGGTGATACCGATCTGGTCGAAGACCTTTGAGAGGTAGTATGAAACAAGACCGTTCCCAGACCACTGGGAGAAGAAGGCAAGAGCGACGATAATGCGCATACGCTTCCTGTTGCCAGGAGTGGTAACAAGTGACTTCCAGCCGACATTGGAGGCAACTAGAAGTGTTCATGTGAAAAAGCGCAGTGCAGCAAGTAAAATGAGACCGACCAGTACGGTCATACTCAATGGCGGCCTTGATCTCCTCGAACTCGTACAAAACCAAAGGATCTTGCCTAAAAAGAATGCTCCATGTTGCGAAATACAGTCAAAATAATGCGGCTCACTCATTACTATCGGCATGGTAATAGGCGAGGGTCTTAAGAGCCTCGGCCTCACGACCATTTTTGATCAACCAACGGGGTGACTCAGGTCCAAACAGGATAAGAGCGAACTGCAGGATGGATGGGAGAGCCTGAAGGAGAGAAGGCAGACGCCATGCCCACGTGCTGTTGATCTTGAAAGTGCCATAAGTTGTCCAGGCAGCGCTAATATCAATAATCCCATCAGCGTCCAAGATCCGTTGGGCGGATTCACATGATCAGACTTACATGATAGAACCAGAGTACCAAAGGGAGTTGTAGAGCGATGTCAGGGGAGCGCGGTACGTGGGATATGAAATCTCGGTGACCAACATTGGTGCGGAATTAGCTATACATAGCATATCAGTGAAATAATTACTGGGTACACAAGGGGATTGCACTGACCGGCAAAAGTGAGGCCAAAACCGATTAGGAATCGAGCACCAATGAACATGCCCACGGACTGAGAGGCAGTCTGTATGGCAGTAGCGACGCACATAATTGCTGCACCAAAGAACACTGTCTTACGGCGTCCTATGCCGTCTGACATGTAAGGGGCAAATGGATAGCCAGCTAGGGAACCGATATTCTGCGTGGTCAATCATCAATAAAGATCATCCACGCAGGCACAAAAGAAGCTCACCTGAATGGCGTTCAAAAGACCCAGTTTACCGCCAGATGGATAGTCAAAGGCGACCTCCCACTGAGAAAGAGACTGTAGTCCATTCATCATACTGCCGTCGTACCCATTCGTCGAGGACGTGATGAGACTAAAGAAAAGACATTTAGCAGAGGAATGACAGAACGAACGAAGAAAACGCACAGGAGCATAATCCAGGCGTTGAGAGCGATGAGTCTATCATGCATTTACATCAATCAGAACCAGAAGCACTGTTCAACGGTGTTTACTTACCGCCTGTTGTTGTACCACTTCTTTCTCTCGTCAATGAGATGCGCAAATGAGGCATCTCGACCGCTGACAGCAGCAACACCACCCATGATTAATCTCTAGAGTGAGATGGTTAAGAAGGGAAAGGTTACGGACAATCATTCAGGGAAGGTACATGTACTTGGTTTTATGCACTTCGAACTAGTAGCCGCGGACCGGATATAGTTCGGCAGTTGACAATTCTCCTGAGGTACCCCGCTGTGACCTGTCCATGTAATCCTCATTTGTACTTCCAGCGAACCATCGTGCATGCATCAAGGCGGGAAAACATTGACGATGAACCGCTTGACAAGTTAATAATCAACACTCATGGTGCATTTTGATGCTGTCGGATATGCCGTCATGGGGTACAACCGGAATAGGAATAGGGTGGTGTTCCCAGCGCTACCATAAGATCAGCATGCATACGCTGCCCCGCATCTCCCTATAAGAATGCAGACGGTTTTTTTAGCACATTCTGACTTGAAAGCCAGTGCCTTGAATCAGACTGACAGCAGACCTTGGACTCCATACCGGCGTCCGGAAAGGGGGCCTGAGCGGAAGGATCTCCTACTACCCACATAATAGTACTACTTCGTTAATCGAGTCGCATTGTTCCACGTAGGCAGTATAAGTCGGATCAACAGAGTTGGCTAGGGTTTGCCAAACATGATCCTAGATCCACGACTTGCCGATTTTTTCCCGGGTTCTGAGTTCTTCATCTCCTTCAGTCTTCCGTGGGTCAAAACTGCATGTAAAACTCTTAGGCTACAAAAGAATTAGATTTCACCTGACTTACGCGTGAAAAAGAGTTCGGCGCAAGACCCTGTATGTGGATAAACGGATTCAAACAGATCGCCGACTAGCAAAGGTAATAGGATATACAAGGCTCTGACAGAGTCAAAATGGCCAATATGGGATGGTATTGCCACTACCGTAGTACACTGAGTACTTGATAAGCCAGAGAGATCCTCCAATGAAAGTAAGATTAACTATCAATCCGATCACATGATGCTCTGAGGGCTATCATCCATGTTCCGACCAAATGATTGATCAAGGGTGAACAGCGATCGTGGACAGAAGCGCCCATCCCCGCACCACATACATTTCGGGCAGGGCTACAACCTAAAACCGTCTCAGCATGTCACTGGCTGATACCTCACTTCCCCCGGCTTGGTCGCGAACATGCCCCTCGATGATGGGGGCAGGCATATCGACCTTCTTTCTTCTCCCGAAAGGAACAAAATTACTAGCTAAGCTGGCAAGTGTGCTAGTAGCGGATGGTGCGCCCGAGAAATTGCTAGACGCCAATGGAGAGGACCGAGGGACATGGTGAGACGTAGTCCGGCGTCTGTTGAGAAAGATGCTAGTCATCCCTTCGGACAACGAGCCTTGTGGAGACGGCGGTCCTCCACTGGTTGAATATTCGCGTGGAGGAGATATTGAGGATAAATCATGTTCTGTCAGAGCGGTAGTAGCCACTGCTTTCACAGCGGTGGGAGAAGCAGAGACAGATGCAAGTGGCGGAAGTCGAACCGCGGAGAACCTAGAGGACGAGGAGCCACGAGACGCGCGCGAACCTGGACGCAGTGGAGATGGTATACGTGGAGCATGGATTAATGAGGCAGGCTGTTGTGCATTCAAATCAACAAGTTGCGGAGGCGGCGAAGGAAGCGGTGGAGGAGGCGGAGGAGTAGTGGGGGGAGAAACATCCCGCGACGATGGAATTATTTCCATTGAGTTCTCAGGAGGGGCTTGAGCAAGCAGACGAGACAACGAAGACGGACCAGCAACGGGTGTGGAGTTCGCTCTTGCTCTGACGGGGAAGGACGATGATGTGGGAGGCTGGGTAGCACTAAAAACGCTCTCAAATTCAGATTGGGGCGCCGGCGGTGGGCTAGGAGAAGGCTCGGGCGGATCTGAGCTTGTCTTGCGGTCTGTTTCAGGATCCGATAACGCTGAAACCTTTCTGGCAGCAGGTCTCCGCTTATTCATCTGACCTGCTTGAGTCCAGTCTTCCACCTCCAACATGTAATACTTTACACCGTCGCCTAAACCATATGGATTGCTGGAGGGGTCCTGGTCGGGCGTTGAGGGCAAATACGCCAGTATGAACCACGCCGTACGTACCTTGCTATCGACAATACGTTCGGTAATGGATGTTATCCTTGCCACTATCCATTCTCTCGTTCTCAGCTGCTCGGCGAGGTGGCCAGTAGCCAAAAGGAAGTAGTGCGGGAATGAGACTAGATGTCAAGAACAACGTCGGGAAAAGTGTCATCCTCGTAGTAACATATATACGTACCATTAAACGCCGCCCAAGGTTTTGAAATAGAATTCCGGGTTGGAAGGAACAGTGCTAAATCCCCTTTGGCGAAATTCCGGAAAGAGATCTTGCCCTTCGCGCGCTCTCGATATTCCTTGCATTGCTTCTGCCACTTTCGAATGATGGAACCTGTTCTGGCCACCGCTTCCAAGAAATGATCATGGTCGAAGGCACGTAATGATTCCAGGGCACCCAGAAGATCTGATGGATCAATTGGAGAGGGCTCATCGGCTTGCGCACCAGCACTTTGCCCATGGCGTTGGGTGGATGCGAATGTAGATTCGGCAAGGGACTGTGCATGCTTCGATGAATTGGGGTGACTAGTGAGATTATGCACGAGAGAAAGTGCTTTGCAATGAGAATTTCGGAAAGCAATCGCGACGTCGAGCATCTGAGCAACTAGACGACCACTGTTTTCCAATCGATGCTCGTAGTCAGACTGGGAGGACCGTCCAGCTGTCAAGTCATCTCGGAGGATTCTCTCTATGTGCCTTGCCTCCCGAAGCTCATGCTCGACCCGCTGAAGCTCCTCACGCAGACCCATAGCATCTGCGTTGGTTAACTCTGTTTGTGAGCGTGCTTCCTTCAGTTGCCGTTCAGTATCTTCAAGCTGTGCTCTGAGCTCCGAGAATTGGTGTTCAAGAACAGCCCGGTCACCATCAGCTTCGGCGATGTGATCCCGCATAATGCGATCGTGTTCGTTAGCCTGTACCCGAAGTAATCTATCTTTCTCCGTGTGGGTATTCTTCAGTGCTTTGTTCACCTCATCGCATTCAGAGCGAGCGGTTTGGATCTGGGTCTCCAGGTTTTCCCCTCTAGCACGTGCCGCTTCCAGGTTCCGCAGAGTCGTTGCTTGCTCTTCGACCAGCTGAGCAATTTTTGACGCGTTCCTAGTTTCCAAAGCTTTCATTTCCTCCGCTTGCGAACGGACCTGTGATAATTCCTGCCTCATTACTTCGACTGTACGTGTCTGTTCCGTAGCATCGACGAGTGCTAGAACACGATTCTGTCGCTCTTTTTCGAGGTCTTGGGCCAACTCCAAATTGCGGCGCTCCAGTATGCGTCGGGCTGCAACTTCACTTTCAATCTGCGCTTTGGCTTGGTGCAGCTCACGCTCCAGTACATCCGCACGTTCCCGCTCAGAGTGAGATGTGAGTTCAGTGGTTTGAAGGTCGCTATGGAGTCGATGTATTTCAGCCTGAAGGGACGTCCGCTCTTGTTGTACCAGTTTTTCTTGGTTTGCCTGGGCTTCTTGCATTTCGCGCAGTTGCTCAGCCAATTCCTGAAATGCGTGTTCGTCTGCTTCTGTTACTGTGACTCATGTGAGTATTAGGGCAAAAATATAAAGATATCGACTTACGTCTTCTGCGTGACGAAGACAATCGTGATGCCGAGAGTACTTGCACAAAGTTAGCTAGAGGTGTGTTTGGCGACTTATTTTACTCACAAGAACGCTCCGCGATACGGTCAAACCCAGCTTCCAGATTATCCATCTTGGCTATGAGCTTATCCACTGCACTTCTTGCTTCCTGTACTGAGCCCATCGCCACAGGGTCTGAACTTGACCGCGCCCATGACTCCAGATCGCTCAGGACTTGAAGCAGCACTGGTATTTCACTATGAGTTTGGCCGACGGGCTAGTGGACAAAACAATACCATTAATGTCTTCTCGGTCCAGCGAATACGACGGCTCTTTGCTACCGGAAGGAGAAAAGTCGATGGTCGGTACAACATCATCCATTCCTTTCGTATCGAAGGGCAGTTGACCATGCACTTCCCCTCTATATACCTGTCGGCGTTTCCGCTCGCTTGCACTACAGACTCGTCAGGAGTTGTAACATAGCATCACAACAACTTTTGTGGACTTACGACAGCTTGGCCATCACTTCCAAAATGCTTTGCGCGCGCTGATAGAAAAAGTGAGCTGCGTTTAAGAGATCAGACATGGGGTCACGCAAAACTGCGTTAACTAACCAAATTCCTTGCGTCGCACGATCTCAACGACAGTGGCGCAATATGCATACAGCATATTGTGAAGCCTCTGTATGTGCGAGAAGCTGTTCTTAGCCCTGAATTTACCTTGCAGGTTAGAGAGGGTCGTTGGTAGCTGTACAATGTCGATATTTAAGGCACTGATTTGACGAAGGACACCGATACATTGCTCGGTATATGCGTTCTGTAAAACGTCAGTAAGAGCATTTTCATAGACTTCGAAGACAAACCTTGGCTTCGGTAATGTCTCGTACTTCGCTTCGCAGTGCACCATCAAGATGTTTTAGCTCTGAGACATGATTACTTTGTTATTGCGTCTATGAATCGGACATACCACGAAGAAGGTTATTTGGATCCGTGGCAGGACTCTCAAGAGCTGCTGTAATGTCCGATGCCTTTTCGAGAATCTCCTGCGCCCGACGGCCTGAGGCGTCTGCACCCTCCAGTATTCTATGAACAAGTGAGATGGACATGGTATCATAGGATGAGGAACACAAACTCTGTATTCATTACTGTTGCGCGTACAGAATCAGTTCCGTTCGTTAACCTGGCTGCTGACTGCTCAGCGTCCTGGAACTGAGCCCGGAGATCCTCTAAACCGACAATATAAGAAGGTAATCCCAACTTTTTTCAATTACGTACCATGCGTCCTCGCACACGCGTCAGCGACCTGTTTCATCCTCACATTCGACACATAATCACCCAACGTCCTCGGCCGCTCTCCGTTCTCAATCGCAGTTCTCACAGCAGGCGACATAAATTCAACATGTATCTTCACGCGGCTTATGATTTCCAAATCCGCATCCAGACCTGCAAGGAGCGCGGCCTGGCGCTCGAGGTCCTTACGGGCCGTCATAGCGATGCCATCGAAGACGTCAGCTATAGCGAGAACATTAAGTTCGAGGCTGCTGGATGCAATTCGAGCCGCTTGATGTTGGCGGTGAAGGGTGGCCACGGTATGGACGATATGTTCGAGGTGCGTATGTGCTGTGCGAAGGTAAGATGCAGCGAGTTGTGAAGGTCGATATGGAGGTGTTGTAGAAATTGAATCTGGGATACTTTGTTGACGTTAAAATATCAAATATGGCTCGAGCCACGCACCTTCAATCGGAGGTTGCAGTGGTGGGTTAACCCTTAGCTCGTGAAGTACGTCGTTTAAGTCGAAATCCAAATAATACTTGTTGAAAACATAGATAGTCTGTTCAGGGAGTTAACGTTTTCCGCGTTTACAGTGAGAATATGACTTGCCTGGTCATGTGCACCCACTAGCTCACGAACATTGTCGGTACGCAAGCGTGTACCATCCGAAAGGTAAGCCAAGATGGCGTCCTGATCAACGCCCGTCTCCTGATTTAAGAATGCCTCTAGGCTTCCTCGCCTGCAGAACAAACGTTAGTGCGTTATAAAACTGGGCTTGGGCATAGGCGTGCCTCTCAATGTCTCGTAAGTTAGCATTGACCTGTTGTTTGATGTAAGTACTGCGAGTCTATGACACCGGAGACTCTGTTGCAGCATACCTGATATGATTCGCCGTCTTCCGCACGGCATATCTGAATCATTATCCCGGTGTACTGACAATATTATGGTTCGACGTTATGCTGCGACTCGGGAGCAGGCAAAGTGGCACGGCCACATGATGTAAACGCTCCCGCTAAGGAAAAACTACCCCTAACCATATGATGGATGGTAGGTTTCTCTATTGTCCAATATATAATACAAGATGTGTGTGAATTAGAAATATCCGTCTATATCATGTTATTGTCCCTGTCCTGTTTCTGAATCTTCCTGATGTATATCGCCTTCATATGCAGTCTCTATCGAGACAATCCAATATAAGTCACCCGTGGGCTGCCCGTCGCTGCGTTCCCCGTCTTCTGGCTTTCTCCGTTTGCAACAAACAAACCTGACAGGATGTCTATCCCAGTACTTCATGAGGTCGAATGTCATACCACCTGAAAGCCTTAAGGCAAGAGTCGGGTTGAATTGCAGATATCCATAGCAGAAATCTGTCGTGATCAGATCCTAAAAAAATTATCAGTAGACAGTGATTGAAATGATGAACGACAATACCTCAGGTCCAAATACGATCTCTCGCCGATGTTGAGGACTGCTAAAGTATGACCTACGATCGCCTGCAGTTCGCAGATCCAGCGCGCGACCAAATATCCTCGTCTTCTTATTCTTCTTCAAGTGCACTTTTTCAAGAGGCAACTTAAGTGAATTCTTTACCGAGACGTCCAATGCACCAGGCATTTTCAGCAAACTCAAGTGGTTAGATGAAGATGAGGCAACCGATGATGACGAGGATGGTGTCGCAACCGGAGAATTGGACGAGTATGGGGTCAAATACGTAGAGCTAGAGGAATTCGAGGATGCGATGGCAAATTGTAACTGCGAGGTATCCTCCCCTATTGATTGTGAGGGTGGAAACGACGACTGCGATCGTTTATGCTCTAGAACGGGCGAAGCTCGGATGTCATCTATTCTTTCGTGCACAAAATGGGGCATCGTTGCAATCAGCGGTGAAAGGGCCCAAGGCTTCGTATCCGACATCAAGTCATGTTCCAAAGTAGGATCGACGTATCTAAAAATTATGATTAGCTCCTGTCGTCGTGTGCCAACATCTGATACCGAATAAACATAACAACCTACTCACTTCATGAACTTGAGCGCCACACCAGCACCCCAAGGCAACTTTAAACGTTTGTCGAACGTATTTCCAAACATAACATCATCCGCTGAAGTCGGTTGTAGGAACCGGCCTGACATAATTACCACAGCATCAGAATAAAATTTATGTCCGAGGTGCTCAGACGCACCCTGAACCTGGATACTCCACGTTATCCCTTTCCTATCTTCTCGGTCAAAATACTCCGCGGAAAGCTCTTCGCCAGTGGGATTGGTGAAACCTTTGATGTTAATGGCGACCTTGCCTTCGAACAATTCCGAGGATATATCATGCGCCTTTCCGCTGTTCACTTTGTCTGTGATACAGACAAGCTTATCCATCGATGGTCCAACACGTACCCGCAGACGAGAGTGAAACATGGCTGTTTAGTCGCAAGGAATTAACGGGAAGCAGAGAAGGGGGCAGTGCACATGTGACGATTGAGTGCTACACAGAATCTTAGTCGTACAAGGGTCTAAGAAAGTGTTGAAGGATCCGGAAGGACGTATAAGACCAGCTTGTCGTTGTCGTGGTTCGGAATGAAAGTATCATGCCAAGTCTTGATCATGATGAAGCCTGACATGGAGTCGACGAATTAGGAAAGTAAGTCCTCGGCTATCCGTTGTCGCTTAAGTAATAAGCCTATGCTGGACCTTCAATTTTACCGTGATCGGCTCTTTAAGTTCTCGACCCGAGTCGGGGACGGATGGCTTGAGTGACTACGTCAAAAATCTCATTATCCCAAATTTAACAGTATACACGAGAAGACAGTGAATGTACAGCGGTTGACCATCATAAGTACTATATAGGATAGTTGACGCTGTGAATGTGGTAAGAATGAACACATATCCAAAGTGGTAGCCCGCACGCCTATGCAAGTAGATCCGCAAAGAAAAAGAAAACTAAATAGCCCAAAAATACGATCACCCGGGTTGTATCAGACAATAAATCAACCCTACTTCTCCCTATGACAACATTGATAGTACACCCATAGCCAGCAGCACAGCCCAGGCCCCTCCCACGCTGGTCAACTCGACGCTCGGTGGCGCTGATGAGGATGCCACGGTTGTACTTTGGGCGTAAAGCGATCCACACTCATTGTTCAGTTTTGTTGCCGCGTCGCCGTACGTAGCCTGCAATCCTGTCAAGCTGGTGGCGTTTGCGCTGCTCAGAGCAGCCCAATACATTGACATGAGACTCTTGGTGCAAGAGTTACATGCCCCACTGGTGATTTGGGGTACTGTCTGTCCGAGGGGTAGCTGGTAGAAATAATAGCTAGAAGGATCAGAGCTCGCCACAGCTTCGACATAACAATATGCATTTGCCACGGGATCCACGGAACACGCCGCTTGCCGCATCAAGTCAAATGCTTGAAGACCTGTTTCATTGTCAGGACCCCCTCCCAGCATTGCTATTATTCATATCGTACCTATCAATGCGTTGACTGCCAGGAGGTTTTGATTGCTTAAATCGGTAGCACATGAAGAACGTAGTGACGATGCAAACCACGCCATGTTCAGGTCACACTGATTTGAAGAGAGAGCAGTGTTGCACGTCCCCCAAACATCCGTGTTCGTCGCATTTATATTATCTTGTACCTGCTTGTGTAACAGTACCGAAGTAGTGATGTTGAACAGTGTGCGGGACGCCATCTAGGAAAAAACACACCTGTATGAATGCTTGAGAATGAGTGAGCAAGAGTGAGAAAGGGCGGCAAGATCGTAAAGCATCTGTCTGTGTCATATTGAGGAAGAAATTGTAGCAGGATGTGGTCGAGAAATTTGACGACAAAGTTGTGTCATAGGGCTGGGGAAATGGAGTTGGCAAAGTTGGATTTATTGGAATGGTGGGTGTGGGGGTAGCCGAAGGTGTGCTCCTCTTGATGAAGGGTAACGCGCTTGTGTCAGACACTACTGCGAGCCGCAAGAGGTTCGCAGTAGGTTTGTGTCTCTCATGCAGTGACCAATCGGTCAAGCTTTTGGTCCACGATTTCCACCCGTAGATTGAGGTTGGCGAAAAGGCATCAAACACCGTTGGATGAATAAAAAATTGTGTGGACACGCCGATTGCGATGAGAGCCATTGGGACCAATATGATCGTCCAGCGAAGAGTAAGGGTATATTTTTGCTTGGATTGGTATGAATGTGTGTGGGACGCAGATGGGTTGGCGTGTGTGGGGGTATCGTTAGTCATTTCCAGCTTGGGCATTTCAGAACTTTTGAATGGAGGAGGTGACGGGGGAGGCGTAAACATGTCTGATATCTAACTGCTCAGATATAAGTGCAACGAATGTTTGATTTGAAAAGAGCGTCGATTTGAAAAGAGTGTGAATATCGGCAGTGAGACCAGTGTAATGTCGCTGAAATAAAACGTTGTTAGCGAACACGAATAGATCTTTCCAGCGTGTTGGCACCTGTTGGCACTCACTTTTAAGTAAATATGTGATTGGTAAGAGGAAAGGGACACTAGAGGTTTGAATGGCGAGGTCGAGCGCGCATTGGCGCTCACGCTTTAATCCCGACGGGCAAGCTGCCGAAATTCAAAGCGCCTGACGAGGATAATAATGCCACGTCTGATTGAACGTTCACATAAAAGTCTCGCCTTGTTCTTCGTCGTCTGCTGATTTGCAATGATTTTCAACCTATTTAGGTCGTCGCGTCGTTTCCCATCTACTTCTGTCCCTTTCATTTCGCGATATTTCATCCTTATCTCCTTCAAAATTTTGGCATATCTTCTGCTCTTTTCGTAACAGTGTCTAGACTTGGTCTGGACCGCTCTGGCTTCGCACCATCGAGCCTGACCGAAACACCAAAGTATCCTGTATAAAGTACAGGTAGAAAGCACTACATTCCTTCTACGGAGACCCAAGTAGCACAGGTGGATCCGCACCGCGTATGCGCCGTTGTCACGGTTTTCTGCTATGTTCGCCTTCTCTTTTCATAGTAACTCTTATGGTGGAGCTTCGGTAGGTAAGCCTGTGATATTTGAGACTATTATTGGCCCCACGGTGACTCACGGCGTCAGCGAATCCATCCATTCATTTTCACAGTGCCACTTGATTGGTGCACATCACTTCTAACTTCTAATTTCAACTGCTATCATTCGGACGACTCCGTGATACAAGACGATACCGTAAGTATTCTTCGACTCAGCGGCAAGTACGTTAACAATCGAATCCGAGTGACTGCACTATGAAAGTAAGTAATTACTTGAGTTCTCGCGGCGGACTGACCAAGGTTCTTGGCCTACAGTCATCGGCGGCTCAAGGGAAACGGCCCCAAAACATATTTGTATTTCACTCTTCGATGACCATTGTCATGCAACCCGTTCCTTTCCCCCTTACAGTAACATACCCGGGTCGTTGGTATGTCTACGATTGATTCCCAACATTTCCACACACTGGCAATCAAAAGACAGATCCGCCACCTGAAAAACATTTGTCAAGTATTTCCATTCGAACTTAGGTTGCAGGCCATACCATCCACAAGGATATCAGCCCCGTTAATGTACCTCCCCGCACGACTGCAGAGGAGCACCACAACGCCTGTCAGCTCGCTCGGGTCCCCCATACGTCCCATCGGGTTTCTCGAGTACCATAGTTTCCTAGCTTCTTCAAGCCCTGGACCTTCATTCAATACTGTATCCATATACCCTGGGCTGATGCTGTTGACACGGATGCCATATCGAGCCCACTCGGCTGCAAGAGAGCTCTTTAGCTGCAGGAGCGCGCCCTTGGAAACATTGTATGAGACTTGTGGTTGAGGGAAATTGACACTGTGACCAGATATGGATGCCGTGAAGACGATGCTACCGCCTGTCCCTTGCTCGACCATCTGTCTTTCGGACTGTCAGGAGGTGAGTTTCGAGTTTAAACGGGGTTGATTTACTTTGCCACTGCTTGGGCACACAACCAACTTCCTGTCGTATTGATGCCGAGCGTACTCTTCCACTCTTCAAGAGTGACATCAAGGGCGTGGTTGCAAGCGACCACACCTGCGAAGCACAGGAGAATATCCAAGCTTCCGAGCTCGTCAGCAGTCTCAGCGATGGCTGCTTGAACGACCTGCTGATCGCGGACGTCTACTTTCTTCGTAATGATCTTTGCCGATGGGAAATCAAAACGCAGCCTATCAACAACGTCCTGGGCTTGCGCCGGATTGACGTCAAATAGCGACACACCCGACGCGCCATGTTCCAGGAGGGCACGTGCTGCCTCGATCCCAAGGTTACCGCACCCCCCGGTGACTGAGGAATTGCTTGATGTGAAGATCGGTACACTTGACTCGATTATACCCACCGATCGCATTGCCTCTGACAGAAAACCTCGCCGCCGCCTTTTCTGCGACTGCGAGGTCGCTTGACAAGGGGGTATGGGGTTTAGTTAATGGATTGGACTTGTCAGAAAGAATCATCTGCGGGAGGACACGGCTGGTAAGGCCATCTCTGGATGCTGGCGTAGGACCCATGACTGTGGCACACAACGATTTGCAGGAGGGGAAGCGACGGCTTTGGAGTCTCGCAGCTTCTGAGCTTGATGCGACTTCGCCAATTCACACGATTACGGAAGAAACGACTGATCTTCCTACATAGGGGAGACTACGATTACGGCGCCCTATCGATGCTGTTCCATAGTGGATTCGACACCTACAGTAATTCACTCACTTGCATTTGCACCATTATTGTTTACATCACGGCGCTACAACATTTTCATATCACATTATAAGTTAGACACTAGCAATCGTGGATATATTTTTATGGAATATAGAGCCATCTGTGTAGTTGCTCTAATGCCTCAAATCTGCCAGCGGAAAATGCCATACATACCCGTTTACAGCACAATGTTAAGCTCATGTAAACCTAGTGGACTGATCTGCAGTTGCTGAGACAGGTAAATTCTCGAAAAAAAGCGCTCAACCTCGAAGAATTCATGCACAAGTATCAGAGCTTTGACTCGATAAAACGTCGTATTTCTTGTGGAGAAAGTCGGTCATAATTTGCGCTGTGCAGATAGTTAGATAGCAATCAATTTATATTCTGTGAGGTACCAAGCTCTTCCAGAGACTCCTGAGGTATCGAAACTGCAATTATGTCAAATACGGAAATGTCTCAAGATGGGATGCAGACGAGATGTCCGGGAGAACTGATGGTGATGTTGGATGCATTTGCTGGCATGCGCCAAACATGCTCCTTCCCAATTTGCTCTACAGCACAGTGCCTACCAGTTAGCAGATCTCGTCTTGCCTTCTCGCCTTGAACATTCTGGTTGCGAATCCTAGGAAGAATTCACAGCAACTCGATGTTCTTGTCGAGCCTTTCCATCAATTCCCAAGTTTCGCGGCTAGCTCCCAGGTTGGAAAGGATGAGCGCCTCATGGATGGGAGGTGTCTTCAATCCAACACGTCTGCTTCCATCCTCGTGCAGTCCAAAATCGAGATAGAGCCGAAGCACGTCAGGCATCCTCCCTACAGTCATAGTTAATACTCCGACGCGAGGGTCATGATCAAAATCTGGAAGAAAACAAGGCCAGAAAATTCATGGATTATCACGAGCTGAAATGCATGAGTCAAGCAACCTCCGAAGGAATGTCCTGCTACGACAAGGGTGCGGGAAGAAAAGCCATTCTTTTGTCGTGATTCGCTAATGAACGCATGATGACTCAGATGTTCCTACCTCTCCTGTCATGTAGTTGATGAGAATGCTTGCAATATCTCTCGCAAGATTGTCAGTCCAATCAACTGCTTCCAAGCAAGCATGAATGAGAGGCGTCCTCTCAGTCACCACTGAGAGTCTGTCTGTTTAGCAGAGAGCAGAGTGCCCGTGTTGCACTGACTCCTACGACCGTATCTCATCTATAACACCACAGGCAGCTGATAGGTAACATAGGGTTGGCTTCCATATCTAATCCATAATGGATAATCAGATTACCATGGATACCGACACGACACTCACTTCCCTCGGAAAGTCTGTTGTGTGCACAAGAAATAAGGTGATCCCTTCATTTGGCCTCCTTTCCCCTTTTCGCATATCGATTGACACAATTCCATAGCACCATTTCACTTGTGACCACGAAATGGCCGTCCTCTCCTTGCCGGAACTGTGTTTCATTAATTCCCAGCTTCTTGATATCTCCCTCGATTTTCTTCTAAGATTGAGGAGGTGGCTTGGGGACTGGAACTCCATCTGGGGTGACTCACGGATTTGGCTGCAGGTATAACATGCGTGCTGATAGGCTTGTAAATGCCAAGTAGTACGTTATCGGTCCGAAGCTTGAAGGGCAGGGGCGGGCTTCAATGGGCCCTTCATGAGGCTTAAATGGCACCCGCGAACGCCGTAATTTCACGGTCGTCCGGCGTGTTGTAAGGGAATGAGGCGGGTACCATTGGATGTGAACGCATGTGAGATGCCTGGCACCTTATTTATGCCACATGTTAGGTTCAGGGTATATCAAATTCATTGTGCAAACGATGCCTGTCTTCCGTACATAAGTAATGCATAATGGTCCGATATCCGAGTCCGTACTCGAGTACTTACTCTAACTCGACGTGGCCCACAGCCACTGAAGTTTTTTTTTCTTACGAAAAAGCGAGCGAACCTAGAAATGAAGCGGCTGCTTGGCAACACGTGCAACGTTTGACGTACCTCACGAGTGACAAAACGAAGGAATTATTAACTGCAATCATATAGAATAGTCAGTGTGGCCATCGCAAAATATTGTTTACATCTTCTGTGGTTGCCAACAAAGTGAGCTGTTATTTCGAGATCCATTCCCAGGGACCGAGGGATGAAAAATGGCGTTACCGAGAGGCCCTCCTACATTAGAGGGCCGACGCGAGTTTAACGTTGCAGTTAGTCAGGACCTGGCACTGGCAGGTGCAGCAGTTGTATGTAAGAGGTAAGCGGGTCCAATAGTGTGTCGTGAGAAAACGGGAAACCTTGAATTCAATGGTCTTGTAGGATTGAAACCAACTGTTTTGCACTTGCCAACTCTCAACTCAAACGTCCTTCAAGCCTTCAAGTCTTTAACAACTTCATCGTCAGCCTGTCAAATAATTTTGGCGCGACCAACAAACAAAGGAGTCACCGATCCACAATACTAAGCTTCACTGGTACAGACGCGTGGCTGATCAAACTAGCCCTGCCTTTTTACATCGTCCAATAGCGCCTACCAATATCTACTCTCCGTTACCGTTAACAGCAATTCGTGAATATGTCTCAATCAGCAAGACCATCCACATCTACATCCACCGCGTATGCTCTTCTTTCCTGTTTTTAACTTATCTTTTTCTAATGCAATTTTAATTTCGTAGCTCATCCGCAACCCCCAATGACGCTTCATGGAGGGCGGGTCTTCGTCCACCACCAAAAGACTTGCGCCCCCAGACAGAAGATGTCACAAACACCAAAGGAACTGAATTTGAGGACATGTTCCTCCGTCGTGAACTTCTCATGGGCATTTTCGAAGCAGGTTTCGAAAGGCCATCACCTATACAAGAAGAAGCCATCCCTGTCGCCCTCACCAAACGTGACATCCTTGCTCGTGCTAAAAACGGGACAGGCAAGACCGCTGCTTTCGTTATACCCTCATTACAGCAGATTGATGTCGGCAAGAATAAGATTCAAGCCCTACTCCTCGTCCCTACTCGCGAACTTGCCCTCCAGACATCCCAGGTCTGTAAAATACTGGGAAAACATATGGGTATCCAGGTCATGGTGACCACAGGCGGCACGACCCTCAAAGACGATATCATGCGCTTATCAGAGACGGTTCATGTTCTCGTTGGAACACCGGGACGTATCCTGGATTTAGCAGGCAAAAACGTTGCTGATCTCAGCGAGTGTCCTGTGTTTGTCATGGACGAGGCAGATAAACTTTTGTCGCCCGAGTTTACTCCTGTCATGGAGCAATTACTCTCTTTCCTTCCTACGGATCGTCAGGTCATGCTTTTCAGTGCAACCTTCCCTATGATGGTGAAGGATTTCAAGGTAGGCTTGCCATGAGTACTGCCTTTGCTACTAGTGTTTGACGTGTTTCTTTCTGTAGGACAAACGCATGAGAACTCCTTACGAGATCAATCTTATGGAGGAGCTCACCTTACGTGGTGTTACGCAGTATTACGCTTATGTCGAGGAGCGACAGAAGGTCCACTGTTTGAACACCCTTTTCTCTAAAGTAAGTTCCCACACATCAACCCTCTTTCCTTACTGACCATCCATCTTCAGTTGCAAATCAACCAATCCATTATATTCTGTAACTCTACCAACCGCGTCGAGCTACTCGCAAAGAAAGTAACAGACCTCGGCTATTCCTGTTTCTACTCGCACGCAAAGATGCTTCAGTCACATCGTAATCGCGTGTTCCACGACTTCCGCAATGGGGTCTGCCGCAACCTAGTCTGCTCAGACCTATTGACCCGAGGAATTGATATCCAGGCAGTCAACGTCGTAATCAACTTTGACTTCCCCAAGAACTCGGAGACGTACCTCCACCGCATTGGTCGTTCCGGTCGGTTCGGGCACTTGGGTCTTGCTATTAACCTGGTCACTTATGAGGACCGTTTCAACCTATATCGCATTGAGCAGGAGCTTGGTACCGAGATTCAGCCCATTCCCCAGGCTATTGACAAGGGCCTTTATGTCGCACCCAGCGCTGCTGAGGAGCCTGCCCCGCAGAAGCCTCAGCCCCAGCCTCAGCCTCAGCCACAACCATCTCAGCAGCAGCGACCGCAGGCACCTTCTCAGCAAACGTCAAGTAACGGCCGCCAGAACGGCGCAGCGCCTGGACCGTCACAAGGGCAGCAAGCTCAACGGGGTGGTTATGCCAACCACGCAGCGTACCGTAATGGCACTCCTACACGATGAGCTCGTTCTTTCATGTTGCGTGTAGGAGGGAGGGGGAGGAGACCATCACCGCTCGATCATTCTCATCCTTTATCGTCAGCCGCCATCTCGACATCTCGTATTCCAGGGGTCGTGTTTCCCTTTGTTCGACATCGCCTGTCCATCCATCTCACTGCTCTGGCACCCGTCACATCTTGCGCTCCATCCTTTTTTTCTCACGTCTGGTTTTGCGTGTTCGATTATATATATCATATTAGGTTATACTACGCTCTTAGTCTGGCCCCTACGTACGTACTCCGATCGGGAGTCGAGTTTTTTTGCTGGTGATGAATGGTGTGTGTGGTGGTTGGTGGTGTGGGGTTTGTGTGGTGTGGGAGGTTGGGGTTGGGGTTTCGAATTGTTTGTGTAGTTTTGACTTTGTCTGGCGCTATGTTCTTTGTCGGACATTGTTGGCACTGCTGGTACCGTGACAATACAATTCCTTCCCCAAATCTGACGAGTTGACGCATTCCTTCGAATCCCCGAGGCCTCGAACCGGTAGAACAGAGATCACTGCAGGTGCTCTAGTAAGTAATCAAAACTATGAACGTCGGACCAAGATGCTATTAATAAAGGGTCGACTCGAATCGTTACTGGTCATTAATAGGACGGTAGACGGCGGTACCACGAGTCTTGCCAAGAAGGAAGTCCAAGGAACGATTGTCTTCTATTGGTTTTAGGTCTGCTGCTCGCTCAGGTTCCAGGACGTTATCAACAGATCGCTTGCGTGTGTACATTACTGACAAAAGATAAGTCCTTGAATCTCAATTGGGAGCTACGGACGGGCGTCCGAGTATTGTCCAGATACAAGACTAATTGTAGTTGTTGATCATCATTCATATATGGCAGGCGCTTCTTCTCTGGTATGCAACATGAACGGACACGACTTGTCTCCCAGCCTTCGCATATGGACGTCTTCCATTGGGGATGAGGGATTTGTACCTCCATCAATCAGCATGTCTAAGGCGGATCACATTCCCTAGGAAAATCCGGTCTCGACTCTCGAGGGCTCTCCGTGGCAAGAGCCGCAGAATAGCCCATCACCACTTTAAGGCCCCAGAGCTCATGACCAGTAACAGGTGACCCTATCGACTCCATTGGCTTATGCCAACCTAGCGATAACCGCTGCAATATTTTGGGGATCCTCGCTAACGTCAGGCTTTATCTTCCTCCACTGCCTCCATCACAAGTTTGCTATCTGTGGGAGATACCGTGAAGATCTCCAACTCCACGTCGTGCGCGTGACAAAGTGAGCCTCATTGTTTTACCTCCTCTGCCACTGCGGATTGCCTATCCTCTGGCATTATGATGGGAGAATTGTGTCTGCAGCCTTGTTATCGAGCTTTTATTAGCGACCACCGTAGGAGGCATACGTTTTACCTGTTTCTTTAGCAAGTTTGAGACTCCGGGGAAGATAAGCGGATGTTGTTAAATACGTGCACACAGCACTTTTTGTGCCCAGAGTCTATACGACCAATCGTGCCTAATGGACTTTGCAAGAAAAGTTGTCAAGGCGCTCGAGGTTCCCCATACGCATGAAGAGGGTGTTCCCTCCGGCCTGCAATTTGTTTCGGTAAGTTTTAAGTTCCTTAGGTTCAACAAGTTAGGCTTACCGTATGGCTCCTCAGAGCGATGATCTATTGCCAGTTCCGATAGAAGAAAGAACGTGGACTGCATTCAGTTATGTCGCTTTGTGAGGACTGCAATTTGTTAGGTTGACTGTACAATTAACACTCTTGTTGGCCAGCTGGGGGAGCACGGCGGTGAGTAGTGAATATCACGATAACACAAAACGCTTATAGAAACTCTACTCGTAGATCAATGTTTCAACGTTAGTTGCACATTTTCTCCTTACAGTATAGCCTCACACAGGTTCTGTGATAGTTGGATGATAACCTCTTCCATGATTGTTCTCGGCATGTCATGGTGGCAAGCCTGGCTGGTCGTCTGGATTGGTTATGGTGTGATGATACCGCCTATCATCTTGATGGGTCGACCAGGTGCTGTATTCCATGTCACATTTCCTGTTGTCAACCGTGCCAGCTTTGGGATATTTGGAAGTTTGTGGTGTGTATTCAACAGAGCGACGATGGCATGGTAAGTACGATATCTTTCGCGCCGTGCTGTCTTCACTTTGTTGCAGTATCTGGTACGGAGTGCAATCAAGTATTGGCGGTACATGTGTCTTGGTGATGCTCCGCGCAATCTGGCCGAGTGTTAATAATATCCGTGAGTTTCATGATGAACTGGTTCTTCGTGATCTGATATCTTATACGATGAAGCAAATTCCATGCCGTTGTCCTCTGGCACTAACACCAGGGATTTTATGTGCTTCATCATTTTTTGGGTAATATCTTTGCCCTTTATATGGCCTCCCGTGCACAAAATGTATGTTTAGAGAAGTTCATTCGGATGGATTGCTGATGAGCTCGCAACAGTCGTCACTTCTTCACGTTCAAGTCGATCCTTGCGGCCATTGCCTGTGTCATCTTTATGATTTGGTGCATCGTCAAGGCAAAAGGTGTTGGACCGATTGTTAAACAGCCGGCAACTATTCATGGCTCCGACCTGGCCTGGGCCATGATCAGTGGTATTAGCGTATGCATCAGTAACATGATAACACTGACAGTGTATGCCTGTCGTGCTTTCATGTATTATATTCCATTCTTACCATATTTTCAGGAACGCACCAGATTTTGCGTCACGGGCGAAGACTCCATCCGCACCGATCGTTTCCCAGATCTGGTCTATCCCATTCTCTTACGGTATAATCTGCCTCTTTGGTGTAATCGTCAGCTCCTCGTCGCAAACAATCTACGGGGAAGTAATCTGGTCACCCGTGGATTTGCTAGGAATGTTCTTAGACGACAACCCATCCCCTGCCACTCGATTTGGTGTGAGTTTGAACAACGTAAATTTGTTTTGCACTGATGAGAAGGTCGTGATAGGTCTGGTTCATCGCCTTCTCTTTCATTATAGCTCAGGTAGATACCATACTGACTTCCTTAAAGACCTAATACTGATTGATCTCAGATAGGGTATGTAATGGACGTACGAGTTACTGGCATAGCTCATGCTTTGTACCCTCCCCGTTTCCAGAACGAACATCTCCGCTAACTCGGTCAGTGCGGGATGTGATCTGACGGCGCTATTTCCACGTTTCATCGTAAATTCTCCACTTCATGTATTTGTCTCAGGAAGTACTTATTTTCATCACAGAATATCAGACGCGGCGGGTACATAGCAGCCATTATCGGACTTGTCATGTGTCCTTGGAACCTAGTATCAAGCAGCAGCCGTTTTTCCTCCTATATGTCTGCGTACTCGGTCTTCCTGAGCGCCATCGCGGGACCTATGGTAAACGGACTTGGATCTGGATCTGATTTTATTTTTGACTTAATGTGCCCCTAGGCTGCCGAATACTGGCTTGTGCGCAAGGGCCATTATAACGTCGCTGATTTCTACGTCACCCGCAAAGGAAGTTGGTATTGGTACAACTATGGTTTCAATCCCAGGTCTGTGGGAGACTAGTACTGTTGGCTCTCCATCGCTCACTCGAGTTTAAAGAGCGTACGCAGCATATATGGCAGGCATCGCCATTAATGTAGTTGGGTTCGCTGGGGATAGTACGTCTCTTTAGTTTGTATTTTGTTTGCGGTACTCATAGTTTCCACAGCTGGAACACCCGTACCAGTTGCTGCGACTCAGATATTTGACTTGTCTTTCTTCACAGGATTTGGTACTTCAAGTATCGTGTACTATATATTGAGCAGGATGTTTCCGGTAATGGGAGCTGCTAAGGTATTTGAGGAAATAGATGTATCTGGGTATGAGGAAAAAAGGATGGCGCGCTGCGACGAAGATGCCAACTCAAAGGACGATTGCACAGAGAAAGAATCATCTGACGTATAGATTCAACAGTCTTCGGAAGTAGACTTATACACAGTGTGATTAATCCATGGATCATGATTGTTCACGTTGAATTCAATCTTTTGATTGTGATTGACTCATCCGAAAGTTACAGTGCTCAAAACTTGCACTTGGGCGCATATTGGGAAATGCATTGCAGGCCGAGGAAATATATACCAAGACTGCAGAATCGCATTGCGCCAGTGCTCGAGCTGCGAAGCGAACACGAGGAAGAGGCTGGCAATATATGGTTGTGTTTTCGGTACCTACAATGTCAGCAGTGTCGGGTCCAGGGCCCAGTATATCTTGCAATACTAGGGAACTGAAAAATCCGACGGACGAGTGCTTGTACGTTGTAGATGAGGACGCCACTTAGTGTTTCATATAGTTATTTCAGACAAATATTGTCGGACATTAACAGTCAACCAGATAGAGAAGACATTGCATGGTATTAAAATAGGGGAGTTCAAAGCTGGATTTCGAGGCCGATTTGGATGCGATTTGGACGTGGATTTGGACTTGGATTTGGACGCTAAAAAACGTCCAAATCCGATTTCAACTTTGACAACCCTCGATTTCGACCTGATTTCGACGGATTTGACACCAACCGTTTTTGCTTACCCAAGTGCTTGCCGCATCGGAGTTCAAATTACCGTAGTACAACAGTTAGCATAGGATATGTGAAAACTGTTTTGAAACCACGATGCCCTTTCAAACCGAGCGCCAGCAGGCTGCTGAATCAGTGCTCCAGTCATACATTGCAGCTCTTCTGGCAGAATCCCACATTCTCGTTGATCCCATGTCTTCTTCTAGCTCTGGTTCTTCTGATTCAAGCTCCGACGACTCCTCTGGTGAATCCGATGACGACCCGATGCCTACTACCAGCGAAGTTTTGCTTGGTGTGGTAGGCACATTGTACTCTATAGGCAGTAAACGAGGACCAAGTCGCGTCGTACAGTCACAGTAAACAAGACGCGTGTATTAGGTAAGTCACGTTGTGCGTATTTTAGAGTCCGACTCACGTTGCCGAATGTTGCCGCTGAACCAGCCGAAATCCATCACCAAAGCTGATTTCGTTTTTGAAAAACGAAATCGACGTTCAAATCGACGTCCGAATCGGCCTTGAAATCCAGCTTTGAACTCCCCTATTGTCTGCAGTAATGAGAGTACAAAGTATTGCTATGCGATGGAATGTAGGGAAACTTGAAATATAGGTATCCAGATACGTGTAGGTATCTGTAAAGTACACTAGACAGCCAGGAAGCATGAGTACAAAATGGTCAACATCAGGGAAATCCTCGTTCTCAAATCTGATCAAATGTGATCCAATTTGTGTGAATCTGCAAGGATTCAATGTATTCGCAAATTCGATCAATTATTTTAGTCCTTGAAAATTATCGCCAATAGGAACTCAATTTGCGACAATCAGAACAGTATTTTCAGGCAGTTGTCCAATCCATCCAATGCCATCAAGCAAATTTCATTAAATCTCAAATATAGAAAATACAAACGAGTGACTAGTTATTCATCAATCCTCCGCCATACCCTCAATATCGAGGAACATGAGAGTCTCAGCTGTGCTAGGTTCCACAATCTTGCGCTTCGACCCACTATAACACGATGCAATCAGACAATAGCATCAGGAAATGTACACTTTACTTAATTCAGCTTGACACTTGAAAATTTGCGCTAAGTCAGCTAAGACGACTTCAAGTTACCTCATTTTTACTTAACACTACTTACTAGTCTGACCGAGAAAAAAAGCAAGGCTATCAAGTAGTTAAGTGACAAAGTTTGCAAATAATGTATTCAAGACACTATTTCAAAAGAATGATGATCTGCGAATTTGTTAACATAGAACCCGCAGTAAGTATCTAGAGTCTCATGGAATGTAACTTTCTGTGGGACAAATTCCTCGCCAAAGATGGGCAGCAAGTGAGCTGCATGAATGATCACGTCAATGTGAATGATTGAGAGCTCCTGAGTGTCGAGCTCCAAGTCGAGAAAGGATGGCTTGACCATCCACATTCCATTTCCAGGATCGGGCTTGTCAGAGACAAGCTTAAACCAGTGTACCAGAGCACACGGAAAAGTCTCCAAATCACGGCCATAATGGAAGGAAAAAAAACATAGCACACGGACAACATCCATACTGTGTATTCCATCCTCACTTCCAGTGTTCACAAATACAGTGTTGTAGCATCCTGGACCTCCATGCCATGAAGGGACAGAATGGATATGTTTGCGTCGCATTCCCCCAATACCACTGGGATCACTTGGTGCAAAGAAAGTAGATACTGCAGATCCAAAAACCTTGACATGGCCTTCAAATCTGGGGCAAGCACTAAGCAGGATGGTATCAGACGTATGTTCATCATCTGTGAGGAGTTGGTCATAGAGAAAAAGGCGGACCAGTTGGGGCAAGTTCAGTACATCGAGTTCTTCTGCCAGCACATGAATGGTGCATGCTCGTTTGTGTTCTTTTGTTGGGTCAGATAATAATATATATGAAAGAAAAGATAATGCACAAGGTACACATGCCAGTTTCACATCACATTGCACTCAGGCTCCCTCCACTGCACCATCATCTTCCTCATCACCTTCATCCTCCTTGCCCCTCTCACCTGCCTCACCACTGTTGTCCACTTTGCCACTGTTGTCCGTTTCACCATCGTCGTCCACTTCACCACCGTCATTTGCCTCGCCACTGTCCTCCACATCTCCATTGTCGTGTGATGGGTCTTGTTGGCTTATATCTACTCAATTTTTCATTCAGTACCAATATTATATACAATAAGAGATATACATACCAGGATGTGGACCTAACATTTCACGTGCCATGAAGTCTGTACATGCAGCAGCAAGTTTATCAAGGCGCTGGTTTGTTAGCAACATCTGTCCGAGTGCATTAAATTTACTCAATCGTCGCCATGGTTCTTTGACGGCCTTGATGTGTTTTGACTCTGTTATGGATGAACACACACCATTTGGTGCACCGAACATGTGGATAAGTGTAATATAATGCACCAGAGAATGCTGATGTGGTAGTGAGAATCCATCAAAATGAACACCGGTCTCTTGAAAAATCTTGTGATAACAGTGAAAGCGGTCAAGGGCCTCCTTAATTTCCTCAAGTGTGTTCTCCGTGATGATATCCTGTCGTACAAGGTAGCAAAATTCAAGGAAGGCGCTGACACGCACGAAACTGGTTTCGTACATGGTCATGGATACACAATATATCAAATTACATACTTACTACACCCTACAATGGTAGTTCTAATTTTCTACAAATTTTATCACATTTTATTCTAATTTTTCTGACAGTTTTTCATAGGTAAAAAAGTTTATTATTCATATTTTGACTTATCATGGTCAATAAACTGTGTTAAAAACCTTTATCCTTTCATTAGTCAGCATATTCCCACACTTATGGGAATTTTTTCGTACATTTTCACACATAATGAGCCATGTTCGTGTTAACATCCCAGCATCTTAACATCTGTACAGTCACCATCTGAGCAGTGTCATATTTTTACTTACATAATCTACACTTTGTTTGAATGATTAGTCATACTTTCTGGACAGTTCCGAAATAGTGGTAATCTTTAAGTGAACATCTGGACAATAAAGCGAATGAGTCATACTGAGTCACAATGAGTCATTTTTGCTATGACTCATACTGAGTCATGATTAGTCATCTTTCCATAATAAGTAATTGTGTAGCCACTCGTAGAGTAGTATATAAAGGGGCCTAGTTTCCCTCTGATAATAACAATTCCCTCTTTTAAGACCATATGAATGAATGTGTGAAAATCTGAGTAAATATTAGCTTATTTCCTCCGCTCTTTTGGCACTGTTTCCCACGACTTATGGACCTTCTTTTAAGTCTTCCCTGAGCTATAACAAATTATACTAGCTAGTACACGGTTACTAGTCGTCTAGTGTAGTTTTACTTCATTCTCTTTACGACACGGAAATCACTTCTGTGGGGAGAATTCACATATTTTTAACGATTGAGGACGACAAATAAGACTGATACTTTATTCAACAATATTAAGAGCTTGGCCACTTAAGATTACATCACGAGGGTGTATTCTGAATCTGGACTGCGTCATTACTCATTGTGAGATCCTGAGCAGCAGAAGGTTGGTTTCGAAGCCACATATTTGATTGATTTGATTGTATTTGCCTCTTAGTTTGATCTCCCCTGATTGTGAGAATAAGGAGTATCCAAGAGATATCACTCTGACTCACCACGTATTGTCATCTGCCATCTGTAGTATCGTAAGTGTCATACCAGTTATCAATTTGGCTGTTCCCAGTAAGTCTATATTCAGTCCATTTCTGAGTTTCCTAAGCACTGCATCAAGCCAGTTAACAGATACTGTTCCTGGGAATTCCCTTAGATTCTCACCCCTTTTAAGTCATTGGTAAATCTGCTCAAGAAGAACAGCAATTTACATTTGCACCCCCACGAACGACCATGTTATCAACTGTTGGTATTTGTCTGAACTGTTGACCGTGGAGGATAGTGAAAATTTGGTGATTTTATTGCTTTTTGCATCCTAGTAAGACAGCGCAAAAGCACCGGACAATGACATCGGGGACATGTCCTTTGATTGCAGGCAAGTAGACCTTCATTAAGGCCTTTGAATCGTTGCCAGTCCATTGAGTGAATCCACGGCCTTGAGGAAACCGGCAAAGGCCCACAAATGATGGTGCTGCAGCAATTCTAGAGAAACAAGTCTGTGGGTTAGCAAGAGTCACTGAAGAAATATTGTAAGGGTACCTTCTATCTATGTCATCCATTACCACCTTAGCACAAGTTTTTCCATGTATGCGTTCTAAATACTTCTTGGCCCAGACGACAAGGTGGTCTTTGAATGTACCCATGATAAGTTGATGCAGGATATCGGGGGACAGAAGTTTGTGAATGTTGGTGCGTGGATAATCGTTCATGAACAGCTACTGTTGTTAGAAAGCTTTGAGCAGTTGGATTGAAACAAAACTTACCACAACATCAGCGTCAACACCCCACTGATACCACAGTGTACTAAAGTCGACATTATTACAAAGGACGTCTGTGACTATTTGAGCATGAAGTTGGGCATCTTTGCCATCTAGATCTGCTGGCAAAGCAAAACATCTTAGGAATACATTAGATTTAGACAAGTTCATGCAAAAAGACACTTACTTAGCACACCAATTTGATATGATACAAGAAAGTATGACCTGTTCTGGATAATCCGCAATGTATGGTCCTAAGCCATAAATGACGCGTTGAAAGTGACTGTCCCCAAAGTGCACGACCTCAGGAACAGTCATGAAGGTCTTGAAAGACCGCAATATTCATGAGAGAGATGAATGAAATAATTGTTCTTAAATTTTCTACATTGCGCATCCTTGGAACATTGTTTTACAGCTGTAGAAACGTTGTACAGGAAGGCACTGCAGAAAGTGAAAACACTACATACTCTTTGGTATAGCTAAAAAGCCAACAACAGCGACAGCATTGTGATGAGTGCGGCGAACATTATTCTGTACATTGCCAATTGATGCATAGAGTGGATAATAATCATTTTGTCCGGTTGCGACTGAGACTGTTGTCTTATCGCTTCCAAGAAGGATGGGTACGAAAGTCGAACCATGTGTTGCTGGATCTTTGGTGATTTCATCCTAAGATTATTTAGATCAGCGTCATGTCAAATATCAAATAGTAAAGAACTTACAGCTTGATTCCATGCCCAGTCTCCCGACATGACATTGCGCCACTGCCGTTTTGTGTCACCTCCCTCTCCCTTCCATTCACGATAAGGCATGTACTCCATCTCATCCTTGAAGTCTGGATTGGTGAGCATGTTGTGGACCACAGCATGGGGATCTCAGAACCATGCAGTGTAAGCAGTATCCATCCATGGGGCATGAGCCTCCAAGTCAGAATTGCTGGGAACTGAGCCTTCTCCATTAAACTTCATTGTGAAGCTCTCCCATGCGACTTCTCCAAGGGGTATCACATTGATGGTTGAATACAAGTCTTTGTGGTCAGTGAATGGTGGGGTGTCTCTGTGATGCACAAGGGTTCATCCCCACAGGTACATAAGCTTGTCAATATCACCGCCAGACATTTGATTTTTCATATATAAAAACTCGGCAGTCTCGAACTCTGTGCGATCACAAAACGGTATCCAGTCACCATGCTCTCTTGGTGTGAATGGAGGTGGCGGAGCATCTGGGTGGATGAACTGTCCATGTTCATCGCAGATTTGCCCTGTATTGATAGAAAAATGAGAAACACATCAGTGATAAAATAGTCAGATATGCGCCGTTGAGCTCTAAGTGATAATCTTGGTAGGTCTCCTCGGGATTTAGGGCTGGAGTTGGAATGTTCGTGTTTTTGGCCTCAAACTCGAATTCTCTTGCCCTGATGTTCTCTTCCCCAGCCTTGCAGTCGAATTCTCTCGCCTCGAGGCCTAATTCTCCTGCCTCGAGGCCCAACTCTCCTGCCTCAAGGCCAAATTCTCCTGCCTCAAGGCCTTCTCTGGTCTCGAGGTTTGGTTCTTCAGAATGTTCTCAGGCTGCCTGCTGATTTGGGATGTCGAAAGAAGAGTTGTGCATGGCATGGCGATGTTGCGTGAGTCTGGATCGGTTTCTGAAGGAATGTGTACAGCCAGCATGAGGACAAGGAATTAGATTAGCCTGAAATATCTTGCGTGAATGAGTGTTCTTTTGGAACCGGCGATGAGGGCGTGCAGACATTGTGGGAGGGACTTAATCATAAAATCACTGCAGAGAAATTGAGTTTTGTAATGATAGTGTGTGTCATGAAAACATGACGTACTAGTACACGTAAAACACCCTTCAACAACTCTGAGTCCTAGCGAGTTGACCTCATTGTCACCTTTTGGGTGTCTTCATTTCCATCTTTCTTGAGTCTTGCTAGTCATGGTTCACACACGTCCAACCAATGCGTCAAAGAGGCCTGCTCAGGTAGTTTTGGACATGAAACAGAAGAGGCGTACTGCAGCTCAGGTTAAAGAAGATCAGGCGTGCACTGAGAAGGAGCAAGAGGAACAAGACCAGAAGGCAAAGCAAGCCATCGTGCAAGTGGCTGCCGCTCAGCAGAAAGCTGCCATTCAGCAGGAGAACACAGTATCTTCAAAGAAGCCACGACCCCGCCCAACTGGCAAAGGCGCTGCAGCGACATCTTCTCACGCTCATGTTGTTGCAGTCGATGATGACGAAGACGAAGACTCTCAAGTCCTGGGACAGAGGAAACACATCCAGAAGACTGATCACCGCAATGCTGTCAATGCAGTCCAAACTGCAATGCAGCCATCTCACCCACGTGCACCAGATGCTGCCACAAATGGAAACAAGCTGACATGGGTGTTTTTTCAACTGCCCATCATGCTTTTACTTACTGAAACGTCATTATTTTACTGTAATCTGCTCCATGAATTTACCAGCGACCTAAAAAAATATCTTCAGTTTCAGGTTGGGCTCAATGAATCAATACAAAGATTGAGTCTACCCCATTCAAGGCGCCATTGCACTTAGAAAGTGCCTCTTCTGTTTCTCGTCCCACTGGATCTGCACTATCTTGAGTCACTCATGCAACGACTAACACAACGACTACTGCTACAGCTCCCCCTGTGACACCCAAAAGCTCTGTGTTCAATGACGATGTTGAAATTGAAGATCACACACCAGACTCAGCTGAGGGGCCCAAGCGCTTAGCGGTGTATACTCTTGCAAAGATGGGTAAACCAAAGTGCATCCAGAAATTGATGGTAGCTAAGTTTTTACCTAGTTTTAAATTTGTTCAATACTAACTTACTTTTAGGATGTGATTGAAGTCGAGGATGTTTCCCGACCTCTAACTCCACCAATTCCTTCGCAAATGAGGCTCCTTCAACATGGTTTGGGTAGCACACGTCCCCATATCACTCGGTCTGAACCAAAGGATGTTGTGGTGGACCCTGAGGGCCAGGAGGACTCTATCATGATTGCGGATGATGCTGATGATTTTGATCTTGAAGACTATGATGCCAGCACTGCCATGAGGAACACAGGTGGGAATAAATGAGTCACGGCATCAGTAGGTCACGCTGATTATGTAAGACTTCACTACTAACAAGATTCGCATTCCACACCAATGTGGAAGTTGTGGATAATGCTCCTCCACCCAAGTGTATCAAACGAGAGGCAGAAGGTGATGTGATTGCTGGAGAGGCCTTGAGGGCAAAATACAAGAATAGCGACCTTCCTCCTGGCTGCTTGGACCGAAATTTATGGAGCAGGGTGTTTATCCCCACAGTGGCACATGCAGCTGGTGGCGAGAATGCCCACCCTTGGTTGATTGAGGACGATGTACTCATCCCGATTCTCACTAAGGTGTGGAACATCGTTTATGCACACAATCCATCCCTCATGAAATACCAAATTGTACCTGGTGGTGCCGTCTATCATGTGGTATGTCAATGGTGTCTTCAATTTTATACCAACACTTACTTCACAAATGGTAGGTTAAACAATGCCCCAGTGAATGGCATGGAGGGTTTGGATCTGCCGCTGTCATGATCATTATGAGTCTCATGGCTTCTGACACTACATACGAAACTGACCAAGAGCATACCAAGTTTGCCAAGTTCTGGCTCGAAGACAACCACTTCATTTTCTCAGATGTTAGCTCTGATGACCCAGAGGTGATAACACTAAGACAATCTCAGCAGATGTAAAGACAACGCTGAATTAGATGTACCTAAGACAATCTGAACTAAGGGTCAGCTAAGCTAAGTACAACAAGATGGACGAAACATACCTCAGCGGATGTAAAGACAACACTGAGGTAACGAGAGACGACAGAGACTCTGTTAAATAGAAAACATCAAGAGGTACAAGAAGTCGGTGAGATACCGGCGATGACAACACCGGGAGACTATTGTATGGTGAGGAAGGTGCCAAGAGAGACAAGAATGGTAAAGAACCTTGGAGGTTAATCCTCTGAGGTATGGTATCATGCGTACATAAAACAACAACTGTCAACACACCCCCTCACCAAGACACCAGAGACAGTCCTGGGAGGTGTTTGTCGAACAGAGGGCGAGGAAGTGCCTTAGTGAGGACATCAGTGGTGTTCTGATGAGAAGGGACCCAGCGCAGCAGGAAAGTCCCCTCCTCAATGTGCTCACGAATAAAATGATAACGCACATCTATGTGTTTTGAACGGATGTGATTGCGTGCCTCTGTCGACAGTGATATTGCACCAGTGTTGTCCATATAAATCATGATGGGAAAGGAGAGTGGAATATGAAGGGCAACAATGAGAGACTTAATCCACAACCCCTCCTGAATGGCATGCGTGACGGCCATATACTCGGCCTCTGTGGATGAAAGTGCATGTGTGCTTTGCTTTTTCAAGATGTGAGCAATAACACCCCCGGCATAAAACCATGCATAGCCTGAGATGGACAAGCGGTCAATGGGAGACGTTGCCCAGTCTGCGTCACAGTACACATAAAGGCCCTTGTTCACATCCTCACCCCCATAGTGCAGTCACAAATTTATGGTCCTGGATAAATAGCAAAGTAAGTGCTTTGCAGTTGCATAGTGTGCGTGAGTGGGCTTGGAGCTATGCTGTGCAAGTGAGTCAACTGCAAAGGAGATGTCGGGGCGAGTGCAGATGGAGAGATAGAGCAGTTCCCCAATGAGTTTTCGGAAGAGAGTGGGGAGATTGGGAAGTGTGTCGTGAACGTCAGTGGGTCTGCTGAAAGGATGGTGAGGGTCTAGTGGTAAGCACATGGGATTGCAATCAAGAAGACCGTATTCTTCGAGTAAGTAACTAATCTACTCCCCTTGATGCATCTATAGTTTGCGGGTGCTGCGATCACGTTCAAATTGGGTGCGGATAAATTTTGTGATGGGTCCCATGTCCTTGATGCTGAAGCACTGATGGATCTTCTGCTTTACCCAAAGTAAGAAGGCTGGGGAGTTGGACGTGCCCATCCCATCGTCAACGTGGAATCCGATGATGCAAATGATGCAAGTGCCGGATGCTTCGCTGTCAAACAGAAACACCGCATAGTCGACAGTGCACCGAGTGAACCCTAATTCTCCCATAATCTCTCTAACCTGCTCATACCATTCCATCGCAGATTGCTTCAGACTGTAGATGGTACAAAGCATCCTCCAGACTTGCACTCTCCAATCACCCTGCTCAAAACCCTTAGGTTGACGCATATATATCTCCTCCTTGAGGACCCCCCAGAGAAAGGCGCGTGTGGTGTCAAATGAGTGAAGGTCCCAGTTGTTTTTGCATGCCAGGGCTGCTATGAGATGTAAGGACACAGTTTTCAGTACCGGTGCGAAGGTTGCACCGTAGTCTATGCCTGGAATTTGAGAGAACCCCTGGGCAACCAAACACACCTTATAAACTGACCCTCCCTTATTGTCTTCTTTAAACTCTAGCACCCAGCGATTTCTGATCGCTTTATGCCCATCTGGAATGGTGGTGACCTCATATACACACATGTCGTCCATGATTTGCAGCTCTTTCTTCATAGCAGCAAGCCACTTGTTCCGGTTGGTATGAAGCATGGCTTCTTCATAAGTGGCAGGGGGAATTGCCATGTCGTAGTTGGCATCAGTGGGGTTTCATTTTCGGTCACTGCTGATGGAAATATGTGCGTGCTCCTTGATCATCATGTTTGAGAAGACTTCTGGGATGTCCATGTTGGGTTCTATCTTTGCTAAGTTCTCTACCTCTCTCTCTTCTGCTCCCTCACTCACCCCCTCGCTTGACAGAACAGGGATAATTTGCGCGTGAGACTCTTGCAAGAGCCGAAGACGTGCCTTGGTGGCGTTAATTTCCTCAGTCCAGGCTTGACCAGCTGGGGTGGGCACCTTGACCCAGTTAGACTGTCGAACGATGGGCAAGGCAGGAGGCACCTCAATTTGCAGAGGAGTAGAGGAGGTCACTGCCTGTGTAGGAGAAGCAATAGTGGGAGCAGAAGATGTGGTTATGGGAGCAAGAGTGCCGTCAGTTGGCCCATCATCTGAGTCTGAATCGTCCCTATGTGCAGGAGCCACACGTTCATCAAAAATGATGTTGCATACAACAAAGAAGGCACCGGACACTTTATCACGGAGGCGATAACCCTTGGTGCCCTCTGGGTACCCAAGGAATATGACCGTGCGGGAGTGCAGACCTAGCTTGACCTGGAGCTCAGTGGGGATGCGCGCGAAACAGCGGGAACCGAACACCCTAATGTGCTCAAGGTCAGGCTGTTGGTTATTGACCATTTCATAGGGAGTCACGTTTGGGGGGAATGCAAGAGGTGCTGCGATTCCAGAGATAACAAGCAGTTAATGCTGCTTCACCCCAAAGATTAGCAGGTAGCTGTGCACCCTCGAGCATCATGAAGAGACGGCCTTCAATGTTGCAAATGGCACGTTCAGCCTTACCATTCTGCTGATGTGCATAAGGCACAGATAGTTGCCGCTCTATACCTGAGTCCTGCAGAGCTTTAGTGAATGCACCACTTATGAATTCTCTCCCGTTATCCGAATGAAAGACTTTGACCTTTCAACCAGAATGGTTCTCCCATCGTGCCTTGATTATTCGCCATGCATCAAGAGCTTGATCTTTGGTCACTAGAAGCTGGAGATTCAGGAGATTGGTGTGATCGTCCAGAAAGATGACAAAATGAAGCTTTCCATGTGGCGTTGACCTGCACCAAACTAGTCTGGTGCATGGCTGACTAATATTCTCATAAGAAGCCTGGCATCATAAAGACCATGATTGCAATATCCTGAGCCAAAGCCTGGCCCAGGAAAAAGGACTTGCTTCTTTTTCTTCATTCTTCTGCAAACCTAGTTTACAGGAATGAATATTTTTGGAGATTTATTCTTGGATTCAGTTTCATTTTGTTTGGCTTAAAAATGACTCAGCATGAACTTCTCACATGTCAGGTGACTGTGAAAATTATTTCCCATGCAAGTTGTCCTGTGGGAACATGCAGGAAACCCTAAATACAAAGCACCACACCAGTTCGGCCCCTAACAGAAAATGTAATAAAGAAACACAAACATAACACATGGACTGGTACCTTACATAATCAGTGTCTAGACCTTTTCTGCTTTGTCATGAGAAATCACATGATTAACACCAAGTCAAGATGACTCATCTATATACCCAAGTGACTCAACCATCTGAAGTGACTCACAATGATTCAACTTGATTCAGTATGACTCACACTAGCTTATATGACTCAGTTTGACATGACTTGACAGGAACCTTAAAGTACTGGTAGCATAGCCCTTAATTTTGTCTATATAAGATCCCCTTTTCTCTCAATAAAAGTACGTGTTTTTACTCCCCAGTTCTTGAGTGTGAAGTGTGACTGTAGCCAAACAAGAGTGAAGAGCTGTTGAAGATCAGTGAAGGTACTCTTCTGTGAGACACCATTAGTGTGAGCTCATCATCCTCCAACACTACCAAGCCTGGTACTGCCCCTATTTGTTTGTTTTTCCACATTCTTCTTTTATTTTGCTACCACTTTTGTGTTGTCTCCTTAGTCCACCTAAGACTTTGCATAGCTTAGTGGGGGAGCTTTGAAGTTTGATAAATTGTGTGCTTGACCACACACATCTGAGTAGTGATACTGAGCTAGGGTTTCATTGCCTTAAGGCTTTAGCTATTGAAAGGGGACTTGGTGCCGAACACCAAGGACGTCCGTTCCTGTTTTCTGTTTAATACTCGAAGCAAGTTCCTTGACAACAGGTTCAATAGTACTGAAAGTTCTCTGAGCATTGACTAGTCCTGACCAGTGGTCCTACCTGCTTGCATTGTGGGAGTGACTGTTATAGCTTCACACAAATTTTTGTAGTAAGATTGCCATTGGGCATCTTTTTGGTACGAGAAGGTATATTTGTTTCTTTTGTTGTTTCCTGTTGTCCAGGCATTGTTGGATTGATCACTCACATTACTGACCTCACAAAGCACCTTCTGCTGACAGTGGCTTAGGTATTGCTAATCAGCCACCCATGAACGACCACATTGACACGCACGAAACCTGTTTCATACATGATCACAGACACATAATATACTCTCATACAACCTAATACTGCCAATAAAGGCAGTTCTAATTTCTTATGGCTTTATTACAATTTACTATAATTTTCTTGAAGGTTTTTTATAGCTACATGAATTAATCGTTCATATTACATACTTAGCACAATCAACAAACTGTGTTAAAACCCTTATCCTTTCATTAGTAAGCACATTCCCGCACCTTTCGGGATTTTCTCGTACATTTTCCCACCTAATGAGCCATATTCATGTTAACATCTTAACATCTCAACATCTGCAGCAGTCATCATCTGAGCAGTGTCAATCTTCTTATGTAATCTACATTTTGTTTAATGATTAGTCATAGTTTCTGGACAGTTCCGAAATAGCGGTAACCTCTAAGTGAACATTTGGACACTGAGTCATAGTGAGTCACATGGAGTCACTATGAGTCACTATTCCATATTTAGTAGTTGCATAGCTACCTGTAGAGTAGTATATAAAGGGACATAGTCTCCCTCTTTGAGCAATAAGATCCCTTTTTAGAGAGTTTGCGTATCTCTCAGAAAGTTTCTCACCCCTTAATATCTGTGTGAATACTGAGTGAATATTAGTTTATTCCCTCCACTCTTTTGTCACTGTTTCCCACGACGTTCTGACTACCTGAGGCCACCTCTAAGTCACATTAAATTACTCTAGCTAGTGCACGGTTACTAGTCGTCTAGTGTAGTTTCACTGCAATTCTCTTTACGACACAGGAAATCAATTCTGTGGGGAGAAATCCACATACTTTAACGATTGAGGACGATAAATAGGACTTATACTTTAGTCAACAATATTAAGAGCTTGGCCACTTAAGATTACATCAAGAAGGTGTATTCTAGTCTGGACTGCATCATTACTCATTGTGAGATCCTGAGCAGCAGAAAGGTTGGTTCCAAAGCCACGTATTTGATTGATTCAACTGTATCCGACTCCTAGTTTGATCTCCCCTGATTGTGAGAATAAGGAGTATCCCAGAGATATCACTCTGACTCACCACGTATCACTGTAATTCACATAACTTCCCGTAATCTGTGTACTGTTGCATCATTATCCCTGAAGAACCCTAAGTACTGCATCAAGCCAGTTAACGGGCATTGTTCCTGAGATTTTTGAATATCTCACCCTTTTTTTAGTCATTGGTAAATTTGCTCAAGGAGAACACAATCTATATTTGCACCCCCACGAATGACCATGTTATCAACCGTTGGTATTTGTCTGAACCGTTGACTGTGGAGGATAAGTGAAATTTGGTGTTTTTATTGCCTTTCACATCCTAGTAAGACAATGTTATCAGTCATTGGTATTTGTCTGAATCGCTGACCGTGGAGATATTTGGTTTTATAGGTGTTTATCTATAGATCATCTATCTAAGAAGACAGTGTCATGATGGGAAAAGGTCCACATGAGTCAGAATGAACCAATTCTAACATATGCGAAGCTCAGGGACTGTCAGATGGCAGAAAAGGCTTTCGCGGATGTTTCGTGATGATGCAAGACTCACACTTCTGCAAGGGTGTGGAGGATTCAACTTTCACTCCAGATGCTGCTGACAGGAGGTGTTTGACAATGTCACCCCCAGGGTGACCCATGCGTGCATGCCATAGATCCCAAGACAAGGGTGAATGGACGAAGGCACTGAGTTCACGAGGGAGACGTGCTCCTGATGGTGCATTGGGACGAATGAACTTCAGGTCGAGGAAGAAGAGGTTTCTGGTCATCGGTATCTCTCCGAGAGGTTCGCCATGATATTTGAGTTGACAATGCGCAGGGGAGTGCTCAAAGATGCATGACCATTTCTTACTCAGCATGTGACCTATAGAGAGCAGGTTTATCATGGCTCCAGGGGCATGTAAACAATCAGTGAATGTCACTCTGAAAGTTTGGTTCCCCAGTGTCAGATCAGTGACGCAGGTACCTCATCCAGATGTGGGAAGTTTCCCATGATTCACTGCGGAAACGAGAAAATGATCTTAGTCTATTCCGAGGCGTGTAGCTTGTATAATCAGACCTAAACCCACCTCAACAGTAAATCCGACCTAAAGTCGACGTGGTACAAATTTTGAATGGTCCTGGGAAAGCAACAATTGTAAACAGACCCTTTCCAGACTTTGCGCTCTCAAATTTTCTGACCCATACCTACACCTTGCAAATACCACTTAATACGATGCTAAGTCGCCCGGGATATTCGTTTTATGGCCTTTAGATTACGCTAGAATTTGGTTTCAGGTGAGTTCGTCGAAAATTTCGCTAAGTCTCTTAAGATAAGCCATGAACAGCATCAAACTTGAACTTCATGTGCAAATTCAAGCATTCAGTTTCACGTTCGAAACCAGTACACCTGGACCTATAGTAAGTGCTAAATGTTATGAGTTACTAACTTATACTTCTATGTAGACAGTTGAAATCACTATCCGAAAGTCTCTGAAACGGTCAAGGTCACAGACGATCGAAGCCACGGACAGCACCGACATGGAAACACAGAGGCCAGAATTCGTTAATCGCTGGTGAGAGGCCCAGAAGGTTGTGAGTCGATCTTGCTTTATTTATTGGTGTCTGAGTGCTTACTAGCATCTGCCGTCTAGCAACTCGTAAATACTCAAGCATTGCTAACTGAAGCCATCAAGGCAAACCTCGATGCAAAGGCTAGTGCTGATGAGGTCATTGACAATAGTGTGACTGGAGCCAGGATCGCAACCCGAGCAACATCCACTGGTACAAGTCCTTGCCATGTATTTGATGATTTTCTCTATGCAAATTGCTGACGAAGTGTTTTCCGCAGAACGAATATGAAGCTTAGATGAATCAAAGACTGAGATCCCTCGAACGTTCCTTCAATGCGTCGCAGATAATTTTTCTTTCTGTAGTAGGCTTTGTTAAAGTAGGGACGCTGTAACGTGCACACGTGACCCCTGGATTTCAAGTGTCTGTCAAGAGACATTCTTTGACTGTCTCTGGGTTTTTATCTTCAATGACAACTCAACGATATCTTCAAGCTTCTGGATGCATTCGTTTGCGGCGTCAAGCTGCCTATCAGTGTGTTGGGCATGTTCGGTGAGTCGTTTGACCTCTGCAACAAGGTGTGCAACTGTTGTATTGAAATTTGCTGACTGGTCTTGCAAATCTGTCGCAGGTCGTTGATACATGTTCTGACTCATGTGCGGAAGGTGAGCAGGCTGTCAAGCTGTTGAATATAACAGCATAGCTTGATACTCATCGCTTGCAGGAATTACAGAGGGTGCCCGTGAAGACGCCTCGCTTCCTGAGCCTCCCGCAAAATGACGATGACCGGAACTATGATGGTATGGTGTTTCTCCACTGGAGGATGGCGTAGCGCTGATGTTTTGAGGCACACTACCAGCGCAGCATGGACTGTGGGGGTGGCTGGTGGGCACCGAAATAAGGGTAGGGAGATGGAGATGGCTGATGTTTATCCTGAGGTGAGTGCTGTGGGCTGGAGGAACTGAAGTCCTGGGGTATCGTTCAACTGACTCAGATCTTGATATGCACGTCCAGCACCCTGCTGCATGCTGCCTGTTCCAAATCAAGGCGCAGGGCTGAAGAAATCATCGCGTTGAGGCAACTGTGGCAATGCTTGGTTCCCGATGTTCAGTGGGGATATATGGGGCTGGTATGTTTCTCCCACTGGTTGTTGATAATCGCGTGCATTAACGGGGGTAGGAGCACCGCTGGGGCGTCTCTGAGGCTGGCCTTGAAACTCGTACATGGCCGAGTAGGGTGCTGGAGGATACTACCAAGGGCCAGGGAGCATCTGGGGGAGGCTAGCAGGACGGTTCTCTGATACATTACATACCTATTCAGATTAGAAGCAGATCCGTTTTCTCTTAAATGCAGACATAAAGTGGATGTGCAGATCCTCATAACCTGATTTGATACCATCTTGGTTTAGACGCTAAGGCAACAAACCCATCCCTGAAAATCCTTACAATTCAGAGTCAGTTTTGCTTCTCAAACGAGCACCTTTTTCAATCTGGACGGGTGGAGTTATCCTTGTTTTTCCTTGTCTGTTTACATTCTGTTTACAGCCTCTAAACGTATACTATTCCGGTCGGTTCTAAATCTCGTTTCCGCAGTGATTGGTGGTCTTGACTGTGACGCAGGTACCTCATCCAGATGTGGGAAGTTTACTGTGATTGGCGGTCTTGACTGTGATGCGAGAGCTTTCTGAGTAAGTCCAGAAGAAACTCTAATCCATAATGAGATTGGAGGTAGTGCCTGAGTCTAGAATAGTCGAGAGCATTTGTTGGGCAATGCACGCGATGACGTTGAAGCTCAGAGTTGACTCTGAGGGAGAAAGAGGAATTTCCTTGATAATAGCACATGCTAAGTTATGATGATCAGCAGCAGTGCCTGAGTTCGTCATCTGTGACGATGTTGACGTGGCAGGTGTGGGGGGTGGTGCTATAGCTTGGTGCTATGTCTGGCTTCTTTGCTTGTTTAGCATCTCGACCTCTCAAGTTTCCTCCCTGACCCTCCATACCTCCACCAGGTTGAAAGCAATGCTCACGATTGTGTGTGAGTGAACGAGGTATTCCAGTACACGTGGGGTTGTCGCAACTGATGCCTTTAGGATTTGCTTTGTGAATGTGTATGCCTGTCTTTGGATTGGTTTTCCCGTTGGAGGGCCAGGAGAACGATGTGGTGAAGAGATAAAGGCTGCTGCCAGTGCAAGACAGCAGAGAGCAGGGGCAGTATGAGCCCAAAGGACTTCTGACTAGGCTAAGCTCAAGAGAGAGAGAGAGAGAGAGAGAGAGAGAGAGAGAGAGAGAGAGAGAGAGTGTGTGTGTGTGTGTGTGTGTGTGTGTTTGAGAGAGAGGATATGAAAATGTCACACCAGACAATGAGGCAAAGACTGTGTATCAGGAGCTTTATAGTGAGCTATTGAGCTACTACTAAAACTAATAAGCTGCAAGTCTGGGGAAGCTACTGAATCCTAGAAGGAGAGCTACCAGAAATATAACTGAAAGTCTAGCTAGTGAGTGGAAGTGTAGGGCGAAGATTTGATGATTATGTAAGCAGTAAAAATGCGAACATAAACAAGGGAAAGTAAGAGTAAGTAAGGCTAAGTAAAAGTGTCAGTCTGCACTCAGAGAGAATCCAATCCCTACAGCGGCGTTAGCATATTCAGATCCCAGTCCAGCAAGCTTCTGCTCCCCTCGAAGGCAATTGGCTTCTTCAGAGAGTGAAGAGACGACATTTGCAAAGGTCATCTTCATGGAGGTAGTGGAAGTGGAAGATGAGGGCATGGGTGGAGAGCTGTAGAGACTCATGGTCATGCACTTAAATATCACCCACTCTGGAGTAGTGGGGAGACCATGCAACAGTAGAAATGCCATTTCAGCAAAGCGACATCTTGCATTTTCAAAAGTACTGATATATCGAGAGGTGTTGTCAGCATCTTTCAACTTTTCTGCAAATAGTTGCACGCAAAGCTCGAACTGGGATGTTACATCTAGATGTGCATAATGAGTTGCAAGAGTGGTCCACTGCTCCCTGGCCATCAAAGTTTCACTCAAGAGTCCTTGAACAACTCCAGACAGCTTTCTGCAAATGATACCTTTCGCCTGGGCGTCCTCTTTTATCCAGTTGATAATGGCAAGTTTTTCAGTGGCAGTGGGAAGATCTGGCTGTGGCAGGTGACGGCATAACTGATGCGAACTCGGCATAGTCATTAGGATCAGTACCGGAGCTGCAGTGATTCCAAAGGCCATCACCCTGAAGAGCGAGTGTGACTGCACGTCGCCATGCTGGATATTCATCAGCACTAGATAGTGCAATGATGTGATCGTATTTTCCCATGGTGATGAAGGAGGATTGGATACAGAGAACAATTTAAAGATTTGACCCGCAGTGGGGAGCGTTTCACTGGTCTTCAGATAGAGATGTCTTGCATTGTGGTTCTGGGCTGTGTTAGAGCCCAGGGCTCATAACCTGATAACCTCAGCGGATGTAAAGACAACGCTGAATTAGATGTACCTAAGACAATCTGAACTAAGGGTCAGCTAAGCTAAGTACAACAAGATGGACGAAACATACCTCAGCAGATGTAAAGACAACGCTGAGGTAACGAGAGACGACAGAGACTCTGTTAAATAGAAAACATCAAGAGGTAGAAGAAGTCGGTGAGATACCGGCGATGACAACACCAGGAGACTATTGTATGGTGAGGAAGGTGCCAAGAGAGACAAGAATGGTAAAGAACCTTGGAGGTTAATCCTCTGAGGTATGGTATCATGTGTACGTCAAACAACAACTGTCAACAAGAGGTTCGTGTTGTTTCTGTATTGCTTCGTACTAACGCAATTTTATAATTCAGGCATGGTCAGGGATGTGGCAGTCTACATTTATGTTGCAGACTTTCGCTGCACATCTAAACTATACTCAAGGCCAGATGGAAATCCCAGCACTCAACAGCAAAGATGAAATCATGCGGGCATCACTTGCTTTGTCAGCAGGGGCAGTAACTATCCTACCTTTATGTTTCACTTTCCCTTACTCATTTTAATTTTTCAACAGGTAAAACACACTCTGTACCTCCTTTCTGTAGGATCAATGAGTTTTACCGTCACAGTGGCTACTGGGAAGGGAAAGAAGAAAGCTGCTAATACTACATGCAAGGGTAAGGCATCCGCTTCTAATGGAGACATCTGGGAGGCTGTGATTGGGGAGAATGAGAGCTTCTCTGAGCCGCTCTGAGGTCACAATACACACATGTTCATGCAAGTGATCAAGAATGTTCCCTCCACAGCCATGGAGGGCATCATTCAGCAAGCCCAGCAATACATGAAAGCTACCCCTCATGGAGGACAGTCCAAGGGTGCTGACGAGCCTGTGGAGGAAGAGATTGATGAAGAATATGTCAATTTACTTGCTTTCTGCTAAAGGTAAGTTCATTTCACTGCATGTATTAACTATTGGCATTCACTCATCCTGATTTCCAGATCGCTGTTCCCTGGATCCTCACTGGTACATCACTTCTTGGTTGCATTCTCTCAAGCTTAGTATGATGTTCTGGTATCACTGCTTGCTTCTGTACCATCTGAGCCGCATGCTGCTTGATTTTTTCCACCACAATTTTCTGTTGCTACATCTTTCATCTTGCTTTGACCTGCGCTTTACACATTTCTGACTTCGTCTTAATTGCATCTTGTTACACACTTACCATTTTGGACAATCTCGACATTTTTTTTGCAAAGCGCGTTAAGACAACTCTAAGCTCAAACATAAGAAATGGATCTAATTTTTTTTAAGTGCAGTGTTCTTACTCATTCTGGACTTGAATTGGACTTTGTTCACGATTTCAACGACTCTGACCTTATTAAGGGAACATTAAGTAATATGTAGTTTTCCTGATGTTGATGATGACCTGCTTGCAGAGGAGGGCTATGGCGCACTTTAACTTAATAGACTCACTTAATTTTGCCAGTCAATCTGGGTAATACATTGTATATGTCATGTAGATACAATAGTGGGATTCAAAGTTAAATTATTAACGTTCAGAAAACACACTTAAAGTGCGCTGAAACATATTTTGAAAGAGCCATGAAAACTTTGAAGTGTGATTTTAAGCTCCGCTTGATTACCTCGGCTACACTGATCAAGTCCAAATCTAAGGTTAGGGTTAGACACAATGCCTCGACAATCTATGCGTCAAGGCCTCTTAGATCAGCTAGATGCTGCTTCACTGCAAGTCGCAATGGCTCAGATAGAGCATGCTAGACATGACACGGATGATTCCAGCTCAGGCTCCGATAGCACGTCATCGATACCGAGTCCTATGATCATATCACCAATCTCCCCTATCTCATCAGACTCGGAAACATCAGACAAATCAAGTGACAGCTCAGGTGCCGACTTCTACGACATTGATCTACACTATCTGCACCTTTTTGAAGAAATAACGGTGCTTCGTGATGAAGTAGAGAGAGCGCGAGTCCTTCACCACCCTGACGAGCCCCCCATGCGTGCCCCACAGATTCAACTCTTGCCACACTTTGCTGTGCATCGCCCGGATCTTTTTCGCCAGAAACTACGTGTTCATCCTGAGGTTTTCGACGACATCCTCAACTGTATCAGTGACAGCCCCGTTTTCAAAAGCAATTCCAATAACCGTCAGCTCCCCATTGCCCTGCAGCTAGCCATCTTCCTCAATCGCGCAGGCCACTATGGCAATGCGATAGCCAATGAGTATGTCTGCCAATGGGCGGGTGTTAGCGTCGGATCGGTCACTAATTGCACCAATCGCATCATGATTGCTCTACTCGAGCGTCATGACGATTTCATCTTCTTCCCAAGTCTCAATTCAACTGACGCTGCTCGTGCCTGAGAGTACGTCTCAAAGATCTGCCCTCAATGGCGCAATGGCATCTTTGCTACTGACAGCTCTATGATCAATCTCTGCAACAAGCCAGGGCTCTACGGCGAGACTTTTTTCAACCGAAAATCCGACTACTCCCTCAATTGCCAGGTATGTCTTATTTTTTTTCTTGAAACATTCAACTAATATATGTACATCTAGGTAGTGGTAATGCCTCATAACCTTCTGATTGTGGACTACTCAATCGGCCATGTCGGTAGCGCACATGACGCGTATGCTTTCCACTCGACACGTGTTTTCGAAGACCATGAGGCACTCCTTGGAGACAACCACTGGATCTGGGCTGATAGTGCTTACCCTTTGGAACCTTGGTGCATTGTGCCATTCAAGAAGCCGCGCAATGGCGCATTAAGCAGGGTACAGAAAAAATTTAATTGTAATCTCTCTACTGTACGTGTACTGTTTTTTTGTTGTATCTACTCACCAATCTTTGGGTTAGGTTCGCGTTCGCATTGAGCACGCCTTTGCAGCCCTCAAAGGTCGTTTCCAGTCGCTCCATGAGCTTCAGCATCCAATGCAGACCGAGAAACACCTCGAATATACCTCGTACTGGATCATGTGCTGCATGATCCTGCATAACATGGTCATCCGATTCGAAGAAGAGCGCCACTTAGATACTACGAAATGGGCAACAGGGGAGGACGGACTCGAAGAGGAACAACAGGAGGACGTTGGCGAGGACGGAGCTGGTGATATGACATACGAGGGAACACCTGGACAGGCATCTCGCAGTCGGTTGATGGACTACTTACTCAAAACACTTAGGAGGAGGCAGGAATAGACAAGGCGCAATGGGTAGCATTAGTGACATAGGACATGTAAGACATACTGGGCATATACCAATGAGAACTAGTTGCACACAACTTCAAACATGAATCCAACACGAACAAGTACAACAACAAATGCAAGCAAGCACACAAACAACAAATCAAGTAGACGAAACACTCCCTTTTGCCGAAGACCTCTTCTTTGAGGTTAATCAACTCGATTTCGAGGCGAAGGGCTGCTGCCTTCTCGGACTGAACCTTAGCCTGTGCTTCGAGAAGACGAAGCTCCAGCGCCTTTGCCTCCTGTGACCTCTCATGCACTGAGGCAGCTTCAGTGTGCTCGATTGTGCCCTGTTCACGTTGGAATTGGATGTCGCGCTCTTGGCGGAGCGCATTGACCTTCGCAATTTTATACTCCGAGGCAGCCGCCTTTGCAGAGTAAATGTAGCTGATGTCGTCAGTGAGAGACCCCACTTGGTCAAGCACTTCTGATGTCCCTGAATGAACGCGCCCCGAGAGGCTGCGCTTGTGGGAAGGCTTCGGCTGCCCAGGTCTGCGCAGGGGTGGCGAGTCTTTCGAGTCTAGGTAGGATGATGACGAGAATGTGCGTGCGGATGTGCTGGGGGCACTGGACGACGCAGATGCCATGGATGCTGGCCTTTTTGAGCGAGGGGGGCCATGGTTCATGGCACGAGCGATGTGAGACTTGCTGGTGAAGGCCGCTTTACGACTATCATACTGCGGGGTGCGGTTTGTTGGCTTGAATGTACAGGGCGGAGAGGGGGAGGTTTGGTGTGGGCGTTTCTTGCATAGACGCTGCTGAATGTCATCATGTTCCCCATAGTTGTCCTCCTCCATCTCCATCTCCTCAGCACCACCATCCCAACCTCCCTGACCCATCGTGTAGTCACGATCTTCGAGTGAAGGGTCATGGTCATCATGCATGGGGTCATAGTTGTCGTATGCAGGGTCGTAGTCCTCAATAGCTGCAGCAGGGGTGCCTTTGTTTGGTGAATCATCAAGATCAGGGTTCGTATCATCGAGGTTAGAGTTATTGAGTACACGTGTGTCCGAGGCGGTAGTGTGGGGAGTAGGCTGTGTTAGCGCTTGGAGGCCACCAGCGCGATCTTTGCCAGGAGTAGAGGAGAAAGTCTTTGGAGAAAATGCAGGGTTGTCTTTCCACAGTGCATCAAGGTCTTCGAACCACGGAAATTCAGATGCTACTTGCGCTGTGATTTGTTCTAGCTCAATAAAATAATTTAAATGATTTAAAAAGAATTTACCTCGGAGATTGTCTTTGGCGAGAGGGTCAAGAGGGTTGACGCCAGCACCAGTCATCCTAAACCGATCAGTTGCAGACTTATACTTCCCCCTGAGACTAAGATTTTTTAGCAAATGCACTTGTGAGTAAAAGGATGTGCTTACTATGTGAGATGATTGGCAACAGCATGGCCAAACTTTGGCTGGTTCCCTGCTACAGCATACTGGGGACCATATACCGGGTTATCTTTAAAGATATGTCTGGCGATTACAAGGTGAATATCCGCTTTGCTCCTGCCAGAAGGACGATCGGTGCTGATCGTCATGTCGCGTCTTTTTTTGTTATCGGATAATAGTACACAGCAGTCAGGTGGGTGTGCAGCAAGCCACGATACAAGGGAGGTGGTGCCATCAAAATCGTTGGTTTCCCACCTGATCTTGAAGGGGGCAAAGGTGGCATCATCCCCAAGAGTGGCGGTAACATCTTCATCGGTCGCAGGTTGATGTTGTGGGGGATCTGGATGGTCGATAGTGCCCCGTCCCCTCCCACGAGTCACAACTGTACCCCTCGCTCTTCCCCTAGCCCTAGCCTTCCCCCTACTACGCGAAGGTTGGATATGTTGCAGTGGTTGTGGTGGTGGTGGTGGTGGTGGTGGTGGTGGTGGTGGTGGTGGTTGTGGTGGCGGTTCATTCATATTGTGCTTGAGACCAGCAGATGATTGTGAAAGTCTTTGGAGGCGGGCTGAACGTCGTACAGTAGGCGGGCGTATTGGGGGCATCAGTATGAGTTTTGATTCCAGACTCCGATACCTGCTGCCGGGATTCCGAAAATTTGCATGTTTGTCAGTGTGTTTCATGATTATTCAATTTTACTTTGAATCCCACTAATGTACTACATAGTAATCCTATCTTGATAGCACACAGATAGTAGGTCCAATGTCATTGCGAGACGTTTTCTATCACGTCCGGTTGTTGCCGAGATGGTCTGACAGTGACGTGTCAATTGTGGTGGCACACAACAGTCTAAATCAGGTAATATCTCAGTTCTGCAAATTTTGTGATGTTCTTCTCTGGTATGCAACATGAACGGGCACGACTTGTCTCCCATTGAACTTCGCATATGGACGTCTTCCTTTGGGAATGAGCGATTTGTGCCCCCATCAACCAGTATGTCTAAGGCGGATCACATTCCCTAGGAAAATCCGGAGGTCTCGACTCTCGAGGACTCTCCGTGGCAAGAGCCGCAGAATAGCCCATCACCACTTTAAAGCCCCAGAGCTCATGACCAGTAACAGGTGACCCTATCGACTTCATTGGCTTATGCCAACCTACTAAGCGACAATCGCTGCAATATTTTGGGGATCCTCGCTAATGACAGGCTTTATCTTCATCCACTGCCTCCATCACAAGTTTGCTATCTGTGGGAGATACCGTGAAGATCTCCACCTCCACGTCGTGCGCGTGACAAAGTGAGCCTCATTGTTTTACCTCCTCTGCCACTGCGGGATGCCTATCCTCTGGCATTATGATGGGAGAATTTGTGTCTGCAGCCTTGTTATCGAGCTTTTATTAGCGACCACCGTATGAGGCATACGTTTTACCTGTTTCTTTAGCAAGTTTGAGACTCCGGGGAAGATAAGCGGATTTTGTTAAATACGTGTACTTCGCACTTTTTGTGCCCAGAGTCTATACGACCAATCGTGCCTAATGGACTTTGCAAGAAAAGTTGTCAAGGCGCTCGAGGTTCCCCATACTCATAAAGAGGGTGTTCCCTCCGGCCTGCAATTTGTTTCGGTGAGTTTTAAGTTCCTTAGGTCCAACAAGTTAGGCTTACCGTATGGCTCCTCAGAGCGATGATCTATTGCCAGTTCCGATAGAAGAAAGAACGTGGACTGCATTCAGTTATGTCGCTTTGTGAGGACTGCAATTTGTTAGGTTGACTGTACAATTAACACTCTTGTTGGCCAGCTGGTGGAGCACGGTGGTGAGTAGTGAATTATCACGATAACACAAAACGCTTATAGAAACTCTACTCGTAGATCAGTGTTCCAACGTTAGTTGCACATTTTCTCCTTACAGTATAGCCTCACACAGGTTCTCTGATAGTTGGATGGTAACCTCTTCCATGATTGTTCTCGGCATGTCATGGTGGCAAGCCTGGCTGGTCGTCTGGATTGGTTATGGTGTGATGATGCCGTTTATCATCTTGATGGGTCGACCAGGTGCTGTATTCCATGTCACATTTCCTGTTGTCAACCGTGCCAGCTTTGGGATATTTGGAAGTTTGTGGTGTGTATTCAACAGAGCGACGATGGCATGGTAAGTACGATATCTTTCGCGCCGTGCTGTCTTCACTTTGTTGCAGTATCTGGTACGGAGTGCAATCAAGTGTTGGCGGTACATGTGTCTTGGTGATGCTCCGCGCAATCTGGCCGAGTGTTAATAATATCCGTGAGTTTAATGAATTGGTTCTTCGTGATCTGATATCTTATACGATGAAGCAAATTCCATGCCGTTGTCCTCTGGCACTAACACCAGGGATTTTATGTGCTTCATCATTTTTTGGGTAATATCTTTGCCCTTTATATGGCCTCCCGTGCACAAAATGTATGTTTAGAGAAGTTCATTCGGATGGATTGCTGATGAGCTCGCAACAGTCGTCACTTCTTCACGTTCAAGGCGATCCTTGCGGCCATTGCCTGTGTCATCTTCATGATTTGGTGCATCGTCAAGGCAAAAGGTGTTGGACCGATTGTTAAACAGCCGGCAACTATTCATGGCTCCGACCTGGCCTGGGCCATGATCAGTAGTATTGGCGTATGCATCAGTAACATGATAACACTGACAGTGTATGCCTGTCGTGCTTTCATGTATTATATCCCATTCTTACCATATTTTCAGGAACGCACCAGATTTTGCGTCACGGGCGAAGACTCCATCCGCACCGATCGTTTCCCAGGTCTGGTCTATCCCATTCTCTTACGGTATAATCTGCCTCTTTGGTGTAATCGTCAGCTCCTCGTCGCAAACAATCTACGGGGAAGTAATCTGGTCACCCGTGGATTTGCTAGGAATGTTCTTAGACGACAACCCATCCCCTGCCACTCGATTTGGTGTGAGTTTGAACAACGTAAGGTTGTTTTGCACTGATGAGAAGGTCGCGATAGGTCTGGTTCATCGCCTTCTCTTTCATTATAGCTCAGGTAGATACCATACTGACTTCCTAAAAGACCTAATACTGATTGATCTCAGATAGGGTATGTAATGGACGTACGAGTTACTGGCATAGCTCATGCTTTGTACCCTCCCCGTTTCCAGAACGAACATCTCCGCTAACTCGGTCAGTGCGGGATGTGATCTGACGGCGCTATTTCCACGTTTCATCGTAAATTCTCCACTTCATGCATTTGTCTCAGGAAGTACTTATTTGCATCACAGAATATCAGACGCGGCGGGTATATAGCAGCCATTGTCGGACTTGTCATGTGTCCTTGGAACCTAGTATCAAGCAGCAGCCGTTTTTCCTCCTATATGTCTGCGTACTCGGTCTTCCTGAGCGCCATCGCGGGACCTATGGTAAACGGACTTGGATCTGGATCTGATTTTATTTTTGACTTAATGTGCCCCTAGGCTGCCGAATACTGGCTTGTGCGCAAGGGCCATTATAACGTCGCTGATTTCTACGTCACCCGCAAAGGAAGTTGGTATTGGTACAATTATGGTTTCAATCCCAGGTCTGTGGGAGACTAGTACTGTTGGCTCTCCATCGCTCACTCGAGTTTAAAGAGCGTACGCAGCATATATGGCAGGCATCGCCATTAATGTAGTTGGGTTCGCTGGGGATAGTACGTCTCTTTAGTTTGTATTTTGTTTGCGGTACTCATAGTTCCACAGCTGGAACACCCGTACCAGTTGCTGCGACTCAGATATTCGACTTGTCTTTCTTCACAGGATTCGGTACTTCAAGTATCGTGTACTACATATTGAGCAGGATCTTTCCGGTTGTGGGAGCTGCTAAGGTATTTGAGGAAATAGATGTGTCTGAGTATGAGGAAAAAAGGATGGTGCGCTGCGACGAAGATGCCAACTCAAAGGACGATTGCATAGAGAAAGAATCATCTGACGTATAGATTCAACAGTCTTCGGAAGTAGACTTATATACAGTGTGATTAATCCATGGATCATGATTGTTCACGTTGAATTCAATCTTTTTGAGTCATCCGAGAGTTACATGCTCGAAACTTGCACTTGGACGCATATTGTGGTCGCGACGGGAAATTATTGCAGGCCGAGGAAATAGATACCAAGACGGCAGAATCGCATTGCGCCAGTACTCAAGCTGCGAAGCGAACACGAAGAAGAGGCTGCTGTAGAAGACCTGAACAATGATCTCCCTCCCGAGGTTACTAAACATTCTGTGTAGTTGTACAACAGCCGCAAGCGGGACTTCCGACGGCGCCGTAAAAATCAGATTGTGGAACATCGACGGCAAGGCCATCAAAAAATGAACGGGGCATACAAAGGAAATGAAGGTCACACCCCGGCATTGTGGCGTTCGAACGCAAGACAAATGATGATTCGCGAACCTATTTTTATGATAGGAGAGACTGCCACGGTGCACGACTCTCCTGATGCCGAGACGATTGCCACAGGCGAGCCGCTCAAAGTACTCGTGAATTTAAAAAAGCGCTCTCCCTACATGCAGAAACTTATTTCCTCTACTGCTACTAGAAGCCGTCAATCTCAGTGACAAATGTTTCAGGGGTGATTTATATTTACCAAGCACAACATCCTGCTAACAATACAAGCAACCCTGCTACGCTTCGTCAAGCCTCTTCCAAACCTGGGGTTTAGTCAGGTTCTCTCAGCGTGGATTTGCTGTGGGCACCAAGACTTCACCTGAGCCAAGCTGTTCTGCATGCGCTGCAAACTGAGTCCTTGAAAAGTATCGACTGATCCCAACCTAGGGCTAGCTCCAGTTGAGACTGACGGAAGCGGTGGGAGGATTTATACAAAAGGCTCCTGCATATGTCGATAGCTATGACATGACACAAAAAAAGAATGAAATGATGAAAGAGAAGTTAGTAATAAAAATGGGCGGCATAAAACGTAATATTGTCGGATGAGAATGGACGACTCATCTCGATGGCCTATTTAACACGATTCTTTGTCGCAGGGCCTGGACCGCTCGCCGTGGCATGGAAGTAGATTTCTAGCGAGCATGGACACCCGTGCCCGTAACCAACCTGTAACACCAATTGTTGTTAATACACTCTTCGAAGCTTCTTGGTAATGTACCCGCGGCGTTCAGAGACACCGCGGCGGTTTCCATTTAACCGCGGCGTTGACGGGTCGGTGTGCATCCGTACCCGTGGAGGGTACGGTGTTGGCGGGTGCGGGTACTGTGTGTTACCAGTTTACCCCGTGCGAAACCCTAGTAACACAACGATTCAGACGTAAATATCACCAACTAGGTGACATCATGCTCAAGTCATCCTCTCCTATGAAGATACGATCTTTCAACAACCACCATCTCAGCTAAGAAACAGTTCCAAAGATGCATCCGACCCTTAATTTCCGCCAGCAGGGAGATATGTCCCAGCGATATTGGCATAACCAGCCGCCACGGAACAGATTTGTGCGCTAAATGGATCAGTACTAACTGCGATTGCTCATCATCTGGATCACGCAGTTCATCATGACCGCAGCTCTCCTTGCTGGGACAGGGCTTGCGTATTATTGGGGCTATCGGGGTGTGGATCGCAGGCACAGTGTCGACAGTGAGTGTTATGATTATCCTTCGGGAAATTGTGTTCTCAACATTGTTTCCGTCATTTAGAAATATCTGACAAGAAGTAGTCAGGATGTCATGGGAATGAGGAATGTTTTACTGGTCCCCCCTCGTCCAATGAAAGTTTATTAATTTGTACCCGTCTAACCTACTTTTATTTGATACATGATGTCTCTATACGACACCTATTGCCGGGTATTACCGTCAGTAGGGTAACAAGCCCAATATTAGGAAGTCACAACTCACAGGGTAGACAATCATCTGATGCATCTAGTCCATGCTTGACCACCGACTGGTCAATGAGGTACTGCAACGTTGACGTATTTTCGTCACATCTGGACAACAATCAATGAGATGCAGACGCCAATGGATGAAGGGACGCACAGCCTTGATATCGACCCCTCTACGTCACCTAATGCCTTCTGGGCTGCTCGTAATACAGGTGCATGTTCACCGCTGTGATCTCTCAGGAAGCGACCATGTGCCGTAATCACAGTCTGCACCCAAATGAGGTCGAACTCGAGATGAGGGCTCTTCTCCAGATGCTCCGACGTGAATCGAAGGAGTGCAGGGATATAAACACTAGGCATCTGTCGTGCAACGAGGCGTATGTCACTGCGGGGAATGCGCTCGTAAACTTGTTGTATAATGGGTTTCTCGTTCAAGCGGAATGCAAGAACAAGCGCCTTCAGGTACTCGCCCTCTGCGAGGATGTTGAGGACAGCTTCCGGAGTGAGATCTATCGTGAGGTCGAAAGGGTCAAACATGACAGTGTCGTCTAGAGAGTAGATCAAGAGGCCTTCAGTGCTTGCGGCTGCCCAAGCACGCCCTGTTGGCGAGAAGCGCACGCATTTAGTGCGCGCTTCTTGGCGGTGCTTTCGTACGGACATGTCACCTGCTCCTCTCGATGCGCCTGGTAAAGTCGTATCCATCCTATCTTCTAGGTCGCTGGCATTGCCGCGGTCATCAATAAGATCGATGTTAATACCCGCATCGTTAACCTTGCGACTGTCTAGAAACTCCTGGGTCCCATCCAGTGAGAGATTTTCTGAAATCTGAAACTTCTTCACGAGTACTCCCTCTCCTTCACGTACGTCATATAGACAAACGTACTTGCTATTTCCACCGGCAAGCACACACGACCCGTCTGCAGTATATGCAAGGCTCGTGAACGCCTTTGTAGAGGAACTATTAGCAGCCGCGACGCGATCGTCCGCTTTTCGTCCTCCAGAAACATCTTTGCGGCCATCAATGACATTTGACTGCTTTCCTGATCGCACATCAAAGAATGTGATCTGGCCATCAAGCGTCGACGCTCCTAGTTCCACGCCATCCGGTCGGAATGCAATCGAGAGAACATCGGAGGAGAGCGTAAGAGGTTCCACAGCGCGTGATCTGCCAAAAATGCTCCAAATGCGAATGGTGCGGTCCCAGGAACCACTCGCCAGTTGATTGGCACCCGTTGGCGAGAAGGCCAGCGCAGATACGGGTGCTTCATGGCCGGCGAGGATGTCGAGGAGCTTCCCGGTCTGGACTGACCACATAAAGACTTCGAATGTGTCTGTTGAGCCCGCAGCAACAACTTCTCCTGATGGATCAACTGCTATGGAAGAGAACTGAACAGGAGAAGGGGAGGTGAAAGTCCGGAAATTGCGGTACCGAACTAGGTCGAATGCACGAACGGTGCCATCAAGAGAAGCAGAGAAGAGAACGGAGCCGTGCTTCGCGAATGTGATGCCCGTTATGGGTGCAGTGTGTTCTGAGAAGGTTACGAAGCAGAAGCCATTTTGTACGGACCAGACCTTGAGTTTGCCATCATCACCCCCTGTGGCAATGGTCTGCCCATCTGGAGCGTAAGCCAGCGTGTTCATATCGAAATAGTGTCCCTGTTGTTTGAGGATGTAGGACTCTGATTGCCATTCCCAGACAAGGAGCTGACCAAGCCTACGTGCGCCGAAGGCGAGCCATTCTCCGCTTGGAGATATTGCAACAGATGAGATCTTCTCCTGCGAGATGCTCAGGGTGTGGATATTTGTGAATGACGGAAGCTCCCAAAGTCCAAACACACCACTGGAGAATCCGACGACCAGGAGGTTGGAAGATGGGTGGAAGGTGGTACAGACAACTTTTGTGTGTGGGAGATTAAAATAGTGGCGGTCATGTACACCCCACCTTATCCGAGGTATTGAATGTGCGAAAGCTGAAGAAACCTGTGGTGCCTCAGTGTCGTCCGGCTCGTCTTTGGCTGTCCATGTGAAAACAGCACCATCACGACTGACAGTGTATATCTGAGCATATGTGAGTAAAAAAGAAAAAAGACACACTTGTTTCACTTACGAATTTGCCATTGGCAGAGAAGTATGCTCCAACTACAGCGTCCTTATGGCCAGCAAATGTTTTTGGTCGAAACCCTTCCAAGGGATCAAGGGTGAATAATCGGGCAGTCATGTCGTGTGATGTCGTTATGAAGCAGCTGATCTTACTGAGCTTAGTGGCCAACAACGATATCTAGATGCACTCACGTTGAATCCGGTGACCATCGAATACTGGATACGTCGGCATTATGCCCCGTGTATGTGTGGTGAAGTACAAATGGTGCAAACTCTCGGACTAGGTGATTTGGCGTGCGCCAAACTTGCACATGGGAATCATGGGTCACTGCGATGAACCTAAGGGGTGATCATAGGATGAAAGCCATCAACCGCAGGAAAAATGCAGAACTCACTTTCCATCATGTGAAAATTGTATGTCCTGGACCGGTTTTTGGAAGTTGAAATGATGCAAAACCACGCCTCTTTTGAAATTTACGAGCAACGCTCTGCCATCTGTGAAAAATATTCAGTATTAGCAAGATTTGAAAATCCCAACGAACCTTCATCGACAGACACCAGAACGTTCCCATCTGGACTGAGGGCAATTGCAGCGATATTTTTACGATTCTCGACTGGTAGTGTTCGGGATTTATTGCTTAGGAAGAGCGTCGTCCTTCAGGATCCCTCATATGCTATATGATGCACTTACTTCACCAAATCAAACACTGATACTCGATTCCCAACAGGACTCAGCAGCGTGTTGCCATCGGGAGTAAAAAGAATGCTTCCTTGCTGATAAACTGTCCCGCAGATGTTGGAGAACTAAGAGATGATGAACTTCTGTTGCTGCTGATTGATACAAAGTCTCACCTTGTAATTTGCCTTCATGAGTGCTCAGAATGACGAGCAGACTTGAAGCAAAATCTTTACACAAGCACTCATGATGGAAAACATGGTCACGTGATACGTACATGTACTAGTAGTACTTAGAGGTCGGCACAAAAAATAAAATACGAAGTCATGGTATGTGCAGTCAGTTGCAACGTTGAAAACGTTTGATATGCCTGTTCTGTTATATTTGAGAGCCCTAGCTATGTTTGATCGTGAGCGTTTTGACCTCGAGAACACAAGTAGTGGAGTGGACATCAAGTACTAAGTAGAAGGTATCTTTTGGTTAAAAAGGGGCATCGATACCCAAAATACAAGTAAATTTTGAAGGAACATTAATGTTGACTACAGCATTATATCGTGCCAAGATCTTTCACTCACCCACTCGCTACCTTTGCCCTCCAGCGGTGGTTGTCTTCTCGTCGCTCATGCTGGAACCTGATGACTTCGTAAGCTCGTCCACTTCCGTCCCCCCTCGGACGCTTGGACGTGTGTTGTTGAATTGGAGTCCTTCCTCGACGAATATGTGAGGTTGGGAAGACACTTGCGTGAAAGTGGTTATTGTTCTGACTCGCTGTTGGCACCTATATTTCCATGCTTCTGTTTACGAGAAATATGACGCCTAGAAGTCAGCATTCGAAGTAAAAGAAATTCATGATTCGCGGGTGGGTATAGCACTTCCTGCGATACGGAATCTTCACCCTATGATGTCAGTGTGGATTGGCAAAAATAGTGCAAAGTCACTTACGACAAACTGTATTGCTTATGTATCTCGAAGGACCGAGACCTAGAAATTATTTTAGTAACATGAATGTCCATCTATGTCACAATATATTCCTTCGAACCCCCAGGCCTCAAGGGCCGAGTTTTGGCTCGTGGCATCGGCCATGGCCTGGACTCCAGACCACGAAGTTGCCCGTAGGTTGCCCGTAGTGGGCTCTGACTTCGAACTGGGCAATGGATTCTGTGACATGATCTGGCGACACTCGATACTATCCTCACAACTCAGACGTATAACAAGCACCGCAGACAAGAACAAACTCTTGAAGGCATCCCGTATCAAAATCTGGGCAAAATCTAAATTTTAGCGGACATAAGGTTCATTGCGAGCATGGCACTGTAATCGTCTATCAATACCACTGCGGCATATCGGAAATTAACCAGCGAATGTGTGGAGCAGTTAAGTTCGGGAGCGCACTCGATCTGCCAAAATCACACTATTGCATCATAGCATCACTCCAAGGTTCCTTGTGGCTCCAAGATGACAAAAGGAGCAGGTCACACTTCAAAGACTGCGTAAAAATGTCTGCATCACGACTCAAACGAAAAAGCATCAAATCATGGCACGGCGGCGGGGAACAAACTCACGAGGAGCGGTAGTCCGCATCATTCCGGGTCAAGGACTACGTTCCGTTAAAGGAGGCTCTCGCCTCCTGCGATCTTTGAGGGACATCTTTACATAAAGAAAACTGCCTCCGGCAGCCAGAATGAGGCCACCCCAGCCAAAAGCCTTCACAAGAAACAAAGTTCAGGGTGTTGATCACTAGCGGCTTCCGCTGGCCACTCACCATCCGTCGACTGAGCATCCCAAAATTAAACTGATTTGATGCCACGTTCAGAGCTTGACGTTATTTCAGAATCCGGGAAGTCGAAATTTCGAACGTAGATCGTGTGTCACAAACCCACGAACGAGCAAGGACTTGGTGAAGTTGCCAGACTGTGACGTCGTGTGACTCTTCTCTTGTGACACCTGAACTTAATCTCATGCAACTAAGTCAAAACTAAGTTGAGTTTTCAAACATTTTCTGGCCCCAATACTAGCCTAGCTCGGCTACCTGTCAATATTAATTGCGACTAGCTACAGCATGCAGTTTTTGGCAGACACCGATTTGAACCACCCCTTTGATAGGATTAATGCAAGGCTCCCGAGGGCCGTTTGAAGCTGTTTGACCTCAAGAGTCGCTATCGTCTACTTTATCATACTACCCATCATGGGTCCCTTGCGAGAAGCCACCAAAGCCAGTCCGTATTTTTGCTTGCTGCACCCATTGGATCTTTACTATGTGGGGTATGTAGTCGGCGACCTCACAAATTTTTCCTCATCTAATGTTTACTTTAATTGTACAAAAGTTTGGGGTGCACAGCAAGTCCCAACTGATTCTCCATGATGGATTGTGAATGATGGAGTGGAGCCACTGATGCCGTTTCCCTTCTTACAGTGTTAGGTTGCCGCACAAAATACCATGCGCAATCAATCGCAAGCAAGTGCTTCTTGGCGATTTCCAGCCACCCGGGTGGTCACCCGGTCACGAGCCTTTCCCAAAGGATTTTGCAACTCACGCTCATCGCGTCACTCAGGAACTGGGGTACTGATACCAGCGCTCTGGTGGGCATCGGATCTTCTGCAATATACTTACCCCACGCTCCTGGTGGGTGATAGCCCAAGCCTGTCACAAGAGTATGCTGTTGGACTGGGCGTCTTGCACTCCCACCCTCATCTTGACAGAATCAGTTGCCGTTGGCCATGGATTCACCCATCTGGCTGTAATAGCAAAGCAGGTGATGACATTGTTCCTGGTTGCTACGGTACACATGCACACCACTGGCAGCCCGATACGGTGTCCCTACCCCACCTACCGCAAAGACACATCCACAACCTTCAGGCAAGGTTCACAGGTTGTTGGGGGTCAGGGAAGATAGCGTCTTCTTAATGTGATTCATGCCCGCTGAGTGACAGCTTATATGACCTGCTTATGGGTACGCCACAGTGCGAGCGAAGAGGGATCGTGGGCATCCAATTATATGCTTTTACGCGCTCACAATCCGATTCGCTGAAGCTATTCTCGACAACCTGATGAATTAGCACCTGTCTACTTGCTCGGCTGTGAAACAGGCTTCTGCTTATAAAAGGTATATGTTGGCTTTTCCCCAGTTTCCCGATCCCAACTGGTCAAGAAGATAGATGGAATGTTCCCCGGATCAGTGGCATCGTCGGGATTTGTCATTATACATAACAGTAGCATGTGCCATTTTTCTTCATGGCTTTCGTCACTTTTCTCACAAGGGTTCTCGAAGGCAATCGTTGGTTCTCGGCGACTCACATGGCTTCACGTTTTGTCCAATGATAGTGCCGGTTGTTTGTTATCAATCGAATTCTGCTTTGCGCTTTCTTCACGATTGTTCACGGTTTTATTCGGTAGATGCGAAACCGCCGGCAATTCAGGGAATGTTGCCGACCGATGGCCCCATCAATTGTGCTGAAGTTCATTTGCCTTATCTCCGCAATGGATTGAGAGGAGAAATATCATGAACAAAGGGCAGCCCTTACGATATGTTCTCCCAGTAAAATATTTGGATGCGTCATGCACCAAAGTAGGTGAGATTGATATCATGACCGGGAGCAAAAGATAGAACACTTGCCATCATGAGGCCGTGGATATGTCTCGGCAGCCATGTCGTCACCTTGGGTGATTCAAATCCGACCTTTGAAATCCCAGCGTCATCGCATACCATGAAGTTTGCGCTAAGTTCTAGAATATAATCGAACGGGTTTGGTTGACATTAATGGTCACTTTGTTGGTGTACTTTCTACTGAATTTAATTCACTTTGAAGTCTGAACTATACGATTCCAAGATTTCATTCCTTCAGTGGTGGAACGCCTGAGTGACGTCGAATACCGGTATCGCGGGTCACATATGCTATGTCGGGAAGCGATCGATGCGCATACTGTAAGATGATTATGTGCAAATATAGAAAATTAGGAATTTCGTACATAATGTCTTTATTAACCGATGCTGTTACACTAACGTAATTTCCTTTATGTGTGTGTTGATGTCACTACTTTGGTCGTCACAATAATATTGCCTTTCTTCCCGTCAGCTATATAAATGTTGTCTTTACTCTCCCTAACCATTTGACGATCCGACCCCTACCCTGGCACCGTTCAAAGACTCTCCTCTCAATATATAGAGCCGTCCGTTCTATCCTATTATTCTCTACAACTCCCCCTCTAGCCATCATTCAGTCGCCTCACCCTAACACTATGCCCGGTGCAACCCCATATATAGGAAATGCGACAAGGATATGGGAGATCAATGTGCACTGGAACTTGTATTCTCAGTGCGGGATCTGGGATCCTAAAGGTCGTGGCGTGGATATTTGGGAATGCATTAGAGCTCGTAAGTTGCCACTTTCCTTTATGTCTAGCAATCCTCATATGTCCCCTCTAGACGACTCAACCCAGCTTACCCAGGTTAGCTACCAGTCTTGCATTGTTATCTCCTCGTATTAATCTCACCTTTTACAGCCACCCAACGGTCTTTACTGGCGCTACATCGCCCGTCGGTAATCAGCCATGGTTTCATGAACACTGCCATAAAACAAACCTTGACGCCGTGATTTCATCACGTTACCGCTCTTGGTCATTTGGTACCCACAGACGCCTAATCCGGTCTTAGGACTGCGTCATGCCACCCTCGACGTCGCAAGTGAGGGTTATATATCTCCCGGGCATAGGAGAGACACGCGTGATCACATTACCTTCGATGAGGGATGTGGTCCAAGGGTCATTCATGAATGACACGCATTTTTACGATACTACTCTTCTCTACATTTTCCTTGGCTGGTTCCGAGCTTCCGTTTCGTTATGGTCACGTTTCACTCCTTTTTTTGGTGTATTTGCTTATTTTATCGGGTCTTGTGGCACAAAACACTTACCATACGTGTCTATTCTAATATCCACTGCGATTTTTTTTGGGAGGCACGACTACAAGCAGACATAATAGATGGAGGACGATGTTGTTCCCTCCGCTACATTCCCAATTTGTGTGTTCCTGGTTGCAGAAAGTGCACGGTCTCCGTCACCAGGGGCAAAGTATGTACCAGGTGAGTCGCATCATATTATATTCATGTTGCTGAGTATTGAAACAGTCCATCTCAGTTGTGCCAAGTAATGATTAGACCTGTTTTCATTGTTAATCGATGTGCCGCGTTATCACTAGTGCCGCGTAACAGAGCCTTCCTGTCCCTGGTGACTATCATACTGTACTGCGCGAGGTGGATCTTGGACTCATTCTGAAACACATTAATTATGTTACTCATACTGTGAATCTGATCATACACGTGTGCATGTCCGGCCAGGTCTCAGAAGAGGGGGACTTGTAACGGGGTGCGGAAGAGATAGGGGTGCGCTGACACGAGTGAATGTCTGAAGTAGAAGCACCCTCATTTGTGGGCCAAGAATCTACCATCAACGTTGCAAAGTTTCGAATACAGACGGCGAGGAAGTTGAACTCCATCAGAAATCAATAGTATCACTGCGCGTTGAATCGCATCATCAGACCTGCGGTCAGGCTAGATTCCCATTTATTCACCAGAGTGACATGGTAACATGGATTGATGAATGCAGAATGTACCTGCGACAATAACATCATCTCCATCCCGCCCGGCGCCTCGATGTGATCGGATGCGCATGACTGAGCCTCCTATATCAAGAGACGACGATCGCTCGAAAGAGCAGCCGAAAGGTTCTACCAGCGCCAAATCCAGCCGCAGGCTCCGAACGCCCATCTTCAAATCGTTATCCCCGACCGTGATCTGTGGCCCATGGGGTCCTAAAGCCCACGCCAGTAATAGTCTTAGCCTCTCCCAGATGTGACTAGCAGGAAAACGTTATCGGAAGCCTCACTGCCTTTGGAAATGAAATCATGATAAGTCCCGATAGGACATGATGCGCCAGGATCACAGGTCTTGCTCCGGCGCGAGGATATTGTACGGTCTTCTGTCATCAAAAACATGACGGATCGGATAACGAGGGATGATGGTCATAAGGGGCTTTCAATTTCTTGATAGATATTGTCAAACAGAGCTCAGCTACTGGTACCATGGTGTTGCTCACCATGGCGCCTGGTAGTAGAGGTACTTACTGTCTCCATCTGATGATATGAACTGAGCTCAGATCTGACTCTTAATCAGCGGCACGAGAATGATGGACGATTTTCACTCAAGCACCACATATAGTAAGTACCTCGTGAATAGATCGAACCAATCATCATGATAATGTTGGATGGAGACGTAGCAGATGTGTAGGGAAATCAAACGAGCGCTGCACCTTTCTGGCCTTGGGGACGACCATCACGGAAACGGTCAATAGATCATCGACCGTGACATGTCTGTAAGTTCCCCAGATTTTCCAAATGAATGTTCGCAATATACTAGACGTGCGCAATTTGGTTGCCAATACTGCTGAAATTTGCGACCCCGGATTGATTACAGGCACAGTAGAAGCATCATCGAAGAACATGGGTGCCGTGCGGAGCGCAGATACAACTCCGTTGTCGGAATAGAGAGCAATTGCACCAGAAATAGTCACCACGCAGAGGACAGTCCCAGACGAGAGAAACACGCATTCGCGGTGTCCTAACCTTTCATAGGGTTGTACCAATGTCGAATATACATAGGGCGTGCGCACAGTAGTGTTCTGGCGGAACATGCGAGAGCTAAGCTAAGCATGCCTACGTGTTCATAGAGTGCGTTGGCGCATGTGTGGTTCAAGTCATCTGCATCGATGATTCTCGAGTGCTCAGTTGACTAGACAATTTGGAAACCTAAGAGGATGAAATGACAGGAATGCGGCTCGCGGTGAAAGCACGGGCAATCAAACTTACGAGAAACCGGTCACACTCCTTCGTATCTGGACAATGCGATGCAGATAAACAAATGTTCGGTCCGAAGATAGCCTTGCATGGCTGGTGGGGCATGATACTGTCTTAATGCGATCCCATCCTGAACAAAACGACAGCTGGCATCACGAATATGTCGTTGAATAACAATTGAACAGGTATGAATTTGCAATTGCACCTAAGACTTCTAGTGAGACTCATCTATTCTTGCCTCACTTGGTTCTTGATTTGATTGCGTCGAAGGTCACACCCATCGTAAACTCTACATGAGCGCCAACATGGGTTCAGAGATGATGAGTCGATTAGATCAGAAGAAATCCGATACAGTACAGTCAAATAGAACAGGCGATGCTGGAATTACAATTATACGAACATGGTATTTCCTGGAGAAGAATGTGAAGCAGTAAGTAAAACTCAATATCACAAGAGGTGGACACATACAGAACTGGTGAGGTCCATTACTTATTACCTGATCACACCACCATCTTCAAACCTGGCAACATCTTAAGGTATTCTGTGAGGTGTGACTCGGCGCCCTTGCTGCGGTGTATGGTGAGCCACTTGAGTGGGCATTTGGACCGAGTAACGAATGCCAAGAATTGTTTGTGTGGCCAAGGATATCTATCCGGACGCACAGAAGCGGATGACCAGCTCCTCCAACGCTGGTAGGGTTAGAGCTTCGAAAAGGCAACCCAAGCCAGCGCGGACAGCATTGACCTCAAGTCGATGAATGCTGTGGTTCACCGTGCCTATCAGAGGGAACGGCTGCAGGTCCGTCTGGGGACAATGCATCCGCACATATGGAGGAAACGCTGACCCGTTGGACTTGCGTGCAGAGGCCGATGACCTGCAGAAAAGTAGTACTGCTAACCCGTGCGAACTGTATCTTCAGGTCCAAAAGCTGGTGCCAAGGCAAGTCAATGGAACGCAAAGAGTGTAGATCGTGGGTCAGGGATTGCAAGACCGCGGAACGAAGTTGTGGCATTTGGCTGGGTATGGAGAACAGGAGATTTCCTTTGTGGAAGGTGACCTGGAAGCGTGACAGGGACTGGACAGAGTTGTCCAATAAACCTTGGATAGGAGGCCCATGCCACCAAAGGTCAGAGCATCGGCCCAAGAAAGGTCGGAGCCATTGTATGGAAAGAGGCGCTTTCCCATCTGAGAGGTCCATGTCATGCAAGACACGAATGGATAGCGGAACACTCCTGGCTTTTTCTAGCCAACGCTTGTACCCATCACCAGTAGGAGTGTCTGCCCTGAGCAAGGATATGCTTAAGGATGCCCATAATCGAGGAGTGGACAGGGCAACTGCTCGCCAGTGACGGCAGACCCTTGTCAAGACTATTGGGCATTCATTCGATGAAGGCGTAATATAATTTATCTGGGGAAGACACCAAAGAAATATCTCTCCAAGAAGCTCTGATGGTAGCAGATAGGGTGCTGGAGATACCAGGGCTTCGTGGAATGCCAACGACTCTTGCACAATGGCCCGTTGCTCCTTCAATCTAGCCTGGATACCTTGCAATTTTTCCAATGCATGGTTCAGAAGGTCGATGTGGTTGTCGAGAGCTGCAAGCTGTGACTTTCGCTGTGTTACAACAGCGTGAATGGTTGGGATATTGTCGGACGGAACATGACTGGTGGGACGACGATAAGAGAACGATGCCGGCGTCAACTCAGATAGCTGAATGAAAACATAAAACTTTAAGTCTTTGACCCAAACGGTAAGATAAATAGAATTTTCTGCTTACCGGCTCTAAGATGGGAGACTGGGAGTGGCATCATGATGAGCAATGATCACGCCATCGCAACAAGCGGCAAACTTTTAACTCACCAATGCTTCAGCTTCATATAGCAAATCATTCAACAACTCAGGAGCAGTCATTTAAAGGTGAGATGCTGCGCGGTGGTATACAAGGGTATAGGCCTAGGATGATATTGTGCGATTTCAAATTTAACTTGCTTGAGAGGTGCAAGTGAGTTATGTAACCAGGCGTGCCACGTCCAACGCTGTTCAACGTTGCGCCGTAGACTCAACAGATTTTGAATCAAGTGTAGGTCGTATAACCTGTACAGTGCAATTTCCGCCGTTGATGATTTTGCCAGTGCGATTTTGTCATTGTGGATGACTTCTGGAGTGGTGTAGTATCAGATACTAGGCTGGCCGTAGGGTTCACGCCTAGGGCGATCCCGAATGCACGGCCCCTGGGCTGTCCAGGCTACATACCAGCATTTGGTAACAGTGGTAAGTAATTTTCTGCTTAGGTCTTTGAATGTCTTTTATGGTCCGTTTCCGTTAGCTAGCTGCTAATATGTAGCTACGAGCCTGCGACTCGCGACACCGTGACATATCCGACACGCATCTCACCGAGAGACGGTTATATGGCAAACTACATATGCTAATCGATTACTTTGCCCATGTGAGCATCATGCCATCATCCATCATCTGGTGCCACTGGGGTTCACTATGCTGCTTTGTTGTCCAAGTAGTGTAATGGATCTTGAACTTTTTTGGTCTCGAACTTCTGACACGGTCTCGTCTCCTCTGCCAGGGCTTGGTTGCTTCGGAAATTCCATTACAATCAAGCTCCTTCTCAGTAACATTTGGCTAAAGCTCCATGTACTCCACGATCACAATGGATTCGCATAAGTAGCCGCGGAGCGCCCGGATCTGTAGTTCGATATAACACGATACTCTTGATCAAATTTCCCTGTAGGATTCGCCGTCTGTCGCCCGACATCTTGGCTCGGGTAAATCCAGTCGACCTGATCGATGGAAAATTGCAAATATTTTTCCGAGGAACGTTCAACTTGATAGTATGGGTGACTTCTTCCCGAGACAACGTGTTTAACGCTGTTAGAACTCCAATCAACTCTCAGATCATCTAATCAATAGGTTATTGAGAACTCGATACCAAAATATTAATTAGAGAGGTCACGTCTAAATTATTTCCAACTGTCACCTCGTGGTCACTTTAATCACTACGTCATGACCTCTTATAAGGCTGTAGTGTGGGATGTCATTGTCATGTCAAGGTTCGGTGGGAGTCACTACGCTCAATTTGAGCAGGAGAACTTCACGTGTATCCGATCGAGAGCCGAAATCTGTCAAGCGGAGCCTCCGAATGTGCCTGCTGATTCTGATCGGTCCCAACAGACTTTTCCTTTCACCGCTGAACAGCCTCAACTTTGATAAATCATCTTATGTTTTCATTGAAAATTTGCAACGATATCGTAATGCAAATTGACTTGCGCACTCACATACAGCGTGTGGAGTTTCGTCCAGGGTTGCCTTCGTACTGGTATTTCCTTGCGTCCGGTCATGCTAGGTAGAGGTCGAGACACCCCGTCATAATGATGAAGATATGAGCGCATGGGGCGCGTGCCACCGATGATGACGCGAAGGGACTGGTCCTATGTTGGAATCACGGAGGCGTAAATGGTCGACCGTTTGTCCAATTTGACTTGTCTAAAAAGTATCAAATTCAGCTGAATTGTTCTAGCTCTTTGATTAGTTCCCGATCTTCTTCAGAGCCCGGCATCGCCCCAGGCCAGAAACGATTCTTGTCGAGTGAAATCCTTTTTTTGTGATTTTGATCCAAGCCAGAAGTGGAGAGGTGGGCTGGCAAGGCACAAGGTAGACGTTCGAGATTAGATGGAGCCACCTCCTCATAACCGTATAATTCTCACCAATTTCGATTCCATTGCTGGATTGAAAACGTTGCCACTGGCCCGTGATAGTCTCGTCTTATTGGTCTCAGGATCAATTTTTACGGGCGCTCAACATATTTGAGGAGATCCATGTTTGGTTATAATGCTTTGTACAGGTCCCTCACCCAGTAGTGGTGAACAGGCGGTAGACCAGGATAGACCATGCATCCCAGTCCTCGATAGGAACGAAACTGTAAATTCCCGCTGAGGGGATAAGCGAAGTCCAACACGTTCTACGATAGGCACGGCGGATTGGATCGGAGCGATACTAGATCCGGATACCAACGAGGATGTATTGACAGCCGGGCCCCGTCTGCATCTTGAGGTACACACTGTAGGACTAGGTACCTGCCAGTGTGAGGCGTACACAGGAGCAATGCGGCTGGATGTCACTTACAAGCAATACTGGAACTCTCAAAACAACTGTCCTGGCGCCCAGGTGGTGAGCATGCAGCACAGTATTCACTCTAATGTTGCGTGTTATGGTGGTAGTTGAGGGCAATGATAGGGTATCTACCTGTCAGAGAGGCGAAAACATAATATCATGAAACGGATGTGGTTCGAATCGTGGTGATTGAATGTCAGTGTGTCCCCTAGGCTACTAGCTACTCAGTAACTCACCAGCACAAACATAAAGTAGCCCGAGAATATGGATACAGTCCCCCGAGATCAGCCCAGCAATTGAGGTACCTCGGCACTCCGACGTTCAGTCGGATAAGTGCCGATTTTCCAATCAGCAAGCGCGTCGTATTCCGGCTTGGTGTTATATAGCTACTAGTATCCCCTAGACAGGTCATGACGCGGACGAATGAGGATAAACGTTCCCCGAGCTGCAGTGACCGTAAAGTCTTGACCTGAGGATAGCGGAATTACATAAGTACTATTTGGCAGTCGTCCTTACTGCTGAGTGGTCGCACAACACTCTACGTCTGAACAGCTCACCTCGATCGAGTTCGTCGTTGCTGTCAGGTCCTAGTTTGACCAGTACTTTGAAGAACAACTTTCGTGATTAGAAGTTCCTCAATTCAAGGATGGACACCGTACAACACCCTTCGGCAACATGGGAAGCAGTCTCAAATGGCATTGTGTTTTACAGACGCCAGCAACTGTACACGCTACCTGGAAAGCTCCCAAACATCACTGACTACTTGATCGCCGGGTGCAAGAATGGTGGACCAATAGGTATGTGTCCCATTCAATTATCCAGAATTTGCAGGATGAGAGGTGCCCTAGCATTTATGAGAGACACCTCAAAGCTGGTTGCACTGGGTCGCGGAGGACCCTGCATTTTCGAAATCTCAAATCCAGGTGTACTCACCGGCCGGAGAGGGCTTGCTGCTATTCAGTGTGGATATTCTGCGTCAAGTCAAGAGTTCAACGAGTAGCTAACTCGCGTTCGACAGTGGGATCAAGGCCGAATAGTGCGGTTCGGATGGACCTTTGATGAGCGACTCGTGGTTTTGAATGAGGAGGGCGTGTATCGTCTGTACGACCTGCAAGGCGACTACCAGCAGTTTTCGTTGGGGAACGAGGCGGCGGAGTTGGGCATAATCGATGCTAGGATACATGAGAATGGACTAGTCGCCCTAACAGGCTCTTTGACTCTCCTAGAAGTGAAAGACTGGGAAGGTGGGAGGCCATTGGCGCTTGCAAACCCTGGTATGTCATTATGATCCACATTGTCTGTCTAGCATGTATCGATTTTCGGTAGGGATATCTGAACCACCTCATTCGTGGGCTGTCATACCCCCGGATCAATCAATATCGAGACATGTTGAGGTGCTACTCTCAGTAGATGCCACTATCCTTACCGTGGATACCCTGGAAAGCGCGGACCAACGGGTAGCCCGTGGACCATTTTTGCATGTCTCCCCTTCGCCTAATGGTAAATTCCTCGCGTTGTTAACTTTCTCTGGGCTTCTTTGGGTCGTTTCATCGGACTTCCAACGTGAACTAGTCGTTCTCGACACAGCAACTGTGGGTGCTGAAGGACCGGTCAATCAAGTGGAATGGTGCGGCAATGACGCAGTTTTGGTTACTTGGAACGATCTCGCATCTCTCATTCTGCCATCACGAGATAACTTAGCGGGAGAAACGCTGCGGTTTGGGCTTTCTCTCTCTTCCACATCAATGGCTGATTTGATATCAATAGTTATCTATATCTTGGTGCTACCTTTGTCGTCACGGAGGCCGACGGTGCCCGTGTCATAGGGCAGGACGTATGCGACTTCATTCAAGAAAGTGCCTGGTAAGTTTGCTCGGTGGGACTTTTCGTAAGTGAACCTTGACATACTTCGGTACAGCGTCTTCGGTATCCATATTCCGTCCAGGCTCAACGTCATCATCTGCCATCCTGTTTGCAGCTTGGGAAAGTTTCGTACAACGATCTCCAAAAGCAGACGAGAACGTACGGAGCATTCGATCAGACCTTGCTGCAGCTGTGAATGAATGCATTGATGCTGCTGGTCATGAGTGGGATCCTCATTGGCAAAGAAAGTTGCTTAGTGCAAGTATAGTACTTCAAACTGGCCCTTCAGTTACTGATCGACGAACTTATGATAGGCCGCAAAATTTGGATGGGGATTCCTGGATCTTTACAATCCCACCGATTTTATAGCCATGGGCCAAGCATTGAAAGTCCTGAATGCTGTCCGCTTCTACGAGATCGGAATACCTCTGACGTATTCGGAGTAAGTTCAATATCTGTAAGGCTCAATGTGATCGAAATCTGATTACCGCAGGTATCAATATGTATCTCCGGCGCATCTCATAAACCGTCTGACATCCCGAAACCTGCACCTTCTCGCTATCCGTGTTTCTTCCTTCCTGTCTCTTAAACCTGATGTTGTTCTCAAACATTGGGCGAGTGTAAAGATCGCACGGTCCAAATCTTCAGCTGTTGATAGCGAAGATGATGAAGTGTGCAGACTCATAGTAGACAAGTTTGAGAAGCTCGGGGGCGGGGAGGTGAGCTATGCAGATATTGCCCGGCGAGCATGGGAGGTTGGGAGGACGGGATTGGCCACAAAGGTAAAGGTACTTCTTGTTATCGCTCCCTTATGCTGAGAGATTCTTCCTTCAGCTACTAGATCACGAAACCAGGGCTTCCGATCAGGTTCCATTACTATTAACCATGAAAGAAGACAAACTGGCTCTGGTAAAAGCGGTCGATAGCGGTGACACCGATCTCGGTGAGTAGTGCCCTGCATCCGGAACTTTGAAATCTGAGACAAGTATCAAGTGTACCATGTATTACTACATCTTCACAAGCGCCTTCCTCTAGGCTCTTTTTTCAAGTTGATCGAGGATGGTGGAGATCAGCTTGCACCTGCAAGCAAGCTCCTTCAAGTTTACGCTCGGGAGCAGAACCGAGAGATGCTAAGAGATTTTTACTACAGTGATGACAGGAGAGTGGAGAGTGCAACTCTGGCGCTGGACGAGGCAGCCCAAATGACCGTACGCGCGAAATTTCCTCCAGTTATCTGCGATTTACAAGTTACTCAGGATCCTCATGCGGTGATGACAGCTGTGAATGCAGCAGAAAAGTTCTTTTCAGAAGACAAAGACCGTCCATTTGAAGCCAAGGTAAGCCTGGTTCTTTGCTCTGCGCTCAATCTTGACCTTTATTCTGTAGATGATGAATGAAAGTGTTCGCCTGCTTGCGCTTCAGCAGCAATATGAGAAGGACTCGGATGGCAAAGTCAAGTTTTTCGGACAAAGCGTCTCTGAGACGATACGTACATGTATCTCGAACGACATGAGCAAGAAAGCCGACCGCATCAAAAGCGAGTTCAAAGTTCCTGACAAACGGTCTGTCAAGTGTGTTGTGTCCAGGGCCTTTGAACTCATACCACCTTTTCTAGATTTTGGCATCTCAAGTTGCATACGCTCACAGCTATGCGAGATTTCAGCGCACTAGACACGTTTGCGCGGTCAAGACGGAGTCCTATTGGCTACGAGGCGTTCGTAAAACATCTTGTCGAAGCTGGTCACCTCAAAGAAGCGGCGTCATATGTGATGCGATGCGATGGCCCAAGACGCGTGGGACTTTATGTGCTGTGCGAAGACTGGCGTGCGGCAGGCAGGGAGTGCAAGGAACGCGGAGACAAGAAAGGGATGGAGTGAGTATTTTGGCTGTCGTTTGCTGCTTATGGCTTATGGTGGTTGAAGACAACTCAGGAAGTCGTGTCCTAATGCCCTTATTGCCAGAGAGTTGGATCAGCTCATGGCATCGATGAAGTGAACCCTCTACCGAGTTCAGGGCCATGCTGTGTTTTGGAAGGGAATGCCCGGACCTTCTAGGCTATGGCTTCTATATTGTACCCATCAACCAGATTTGTTTTTACCATGGCGTGTAATTCGACGTACTATAAAGCGGTTTTTCTTTCTCCCAGAACTGACCGGAACTTGATTTCGTTGTGCCTGTATTTCGCTGGCCTCAAAGAGCCAAAACCGCACGGATATTGTTTGTTCAATGTGTTTAACTGGTAACACAGCAGAACCTAGCAGAACTTGCTGCTAGCCACGGACTTAAGAGCAGACCAGATACCAGATTCTGCAGGAGTCGGGAAAATCCCTCATCCGCAGAGTGGGCGAATTTATATGAGTACAAGACATGATCTCAGATTCACCTTAACCCGCGGTTATCTGACTTGACCGCAATGCTCGAACCCAGGGCCTTAATACAACTGTATCATGGTCCGGGGTAGAGCATGGTGGTAGGCATACATCCACCTGAGAGTGAGTTGCTCGTGGAAATCATTCTGGACTGAATTTGAACGTCATCCGTGCGTGTTTCCAATGTGGTGCCTGGGGCCGTGACCATGCTCATTGAACGTTGAATTATTGGAATTGACAGCCCGGGTCGATGATCGTACCGTGTCCTGCATCGCGTGGCATGGCCGCCAGTCGTAAATCGTAAACCGGGTCGGAATAGAACGGGCAAGTCTGAGCCGTGACATCTTGTGCCTAGGCTAGAACCATCTACCACGGAAGATAACAATCACTGCCGAGAGAGATTCCGTTGGAGGGTACAATGCAGTTGTTGTTTGTGTTCAATGCTACCTGAATACGGAGAGAATCATTCACGCTGGGAGTAATATCATGATGCGGCCCTTGAGCGGCCCTGCGAAGAAGCACTGGCCCTTACGTTACTTTAAGAACGTGGTGATGTGATTACATAATTAGTGTGGAGCTGTCAGGAGTCGGCAAACAGGGTTTCCCGAATTGCTAGTAAGTAGATCAAACAAGTAAATTATACCTTCTTAAGCGCGGCTTAAGCGTGTCGCTCCTTTCTGCTCCCCTTACTTCATCGCGCCATGTATGTGCTTTCATCTACATGTCTATTGTCTGTGGCTGACTTTTTCTTAGGTCGGGCGTGAATCAGACGTCCGCAAAGGCCGCTACAACAGCCACTTTCGTCACTGCGCTTGTCTTCAATGCTGCAGTCTTTGGGATTGAGATAGCCCTGTTCACAATACTACGTCCATACTTCAAACAAATCTATGAGCCACGCACACAATTTCTGGTTGAGAAGTATGCGTTCATCCAGTATCTCATCCCAGACTGCTTACGTTCTGTTCATCCAGGGACCGCGTCAAACCTTTCGAAGCTGGATTCTTAACTTGGCCTATTACCCTATTCAAGACAGACTATCGTGATGTTCAACAAGTCAATGGACCAGACGCCTACCTTTTTGTTCGATTCTTGCGGATGATGATTCGCGTCCTTCTGCCTATCTGGTTTATTTCTTGGATCGTGCTGATGCCAGTCACCTCTGTCAATAATTCTGTCCCCAACAGCACTGGACTGGATCGTTTCATCTTTGGAAACGCTTCTGACCAGCCAGATAGATATGCCGCCCACATTATCCTTGTATATCTCTTCACTTGTGAGCCCACTTAACAGTTTTTATGAGACCTCTAAATTTGACCGTCTTCACTACTAGTTTGGATTTACTGGAATATTAGGCGGGAAATGAAACACTTCACCACAGTTCGTCAGCTGCACCTCGTCAATCCTGCCCATTCCAGATCTGTGCAAGCAAATACGATTCTTGTAACCGGTATTCCTGCTAGACATCTTTCTGAGTCCGCACTTCGCCAGTTGTATTCCCACCTTCCTGGTGGTGTGAAAAAGGTGTGGCTCAATCGGTGTGTACCTCTACTTTTTCCGTCGCCTGTTGTTCTTTATCGTTTCTCGTGCCTGTTTATTTTACTTCTTGCGAGTATTGCGCCTGCCCAATGACTCCCGTCGTCTTCTATTCGTCCCATCTTTCGTATGACAGCTGTGTTTGACCTTTGACCTTCTTAGGGATCTGAAGGAGCTTCCCTCTATCTACGATCGTCGCCTGGCTGCTTGCGGAAAACTGGAGTCTGCAGAGACATCACTCCTTTCAACGGCCGCTAAAATTCGACGAAAGGCATTAAAGGAGGCCAACGGCGCTGGCGATCCATCCCCTCCAGTTGATCCCGAGCGCAATGTGACTTTAGCGGAGCGTCTGGTTCCTCGGGATCAGCGGCCTTCGCACCGTCTTCCAGCCGGTTTTATGCCTTTCTCACTCCCTCTCATCGGCGAAAAGGTCGACACGATTGATTGGTGCAGGCAAGAGATTGCTGCTTCTACAGGATTGTTGACCAAAGGCCGCCAAACTCTCGCCGATCAAGACCTTTCGCTGCCAGAGGATGCTAACGGAGATGGAAAGGTGGACAAAAATGACCGCGCCAAGCAGACTTACCCACCTCTCAGTTCCGCATTCATCACTTTCAACCAACAGATCGCTGCTCACCTTGCTGCTAACGCCTTAACTCACCATGAACCATACTGCATGGCCGACCGATACCTCGAAGTGTCTCCACCTGATGTGATCTGGGGTAACCTCGGGCTCAACCCGTATGAAAAGCGCATTCGAGTGGTTATTAGCTATAGCGCCACCGCAGCCCTAATCATTTTCTGGGCTATTCCCGTCGCCTTTGTCGGCATCATATCCAACATTGAAGGCCTTTGTGTTCGCGAATCGTGGCTCGCTTGGTTATGCAAGTTGCCAAGCCCTGTCATTGGAATCATACAGGGTATTCTACCCCCTGTGTTACTCGCCGTCCTCATGATGCTCTTGCCAATTATCCTTCGTCTCTTTGGGCGCTTCGAAGGTATTCCGACGCGCACAGGTCTCGAACTGAGCTTGATGACACGGTACTTCATTTTCCAAGTAATCGTGAGTATTTCAATGTCCATAAACGGCGAGCGATTTTGCTCACGGTATCTAGCATTCGTTCTTGATCGTCACTCTGGCTTCGGGCGTCTTTGCGGCTCTCCCATCAATACTAGCAAACCCCAGTTCGATAGCTGGCCTCCTGGCTCAATATCTGCCTCAAGCGTCGACTTTCTTCCTGACGTGAGTCATTCTTGTGAGCTTACCGAGACAGTTGCTCATTATTATATTCAGATACATTCTTCTTCAGGGTTTAACCGGCGTAGCTGGAGGATTTTTGAATATTGTTGCGCTCGCCCTTTACTACGTCAAGCTGTTTCTCCTTGGCAGCACGCCACGCTCTATCTATAACATCAAATATGGACAGGCAACTGTTGCTTGGGGCACGTTATTCCCGTCTATCACTCTACTCGTCGTCATCAGTACGTCTGTTCGTGGCAGTTCACACCAAACGTATTAACGGTTTGTCTCAGCGTTTGCCTACTCCATTATCTCGCCTGTGATCAATGGCCTTGCATGCGCTACATTTTTCCTTTTCTACCTCCTCTACAAGTACCTATTCCTTTACAAGTACACGCAGCCGCCTTCGGCTGACACAGGAGGCTTGTTCTTCCCAAAGGCGATTCAACACGTGTTCGTTGGGATGTATGTTCAGCAGCTCTGTCTCTGTGCCTTGTTCTTCCTCGTGCAGGACCCGGACGGAAAGCGAGGCGCGCTCCCAGAGGGCGTGCTCATGGTCGTGTTGATCATTCTTACTGTCGGCTACCACGCCATCATTAACAGCTCCTTTGGTCCACTGACCAAGGCTTTTCCACTCAGTCTCGCGCACAAGACATTCAGGCATCCGGAGCCTTCTCTGGATATACAGGACGTCGATGGCGGGTCAGGCTCAAAGCGCAAGGAGATGGCCGAGGAGGAGATCGAAGAGGGACGATCGCCGACTGACGAGCCTCGTGCCTCGTCCTCTGAGTCAGGTGCCGAACATGCTCCACATAGCGACTATGACGATGTGTTCTTTGAGCGCGGGCCAGACGGCTCAGAGGATTATGGATTTGCGCAACCGGCGGCGTGCCTCCCACAGCGCATCGTATGGATTCCCGACGATTCGCTCAGTTTGGGCCGTGAGGAGGTCCAGACGAACAAGGAGTCGGGCGTTAAGGCGACCACCCAGAACGCGACAATGGATGAGCACGGGAATGTGGACGTGACAAGTCCCCCTGTCGACCTTGCAAAGTTCTGAGAGATGTTTTGAAGTAATTGAGTTTTTTTTTCTGGTACATTTCTTGCCCGCCTCTTGTCAAATGTGGTATCCATTTTCCATTCTTCTTCCTATGTTACACATTGCACTTCACACTGGTCATGCGATAAATATTTACGATATTCACGTTGTCACATCTGATTCTTCATTCAATCATGTCAACCATTATCAGTTTCATCTAGCCTGAATACCCCTTGTCCCAGTACATGATCCTGTTACGCACTTACGATCGCCATTCTGTAATTCAGTACTTACTTGAGTTCACTGTGAATCTGTAGTCTGAATCGTTGAAACTATCAACATGTACATCTCCTGGTTGTCAGGTAGTCCGCGACTCCCCGGTTGCTGATGCGCTACTTCAGTATGAAGAGAACCACTAGGCCAGGAAACATGAGGCCGGAAATTATGAAAATGCGGATGTCTGCCTTTTCGAGTGTGGTAATAAGCTGCTTGGAGGTACTAAGCGAGGATGAGATCGGCCATGTCCGAGTCGTGAATATTGTGGATACGGACTAGAACCTAGTTACATTACAATGTTACATATGTACACTCGTGTGCGGAACTGATTGCAAAATGAAACAGCATGATAGTTGAAACAGCCGCAGCTTAATCTCCGCAGCAGTTGAACGTTGCGTTGTCGACAAGGCGTGGCCCAATCGATATCCTTCAGCTTCGATTGTCCAACGGCGTCTTCCACAACTGCGCATAGGTGGGCTTTCCAACCTGGTACACGAGGGAGATCAGCAAGTGTCAGGAAACGGAAGGTACTGCAGCCTACGAGCCACATCACCGAATTATCATCGATCTCTTGCAGGGTCTAGAATCCATCAGTGTTCTCGGACTCGGATTCATCAGGGATTCGCAATCTGCATTAGTCGTCAATTATAATGTCTACCTCACTGGCAGTGGGGAGGTTTGATAGGGTTTGGTCGACGATCTGATACTCACCGTCGACAAAGTATAAATTCCACTAATACTGCGTGGTTCCCATTACCACTCTCCTGTTGGCAAGCAGATTTATGTGGAGACTTGATTATATTAGATTCGCATTGGAACCGTTTTCACAGACAGACTTATGTCCCAACCTACGTCACGCAGTCACCAGTAGTGGTATACTGGAGTGAAACCAACTCTGGGAGCGTGGAAAACCTCAGCGCTCACTATCAACATCACTTTCAGCACCAAGGTCGGAACTTCATCTCTAGCTACCCACTTACCTGCTGAGTGGGTAAGTCCTTGTACTGGTCCTCGGCGAGCGACACGTTCTTCTGCGTCAAGACATTTAAGTACTTGACATTTTCAAGAACACTGTTGGTGATTGACTGGGTCTGTTCGGCACGATGGACGTTGTTTGGAGGCAAGTAGGAGAATTTGGTCTTCAAATTTGTGTTTGTGACATCCTTTGTATTGCACGTTCCTGCGTAGGTTCGATATTCTTCTATCCCGAACATCACACGCGCCCCTAAATCGTGTAAGCAACTCAACGCACTCAACGCTGGCGAATCATATACATACTACAATTGAAACCCACCGTCTCGTGATGAGCCATCTGTTGGAGATCTGGTACATACCAACTATTGCAAAAGGAGTTAACATCATTTCTAGTTTTCGCTCGCCAGGAATGTTTGTCGATGGGCTTACCATGTGAGGATTTTTTCTATTAAGATTTCTCGACAGCGACTCCCACACTTCCACGGTCGACACGAGGACTTCTCTTTGTAGAATCTGATCAGTGATCGCAAAAGAATTACCTCAATTTCGCTGTGCGATAAGTGTTTGTCAGTGACGACAGTGACATCCATTCTGCTGTCCCGAGCATCTCACGCACCCGAGGAACTAAATGCTGGTGAATTTAACTATACCACCTCATGGTGACGAGATTCGATATTCCAATTCGGAGTATCCCTTGTAAAATAGGCTTCATTCCTCATTTTCGCCCGCCAGGAATGTCTGTCGACGGCGGTATGTGTATTCTTCTAGAATCAGATCAGTCGATTTCTCAGTCTAGTGGCTACCTTACCGTCAATTGCAAAACAGGTCGGATGGTGGCTAGTCTCCAGGATCTGTTCTTTGCGCGCAGTCAGACCAGATGGCATGGAGGATTATGAGTTTTCACAACCGACTACGTCCCGCCCACAACGCATCGTGTGCCAGATCCCTGATTCTTACACGTCAATTTCATTTATCACCCCTTGGGCCTTGTCCCAGTACAAAATCTCGTGTTACACACTTACAATCATGTGAATAGTTGTTTTGTACTTGAGTCCGTGCGTCCCGCAAGCTGCAGTGCTGAATAGTTGAAATTATCATGCGCATCTGCTATGCTGTCCAGTAGTTCATGGCTCCACAGCCGATGTTGAGAGACTAGGGGTTTCAGACACGTCTATGGTGTGTTCCTGACCAGCTCCATCATGCTGACTACCTATCAATGACGCCAGCACAACTGACGCGGCAGCAGTGCTGGCCGACGCAGTCATCATTATATCCCAGCCTTCTACACCACAACATGCGTACTTGAGCAGGAGCTGGGCAAACCTCGTCCAGAAAAAGGCGATACGTAGCCCGCGACCGACGATGCGCTGCTTCAGTATAAAGAAGACCACGAGGCCGAAAATTATGAGAATGCGATCGAGCTAATCTGTCTTTTCGAGTGTTGTAATAAGTTGTTTGGAGAACCAAGGATGAGATCGTGTAAGTCGTGTGTTGTGGACGCGGATTGGAGAGTTGCAGTTGATTGAAAGAAAGAACTTGCCTAGTAACTGGCTCGACAAGACATTGCGCTCGAACTCTTTCTGCATGAACCCAATGGTTCGTTGCAGCGCTTCTGTGACATTATGATTGGCTTTCATGAGTGCGTGTTCACAGGTCCCGCTCCGAGTCAGAGGATACGAATGTATGCAGCATACGAACGTAACTTTCTCGCCCGAGGAGCTTGTGCTTTTCTCGAGAATGGGCTGATCCTTTTGGTGAGTCTGAGTGAGAGATTCGTGCGATATGATGTGTTTCACAGAAGCTGTTCAGAGGCAATACTTAAGGTAACTGCCAATTTATGTAATAATGAATTTTCAACATTCCCACTATTTTTGAACCGCCGCGAACATGAGTCGAGACTTTTTGAATTGAGCATCAAGAGGGAAAAGACAAACATTGAAATGCAAACAACTCGTAGAGTCTGGGCGCCAAGATCATGGTCTAAAACAGCGGCTCAGGTGATATTTCACAGATAGATTGAGTCTATTTATCTTGAAATTCTTGTGCGTACGATTGCTGCGTGCTTCAACGCCATCACCGCTGTATCATCAACTCCGTACTGAGACTTGAGTCCTACAGCTACCCCACGACCACAAGGAATGCATCACTATTCAGTAAGCCCGTGATTATTTTATCGCGCTATGGCTATATATACGCTGGTATATCATCGATAAATTTAACGAAAGACTTGATGCAAATCAAAATGACAGTGATATAGAGCAAATATAGAGTAAGAACTAAACTCTAAAAGAAAGGATTGTTGGTAAACGAAAGACTACTGTAAATCAAAATGACAGTGATATATCTTGACGTTAGAGCTGAACTCCAAAAGACAATACAATATCAATAAACAATTGACTACTCACGCAAGGTAAAAAGGTTCAGCCAAATGATTGAAGAGTTCAACTCTAAACAGCAGCCACGTAATCGCTCACGAATCAGGGTTCATTATGAGCGTAGGAGCGCAGCAATCGGGGAAACAGATGGTAGGGGTGCGCTCTCCGGGGAGAATGGCTGCGATGACACAGGTTGAGGCCCAGAACCTGAGCCATAATTGGATTTGGCAGACGGCGCCTTGAGAGGGTGGCACTCCGTGTTGAAGACATCTAGTGAAAGACATCAGTCGCTTAGGCTAATGTGTTATGTAGGAAAAGCTTACATTCATCAAGCGAGATGTGATCGGGGTCGTCAAAGGTCAAATACCTATGCATTTTTATGAAGAGTCCAAGATTTTCGCATGCAGCAATACTCACAGGTACTTGAGGACCTCGGCGAACCAGAAACTTTCCATGTCATCGATTTTGTCGGAATCCACGTTGTCAACGTCGTAGATACCGGTGTACGCAACAGTTGTAGGCAGGTACTTCTTGAAACTGATGGTGGCACTAACTGCATTGTTGAAGTATTTGATATCACCAGTCGCACGCCAAGCATAGAAATTCGACTCAAGGACTTCAGGACGAAGAACGTAGTCGGGAGCGGTGATATAGAAGCCATGCTTAGAATAGAAATCGAGTTGCTCCGGAGTAGGAGCAGTGCCACCAGTGTAGTTGCCGTCGCTAGATATGTATGCGAAAACTTCAGGACCAATCTCAGTACTGGAAACAAGGAATCAGCACAGTAATAGATGTCGGTGGGGGACGTACGCAGTGCTCGCGTATGTGTTCCAGCAGGCATCCGTGAGTTGAAGACCAATCTGAACTATTGTTGCATTGTTGGTGAGCTTGCCGCCTAGGTTTTACATCAAGCTCAAGCCACAAGGAGAAGAGGAGAAGATACCTAGAATCCAGTTTCCTCCGTAGAAACAAGCCAGATGGGACCCCACGTGACGAATGTTTTTGTCGTCGTCGTAATCAGCGAGGTACAACCAGTTATCGATGGTTGAAAACTAACGCGAAGCATAAAGATGTGAGGTCACCGAGATGAATGGGTCTGCATACTCTTAGGAGCGTCTTCATGGAGGTATCAACGGCGGTCAACCACGCATCGGCATACGAGTGGTCGTCGGTATTTGTAAGGCGGGCATATTTGATGAGATACTCGAAGTAAGAGTCAGAACCTCCACCCCAAGTCTACCAAGATGGATTAGGAGGAGCATATATCACAGACATGAGCACTTACCACATACCCACCAACCGAATGACCAGTTTTTGGGTTAATGCCCTGAGCAGGCATACCAGGGAGAGGGGTCGACTGAAGAGTAACACATCAGTTAAGGGCCAACATCAAAGTTGAAATCCTGCTCACCATGCGAATCATATGTTGCACAGATTTCTCAGCCAGTGTTTGGTACGTGGAATTGCCAGTATATTGACTTAACGTCCAGTTCATTTAAAGAACTAGACAGGCAAAATGACCCACACACCTGAGGCGATTCCATTCCATGGTAAGCTACGCAGGACAAATGTCACAATTTGTTCTGCAGTATACATGACGTAGACTCACAGTTCCAGCCTCGGCAATGTTTGACTACAATTGAAGATGAGTATACCGAAACTTAGATGTCGATAAACTGCTCACAGTGTCGATGGTGGGTTGCTGGTTCGTAAAGTCTATGTAACCATACGGAATGGACTGATTCTATAAAAGAATCAGATACCATTACGCGCGTGCAAATACTGCAACGATTACCCCAAGCCAGGCATAGGCCATTTGATCGGCGAGGGTCCTGTGCCTTTTCGACCAGAACTGGATACTTTTCCCCGCTGAGCTCATACGCACTTAAAAAACCTCCAACATAACGAATAGTAGTTTCAAACAGACTGCCCTTAATCAGCAAGATAGCTTAAAAGCGAAGATAGGGCAGCAAGTTACCTGACGGTGTCGGAAGTGTGCGCAATAGTAAAGTCGGTGTTGGCAGTGTGATTGACAGCTTGTTCAAACCAGTCCTGGGTACATTTTGAAATGAGCCAATGTTAGTTCACGTCTCGCATGTGGAAACATACCGTGAACCCCATAATCCACTACATCACGTGTGATTCAGTCGCTTGACCTCTGGACGAGGCTCGTTACTCACCATGGTACCCATAGCGTCGGCAATGGAAGCGCCCCATCCGTTCCGTCCATCAAAGTACGTTTTTGAAACGGGCAACAGATCATCATGTCCCCAGGCATATGTCCTGCATGCGACATGGTGAATGCAAATAGAAAGAAAGACTGCGGCATCGTACTGGTAAGCCTCGTAGCTGGTGACAAAAAGTTCCTTGACTGCTGCCTGGTGGACGGAAGCACTAGGCGGAAGTTGCAAGCCTGGTTTCTGAACTGACTCGGCCTTGACAGCAGATGCCGCGAGAGCTGCCAGGAACCAGCGTCTGAAAGACGACATTACTGGACAGTGTCACAGGAAATCGGGATGGGGAAGGATGAAGAGTTAGAAGAATATTAGTTGAATAATAAAATTTATAACCTTGGTGCTATATGCTGCTTTTATCACCGTGGTTCGCGAGTCGCACGATGAAGTTCATGGATCTGCATATATGGCAATACAGTAGGAGCGCATGGGCTTCGAGAATTCGCGCCGACATTCCTGGACTTTTCATCACTAGTCGTCAACCAAATTTTTCGGGACCCGTGATAATTAATTATCCATCGCGATTCGCCGGTATGCGGTTGAAAGAAATGAGTCGGCGCTGACGAGTTCTGACAGCTGGTATGTTGCAAGAAAATTGCTGCAGATGCTAGTTAGCTTGTCTTGAAGTCGAAATACTGATGGAATGGTATGACACGGCTGTAAAAATTCTCAACAATCCGTTGTTAGGCCCCCAACAAGAAACTGAAACTCACACCTACCTCATGATGCCGATATGACTTCTTATACATTTGCATAGACCGACCGCATATACTATATCCACATACAATGCAACCTCCACCACCCGACCCACGCTCCAGGGACACCTCACAAAGCCTTCAAATATAAAGCCGAGTAGAAGCCTCACTAAGACCTGCCTGGTTGTGAGCGAGAAGCGACATGAAATCGGGAGCGGTATTCCGTATGAGACTCGGAGTCGAGAAAACCTTGCCAATCGGACTTGATGCGAGCACGCGCAACAAGCGGAATTTATATGCATGCTTGGATTAATGTTTTCGCAAGCAAATATTGGAAAAATGTTACGATACTATTTGCTTCCGATTATGTAGAGCTTGTACGGAAGCATAGCGGCTGGAGGGCCCAGAGTCGGAATACTAATATCCCTTAATTCAATAGGTGATTAATGATTCCTGTACAGTGTGAATGTGCAAGGTACGGTCAGTCTGGGTGCATGTCTGGGGCGCTTCAAGTTTAGGTCTGGGTGATTCGAGCGGAGTTTAGATGGCAAAGCCGCCCACCTGTACACCTGACGCCGCCCCTCGTCTGCGATGGCCTGCGTGAATGTGGGTAAGGCCTGAGGTCCACGGTGATCCACCATAATACATCTACAGTATCTTCCGAGAGGGCGGCGTGTTTAGCGAGAAATGCATTCATGGTGGGGGGCAGGACTTCAGGGGCAACCACGACAGATATGAGGCTGTAGCTTAAATGTCGTCTTTGAGCTGGCTTGCACAGTGGAGGAAGAGGTTGAGGTCGAGAAAGGGCATGGCGGCTGCTGCATGACAGCAAGTATGGACTCGACGTCCATGGTCTGTGTTCAGCGTGTGACAGCGGCAGGCAGCAGCAGTGGTGGCAGTGGTGGGATGTCAGGCGCTGTCAGCTACTGGCGACTTCAAGTCCAAACTCCACCACCCGTGCCGAGTGCGCACCCAGACTTGGTCGTAGACACAGACCTTGTGTCTGTGCAGGCCTCCACCCAGACCGGCCAAAGTTTCAGACCCGCCCTTGTGAAGTGGCAGAAAATCCGGGAATTGGGCAGTCTGCCAGTACAGTGTTCGTGTCTGTTCGTGTGCATGGACATCTTTCGGGAGTTTCCGGCCGATGTCTCCCCGCCGTCCTACATCATCTTAATTATCCCGCCATCAGTTCTGTCGTCGCCCGCCTCTCTGCCTGCTGTCTCTCTCGTTGCCCGCCGGTTCTTTCCCCGCCTCCGCACAAATTAGCGGGGCTCTGGAACAACTTTCTGTCCACACGAAGAATACAAATCAAGAAGAGAAGTCACAGCGAGTCATCACTACCATCATTCATTCCTCATTATTTCTATCATTTATCACGGCACTCATCATTCTATCGTTCGATTTGTTCGTAGACCATCCTTGTAGCTTCTAGTGCATTTAATCTGTATTCAGAGCCGGATGAAATAATGTATCATTTTACGACAATGAACGAAGGTAATGGGGGAACTTGTCGTTGATGGGCCATTTCGTGGTCGTCAAAGCGACAGGAGTGTATCGTCGACGTCTACAAACAGAGAGCAAATATGTTACACACGCAGGAAAGGAAGTGCTATGGTTGTGTTCATTCTGCCCAACCAGGCAGCATCAGGCAATGTCCAGGCAAGATGTTGCATGACAGTCCATAGATAATGCACTGCTTCGGATGATATGGCGAACGATTGAGTGAGAAAGGTTATTATTTTTGGTGGTAGCAAGTCAGGAGCGATATGTTCACAGGCACTGTGCGAGGCTACGGCAGGCAGAGGCCGCTGAGTCTCCTTGAGTAAGTATGTATTACGACGGATGAAGCGAGCAAGGTCGAGAAGCGACATATGTGCAAGCTTGACAATGGTGTGTAATGTTCGTAAGGCGTCAAATAGGGCCGTTGGGCACGACTCCGAGTCGGTTGTCGGTGGTAGATTCGGAGTCCTAAATGGTGGGAATAGACCCACGCCTTGTGTGCTGGTTGTCATTCCTGACATACTCGCTGGGGAGAGGCAGGCACGGCGGCGGGCGGGATAGGATGATGATGATCAGGATGATGTTAGACGGCAGGCAGGCAGACTTTGGGCGTGCTGGCCGGAAACTCCCGAAAGACGCCAACTACACGTAGACTTTTATGTACGCCGCGATAGAATTCCTCCAGCAGTCATGACAGCACAGTGGCGGCCGCTAGCTGGAAACACAGACGATCGACCAATAAAGATAGCGGAATTGATAATCTGGGTAGCAGAACTCAGTGTAATCAGCATTCTTTCCAATGACAAGACAAATTCAAAATCCGCCGGGTATGCCGAACTAGTACGCGAAGCGGCTAGTATACAGGACGCATATTGTGCATAGACCCTTTCAATTCTCAAGCCAGACCCCCATGCCACCCATAATATGGAAGGAAGAACAATCTCCATTCTATTCGGTCGACAGGCCGCCTACGGAAGGCTACATACAGCACCTAATAGTCAGATACAGGAAGCCCGGTTAACAGGATGTACATCGGTTGCCTTGCCCATGTAAAAACGCGCGAGTTCGTGTGTGTTCGTCGTCAAATGCATACAGAGAAAGATGAAGGACCGCAATTCACAGTCTAGATATCCCATCCGCCATGTCTCGCCTCCTCCAGCAGAACAGCGCCTTTTGGGTTGAGATCAATACCCTCAGCCGTCGCATCTATCATAAACCGATCAAAGACTTTCGAGGCACCGCTTAGGCTCCCCTCAGGGATCCAGGTAGCTTGCGCGATCGGATACCTACAGACGCGAGTATCAAGCCGCGAAGCCATCAAGTTGTTATAAAGAAGAGAACGCACCCCTCCCATTTCACCAAAAACAGGTATACAGCTTCCCCGATGGTTTTCCGCCCAACTAGGCGCTCAATGACAAACTCCTCTGCATCGAGTTGGGTGAATGAACAATCTGGACGGGCGCATCTTTCTGTGCGCCTGCGCGGGGTCTGACGTTTTGCGCCTAGAAAACCAATGATGGTTGATCATATCAGGCAGCTGGATGGCATGAACACCTACTTGAGACGCTAAAAATTGGATTTGATTCATTCAAGGCAAGAGGTACAAATCTGTTAAACACGTACCAGCATGGCGGACAGATGAAGACAGAATCTGGTTCCTCCAAGCGATGATCTCCCTCCGAAAAACCAGCGCAGCCAAAGTGATACCACAAGTCGCAGCTGCACAGACTAAGGGATGACCATAGGATAAAATGACCAAAAAATACTGACTTATCACACTGTACGAACTGCCGTTGAAACGACCCATCCTGTTCGCTCTTTGCAGGCCACTGACACATCTGAGCTTCTTCCTTAACAACCAGCGACTTGGACTTTCTCTTCTGTGATCGCCGCGACTTGGGCTTTCCGTTTCTCTCAGACTGCTGGACGTTCTTCTGGGTGGTGGCTTGGCTCGCCTTCCAGCTTAGAGGTCCGCACCCGTTTGCCGCGCGAAATTGAATCCTCCCAGGGCTCATTGGCATGTGCAGCTAGCCCTGACTTTGTCATCTCCGAGGTAGTCACGAAGGTCTGCGCTGGCTCGCTGATCGTCGTCGTGCCAATGACACTGGCACTGTCTACTTCCATCGGTGCTGAAATGCTCTCGACTTGGAGTGACATCACGTCCTCCGCTGATTCGGAAGGATCAGAGGATTGAGGTATTGGATTCCCCGCACCTTGACATTGGAGCTGATGGGCTAGATACGTGAAGGAAGAAGTCACATCATCTGTGCTGAATGACGTGGCATCTATATCTGCATGGAACCTAGTTTTCTTTTTTTGCGGCCGTGACTGGATCGCTGACTCCAATGGCTCGAGCTTACGCTTGAGCTCTGAGATCATGATTTTGCGCGGATCCTTCTTTGCCAGCATAGAGAGCTCTTCGATGGATGCGCCTGGTCCACCTCTTAACTCACCAGACCGCAGTGATCTCAACAACATCTTCCGCCGCAGTACTGATACTGAGGACCCCGAGCGTGCTCTGCATTGGTGCACACCAGAGTCTTCGTCTGAATTGAGGTTCTCTGTTCTGCGTAACTCCACCCCAACTTCATCTTGGTCCTCCTCGTCCCCAGCATCGATCTCCTCTTGCAGTATCGGCGGAGACTCCCCCAGCGAGGACTCTCCCAGCGAGGACAGTGGGGAGAGTGACCTGAATAGGTGTGAGAGAGATGACGGCAACACGTTAGGGGGTGGGGTAGCGAAGGTGGGGGGAGAACAGACGGAACTCATGTGTTCAAGTGGGGCTGAGAGCTCGGCAGATATAGTGGTTTCGGATTCGACATGTACTGGATGATCAATGGTCACTGCAGGTTCGTGCGCCACATGCATCTCTGCAGGTTCTTGCTCCACCAAGTCCTCAGTATACGTACTTCTCAGAGCAGACGTAGCTCCATTGTTGTAGGCGTTCATGAAATCGACAAAAGTCGTAAAAATATCGTCCCCGTCATCAAGAATTTCTGTCGGTTCCTGTGAAGAAGGGCCGTCTGCTTGGCCCTGGACTCCTGCACACGACGCCTCCGATTCTGGCTGTAAAGGGAAATACGCAGTCAACCCCCCTGGGGAGGACGGCAAAGGCGGGGATCCACTCTCTGCTGAAGGAGATAGGGCTGTGAGCGCTGCGGCGACAGCCTCTTCATCTCGAAAGAGAGAATCTGCAGGTGTTTGTTCGCGGGAGTCTTCAGCGCGGAGATCCTCATACTGGTCCAGGTAATCGGCATTGAGGCATGTCGGATCCGAGGGAGTTGGTTGGCGTAACTCAGAGAGAGCAGTTTCAGGCTGCACGCTGCCTTCTGAGTCTGCAAGTTGTTCTGGACGACAATCTTGCGAGCAAGCGTCTTGTGAATTTGCTGGCTTGGGTGTGTCGTTTGGCGTGAGCGAAACATTAGAGTGCTCTTCTGCTAACTTGAAGGATTCTCCGAGTGTCCCATCGATCCCTCCATCCTCATACTCTATCTGCAAGCTCTGCTCTTTCTCACACTCTCTAGAGTCGTCATTCTCAGGTTCATTTGGGCTATCGAGTCCGGACTCGCATGGTCCCCCAGTATCAGGTGTGTGACCCAGCCGCAAACCCTCCTCTAGACTTGGACCACCGAAGTCCCCGTTTACTTCCCCATACTCATCCGTCCACATGTGTCCTGAGCCAGGAGGCTCTCCATCCCCGTGCATCCTAGCCACACCCAAACCATGCCACGGCGGAAGTTCGTGCCCATGTATGAGCCTCTGCAGCGCATCCAAGTCGATCGCGTGCGATCGACTTTTTGAGCTTCCTCTGGGTGCTGACTCAGTAGCTTTTAGCTCTCCTCCCAACTCTTTATGATGCGCCTCCGATGCAGGCAGCAGGACTTCTGGTTCTATTCCCGGCAAGTGCGGAGACGCTTCTGCATTGACTTCAAATGACCGCGACGGCTGATTCAACTCGCCGCAACGTCGATCCAAACACATACGCGGTGAGCCAACTGTTGCGCTTTGGTCCTGCAGCTCAAACGCAGAGACCGAGACTTCCTTCTCTACTCCTGGCCCTTCAAGTTGTACGTCAAGATGGGGAGATGCTTCTGCATTCGCACCAAGTAATTGTGACTCGCGAGAAGACGGATCAAAGCACATACGCGATGGATCAGCGATTGTACTTTGATTTTGCGTCTCAGACGTAGACAGCGGGACTCCCAGTATTCCAGGTTGCGCCTCCGGCGACGGGGTACCAATCTCGCCTGAAGATGTATTCGAACATGTACGCAATGAACCAGCAGCCGTACTTTGATCCCGGGTTTCTTCAGCGCTCTGCTCTTGGGAGTCCGTACTCTGGTTGCAACGCCCGTAATGTTCATAGCGTCGCATTTCACAGTCCACACACGGTCCCTCACAATCCATATCTCCACCGATATCCTGGTAAACCTGCGGGAGGATGTGGCACGACGCAGTCGCGTGCGCTTGTGCGAGTATAGAGGTGGGGGTTGGGGGCGGGCTCGCGAGGTGCATGTTAGCAGTGTGAGCAGAAGATGAAGGTGATGATGACGGTGGAGTAGGAGCGATAGGAGCGATTCTAGAGGCAGGGGATGGAACGTTATAGTTAGACGGGCCTGAAGTCGATGAAGTGGAAGGTAAGGCCAATGTAGGCGTGAAATGTGATGGAACAGGGTTGTATGTGGAGTCGAGTGAACGGAATGCAGATAGAATGGAGGTGCGTGCAGGTTTGTGGATTGGATCGGTAGACGGGGGTGTAATGGGGTTTAATAATGAGTTTGGGAAGGCGCGGAGTGACGTCGTGGCCACGTTTTTATCAGGATCATCCCGTCTTGGGTGTAGGGTTGTCCAAGACCTGGAGTTCGAGTCGTTCGCTCTGCTGAAACTTTCCTCGAGTGGGGTTTCAGGAGATGGGGTTGGCAGCGGCGACGAAATATCAGGCCCATTGATGGGGACTCTGGCGTGCAAGGTAGTAGGAGCCGCTGAGCGAGAGGAAACGTCGGCTATTTCAGGAGACGAGACATGGTTAAAAACACCAGGGGACATCGTAGAGTCCGGAGAAGCTCTAGCCTCTGTGCTCCCGGGTGAGCTGGAATCACGCTGAACATTGTCGATATATGTGAGCGAGCGAGCGAATGCTGTTGGGTGGGTTAGTTGGTTCGCTAGATCAGATGATTGTATGGACCAGATATATGCGGTAAAATAAACAAAAAGATGAGACATAGAAGATTCTATGTCTGTCCATGGATACTTGTTAGGGCGGGTAAGGAAGAGAAAGGTCTTTTGAAGTAATTAGGAAGGAAAACTTACCCGGAGCACGAAACGAGTTGTTGGCTGCGGGTATGTGTACAGGAGATCATCAGGCGAAATGATGATGAAGTGGTGTGCACACCAGCAGTGTGTGAATGAACGCCGTAATCGAAATGCATGAGGTGTTGAAAGACAACAAGGTAGCATTTATAATATCAGCATAAGATGATGATTAGGAAACGAGATACATACGTTTCGTGTTCCAACTAGCGGGGGCAAGTGTCTTAGGAGAACGCTGCACGGGAGGAAACCAGGGCCGGAATTCCAACAGACATGGTGGCGGCGCGGTGGCAGAAAGAGGTTCATCTGTACCCGTCGATGTGTCCAAGTATTCTAAAGCCTGGTGTATCAGCCCTCGTCATCAACCAATGATAAAAGACGCACCTTTTTGAAGTGGAGGAGATGGCGTACGTGCGGTGGTGCTTGCGTCGCAGCACACTGCAGGGTGACCTATTCAGTAAGGGAAAGATTTAAGTTAATCGGAACGTAAAGTCAAAACAAGGCTCACGGGAAGCTGTGTCCAACCTAGAGACATGTGCAAGTAAGTCGTTGATCGCGCCATCCATTGTCGCTAATCGACGGACCATACCCCCCTCCGATTGTAGCGTATCTAAATCCATATTTTCCCCCTTGTTTTTCTTTTTCCTCTTGCCGCGATTACCACAAAGTACACCTTCCAAAACATTAACGGTCGTGCCCAGTTCATTCAAGTCCTTTGAGATCTTTTTCTGCTCCTCGAGAGAGGCCTCCACGGATTGAAGAATTGCCTTGACATCTGCATATATATGCTGCAGTGAGATGTTGGATGTGATCGTTGTCTGCTGACAGATTGGTGACGCAGAGGCGGACGAAACAGACGTGGATGAGTTCGGTGCTGATATATAGCTTGATCCAGGAGCAGACTGAGAAGGTACCACTTGAAAGTTGTTAGAATAGTACTGCGTCCACGGGTTTGACATAGTAGTGGTCAGTTGGGATACGATATCATCAAAACGATCTAAATGATTGAAATAACTTGACTACGTACAATCGATGCCTACAAATGTAATAGAAGCTATCGCTATCTGATCAGAACTTCGAAGCCGCAAGCCTCACGTGACTCCTCTAACCAACCAGAGCCTTACTACTTTCATCTCAATCACTAACTTGGATGTCCGTGACGGTCCTGGATGGTGTGTGGAGTCTGGTCGGACCACAATTAGATCCTGGTTATGCATAAAAGTTGTCGTGCTGCACTTCGGATCTTCAAAGAGGCGCGGAAGTAGACAGGGAGTGAACATCATCAACAGCATGAATGAACCGACAATATCATTATTTTTGTTATGGAGATCGCTGCGGACTGGTATGACTAGCTTGAGCTCGGTGTCGTGAACAGTGATGAACACCATGAGAGGTGAGACCATGTGATATGACAACTGAGGCTGTTGTAACTTGTCGAGAATATACCAGAACAAGCAGTACCGGGCCCTACTAAGGAGTCTCACGGCGTCTAGTACTCCAAGGACTTGTCACTTGACTCTCACCATCACCATCTCCAGCTCTCGAATTTCTACCGTTGTGCATGTCCAACCTTAACGGGCTCCCTCTACTCAGCGGTCCTCCACCAGCGCCTTTCACAGATCGTGCGCATAACGCATGTAGGAAATGTAATAAGGAATTCATTATCATCTTTACACGCTCAACCCGCTGTAATCATTGTGGTCAGTTACACCTGCGAATACATCAGCGACTCTAATTCGATCGACGTGGCAGGCTACTTATATTGTGCGAGCTGCGCAGACTACCCGGCGCTCATGCCCCGCCGTGGCGCAGCATCTGGCTATGACCAAGTTCACGTTTGTGCATTCTGTATTGAGTTTCTTCAAAGTGCATCCCATGCTTTCTAGTACCAACGTCCTAATCTGATGTCTTGTATTCAGTAACAGCTTCTAATAGAAACCAGCTCAAGTCCCTGCCGCTCTCCAGCCTTCGCCGCTATGTCAACGCATACGGTATCTCCGTCAAAGGCCCTATCGATAAGAATGACCTCGTGGATGCCATCATCGCTGCAAAGGTGCTTTCCACTTCACCTTGGTCCATCATTTATCGCTGACTTCTCCCAGACACCAACAGGCACCCTCCCGCCCTCAAACGAGTCCCACTATCGTGCCCATGGGGTCCCCAAACACAATTCCTCGCGCCCTCGCGGGTTCTTTAGCACCCGTCCTCCACCCCCAACTCACCAACAAACGTCCACACCACCACCACCTGACTTCCCCCGTCCTGACCTTGACCCTGAGCCAGCACCATACAGAACGTATACCTCCAACTCCACAAGACAGCGGCAGACACCCCCTACACCTCCCCCGCCTCAGCCCTCTCCACCTCAACCACAGCCACGATTCAGGACGGCCTCGCAGCCACAAACGCCGCCTCGATCAGCGCCCCACTCCACTCCACGCCCGTCTCCAACGTCTACTGCTAGCACACCTCCCACACGTCCATCAACCGCACCTCGCTCACCGCCGCAGCCGTCCACGCCGCAGCCCCCGCCCCCACTTTCTGCTCTCCTTGCGATGTCCACGTCGTCCCTCTCGCGATTACCCATTCACACGCTGAAGCAGATATTGTATGAGGCACGTGTGCGTTTGCCCGCTGACCTCCTTGAGAAGGCGGAACTCGTGGGGCGCGTTAGTGCCTGGTTGGAGGAGGAGAGAACGGCAGCTGAGGAAAGAGATATCATGGAAAGGGAGGAGAGGGAACAAGAAGAGAGGGAAAGACGAGAGAGGGAAGAACAAGAAGAGAGGGAGAGGGCTGAGGCGGCAAGGTTAGTCATGGAGACAGAGCTAGCCGAGTCAGAAGACGCCCACATACATGGCTCTGCTGAGAATGCCCAGATACATGACGAGTCGCAGCAACATCCTCCACCATCTTCCTCCTCTCCACCACCGTCACTACCTAGGACGACGCTTGCAGAGCGTTCTGGTTTATGTGTGATATGTCAAGACCAGGAAGCAAATATCGCAATCGTGGATTGCGGGTGAGTGCCCCAAGCTTTGTGCTCGCACACACGGCCTTTCACTGACTCATGCCAACAGACACCTAGCGATGTGTCGTGCCTGCTCTGATCTAGTACTCGCCTCATCTCGCGAGTGTCCGCTCTGTCGCACCCGGATCGTCACGGAAGCACGACTTTTACGGATATTCAAGACATAGGCCTACTTTCAAAGTTGCAGATCGAGAACTTTGACTTTTGCTATCACCATGCCCAACCATGGTGTGCTAGATATGCAGATGTCATACTGTATTTTTTGTGCGCACGTAAGATATAGCGATAGGTACCAAGTGGAACTTGGGAACTTGAGCTTGTCTTGGATGTAACTAATAATCTAACGTTATTGACCCATCTCGTGATGAGTTGTAAGATAGGCTTCAAGCAGTTTCGGTACACATCACGTGCTATGCGTGACAAAAGCAATGAATGTATATAGGATGTTCGTAATATAAAAACAGAAACGGAAGAGTTGTAGTGTATGTACTTCTCGACGAGTCGTCCATTTCAGAATTACCATTTGTGCAAAATTAAAGGAGGAGATAGCAACACAAGCAAGATGCAAGGTACATTCCCGGTGTGATCACAAGTAAAGTCACAGCAAGTCACATCTTGCTTGTGTTGCCATCTCCTCCTTCAATTTTGCACAAATGGTAATTCTGAAATGGACGACTCGTCGAGAAGTACATACACTACAACTCTTCCGTTTCTCTTTTTTTATATCTTGTCGCTACGAACATCCTATATACATTCATTGCTTTTGTCACGCATAGCACGTGATGTGTACCGAAACTGCTTGAAGCCTATCTTACCTGGGTTCGGGGGACGAGCGCTAGCGCTTGGGCCTTCCTAGTACCATGTGGAAGATGAACGCACCCGGGCATCGTTAGCAAGCTCAGACTTGGTTCCGATAGGCCCGAGACAAAGGCTATCACGATGAACATAGTTCGCCTTGAGTTATCCTTTTCTGGTTGTGCTACACCCATTTCCTTCACGACCATGCAGCCTGAATGACCTCAGGGTGGCGAGCAACCTGAACGCACGTGTTCGAATTCCTGCTATGAAACAACGCTGTTTCGTGGCTCACTTCGACTCCCCAAATGCCACTGCTTCTACTTTCAAGCGGTCGATCACACTAGCCCGCGCTGTTTTCGACCTCGGAAATTATATTCTGCCACAGTATACATCCGAGTTCACGAGATAATTCTACGAACTTTGCATGCACTACCCTACCGGCCTACATCGCACTGCCGCGTGCCTCTGAGATTTGGCTACTGAGCATCTTTCCGTATGTAGCGTTTCTTTCCTTTTTCTGGAATACCCGAGCGAAATGAAGATCACAATGTGCACAAGATTTTCTTCACTCCAGAACAACGAAATATATTGTATGGGATGCTACCGTATATATAACCTGTGTATCCCGCTACTCACTTGCTTCCCTTTCCTCACTCCTCTATCTTTGTCGGTTCGATCTTCTCTTCGTCACGTCTTTCAACATGTTAACTTATCTCTTTCTCGCAGTATGTTAGCTTTCCTTTATTAACACTTTGTAACGATGCAGATTTGAGAAATCTACACAACATTCAACTCTCTGAACAGGCCTGCGACGCGCTCACTGCGAACATCCACCGGCAGCCTGATCTGCATGACTCCAGTAACCCAACACTATCGTATTCACGCCATTCCAAAAAATTCAACAGCGACTCAGCCTTATCGCAACGCCGCCACGTCACTCAAAATTCAGTGACACAATCCACAGTCAATCATGACACCAGCGCCGTGATTCCCAACGTTTTGAAGGCGCCGCCCAATAAACACGATACACTGCGTCTTGGGGTCTTTCATTGTTAATGCCGTGAGGGTTTCTGGAGTTTATTAGTCTCCCCTAGTCAGACCAAAAGATAAGGACAGTCGTTCCTTCTATAAAACTTTGTTGGCTCTGGGTTTGAAGTTGATCGAAGGAACCGAGTAGGCCCCACGGACCAAATCTGAGCACGGGGGTACGCGGTGATCTAATTCTTCATGAATATATCTCAGAATGATGCTCAATACCCACCAGGCCATCGCAAACGTGAACGATCACCCAATTCAATAGGGGACAGCCTCACCGAGAAGTTTGTCTCGGGCATTAAGCGACAGAGGACGTACGACTGGAAGGCTAGCATCAAACAATGGATCGTAGAGTCAACCAAGGCCTCACCCTCAGTAGACTCGAATCTTCCGCCTGATCACTATACATACACATCATTCGTGACACCCCCTGAAAAATGTTAGGACCGCGCCCACCTGGCCACGAACACACATAACGCGTCTATCTTGTATATACTTCCCTGCCTTCCTCATCTCCCTTGACGTCGACACGCCCTCCTCCCTACTGGATACACCTTGTCGAAGAACTGCTGGATTGACAAACCTGTCGAGTTTATTGTTTTTGACAATGCACGTGCCGGTCTCCCGGCGAGCGTTCTGTTATAAGCGGCATGCCTACTACCCGTATGTGCGATGAGGTGCTTGACTAGCTCGCTGATTCTGCTTTTGACCTCGGGGCGCCCTCTGCCATTCCACCGCTGGAGCCCGAACTATTAAATTTTATGGTAGACGACACCCTTATTCGAATTTGTCCGAAGCACTATGAGTATAGTATCCGAGTCCGATGTAGTATTTCCCAGCCTGTACTAGTGGATCCGACTTATGACACTGATGGTCTGGATGAACCTCTTGACGACCATTCTCCTGGCATTTACCCCTGGTGGCCCTCTTTGTACACAAGCCATGCCCGGCCCCCAGACCACCGACCCCTCATGCGTTTGGCAAACGTGTGGGGCAGAGAAGGCGTGCGCGCAAGAATATATAGCGGACAGCAGAAATTGTTATACAAACGGCAGGGAATTGTATCAGGTCTGTTGCACACGAACGACCTGCGGTCTGCCGGTATGTCAGCGACGAAACTCTATCAGAACACGTACTGAGCGCAAAATAGAAATGAAAATGAACGCTACTGTGGAAAGGTAGCCAAATCTCAGAAGCGCGCAGTGCGGTTCAGGCCGGTGTATCGGGGTAGCACGTGCTAAGTTCAGTCTGCGTACGGAAGCTCCTGTCCGTATAAATGAGAAACGTCAGCTTGTGAACAGTATATTGCGTATATCTGAATGGCTGACTATGACTCATGCGGTCGAATTTTGGAACCCCGTGAGTGAGCATGGGTGTCGGACCTCTGTGGTAAAGACGCTGCTACCTTTGATCAACCTTGGTGTTGGCCGCCATCAACAATAGACCATGGACGACCTGGTCACGAGTCCGGCCATCGACCCTGCTATGATCCGTCCAGGGACGCCTCGGCCTGGCTTGCCTGAGCTTGCTGTCATCAACCACGCGCTAACTCTCAGCAAATCTGAAACATGCTCCAGCGGCTTATCCGCCTTTGCAGTACCAGACAAATTATGACGTGCTGCCCGACCTCCGCCATTGTGAACTTGACCTCATCTTCCGGAGTACGTGGGAATATCCAGTCCTGCGAGGTCCTGCGCCAACTGCATACTGGAAGCCGCTAAACATCGGCTATAGCTAAGGTCACGCATCGTCAAACGTCAGAAAATTTAGAGTGAGTTTGAGGTCAACCCTTACCTGTAAGTTACGGTGGAATGATCACGATGGAAGATGCCACCATTGAGGTTTCCCTAGTCGCTCATATCTTGCACCAGCTGCAGGACAATCCTACCTGCTAACCTGTAAAACTGGGAATGTGAATGCAGGTGCGAATGTATGTCTGCAGTCTAATCAGCAACAGGTGTTCAACGTTCAACGCCGGCAGGCGTCAAACATATCGGTGACAAACTCTATGTGAGGCAAGGGCATAGGGATAGTCTGCCTTGATGAAAAAGGCAAACTGCACTTGCCTACATGTTCTCATGATGCTAAGAATGTTGTCAATCGACTAGGGGAAAGCCACAATAGGTATCAGGGGATACTGTGATTGAGACGGTACAAAGTCACAAGTATGCAATCTTTACTTCCGACCGGCTCTCCATTCTCCAGTCGCATACAGAGCTTGCTTACCAGCGAACACGGTTGGAATGGCAAGGATGCCTCCGTACAGAAGGACCTGACCAAGCTTGAGATCCACCCAGTACCAGACAAGTAGCACTTCAAAGGCGCCGAGGAGGGCAGTGAAGGGCACGATGCTAAGTGAAAAGAGCTTCGGGACCCTGACGCCAATTTTACTCCACTTTATAACAAAGCTCGTCAGCTAAGGATTAATTTAATAGAGAAGAAACACACCAATCCGATTAACACGAGCCAAGGCGACAGTACAAGCCGCTGCAGATACGGCAGAGATAAACTGAGGAGGTGACTTCTGTTCAGGGCGGAAGGTATGCTTGATGGCGGGGAGGACGTGGAATGAGGCTTCATCGGGGTGTTCAGCGGGAGTCTGGGAGGCAGGTATGTAAAGGTCAAAAAGGTCGTATTGTGCAGGCGCGTGTACGAAGGAGCCCAGGATAAGCGAGACCTCAAGGGGGTTGTGCGTAGTTGGCGGAATGGACGCAGGTGGGCGCATCATGTTCTAACGTAGCGATTAAGTCTAACGCTTTTTGAAACAGTAAAAGTGTAACGCACCAGCTCAAATTTAGCCTTTCCTCCTGGGGTTACGCGAACAGGCTGAATGCCCTCCTCGCCCGACTCCTTGTCATAGAATCGGAGGAAGGTCTGGTGCGGTTGGACACCTTTGCCCTCGTCACTCTCCGTTATTTGGAACGTAAGCTTAAGGGTGTCAGTTGCGCCGAGAGTCAAAGGCTCTGGTTTTTTGGTCAGGGACAGGCTGTATGGCATATGAGTTATACTATGGCAGGAATGTGATTAGTGCATACGTGTCCGAGCGCAGCTGGGTCGCATCTGATGCGCTAATTGTGAAACGAGGAGACTGAAGGGACAGAGAGGCCGCTTGGACAGTTGCTGCAAGAAGCAGCCAAGAGAATTGCCATATCATGGTTTTGGTTAAGGTGTCAATGTGTTGTAGTCCCAGTTTGGGTGACGTGTCTTAGCGCGTCGACAGACTGTCTTCAAGCTCAGCTAAAAGCTTATATAGCAGCTACAACAACTCAGCTGGTTCGTTGATTTGAAGCGAATCGTCCGGTACTGCTTTAAGTTCCACAATAAAAACAATTTATTCTCTTTGGAGTCCGTTGCACGCTTCGAAATAGTGTAGTGCAAAAAAAGACCCCACCGTGGTTCGAACACGGGACCGCACGATCTGCAATCGTATGCTCTACCACTGAGCTATAGAGTCGATGTTGCCACTAGCTCACCTAAGAGATTTATTCTCCCAGACTTACATAATACTGACCCATCAACACAAGGACGCGTCACCGCGTCATTAACTATCCTTTGCATCATGCCCGACGTCGAGATGGTGAAGACTACTGACAAGAAGGAAGACCTGAAGGACGAAAAGAAAGATGAAAAGAAGCCAGAACCAAGCCAGAACCGCCGACGCCGACGCAGGAGATTAAGGCTAACATCGCGCTCATTGATCGCGCTATCAATGACCTCGAAACTCGGTTCACTCATCGCGTCTTACGTTCACTAACTGCGCTGCGAAAGCGCATAAATGACAAGGTTCTGCGTGACGCTATCGAGGAAAATTATCCAAAAGGTGTGTGATGCATTCACACCTTCTGTCTGCATGCTCAATGTTGTGCAGATTCTGCTGTCAAGAATTCTCTTCTATCATGGCTTCCTCCTGCTCCTCCCGCAGAACAGTCTATGGAAGTAGATATAACAACAGAGGCAAATGCTACTGCTCCTCTGCCACCATCATCGAAGCCAACTTCTGATCCTGTACCGGAAGCTGAGATTTACATCCGTCTGCTCATCATTCATCACCTCCACACGTCCAAAGACACATACTCCAAGTCCATAGAGCTTTCTCACGACACTGTTGACAAAATGCAGTCCATGAACCGTAGAAGTATGGATCCAATCGCTGCCAAGGTATGGTTTGCCGTGGAGCGATCGTATGAGCTCGGCGGAGAGCTGGCAGATGCCCGTCCGTGAGTTCAGATCCATGCAATTTTGGCATACTCCTAACTTATTAATTTCCCAGAATGTTCCTCGCTGCGCAACGCACTGCGTCACTTCGTCACGACGATGACACGCAAGCCTCGCTGATCAATCGCCTACTTCGGGGTTATCTCCACTATAACCTTTATGACCAGGCTGACAAGCTAGTATCCAAGACTAGTTTCCCTGCCTCAGCGAGCAACCCGCAGTATGCCCGCTACCACTATTTCCTCGGCCGCATCAAAGCGGTGCAATTGAATTATACTGCGGCACACACGAACCTGCAACAAGCTATCCGTCGCGCCCCTGCCGCAAAGACCGCACCAGGATTCTACCAGGCCGTGCACAAACTTTTTGTGATCGTTGAACTTTTAATGGGTGATATTCCGGACCGCGGTCTTTTCCGGCATCCGGTGTTAGAGAAAGCCCTGAGTGCTTACTTTGACATCGTGAAGGGTAGGAAAATTTACTGCTGTCCAAAGCAATGCTAATGCTGACACGTTCCCCTAGCCGTTCGGACAGGCTCCTTATCGGAGTTCCAGTCGACTTTAAACAAACACGCCGCACAATTCGAGGCTGACAAGACTTATACACTAATCGTCCGGCTCCGGCAAAACGTTATCAAGACCGGTATCCGCAGGCTCTCTCTATCATACTCGAGGATCTCGTTGCGTGACATCTGCTTGAAACTCCACCTCGATTCCGAGGAAGACGCGGAGTATATTGTTGGTAAGGCCATTCGGGACGGTGTGATTGAAGGCCGAATCGTACATGAGAAAGGTTGGATGGAATGCGGAAGCCAGAAGGATGGCTACGGCCCCGAGGCTAGCGAGGTGTTTGGCAGACGAATTGGATATTGCTTGGATTTGCATAATGAGAGTGTCAAGGTAAAGTTTTTTCCATTGGAAATTTTCACATCAGGCATTTCTCATGCTTGGATCTTGCAGGCTATGCGCTACCCTCTTAATGCACACCGCAAGGAGCTTGCTGCTGCGCAGGATGCACGGGAGCGCGAGAAAGAGCTTGCAAAGGAAATCCAAGAGGGAGACTTAGATGACGATGAGAGTCTTGGAGATTACTGAGAATTTCTTTCTCCTTGTAGAAATAATGCAATGCACTTCACTGACTTGTTGGAGCTTTGGAGCGGCTCCCTAGCAAGTATTTCTTGAACATAAGTTGCACTCCAGACTCCCCGGCAATTTGGGATGCCGAAATTCCTGACTGATATTAACTCCGCCATGGTTTCAATCTCCGTGGCACATCGGAGCTTCACAATGAACGAGACCATTACTTTGTATGTTGTTCCGTTTGGCGAACTCGGACTAGTGGGCATCTGTAGGCTGTAGCTGTTTAAAATTTTTCATTGCTCTTTCCTCGTAACAGCGTAACCGTGGTGCCATGTCAATTGTGAGGCGTGTATGGCAGCGAATATTCAAGCCAGTATGTGATGGACCGGGCCAGAGTGTGATCTACATTCCAGTACTAACGGTTCCCTATAGGCATATTTCGTTGGAAAAGACATGGAAGGTACGTTCCGGCCGTGATACAAATCCCCGTCCTGTGTCTCTTGATCCGATATTCTAGGGAACAAATACTTTGAGCATCCAAACGCGAACAATGGTACGATTGTAATGGAACCTCTGTTAAGCACTTATGGTGTAACTTTTTATGTATGAAGGACGTTCCAAACGAACAGTGAAGTACAGGGAAAATGAAGACATGTGGGCGTACATTGCTAGCGACAAGCGCCTCCCAGGTTTGTACCTTCATCGTTACGTTCTTGTTTCTGATTTTACCTTCAACTTTTACTCATTCTCATCATGTATTTATTGTGTGCAGTGCAATGGTCAGCATGGCTGACGCATACTAGGCCGGATCCGCCGAGCATTGAGGTGAGGTACACCAATTTAACGTGATACCTATACTAAAATTTTACGTGAATTTTTATATATCATCTCACAGGAATTACAAGCGGATCTAGCACGTCAACAACGGGTTAAGTTGAATGCAGCTATTCTAGAAGCGAAGGACGAAGCGGAAAGAGTTAATAGGGAGCAACTAGATACACCCAGCCACCACCCTGAAATTGAGACACGGTCTCCGTCGGTCTTGCGGAACGTGCCTAGGGATCAAAGACTGGAACCTCCAGAATCCGATCAACGACCAAAAGCGCAAACACGGGATCCTTGGGCAGAGGCATTGAAAGGCTCCGATGAACCTCGATCATGGACGCCTATGGCTCGGAAAAGATAACACGCTTGTTTTTGGTATATGGTATGGTTCAAGGTTCCATTTCTAAGGTTTGAGACATAGTGGCAGGAGTCTTGCCAGTGAGCTAACCGCCTCGTTTCCAGATATTAATTTCAACCGAACCAGATTCACGTTGCCTGCTCTGCCTCGTTCTTGTTTTATTTTCTAGCGGTCGAACCAGGACTTTTTATATCACGCGTTCCTCAGAGCCTGTTGTACGCAAAGTTCAAGTATGTCATATCACAGGGAGAAGCATGCTCCTGCTGTGAAGTTCACCTGGACCTTTCTATCTACATGCATGATTCTATCATCAAAAGCACAACGCAAGTTCAGAGCTGAAAAATCCGCCTGTTGTCCTGTCTTTTAGGCGGAGGAAATCCACATTTTGGTGTGTGCGCTTTCTGCTATGAAATGGGTCTTGCAGGCCTGTAATGACATCGGCCCATATTTATGATAACATTGTGGAGCTTTGTGCATCAATGTGTTGTCTGGCGCAGGTGACATAAGGACTCTTGCCAACTTGCCTAATGTCTCTGCGTGAGAGGACTCGGTCAGTCATTGGCGGACATCACCCATTCTTAGATTGTCAAATTCCTTGTCTTTTGATCCCTCTTCCACGAGATATGAGTAGTAGGTTTCCAGTCTTGGCTTTTCCTTCATGCTAGAGAAAGAGTGAATTCCTATGTTTATATACCGCAGCAAACAACGGAAACTGTCAAGACGGCGGTAGTCTGCGAGCTGTCCTCAGGCTGGGGAATGGCGTACGATATAAGGGGAATAGGTATAGCATTTCTTTCATACTAGACTTTGAGTGAGAAGCTTGTCCATCTATAATTCGAACCCCTGATTGGTCAAACGAAAAGACAGGAACATACTGGAAAGTCAATATTCGGTGAGTCTGAAGAAGAACCTTCAACTTGCCGTAGGCCTCCGCAACTGGTTGATTGTGCTAAAGAACCCGTGCCACTTCTGCCTAGTGACAGGTGCATGGTAGAACGCCACACCAGGCGTGCTCCACAGCCCTCAAACTTAAGTTTCAAGGCTCGTTGAGAGGCAACTCCGTATACAGAACAAGTGTTGGCACTGCATACTGTATTGACATTAAAGCTGACACATGTATCATGGCTATCATGCTGAGAGAGAAAGTATTGTCTTTATGAAAACATAAGTTTGACATATGACATGAGTGAGTGCATCAGAGAGTTCGTGAGTCTACTCAGGGTGCTTTACGTTGATTGCGGTGGTTTTCTGACATTATACATTACTTTATATTCCAATATAACGAAAACCTTTCCCAAATACCAGTCTTTCATGGCGCAAAAATGCAACAAGTTGGAATATTGGAAATGGTATATAACTAGTATTGTAGGAGGCAAGACTTTATTATGCATCACTTGCCAGCGCGAGGGTAATTGGCTGGCTTGGGCTTGTCTTTCGGAGGTGGTTTGTTAGTCTTACGAGGCCTTCGGTAACAATTTGTTATTATGGGACTGGATTGCTTGATAATATTTGAACGTACTCGGAGATCTTTTGATTGCTCTGGTCTTTCTTGTTGTTTTTTGGTACGCCAGAGCTATCGGCTTTCTGCTTTCCACGCTCAGAAAACCTGCCCGTCAGGTGTGAGATCCTGGGCGCCCCTTGTGAAAATGTGTATTAAAATGAACGAACCCATGTGAAGGACCCTGGATTAATTGATCTCGAATGAGATGATCGAGCAGTTCGGATTCGAGCTTGTTATATTATCTGACACAGGAAGAGCCACCTGATGGAATAGCACTGGTATTTGCACCCGTGAGCGTGGCGCTCTCTGTCTACCACAACGCGAGCGTTCATTGGCCCGTTATAAAGTCATGTGTATAAACTGATTCACAGCCGTAAGTACTTGCTGTGGGGAATAACTAATAGGGGGTAAGTGCCTTGACATGACAAAACGCTCGACTATGTACTGTGTATAAAGTGTCTTACAGGAGCACAACGAAATCACCGAAGTGGCAATCCACCGGTGATTTAGCTATAGTAGCCCGTGTCTAGAAGAGGCTGGTTGCACTGGCACTGGGTCGGATGATTTCGCGAATTGCTCAGTGTGTGCAGTAGTCAAATCATTGATGTTTTCCCAAGGATCCATGGGTAGCTATCAAACAATGTCAAGGAGGAAGCCACGCATATACAAAGCCCGCGGTACGTCACAAACGATGCGAAGTGCCCTGAGACATTTTTCTCAGGCTGTGAGGCTCGAGCGCCTAGCGCTCTATATATAATAACCCGTGTAAGTACCGACATTCGAACACTCTGGAGCTTCGACTTGGTATCAACTTCTACTAGGGTGTTCTTAAAAGTTAGGATGTCTGGTCTCGATGCTATGCGAGCAAATGTTTGGTGATTCCTGAAGGCAATTTTGTGCTGTTGCATTCCACTGGACCGGCTATGAACGTTTGAACGTTAACTCTGGAGGACGAACATTGCATAGCGCTAAGTGCATGTAAAATGAATTTACTTGAGGAACATGTGAAGTTTTGAATACCAGTACCAATCAACGTGCCACCAGTATTTTCTTGTGTACATTTGAGGTAACCAAAATACATGCGCTAGTGTTACATCTGACGTACAGGAGTCATAGTAGTCACACCACGAATGATGAACCAAACCATCCCTTACCTTCGTCCTGATGGGGCTGGTGAATAATGTGAAGGAGGAAACTGAGCTGGGGGTACTGCGCTGGGGGACGCTGTGTGCAGGCCTGCTCCAGTCCTCAAACTTCAAGGCTCATTGAGAGGAAACTCCATATACAGAACATGTGTTGGCACTGCATACTGTGACATTAAAGCTGACATGTCACGGTATCATGGCTATGAGAGAAAGTGTTATCTTTATGAAAACATAGGTCCGACATATGGCATATTGGACTCCGAACATTGCATATCGTAGCGGTGCGTGCGCACCAAGTCCCCGACTCCCGCTTTCGATCATTTTCTCATTGATGATCCCTGTCTACTTGTCATCCTCTATGTATTTACCTCAAATTCTACTCCGTCCTCCCTCCCTCAGTCTAGTAATTCTTGTATTAACACTGGTCCCCTGTGCCGTTTGTTCGCATTATACATACGCGTTTTTCCTTCCATGATTCGTGGGGGCGGTGCTAGCATCCTTATGGCCGTGATATCTGCTGTATGTGTTCATTCTCCCGCCCATGTTGTGGCTCAGTGTGAAGTACACCTGAGCCAGCGCGCCTTTGAGGTGTTGACCGGTGGAGTTGTCGTACCTCCTGTGTGCCGGCCACTCCCCAATGTTGTTATCTTCTGATACATTAGTCTGTCCTCGCTGTTTGTTCTTGTCAACATGCAATCTTCTCCATCTTTCGTGCTCTCTCGCCTTGATAAACTTATAATTAGTATGTTCAAATTTTAGTCTGAGCATTCTGCCCTCGCTCAAGAATCCTTCTGCAGCTTGCTGTTGCAGTAACTCCAGATTGTTCATTGTGACTTAAGGCAACCGCAACTTCAATACCGTACAAGTTGGTCAACTGGGGGCAATGCGAGTGGCTCCGAGTCGTGTGTTCAAAGTCCCTTGAAGATGAGAGGAGACAGACGCCCATTTGAGGTGCTGATGAAATCACACTGCGTACCCGAGTAAAATGTCGAACTAAGGCAACCTAGGCGCCAGGCAATATTTTGCAGGACTGCAGCACCCACATCACTTAGATTTTCTCGATAGATGTTAACAGCGTGCGAGAATCAAGGTGGATCACGCCCGAGATTTAAAAGAAGGCAACACTCCATAGTCATGGCTGCGCGACAGTGCACATAGCATCTGAAGACACTGCAATGTGCATAAGTGACATCAAGTGCGCAAGTATTCACCAAGGGTGTTTTGTACAAAAATGCTGCCATAGTAAGGAGAAGACGAGGAGCACCTGCACAAGCTGTCAGAAACACGCAGAACTCAGACATGAGCAACATACCTACTTACCGCAGGAGCGAGAGCATAACACACAACGTCCACGTATGAAGGAAGAGACTCAGTTCTGAGGGGATTCAAATACGGCGAGCCTCGAGGTGGGACCTTGAAGGCTTGAAAGCCGGAACGTTGGCGAACAAAGGACGGTTGAGCATAAAAGGAAGGAAGTTCACACTGTGTAAAATCGAGCAACAGGTGCCTGACTTTTCAGATCCTACAAAACCCTCCCTACTTCGTAGAGTCGGGGATCTACATAAGAATTGACGATAACAGAACCCCCAGATACCAGTCTTTCATGGCGCAAAAATGCAACAAGTTGGAATATTTGTAATGGTATATAAGTCCTAGTACTGTGGAAGACAAGTCATCGATGCATCACTTGCTAGTGCCAGAGTAATTGGCTGGCTTGGGCTTGTCTTTCGGAGGTGGTTTGTTAGTCTTACGAGGCCTTCGGTAACAATTTGTTATTATGGGACTGGATTGCTTATAATATTTGAACGTACTCGGCGGTCTGTTGAAGAGTCTGGTATTTCTTGGCTGCATCTGGGCCAGCACTATCGGCGTCAGGCTTTCCACGCTTAGAAAAACTGTCCGTCAGGTGTGAGATCCTGGGCGCAGCTTGTGAAGATATGTGTTAAATGAACGAACCCAATTGAAGGACCCTGGATTGATTCCTCTGGTTCTGGACTACGCTCTTCCTCTGATGAGAAATCAGGGTCATCCGAGTCGACATCTGTGTTGGCTCGAAAGCTGGAGGAAATGAATGATGGAATAATGCATACTAGAAGTGGATAATCTTACCCTTGATCTTGAACGAGAAGATCTTCTGTGCCAACTGGGTAGGAAGTCATTGATATTGATGATCGAACAGGAGTCGAATCCAAGCGTATTATATGGCAGAAGATGTATCTGACACAGGAAGAGCGATCTGGTGGAATAGCACTGGTATTTGCACTATGGGCATAGAAGGCGTTCTTTGTCTACCACAGCGCGAACCTTCATTTGAAGTCCTGTGTCAACGAGCTCACTGCCGTTACTACTTGCTGTGGGGAATAACCAATAGTCTGGAGTAAGTGCCCTGACATGTCAAAAAGCTCGAATACGTACTGTGTAAGTGTTTTACAGTTACGTCCCTTGAGTACGACAAAATCACCCGCACTAACTCAGAAGTGACAACTTGAATCCACCAGTGATTTAGCCATAGCAAGCCTGAGTCTAGAAAAGTCTGGTCGTACTGGGGATCATTCTCACGAATTGTGCAGTGTGCAGTAGTCAAATCATTGATGTTTTCCCAAGGGTGAATAAATACCAGACAGTGAGAGGAAAAACCTTCCGATACATGCAAAGCCTGCGGTATGTGTGTGAACTTCATGCACATGCCCGTTGCATGCCTGAACTTGCATATGAAAGAGTTTTTGAAAAATTCGGCTTGGTTTACCGGAACCCTTTGCATCTAGATTAGGCAAAGTGAATGTGATACTTTGACCGCATTTGGCCGGTTAAGACAGCGGCCGCGGCAGTTTCATATTGCACTGCCGCAGTCTGCCAGATCTTCGGAAGTTGCAGCGCTTTCCAGTTCTGACCCAGGGTCCTGTGAGGCTCGAACCCGCCCTGTAACTCGCTCTATATATAATAAGTATTAATAACCCGTGTAAGTACCGAGCTTCGACAGGTATCAACTTCTACTGGGGTGTTCTTAGAAGTTAGGATGTCTGATCTCGATGCTATGTTTGGTGATTCCTGAAGGCGATTTTGTGCTGTTACACTTCACTAGACCAGCTATGAACTCTGGAAGATCAACACTGCATAGTGCAAAGTAGATGTGAAATGAATTTCCTTGAGGAACACATGAAGTTTTGAATACCAGCACCAATCAACGTGTCACCTTGTAAACATTTGAGATAACCAAAATACATGCGCTAATCTTACATCTGATATACAGGAGTTGGCATAGCAGTCACACTACGAATAATGAACCAAACCATCCCTCACCTTCGCCCTGGTGGGGCTGGTGGGTAATGTGCAGGAGGAAACTGAGCTGGGGGGGTGCTGTGCGGGGGCATACTGTGCGGGGCATACTGTGCGTGGGGACGTTGCGCGGGAGCATGTTGGGCAGGGAGCGTACTGTGCGTGGGGACGTTGCGCGGGAGCATGTTTGCTGCGCAGGAGCATGTTGTTGCGCAGGAGCATACTGTGCATGGGGACGTTGCGCGGGAGCATGTTGTTGGGCAGGAGCGTACTGTGCGTGGGGACGTTGCGCGGGAGCATGCTGTTGCGCAGGAGCATGTTGTTGCGCAGGAGCGTACTGTGCGTGGGGACGTTGCGCGGGAGCATGTTGTTGCGCAGGAGCATGTTGTTGCGCAGGAGCATACTGTGCATGGGGACGTTGCGCGGGAGCATGTTGTTGCGCAGGAGCGTACTGTGCATGGGGACGTTGCGCGGGAGTATGTTGCGCAGGAGCGTACTGCGCAGGTGAATAGTGTGCAGGATTGGCTTGGTGAGATGGCTGTCGACTACACAGCCTTTCAACGTGCGGTGTTGTATGATTGGCCTGAAGCAAACGTACCTGGAACCTTGATGTTGAGTAGGAGAATCTGACCAGCTGCTTGGCTGCTTTTGTGCCTGCGGCATTTGTCTTGGATGCTCATCCTGCCTTTTGTCGGATTTCCTGAGATAGCTTGGATGACATATTAATGAAATGTGGGGTTGAAACTAAATACCGTTGTGGGTTAACGTGCTTGCGATCTTCTGAGTTGGGGAACGACATAGTAGCAGATCAGTTGAATCCCTAGTAGGCGACGGTACTAGGCGATGAAGAAAAGAAATCAAATGCACAAGTACGGCTTTTATGAGGCTAGGGCAGAAGAAGTCTGCGATAACGGTTAACTCTTTATCAGCCTTTGCTAGCCATTAATGGGCCCATATATGACAGATGAAGCTTGTTGGCCCTTCATCAGCGTCTGATAAGCCGATCAGGTGATGGGCGCGCCTGCCAAGTCCAACAAACTTCATCCGCCAAGTTCTCATAGTATATATGGGAGGCGCCAGAGCCCATCATGATGACGCTCCCCCGTTATTGTTCTTACTATTTCATCAGTTACGCCTGTGATATTTTCAAGCGAGTGACACCTCACTTGAAATGATTTTTGCCCGATAGGCCTAGCTTGAGCGGCCTGTTTCACTCGAAGTATCACTACTGATCTGAGGGTGGTAGGACATACCTATTTTGTGGACTGTGATGGCATTGCCGTATCCCCTTTGCGATTTCGTGACACCCCGACGGCCAGACACGCACAATATCCTCAGGAGGTAGTTATGTCGGGATACTTCGAGCTGTGCTGCACAGCTGCTGTCGGCTGTTCGGGACAATGAATTCGAACCTGTGAAAACTTGAAGTACACTGGTTTGACAACCTTAGTGACATGCTGTGACATGATGCTATTATTACATGTTGACCCGCGGCCGGGGTCTCGCAGATCTCAATCTGAGACAGGATCCGTGACGTTGCCGCATATTACCCATAATAGCTGTAACTAGAAGCCTGGGGCGCTTCCAGATGTTGTTCTACACCACAACACGTCGATGGGCTTGTCGCACAGCAATTTGACCTTTTCCTTTATAAATTCAGCCAACCATGTCTCGATGCGTTAATATTCGGCATGAGTCAACACACTCAAACAAGATGTGGAGAGCAATTGTCCATCATGCATTGGACAGCGGGGATGCTGAGACCCACAACGTCAATGGCTACTGCACGGTATGGCAAGTCGCCCAGGTAAGTTTGCGCAGCTGGTCAAAGCTCATACACGCACTGACATTGTTTTTTTTAGTATCTATTCTTATCATACCGTCATACCGCCAGGATCCCTTAGCGCTCCCAGGTCAGTTGATTCTTGTCGCTTAGCGTCCATTTGTACTAAAATGAATATCCCTGTGAAGTTCTCTCGACGTTCAAATGAAATGGAACTCATATCCACACCCTGAAGGCCAGCTGTACTTCCACAAAAGACATCCCAACTACGACGTTGTTACAGAAGCCAATATCCGTAGGCAAGAGACCGAGGATCGGGTGACCGGCTGCCTCAAGTTTATCGATGACACAATCTTGCAGCAGCAAATTATAGTCCCGCATTCGTCGGAGCTATTCATAGAGCTTGATGAATCACCATTCTCTTGTGCCTACTACTTCGTAAATCATGATGCCCGCCGTATCTTCTGGCTTGAGCAAACTTCCACGGAACTGCTTGACGTGGGGACGATAGTCTCCGACTCTCATCTTGGTGTGTATCTGCATGGTTCTCCGTCGTTTATACTCACATGTCAGCAGACACCGCTTTAGAGAGGCTATATTGGGTGCATGTGGAATTCTTCCCAATGCACATGTATGCACAGGTGTCACCCCAGGTGGTAGACGATCTAATCGGCGTTATGTCTCATGGTGCAGCAGGTATTTACTGCCTTGTCAATCATTTTCATATTCTGAGCTGCGACTAAAGACCGTTTGACATCTCGATCATCCACATTTCCGTACACTGCGGAAAAATGTAGTCAGCTGCTGCAGTTACTGTCCCTGCAACGAGGTACGTCCAAGACATTGAGCGCCCAATCTCCTGACCAAAGCTTCCCGCAAAGGTCGAACCCTTGATGGACACACGTTGTGCTTTGTTGGTGGGTGGGAAACCCCATTTTTTCTCCTGAATCGAGCTCACGAATACTCTAGCTCGTCTATGGGGCGCAATAGGTTCGTTGGATGCTCAAATCGTCTTGTCAAATATACTGAGGAGCATGGTAGAAAATCAGCGGTTTATGACTTACTATGGGCAAGAACACGCCCAGTTAGATAGGCTACAAATCATGACCCCCGAGGAAGATATGGATCACCAATGGGTGAAAACCATTGCAAACTCGGTTTTGTGGGGAATCCCCGACAAATATTTCTTCGAACTCCATGAATTGTTTGCAAACGAACAGGTGTTCGTCGATCAGTGGCAAACCTTCATGACCACATGTATTTCGGAGTGGCATACGGCAGTTGTTTGGGTGCGCACATTTCAGATAACTGCTGTGAACTTTAATTCATGGTTCTACAGACATTCCCAGTGATGATGTGAGAGGCCTTGATTTTCGGACATCAAAGACGCCGTCATGACCATTCTTTTGTAGTGCTACCATCCTCTCTTGCCTCTCAGCTCGTGCTTCTTTGTCATCTGCATTGCCATCTATTCTCTCGGCGTCTGGGAGCCTCGCCACCGGGTCGATCCTACTCCTCAAGCACCACGGCCTAGAGGACGCCACTGCTTCATTTGCTGTTCGCATCTTCTTAATTACGCCCTGCGGCTCAGCTGACCATATCTATTTTATCCAGGCACGCTACCTGAGGGCCGCAAAATCACACTCGATTGGGATGCTCCCCTCTGCCATTGTCTTCAGCCTGCCAAAAGCTCTCTGTCTATGGAGCATCGTCTTTATGGTAGCTCACTTTCTCTTACTGGCGTCCCACGTGGCCGGCGGACTCGCAATGTTTGGAGGCGCATGTTTTTTGATACTGCTTGTTTGGGCTGCCCTGTATGCCACATCTCCAGATGAGTACGACCGTAACTCTATACTTAGCCAAATTCTCTGTCGCTGGCATTCACTTCAAGGAGACCGTGAAGGGGCAGGTTCATCAGTATGACGGTGGCACCTGTCCTGCCCCTCTCCTACTCCTATCAGTAGGATGGGTCTCGAGAGGTTCCGTGATCGCGCTAGCACACGTACTTGTATGTTGTATGATGTACATGTGTTGCGCTCCAATATAAGAACTATTTTTTTTGTAAGTCCACATAGACAAGAACTTGCAGACTAGTGATATTTCTTCGAGCTCACATCCCCCCTAGACTGACTTCACTGCGGTTGGACGGCGTCCGTGATACCAAGTGAGGTGGTGGGGCCAGACCATGGCTCACATCCTTTGTGCGTGATTCACGAGCGTGCGCCTGCCGAACATAGGCATACCTCTGGAAGTGATTCAGAGATTGCAGAAAAATCACCCCAACCTACGGAACAAAACAGTGAGTGATTTCACACGACCATGGAAATTTGAGTAAACAACGCACGGGGTTCTGACGCAGCTCGTTGAAGATATCAACAGTGGCTTCCCGAATAGATTCTTGGTGGTGAAATAGGCAAAAACTCAGAGGCTGTAACCCTCCGGAATGTGGTGGCATAAAAGTGAGCAGCTGCACCAGAAATTACGGATCATCCAACAGTCCAGAATGTGAGAATGCTCACCTCGACTATTTGTTCGTATGTCCGCAAGTTGTCTGCTATTGAACGCACGATGACCTCGACTTCCGCGTCCGGTAAGTTCTTCACCAGCCGCAATCTTAAAAGTTGATGTGATACGTCGAATCCCTGGATAGCAGCGGATGCTCGAAGTTTTTTGAAATCCTACCCAGTACGGAGAATATATCAATCGTCCCTGAGGCCCACACCCTTTAGAGGAGGAACTACGCACCTGGACGCAGTATTGATAGGACTTGTTCCTTCGCCAACCCTCAATCCGACTTGCGTTCGCAGTAAGCTCCTTAAATGCAGCTCCCTCGTCTGGAAACACGATACCGCTGCCTAGGGACCCGTCCGAAAATGGTGCGCTACCATATCCAAGCTTTGTAGATCCCATAGCGAGCTCCTCGTACCGCGATGCCAGCCTAACGAAGCGCGCGACGTACTCCGTGAATCGCATCCGCACCAGCGTCTCCCCGAAGTGGGAGGTGATTGCTGAAATCAGCTAAAACATCGAGCGACGTTAGTTGCCGACGTGATCGAGGTCATGCGCTAAGACCTACATCCTCGATGAACATGTTATCCAAGTTGTCTTGCTTCGCCGCGAACTCGCTCTTCTGGTTCCCGTCCTTCCCGTCTCGAGTTGCGATACGCTGGATGTCGTCCTCGCTCCCGGTCGAGTTTTCCGCCTTTATTGGACGTGGCATCGTTAGGTTGACAAGTGCAGGTGGTGCCATCGTAGCCGGGAAAGATGTATGTATGTCCTTGTGCACGACAACACGACCTGTACCGATGTCCATCAAGAGATCCCAGGATCCACTGGTTTCGAAGATAGGATTAGTTACGCCTGCTATGTATGCCGGCCTGTGAAACAAATATTATTGATGGAGTTCTTCCACAAGAAAAAAGTGGGGAAATGCATACATTGTAACCCAGTCCTCGCCGCCCGCAAGTCCTGCGTAAGGAAATGATCGCTCAATGAATCCTCGTAGTACCGCACCACATCCAGAACCCAGGGCGCAAGCAGACAGGACGTAATTGGCGACTTGTCCAGCAGGAATATTATGTCCAAGGAAGAGGATGCGTTTGCCAGTAACAAGCGCATTAAAGAGAATTATTATTGGGTGGGTGAGAATTCCGTTCGTGTGTAGATGTGGGTGTAGTGGGCCGGAGATCGTGATGAGAGGTGCAGAAAACGTTTGTATTAGTTGTATTAGGGAATACTTGAAAAACACGTATTCAGAACTATATATGAAGTGCATTGTCATTAAGAGACGCACCTCTCCGACTTCCTCAGGAAAGGTGGCCAGAGGCAATTTGATTGGCAGGGTATGTCCTTTGTATGCAATGCTTGTCTGAAAGAAATGGGTATCTTTGGATATCCCCGACCGCAAATGTGGGTCGGATGATGTGGGTATTGCGCCACCGCTGTAGGCGTGGCTCGAGTTCGAGCTTGTATCAGTGCTACGCCGCCCGCGGCTAGTAAGAACACTGCTGCCGCTCACTGAGGCGCCGCCAACACTTCTGGGCCTGCACCTATTGCAACACCTACTTGACCATCAATTAGGACACTGTCATCATTCACCCATACCGCACTCCCACCAAGGCTGAATGAGCTGTCCGACGGAGAGGATGGGCGGGTAGGGTTAGGATCAAGAGGCAGCTGTTGTAGAGCGTGCGCGAGCACTGATGAGAACCCCGTCTTCAGATGAATGTGAACCATTCGAGCCTGTCGTCTTGTGTGCAGCTTTGAGAGGAAGCGGGGGTATATGAGTGGATAACTTCTCCGCAAAGATGTCTTTGCGCTTCGAGGCGCGCATAATTAGTTTTTCACATCGTGTAAGTGTTGGCGCAGCACTGATGTTCATCGAGTTAATCGCATCAAATAGACGCGCAAGACATTCTTGGGACGGGTTTGCAAAATAGTCGTCAAGTGCGAGGAGGAGAACGGGCTGGCGCTTGGTGAGCAATCAGTCAAGTGGCATGTATTCAGATATACCTTAAAGATTTGGATAAATGGATGTCGTGTGCAAATAGCCATCGCTTTCACTACGGCACCTCTGCAATGCAAAGCATGTAGATGGAGTGCTGTAAGTTAAAACTACCTACGCACCTCCGAACTGACTTGTCATGCTTCGTCCGCACCAGGTTGAGGACATATAGCAGTTCCGGGCTTCCGTCCTCTCCGTTTGACTGATTGGTCGCTCGATTCCGTCTCCAAAGCAAGAACTGGTGCAATGGTATTGAACGGCGTCTGATTGAGGAAGAAGATGGTCCAATCTTCAAGGTGCCTCTCCGCCCCATCTGGAAGCATAAGATTTGCAAGTAAACTGACACGGGATAGTTAACCAATACATCTTTCGGGTCAGGTCAAGTCGGAATTCACCCCTCGTCTGTTCCCAGCGGCTGAGGAAACTGGTATGTGAGTTGGGCACCACTATCAATGTCAAACTCGGCGAGAAGAACGAATGAACAATGTGGGCCTTTGCCGGCCATGTCTGGTTACTGTCGCCGGCAAAGCTGGTTTGCAGCTGGTGATTGACTGGGTAAGTGTCCTGCTGTCGGGAGGTTGGGCGACTCGGAGAAGTACGAAATATTGCTTAAAAATTGCCTTTTTAGAATGTTGATATATATACATGTGGCAATGTTCAGAAGCTATTCGATATTTCGATGATATTAATTATGACTGCCATCCAAACTGGCATGATAGAAGGAAACCTGGATAGTGAATATCTAAGGTCAAGGTCGCGATGAAGAACGCGAATATGATGTGGCATTTCTCCTCAAACTGCACTCTTGTTAAGTTGTTTGGCGGTTGGTGAATAGTCCACATGATTTGTGTGCCTTGCGCGATGCGGTGATAGTAGGAAACAAAGAAGTTTTGGATGCATCAGTATGGGGGGCGGTGCTACCAGAAAATATCGCGTGATACCAATAGAGCGTTTTCGGACTAGCTGAGGCTATAGCACCTGTGCTAGCGCTGCAGGTAAACTGCATGGATATCATCAGATCAATGTATCAGTCCATCAAGTGCACCTTCAAGAACATTACAGCAAGATCCGTTCGAATTGGCAGAGCCGTTGACAAGGTACCTAACAGGACGGACACGGCAGCGCACCATATCAGACAGTAACCGACGACGCCTGATCTCAACCGAGGCCCGTCAAGCTGGCGACAGTGTTGTTGATGGCTTCAAACATCTCCGACAAACGCGCGCGCATGCGATCTTGAGGGGAAAACGACAATAATTAGCAATCGTAACCAGCAAACGGCACAGCCTAGAGTGGGGTGATACAGATGGCGTGCATACCAAACGTCGACTTGAAAACGGGGTGAGATGACCTGCCTTGATCCTTTTCGTCTTCCAAAAGTTTTCTGAATCCCGGCTTCCAGCGTGTCTCGTGCGACTGTGTGTTCGTGCACAAACCCCTCGCGCTCGCCCAGGCATGTGCATTCATCGCGGTGAAGAGGATTTTCCTTCTGAGCTCTGTTTTTGTGAGGAGATCGCGTCTACGTGACTATATGCGCTCTGAACATCGAGTTTTAACCTTCTCGGAAACAGGAGTTCTGCTCCCCTTTCTCGTGGAAGAGCGTTGTAATGGTGAAATGAAGTTGACTGTGGTAGACGTCATTTGAAGGATTTCTTGTAGCGAAGGCTGCTGGTTCCGGTCATTACTTGACTGTGGTAGTGAGCGCTGGACTGGTTCAGGTGTCCGAGGACGCTCAACAGAGTCTTCAGTGCCGGCCGACATCTTGTTAGTGACTTGGACTGGCGACGAGTTGTGTGAGACATCCATGGTAACTTCGAAGTTCTACAAAGCGGGTCGACCAATTTGTATTTGCATCGGCCTATTGCGTGGGAATGTTATTGCATATAACATTAAATTTTGATAATTTAATTTTGGTGATGCTGGATGTCAATTCGAACTTCGGGCGGAAGTGCAGATCAAACCTGGGGTGGCGGCAAAGCGAATATTTACCGGGACAGCAGGGCGAATAACATGACAAGGACACGACGAGTTCAAATTGGGATTGCCACTACCTTGCAATATAGTTGGTCAAAATGGATTGCTGTCGTCGTGAGTCGTGACTGCACAGCGAATAACCGAGTCATGAAACATCCAACATAACTCTGCATTATTAGTAACGTCTGGACTACGCAGTCATCAAACCCAATTTCCCTCGTTCCAAGACAGCTTTGAAACCAAAGTGTTCCTCAACACCGAAGTTCTCCGTTGGGTTGTACATCGTATGGATGGGCTTTCGCGCATTGATCTCCTTCAAAACAATCTTGGCTTCCTCATCAGCGTCTCCGAGCAAGCGATCGACTTCGCATTCTGTCATGACAGGCCCATCTGGGGATGTTAGAGTAGGATCCAGTCTATCGGGTTCAGTATCAGATAATCCAGCTAAACAGACGTGAAACCCCCCTTGCCTAGCTTTGACTGCAGAATGCATCTCGGGATCATGGGTGCGAATAGATGACGACAGAAGTCCATGGTTTTCTGTCAATCGAATTGAAAATCGTGAAGGATGAGGGCAGAACACGCATACCTGGAGTTCGTCTTCTGTTAACGCCTTACCACATCAGCCGTTCCTTGTATTACTGCACTCGAGGCTCAAATTTGCAGTGACAGTAGGAAACATCGATTCTCACCCGGCCTGATCAGATCGAATGCTCTGTCAAAATTGTCCTCGTCCACATCGCTCATGACTGGCATGGACTGATTGCGGATCTGTTTGTAGGTCCCAAGGACGACAATAAGAAACCTATCATGCGTCGCGTCAGTTGTATCACCCCAGTGAACAAGTTCACCTGCCTCGTAAAGAGTGGCAACTTTGATGTGTGCCAGCGTTGGGCATCATCTTCGCTGCAAAGCCCTCGAATGGACGCAGCTATCGTGAGGGCAGCCGAAAGTCCTCCTGTGAAGGCCAGATGCACCCCAGAGGAGAAGAATGGGTCGATGAATGCTTGATAATCGTCAATTGCGAGTACCACAAAATATCAGAAAAATACCTCCAGAATCCCCCGCCAGGCGGAAATGATCACCGCCATACGAGGAAGCCGAGTAGCTAAAATCGCTCGCAGATTTCACAGTTCTGGTGTGCGTCGTTTCGAAGAGTGCCATTTCCAATCAATCTAAGGACTCCGGAGCTCTGCTTAATTCTTCCTTATAATGAGCCACAAGATTGGGACCGGAACCTCCTGAGGTCGCATGGGAAGCCTTCTTCTTACGGTTGCATGCACTCGTGAATACCATCACAATTTCCCACAGATGTGGATCCGTCGTGAAGAGGGATGAACCAAGCCCATCCCGACTCGTCTGCACATATTCAGCTTAGTATGACGACTTCAGGCAGATTTCCTACCTTCGAGTGCTTCGACCCAGATAGCATTCTGGCGAGTGGTACCAGGCATGTAAGACCCGGTTCCGTCCCAGTATCCCCAGCATGCGATGTTATTGAGGGCTTGATTATAGCGCCTGTTCTTGAGATACTTTGTGGACATGATCCCGTTCCTTCCTGAAGCATCGACTAAGTAGCTGAAAGAGATACGGCCCTGTGTCCCGGTGCTGGCATTCCTCCAGTCAGCTGAAACAGGCCTTTTGCCGTCGAACTGAATTTCGGCGACTCTTATGTTGTCGAATACAGCTGCGCCACACTTCGAAGCATGACGAAATAGCAAATCGTCGAATTCTGATCGAATCTGTAAAACGGTGAGACAGGGAGCATGTCTCCGATATATCACGAACCACGTTCCAAGACCCATTGTTTGAGTTCAGCATAATGAAATCTGTATCTGGAGCGAAGAATCAATTTAGACTTTATTACGACGGTGAACGACGATGACTGAGGCTCACATCCTTCTCGCTTGAACTGGTTCAACTTGACGGCAGCACCAGGCTATAAAGAGGGAGATAATCTGATGTACTCCGGTGCATTGAAGACCATCCGCACCTTAATTGTGAACCCGTGGTTCATGACAGATTCCTCTGCGTCAACGAATGCCAAGAATGGGCGGACCGACGGGAGCAAGCTCTCGCCAATATGATATCTAGCACAGTTGTGTATTAGTGACTGTGTATGCGGACATCATATATCAAAAGCGAGTTCTGACCGAGGGAAGTTCGCAGCTTCGAGAAGAGTGACTTCAAAACCTTCTCGAGCCAAAGCAGCAGCAGCGTAACTTCCGGCGGGTCCGCCGCCGACAACAAGTATTTCGGTTGAGGTTGGCTAGCCAAGTATTTCAGCCTTCATAGCAGAATAATCAATAGCAGTCACCTACGAGTGTTTTAATGGCCATTTTTACAAAGGGGAATGTATGAAAGAGACATATCGCTATACCTTTATATATGGTATATCCGTTGAAAACCTTGTAAGTATGAATCAACTTTGGCGCAACGTGACAGGTTCCTCGCATCCGAAGAGAAAGCTAGGTTATCATATCCGCCAAGAGAAAGTCGGGAAACTGCACTATCTTCAAGTTGGCCACCGTAGGTTGCCTGGTCCAGTCAAGCTAAAAATTATGAATGACGCACTGATCCGCACCAAGGTATTGCACGAAAGCGTGATGAAATTGTTGTACAGTGTAGCGATATCACATCGCAGCATCTACTTTTTCCGTTATCCAGTAAATCATTATCACCCCCGAGTGAATTGTGGCCAATGATCCAGTGGTCATACCGGTCCGCATGGTTACTAGCCATGCGCAAATGATCAAACTGACCTCGCAGTAATCAATATAATATGCAACAGAGCCATTCCTGGCTCCAAAGCCGCCGAAATTTATGACTGCCTTCAAGTTGGTACTGAAGGCAGAGATGAAGCAACCTCTATAACCATCACGTGATAACGAAATATTCAATATTCTGAAAATGCCGATTTGGCAAGATGATTGTTAACACGGTGTTTACTGGTCTTCCTCCGAGTCTAGTCAGAATCTTCAATCAGGACCGCACGACACTTGAACGTTCGAACAGGCAAAAAAACTTGAACTGACACTAGTACTGATATAATATAGTGACTATCGGGTATGTAACAAAAGTTGAACATTCTCAGCGCAACTATACTTAAACTACCGCCCTTGTTAGTACTTGCAAGTCACCGAAATCACGCCTCCTCCGCGAAAGTTTAAAACCGAGTCGGCACTTTGACATATGACAGGCACCCGACGCTGGATGCTAGCTTGTTCGCATGTCAGTGCCCAATCAGGTGAGGTTCAACTAACTTTGCAACTGGTGGCGGCGCAATCCTCGGTTGACCGTTGCACAGAGGTACCGTACCGCAAATCTAAGCATATCGGCAAAGACTTGGCTGTAAATTGACCTGCTCTGATTCTAGAAAAATCCTCGTACCCCCGTTGAAGAATATTCACTGCGGCCAGTCTTGCCAACTGAACAGAGATCTGCCAGGGCGTGATAGTTACCGCCAAGAAATCAACAGAAAAATAAATCATCTAGTGCCCTAATCGACAAAAATCTTTGCAATATTAGAAGCTCTGGAGTGGCGTATTAAATTTCGTCACAGTGGCTCGTATCACGGGGCGGTAAGTTGCAATTGAAGTTATAGTTCAACCTTCACCATTGAATTATTGACACAATCCAGGGGTGCATATAATGATTTGATGTGTGCCATTGTCCTCGCAAAGCGAAATCGAGAAATAGTTTGTAGCTCCCTTTGTGCGATGGCCTGATCTGGTTTTAAAGTTAGCACTCGTACCGCCATGCCTTTCTGGCAAAGCGAAAATGGAAACGCCAGGGCGTAGTAGCCTGACGCCGCCGATAAATCAATAGTTCTCTCGTACCGCCACATCGACGGACGTTCCTAGCGAGCGAACACGAAGAACGATGTCATGTCCTTTTCCAAACTGCAATGAAAGCTCTAGTGGAGTGTCAGATCTCGTCACAATGGCTCGTCACGAGGCGGCGGGTTGCGATTGGGGGTATGGTTCGTCAGTATTAAAACACTTACGATTCAGGGGCGCGTGTGATACTCGGGACCATAGAATGTTGAGCCTGCGCAGCCTGAGGAACCTACACATAAACCTTGCCACAATCACAAGTTCGACGTCTAACTCATTCTCGTCATTGTCCTACTAACCTCCAGAATAACAAACAGAATACATCATGTGCGGATTCCGAATAGATTGTCTGCGAGAAAGGACTTCAATGTGGATCTCACCGAGTCTTTGCATACATTTGCAGAGTAACGTGCGCATGGAAGGAACAGAGGCAAATGTGGACAACACTATTAACATGTGTGTATCACATCGCTCCTCTAACGTAGACATTATCATGACCATATCTTTGGTGAACGCGCGCCTTCTAAATCGTACCAGGTCCATTAGAGCACGCATAACTTATGGTTAGGTGGCTATTGCGTCCACCACGTCATGCTATGTTGCGGCGCGTTTTTTGCTCTTGGTCTCTCTGTAAACTAGGAGTTGGTGTCATGCTACGCTATTGTTGGCAGTCTCTTCACGTTCTTGCAACTGACCGAAGGGGAGAAGAGCTCGGATTCACTAGCTGAAGAGATTGCGATGTGTGTATGTTATCCCCCTTACCTGTCAAGCTGAGAGTGATCAGTCAGATATATGGGTTTGGCAGATGATGTTGCCTCCGACACATTCACTCTCGGAATACATATCAGAAAACAGCAGCTTCTTTAGGCGCACCTTCAACATATCTTCGTCTATCTGTTTCCAAAGTGCCGCCTTTTCTTCGGTTCGATCGCTCAAGCACCAAAAATAATGCATCGCTAATGCAATTGCAAACATAAAACTTCCCCTTGCAGGAAAACGCGTAATCTTTGGAATTGGGATGTTGCAAAATGTCCTCGGTGGTGTCAGGGTCTGGCTCATTGATGTATTCCGAGAGGATTTGTTTGATTACAGGAGCAAAGATCATGTCATTCCAGCCTCCTTTGGGGACCTTGATGCCTTCTGCATTCAATAAGTCAGAAAGTCATTCTCAACCTTTGCAAAGTCCTACCTTGGGGATAGAATCTCCCTTTTGTGGGCGAGCTCGGAGGTCAGCGACAACATATTGACATACAATAGACTACACACCTTAACCTGGCTGGAGATCGTCGAATATTTCGGCTTGTCAGTTGAATTCGTGAGTACAAGTTCTGTCTATCAATGAGAGGGAATTTGGAAGTCGGTTCGGGGTATTAACTTTATGGTTGTGCATATGGTGTACATACTGCCATTGTGGCGACATTAGGGCAAATTTTTCCAAGTATTGTCTTTATGAAAACATGAAAACATAGGTTTGACATATGGCATGGACTTGGAACATTACATATTTACATAAGAATTGACCAAAATTGCAACAAGTTGGAATATTGGAAATGGTATATAACTAGTAGTACTGTGGAAGACAAGTTATCGATGCATCACTTGTCAGTGCCAGAGTAATTGGCTGGGTTGGGCTTTTTTTCCGGAGGTGGTATGTTGGTCTGACGAGGCCTTTGGTAACAATTATTATCACGGAACTTGATTGCTTATAATATTTGAACGTACTCGGAAATCTGTGGAAGAGAAATATTGTTCTGATCTTTCTTTGATGCGCTAGCCAATGTAGCCAGATCGGTGTTCTGCGGTCCACGGCCAGAAAAAACTGTCCGTCAAGTGTGAGATGAGTCCTGATTCCTGGGCGCCGCTTGTGAAAATGTGTATTAAAATGAACAAACCCAGTTGAAGGACCCTGGATTGATTCCTCTGGCTCTGGACTACGCTCTTCCTCTGACGAGAGATCGGGATCATCCGAGTCGACATCTGTGTTGGTTCGAAACCTGGAGGAAATGAATGATGGAATAATGCATACTAGAGGTGGATCATCTTACCCCTGATCTTGAACGAGAAGATCTTCTGTGACTTGGTAGGGAGTCATTGGTATTGATGATCGCGTAGTTTGAACTCGAGTTTATTATATGGCAGAAGATATATCTGACACAGGAAAGTGGAATAGCACTGGTATTTGCACCGTGAGCGTGGAAGGTGCTCTTTGTCTACCACAGCGCGAACGTTCATTGGCCCGTTATAAAGTCCTGTGTATCAACCAGCTCACTGCCATATACTTGCTGTGGGGAATAACCAATAGTCTGGGGTGCAGTGCCTTGACATGACAAAAAGCTTGACTACTATTCAGTGCAGTCACACACACTGTCACGGAAAATCACGGTATCGTCGCACAGCGTCGCACTGGCTGATTTCCAAGTTTAGGTACGGGCTTGAGTTTTGGGACTTGTTTGTTCCCGAATCCATTGGGGGCCCCTTGTTCTCGCAACGGGGTCCCTCGTTTTGCTGGCTAAATCCTCGTCGTCTGCGTTCCAACGAGACTTGAGCTTGAATACTTGAGTGAGGACAATTAGAAGTCCGTTCCACCTGGATAGCCCATTTTGGAAGCCTTATTAGGCTTAGCAATAGCGTGCCTCTGCAAGTAGTCAAGACTAGTACTGTCGTCCCTTAACCGTTACGCCCAGACCGTTAGGCCAAAAGGCAGTGATAATCAAAGCTCAAGCTTGATTATCGCGTACAGTATTTATGTTGGTTAATGGGAACTCAGGTAAGCAACGAGCTTACAGCCTCGTCAACTATATTTAGGCTTGAAAACAGTAATGGATGACTTTCCATAGGCAAAATAATCTAGAATAGAATATTTCGGAGTCTCAAACGTCAGGAGCACAGTGTATCATATAAATCGGTGGGGACATTATGGAGAAGGACATGATACATATACTTGGAGAACTGGCCCGCAGTGATATGTTGAGTCCTAGATCATTGATTCGGTTTTTAGTTTTCGCCTATGTGAAAACATATTCAGAGTCATGTCCGCTATGCCTTCATGCCGCTCCTTGTCATCACGATATGATGGGCACGTCTGCGAGCACCGTGATTCATATATGGAGACTTGCTTCTGCTTATCTCGTCACCTTTTCATTCATTGGTAGCGTTGATATAAGTGATTTGACAATTTGAGCGATACAGCGGGTGTCTAATAGCCTCCCCTGGCAGTCGTGATGAAGGTAGACGCTAGGGATTGCGTGAATAGTTACTATTACTGAACGACAATTGTAGACAGTGATTGCAAAGCCAGCATGATACGTATGTCTACCACCTCGAAGAAGGTCAAAGAATATGCGAACATAACAGATGGATAACTAGAAGTAGTATGTATCTGCACGACTCATCACTCCATGTCTTCCTGCCCGTAAAGATGCCAGAGAACATCGGATGTTTGGGAAGAATTATCACATACCTCAAGACTAAGTAAAGGACCTCTGTAGATATCGAGTACGAACTCGACCACACGTTCAAAGACTTCGGTGTTCCACTCGCTCTTGGTCATCTGAAGAAAAAGGGAGGTGCCAGTCATGTCTTTATCTTCGGTTAACTGCTGAAGTATCCTGGTAACTTGGTCTCCTTGATGATGGTCGAACAAGCGACTAGAGACACGCTGCCCTGGTGACCATTTAAAGTAGTGTTCGAGTCTGAGGAAATCATCTATCGGGGAGTCTTGGATGTCCTTTTGGAGTGACTGATTACGGTTTGAAAGGCCGACACTGATGCCCTTGCAATCTTCACTAATCGGTAAATTATACGGCTAGATGAATGCGGTCACTCACCCAACAACAGCTCGCCATTGAGTATCGCTGAAACAACGACAGCGCAAATCGGATTGGGGTTATCACGGTCTGCAGTGGCTGCAACTGAAAACTCGACGAGTTTCGATTCCGTTGTATCATCAAACCTTCCCCTTAATTCTGGTACACAGTTGATCAGCAGCAAGAGCCGCTGCCTGAACCTTTGGAAACCACATCTTGTTTGTAGCCCAGCTCCACATGTCTGGAAGGAGAGTCGCAGTTGCTGACAGCCCTGCGTTTTGCTCGAGAAGGTATACGACAATGTCTTCTAGACGTGCATCAAGAGCAATGTGTAGTACTGTTCTGGCAGTCCGGTCTTGCAAAGAAAGATTACAAGATGGTTCAACGAGCGCTTTGACGACGGGTAGCAGTTGGCTTTTGTTATGCCGATCGGGGAAAGAGAGGAAATAATGGATAGGGGTATAACTGTTGAATGTGAAATTGACATCCACGCCGCGTTGACGAAATTTGCGGATGGATTCGTGCGACGGTTCGTATGACGCAACACCGTTGTACAGGATATTATTAGGTATGTTGACCTCCGCTCGTGACAGCAAGAAATTCACAGCAACTTCACTTCCGGTCACAACTGCCCACGAAATTGGAGCATACGAGTCGCCCCAAATGTCTTGGCCATATAATTTAGGGTTGAAGGAAGAAAGCTTGTTGATATCGATGCCCGGCTTCAGGAGAATACTGAGGCAGTCAGGGTTCTTGGCTATAGCGAAAATCAGGGGAGAACCCCAACCAGGGGCAATATCCACGTCCAGGAGATCGGGGTGCTGCTTGACGAGGGATTTAACCATCCACGGCTTGCCATGTTCAAGGGGAGTGAATATAAGCGAGGGCGAAGTCACACGGGCACAAAACCACCTAAGTTCTTTCCCGCTCGCCCAATGGTCTTTAGTTGCAAGCACGCGACATTTCTTGGTGTTTCGACGAAACTCCAAGTTCCAGCCGTGACAGGGCGATCATAATGCAAGGATCCTCGTCCAAAACATGACCAAGGTGCTTCCATCCTAGAATCGCATAGCTCAGCAATGGATGGTCTTTGCTGACATCGGCGATATCAACACGTAGCCACGGTTTGGCTGCTTGTTTCTCTATACAAACATCAATTTCTTAGACCATATACGTGAAAGATAGTATTGCACCTTCAGGCTCAAGTTTTGCGCAGATCTCGTCCACAAAGTCATATAACACATACGTAATCAAGAGCTCGCAGATCCGTGCGTGCATGTCCGAAATCGATCTGAAGATCTTATTAGGGCGACTGATCAAGTATTCCTGGTTGCGTAGCGCATCAGCGGACGAGTAGGATGAAGATGGTTGATAAATCATACTTTGACGCTATAATGAGATAGAGCGACGATCCTAGTTTTCTCATTGTAGGTTACAAGGCTTCCGCACGCGGCCACGATATCCATAGTGTTCAAAACGCGAAGGTCCTCATTGAGACTCGGCCGCCCAACTTCAATCATCATCGCTTCATTGAGCTCGTCAAGCGTCAAAGGGGTGAATGTGCCGGCCAGCAAAAGCAGGCAACGCTGGGAAATCGGGCCATCGTCTCCCCCTCTTTCTTCAATGGAGTGAAGGATCCTATCATAAGTTTCGTGTAGGTCTTTTGGAAGGTCGTCGAGGGCTTTTTGAATACTGCCAGATGTTTTGCACTTCATAATGACGTCCAGTTGACACTGAACCCAGCGAAACCTGTGTGCGATCGTGTGATGAATTTCTAAGGAGCGAGTGGAATTTACTTTACTTACATGCCCTCGGCCTTTTCCAACAATTTCTCCAAAACTGTCTTCTTCAGCCCGTCTGGTAGTTGTGACAAGCGCTTCTGGGTACTCAGTTGCTCAGTAATGTGCACCTGTATATCGTCTTTCATTTGTCCTGCGCTGTCCTTCAGCGACATGGTAGGGAGATCACGAAAGGCTTCTTGGATGTCTTGCTCGCTTCTACCGGTGACGAAAAGTAGTAGTCGAGCATCTTCGGCAAGGTTTACAAGATGTCCGACCAGGTCAGGGTAGTCCTTGCATTCGTCCAAGGCGTCAATCACGAGGACTGGTCGGCATACTAGCGTAGACGCTTCAACAAGAAGCTCTCGTAGAAATCCCAGATCTGTGGGATGTGGCTTTGCATCACGTTGTTGCTGCCAGAGGTTTCGCAGAGAAGCAAGGTCCCCTTTTGTGTTTGATTCTTGCTTCTCGTCTATCTTTGTGATCCAGTCGTCTTTAGATTGTTGAAGCAGCTGAACAATCAAGGAGCGCAATACTGCAGCCGCGTTTGTCGTTTTGTCGTCTCGAAAGTTGCAGTAGAAAAAAGCGAGCGTCTGTAGCTCTGCTTCACTGCTACCCTGAATTTTGTCTATGACGGCTGAGCTGGAATAACACAAGTCAACATAGGCTCTGAAAGCTCTCTAGACATCGGGTCAGAACTTACGCAAGGATCGTCTTTCCATGTCCAGCTGTTGCGAGTGTCAACGACTTGCAATTAATGGTCAATGATCCAACTCACGGTGGCCATTCAACCATAGAAACGCGTGATCCGACGTGATCCAAGTCTTATACTCACCGGCGTGGAAAATCCAACGACCGGTCCCAAGGTTTCGTTGACCATGGCAGATGGCGTGCTTGTCATCACAAAACACGGGGTTCATCCATTCAAGAAACTTTCGACGTTCCTCGCCTATGCGCGCATGAACAGAGTGAGGAAGTGACTGGCAATCAGCTGCTCACCTTTTTCGCGCACCTTTTGTGCAGCAGAAATATTTTTCAATTCCTCAACTCCTCGTTTGACTTTTTGGATTCCACGATTAGCTTTCTTGACTTTACGATTGACTTCCTTGAGTGTATTCCTTCCGATGGTATTAGTATGAGCGATCATCACAAGCAAGCAAGCAAGATCACCATGTGTCGACTGCTAAAATTTGTGTGATCTCGCCGCAGTAGTTTTTCAATTTATCGATGATCGCGCCTGCTTCCTTTTCCTTGAATGGCCACGTCAATCTGGAAGTCATCTTCATTTTCCCGCTCTCCCGTGCCTGTTCGTTTGGCAGAATGCTCTTCAGTTCTGCCAGTAAATTTGCAACTGGTCCATCTGTAGCCATCAATTTTGAAAGTGCGTTGCTGAGATTGGGTGGAAGAGAGCTGTCCTTCTCGATCACCATAACTGTGGTGAGGACGCCACCGACTGCGCTGAGTTCATTAAGCAGACTCTGACAAGACGAATTGGCGTTGCGGACGGAAGCAACATATCTATACAAAGATCTGAAACTTGGGCTATTGTTTGAATGACCTGAAGAACAGCGACCACCGCCGGCGATGACACTGATGGGATCTGACATCTGGGGGGTGGAAAATGTAACCCTAGGTGCTCAGTAGCGCCGTGACTTTGAACCAAAGAAAGGCGCCCATTAATCCATTTGCGATGCTTGATACCATGATGCAGTGACACATCGATGATCAATAAGAACCAGTGATGTGAAGTACATGCAGTATACGGATATGTTGGAACTAGCCTGAGATCATTTTAGTGAGCATCTGACCTTTAACCGCCTGAGAATCCAGAAGCAAGGTTACGTTCTGGCAGGAATGGATGATGTTAACACAGGTTAGCACGAGCTCGAAATATTGCAATACTTATTCTGCTGTCATTACTGTAATTTTTTCTTCTTCACTGCAGAAAAATGCAGATTACGTCCGGGACGCGGCATCTGGCACGAATCTAAACATTCGCACCACATTCGGCGCACATAACACTCACATCACAGCAGCGCTACGATTTTCATACTAATCCTCTCATTATGACCAAATCCTAGCAATATTCTACTAACCGTTGAATTCAGGATCGTTTTTTTGTCTAAGTCCAAAGTCGTCGGGAATGCAAATGCAACTGCCATAGACGTTCCTCCCGTCTTCAACGAGTGGACTATCAGCGGTCTCATAAAGGCGTACATCAGGAAAAGCCTCCTGGGCAAAAATTGTAATAATTTGCGCTAAACGATGTTATTCTGATAATTCTATCTAATTTCAAGTTTTAGGAATAAACGGCTAAAAGACGATAATGTACAATGGAATTATCGAGACTTATTTGAAAAATACAGTAAGTGTATCTATCTAGATACGAGTTCAACCAAAAAGTGTTACAGTCATCTAGAACTGTATCACTCGACCACTCTCGCAGGACGACGGCACCGAAATTCGGTAGAAGATGGGCACTCCGCACGATCTTCGACAATGGCACAATGCTTGCCACTTTTGCGCCACCAAGCAAGGAATGCGAGACCTTGTAAAGGCCGTGGTGTCGATCGGGAGCCAACAGAAACGGCGAGAACCATTCGATATAGGTACAATGTATGTCAGTAATAGCAACACAATAATGAGATCAGCAGACTCACAAACAGCAACTGGCAGGCAACGACTTCGATCGGCATGGCTCTTGCTCGAAGTGGGATCACACACTCACTTCCTGTAAATGGCGGGCAACGACTTGGATCAACATGGCCCGAGCTCGAACGAGGATTGACACACTCACAAGCTGCGAATGGCGGGCAACGGCGAGCATGCACGTTTGAACAGTGGCAAACGACTTTTGCTTGAACAACAATTGACCACGTCATTTTTCACACGGTCTCACGTGTCACGTTTAATCGAGTTTAATCTGGTTTACACCAGGGTAATTGGACGAGCGCTCCATAGCAGGCTCGTTTCCCCGGGTCTTCCCGTGGTTTGCCCTTGGTATGGGACTTTCCCTTGGCCACATTCTGGCTGATGCTCCGTGCATCTTCGGCATGTCGATCGTGTCTCACTCACCTCCTTTAGTGGAGCTCTTACAGCCTATGTCTAGCGAGGCCGAGTGACATGGGGGTTTTTACCTCTTCTCACTCGTATTATTCGTCTCGCTAGGTACGCTGTTTAGTTTGTATTTTTCTCTCTCTTCTCACTCGTATTATTCGTGTCAATAGCAATTTTGCGCACTTTCTAATACATCGAACACTTGTTCTCATGTCTGAAAATGCAGGAAACTCCCATACGATTTCTTCCAACCCCTCTTCCGAATCCCAGGCAGAGTTTGATCCAGACTCTGTCGCCCAGTGTACTAAGTTCATCGAGGATTTCGGAAACAGCCTCATTTCGAAGGGAGACGCCTTGCTTGAAATACAGCGCGTCCTCCTTGATGCAATCAACGAATCGGAAACACTTACCCAACGAGACTTTAAACCCGGGTTTAATCACTTCCTTGAACTCCTCGACTACACGTCCAAAGAGTCTAATCCCCACCGTGATTCCTCACGAGTTGCGAATGATCCACCCAGAACGCAGTCGAAACAACCTGAGGGAGAGTCAGACAAGTCCACATCTCGGAAAGAGAGTGAGCTGCGAAGGAAATTGCACAGACGAGTACCCGAAGAAGAGGATGAGAGTGATGACTCTGGGGAAGAATACGAGAACGTTTTGCGCAGAAAGAGACGCAAACTCACTGCAGAACGAGCCGGATTCTATCCTTGGCTTGACCCAGATCAATTTAGATTCGTCTCTAGTCAGCGTGCCGAAGAGCTCACCTTGGAATGTTATGAGGAATGGTCCGAAGACACCAAATATTACCGAGGCCAGGTTACTGCAACCCCCGGATGCCCCAGCTTCCCTTTATCGCAATGGACACTCCTCCTCGAAGGGAGAGCGCCTGACCTCGAAAAAGTGTTATCAGGGCATTACTCCACATCCATTGATCCCAAGCAAACCAAACTCTCGGCAAAGGATTCGAAATCACCCTTTCCCAGCCAACCGCTACTCATAAGGTCAGAACATATGGCGACTGGAGTATCGCGACAGACCTCTGGATTGAGGCCCTCTCCTTCATCATGCCTTGGAAGGAACGTGAGCTTCGGGGGATACAAGCGTTACATCTCTGGCTTCTTCGTCGATGTCCATTACGCCCTCCATTCACGAATTCTCGACTTCGACAAGGCATGTCGACTTAAAATTGAGGGCCAAAAATACATTCGCTTTGATGCCATCTCAAAGTTCCGGCGACTCGAAGTCTCACATCTATCCTCGCTCGGAATGGTCGCCTATGCAGAGTTGCATCAACTCAGCTCTTCCGGCGGGGATAAGTTTAATGCCAAAGGAGCAGGAGGTGGTAAGAAAGGACGAAGTGAAACTTCTGGCCGAGGGGAGGCGTGCTACAACTGGAACCGAGGAATCTGTGATAAGTCCGCTTCCGACTGTTCCAGGTTCCATGTCTGCAGCAAGTGTCGCGCAGGACATAAACGAGCCGACTGTCCATTGGCGAAGGAAACTAAATGAGACCATAGCGCAGGGTCAAAGGTTTAGGAGAAGGATGGTATGGGGGAACGAAGCAAAGTCCCTCAGTGGAACGGCTATTTGGACTGAGACTGCTGAGCCTCTCCCGCGTCCTCCTCCATCTGAATATGATAATCTCACAGCGCTTTCTACTATTGAGAAGTACCCTCATCTTTTCAAGGTCTCTACTCCCATAAATGTCGACAGATTCGAAACCCTTCTTACCCTCGCCCATCATCCTAATCTCCCATTTGTTCGCTCAGTATGCCAAGGCCTTCGTGAAGGATTCTGGCCCTGGGCGGATACTCATGCTGGAGTATATCCCACTACGTGGGAGATCCCATCTCCAACTCCGTCAACCATCGCCCAATGCAACTTCATTCGGAGTCAGATTTCAAAGGAGGAGTCCGTTGGAAGGTACTCACCTAATTTCGGTCCCCAACTTCTGCCTGGCATGTATAGCATGCCCATTCATGCGGTTCCTAAAGAAGGTGGCAAGTATCGCCTTGTCACTAATCATAGTGCCGGGGATTTCTCCCTTAACTCCATGATTACTAAGGACGACATTGCTGGGGTGACCTTGGACAATGTCCAGGACCTCGGTGATGCAATCCGAGAATTTCGACATCATCATCCACTCGAGAAACTAATAGTTTGGAAGGCTGACGTCTCTGAGGCGTATCGCCACATGCCTATGCATCCTCTCTGGCAAATCAAACAAGTTGTTACCTTCGAAGGAGAAAGACGTGTTGATAGAGCTAATGTGTTTGGAGGACGAGCTTCGCAGCGTATCTTTCACGCCTTCATGTCCCTCGTCATCTGGCTTGCGGTATTCGTCCGGCTCATTCAAGCGTTTATATACGTCGACGATTCTTTCTCTTTCGCCAAGGCCAGTGATATGTCTTACTATGTGAAGTATCGTAAGATGCTTCCTACCCCCATGGTTTCCCTTCTCCTCTTGTGGGATGAACTGGGCATCCCGCATGAAGAACGGAAACAGGTATATGGTTCACCACTACCGGTCATAGGCTTTGAGGTGGATCCTAACTTGATGAAGATATCTCTCAAGGACGAATCGAAGAAGGGACTAGTTCGAGAACTCAAGTCTTTCGCCAGGTATAGTCAGAGGAGGTCGTTACGAGAGTTTGAGCATATCGCGGGCACTCTCAACTGGGCTCTTAACATATGTCCTCTTCTTCGCCCTGGTCTTTCGGCAGTCTACGCCAAGACTAAGGGTAAGACCAACGCAAAAGGAATGATTTGGATCAATCATGCTGTCGTCGAAGAGCTTCAGTGGGCGGCTTTTCATCTTAATCGATCTGACGGCATCTACCTTTTCAAATCCGTTTCTTGGCAGTCCTTCCCTCCTCAATCGGATATCCTTGAAGTCTACTGTGATGCGTCGGGGTCGGGTATGGGTTTCTGGTATCCATCTCTCAACCTCGCATTTCAGTCTAACCTGCCGGAACATCCTCCCGTGGCAGATATCTTTTTCTCTGAAGCTCTTTGCGTAGCTTCTGGTATACACGATGGCGTCACTCGGTTGCCGGTCAACGGAAAACTGGCAGTTTATACTGACAGTTTGAATACCGTTTATATGTTCAACACCTTATCCGCCGGACCCGGGTATAATCGTCTTCTTATGGACGTTGTCGAAACCATCCTTGCCTTCGACATCGACTTTCGTGTGTTTCATATTGCGGGAGAGGATAATGTAGTGGCAGATCATCTATCACGTTGGCGAGCACGTGATGCTGTCTCTTGTTCACCAGGGCTTCGAATCGTTCCATTTCAACCCCCTCGGAATGCGCTGGGGGCGGGTAAAAAATGATTCCTACAGCGGTTGAGGCTCGGCAGCCTCGTCGTGCTGCCTGGCCTATGGAGCGTCTAATTCATGAGCGCTCCATCAACCTTGGACTTGCCCTTGACAAAACAACTAATCAGACTTATTCATCGGCCGTCAATTCTTATGTGACTTTCTGTGAAATCCATCATCTTGCTCTTGACCCTACGCCAGACACACTCTCCCTTTTCGTCACTTTTATGTCGGCGCACATCAATCCCCGATCTGTCGACAACTATCTCTCGGGAATATCTAGCATCCTCGAGGAGTACTATCCCACTGTGCGCCAAAATCGACGCTCTCGCTTAGTGTCACGCACACTTAAAGGTGCAAAACGTCGGTTTGGGGTTCCCATTCGCCGCAAGCTTCCTTTGTCTAGGGCTGACCTAGAAGCTACCTCTGCCGCCTTGCCAAATCCCCCATCTCACAATGACTTGTTGTTCATAGCCCAACTTTTCGATGGGTTTTATGGGCTGCTCCGTCTGGGAGAACTTGTCTGGCCTGATAATCCGTCCTTATGGGCTTTCGAAAAACTCACTCTCCGGACATCGGTAATCCTCGCTGAATCTCATCATTCCTTCGTTCTTCGGCGTCACAAGGCGGACACCAATTTTGAAGGAAGTACTATTGTGGTCCAGCAGGCTCAAACTGCTGATCCTCATCATGCCTTTATAACTTACCTCGCGTCTCGCGACAAGTTATTTCCTTTTAACAGTTTCTTATGGTTGCGCAGTGACGGATCTGTTCCCACTCGCTCGTGGTTCATCAGTCGCCTCAGAGCTTTCTTCCCCGATTCCATTTCGGGTCATTCTCTTCGGGCAGGCGGGGCCACGTCTCTCGCTATTTCGGGGGTGTCATTAGATCGGATCCAGGCCATGGGCCGCTGGTCTAGTGATGCTTTTCGTGTTTACATTCGAAAAAATCCTGCGCTTGTTCATGCTCTCATATTCCATGGAAGGTCTATTCATGATCCGCCTTTCTATTGAACCCCTAAGTCCCCTTACTATATCATTATCGCTATTTATTCTTACCTTTTTATTCTGACTAGTCTGTCAAATCCTGTACTTATATCTCCCTCCCTCCCTCCCTCATTATAGCTGGAGTTATGGCACTTGTATAGTAGGCACAGTCTCGGCCTCGTTGTTTTTCGGGGTCCAAATTTCACTGGGGGCTCCTTGTACTCACAACGGGGTCCCCGAATTGCTGGCTATATCCTCGCAGTCTGCGTTTCATCGAGACCTAAGCGAGGACAATTAGTCGAGTTTAATCTGGTTTACACCAGGGTAATTGGACGAGCGCTCCATAGCAGGCTCGTTTCCCCGGGTCTTCCCGTGGTTTGCCCTTGGTATGGGACTTTCCCTTGGCCACATTCTGGCCGATGCTCCGTGCATCTTCGGCATGTCGATCGTGTCTCACTCACCTCCTTTAGTGGAGCTCTTACAGCCTATGTCTAGCGAGGCCGAGTGACATGGGGGTTTTTACCTCTTCTCACTCGTATTATTCGTCTCGCTAGGTACGCTGTTTAGTTTGTATTTTTCTCTCTCTTCTCACTCGTATTATTCGTGTCAATAGCAATTTTGCGCACCCACCCTGTTACCCTCCCTTACTTCCTGTGTCTGGCACTTGTATAGTAGGCACAGTCTCGGCCTCGTTGTTTTTCGGGGTCCAAATTTCACTGGGGGCTCCTTGTACTCACAACGGGGTCCCCGAATTGCTGGCTATATCCTCGCAGTCTGCGTTTCATCGAGACCTAAGCGAGGACAATTAGACATCAATTTTTCTTACAAGTTCAACGACTTCGTTCTCAACCTTCCACCATCATGATGCCACACATCATCTCGCATGCCTCCAGGTGTGTCCTTTATTTTGTTTATTGTATTGTACTAATGTGTTTGCCCTGGTGCAGCCTACCCTCACAGTTAACCTTATAGCCTTGCCCCAAAATTATCCTCAGTAAGTCTTCTATTTATTTTTTTCTCGTCTTTCATTCTCTCGCTCACTGCTCTCAGTGTCTCGTCCTCCTTTCGGCGTCTAGTCAGTGTCTCGTCCTCCTCTCTGCGTCTTCTCCTCCTTTCGGCATCTTGTCCTCCTCTCCGCATCTCTCCACCCTGGGCATTGTGCCTTCACCACGCGCCTCCTCGTTTCTGTCGAGCCGCTTTGTCATGCTCATTCATGTAGTACGTGAACGCATCGACGAGCGCATTTAATTCATCATAGTTGTCGAGGATACCAGTGGAATCTGGTGTGGGAATGGCAGTAAGTTTTGCTGGTGTGGATGGTGCCGTTTTGACATGCCGGATACTGACGCTACTCGAAGGGCTTTGAAACTGAAGGGCAATGATCATCTCGCCAGTGAGCATCGAAATGCTCTGTCGCTACTCGACCTGGATGGCATGGCCGACGATTAGGTTCTGATCCATTACTGTATATTCCGCATTCATTAGTGATTGTACCTAAATTCCTCGTACCCTCGTCATCAGCTGTTTCGCGATTACTTAAACACATCTTTTAATCCAATATTAGTCTTTTGTTCTTGTAACATTGCCTGGGACGCGTGATCTGTGAACCAACATTTGTAATAACGGCTTCTGCAATTCACCACAATTATGTCTAGTATCAGCTAAATCTTGATAATTATCCAACACTGAGGAGGGGGTAAAAAAGTCCTTCTAAACTATATAATCTTCCTAATTCTCCTAAGGCTGCTAATTAGAGCTAATTCTTGGATTTTATCAAAGATTATCAAAATTTTGGCCGGGAGGTTTTTCCTGATGCATGCGTGCACCTTCATGGTACGACATATCCGTTAACAACTAGGTGTTCAGGTACTACAAATAAAAGCCTCCCGCATCAAGGAAAGCGCTTTACCATGGAGTGCGAGGTAATTTCATTTACAACCGAGCCCGCTCCCTCGCTAACCACGCTGCCTCCCAACAGCTCCACACCGCGCCGATCACGGTCATCGTAGTCCCGGACTCTGTCACGACGTTTATTGACATCGAGATCTCGGTCCCTTCGGTCCAAGTCCCTGTCCCGTCTCTTCTCTTCGATCGCCACGGTCGCGTTCTTGTCGCATATTGCGATGATTTTCTCTCCTGCTATCATCCCTCCTTCTATCACTCCTCCTCTCCCACACCCCATCGCATTCGTGTCCATAGTCAGCGATGAGGGCGTAGAGAACCTGGCACCGTTCAGGTAAGACGCACATTCGTTATCTAATGCGCTTTACCCGCCTATCATCTTCCCGCTGTTTGCTAGTGTCCCGACTCTAAAACGCCTTGGTCACGTCGTGCACACGAGCACAGCGCTCGCCGTTGTTACCCCCAAATCTTTCGAGTTCGACAATCTTCTTGATTCTCGCTCTGTGAACGTCATCGACGAGCTATTCGTCGGGAATACACATTCAACTACCATAGACGCCCCTCCCGGCTTCGACGAGTGGACTATCAGCGGAGGCAAAATGCGTATGCGTGCACCGGCCACGGCCTGGTCCTGCTCAAGCCACGGCTTTGGGCTGGCTTGGGCTCACGGCCTAAGCTTGGAATCTGGTAAGCCTAAGCCGGGGCTTTGAGCCCAAGCCGGGCCGGAACATCACTCAGTCTGCATGCAGTAGCTTGCACCCACTGTGCGCTGCCGCCTGAAGTGGATCGCTTGTGCTGTTGTATTGATATATCTAAACTGTATTATTTGCGGTACATACAGTCTAACTATATATTGTCCAGTAAATGTTTCTGATGAGATCAGTCCATATCTGCGGCAGTCACCAAACCTAATTTCCCTCGTTCCAAGACAGCCTTGAAACCAAAGTGTTTCTCAACACCGAAATTCTCCGTTGGGTTGTACATCGTATGGATGGGCTTTCGCGCATTGATCTCCTTCAAAACAGTCTTGGCTTCCTCATCAGCGTCTCCGAGCAAGCGATCGACTTCGCATTCTGTCATGACGGGTCCGTCTGGGGATGTTAGAGTAGGATCCAACCTATTGAGTTCAGTATCAGATAATCCAGTTGAACAGATGAGAAACCCCCCCTGCCTAGCTTTAACTGCAGAATGCATCTCGGGGTCAGTGGGTGCAAACAGATGACGACAAAAGTCCATGGTTTTCTGTCAATCGAATTGAAAATGTCGAGGAAATTGACCGCCGAACATACGTACCTGGAGTTCGTCTTCTGTTAACGCCTTACCGACATCAGCCGTTCCTTGTATTACTGCACACGGAGCTTAGAATTTGCGGTGACAGTGGGAAATATCGATTCTTGCCTGGCCTGATGAGATCAAATGCTCTGTCAAAATTGTCCTCGTCCACATCGCTCATGACTGGCATGGACTGATTGCGGATCTGTTTGTAGGTCCCAAGGACGACAATAAGAAACCTGCATCATGCGTCGCGTCAGTTGCTATCGCCCCAGTGAACAAGTTCACCTGCCTCGTGTAAGAGATGGCAATCTTTGATGTGTGCCAGCGTTGGGCATCATCTTCGCTGCAAAGCCCTCGAATGGACGCAGCTATCGTGAGGGCAGCCGAAAGTCCTCCTGTGAAGGCCAGATGCACCCCAGAGGAGAAGAATGGGTCGATGAATGCTTGATAATCGTCAATTGCGAGTACCACAAAATATCAGGGAAAAATACCTCCAGAATCCCCCGCCAGGCGGAAATGATCACCGCCATAAGAGGAAGCCGAGTAGCTGAAATCGCTCGCAGATTTCACAGCTTCCGGTGTGCCGTCGTTTCGAAGAGTGCCATTTCCAATCAATTTGAGGACTCCACGAGTTCTGCTTAATTCTTCCTTATAATGAGCCAGATGATTGGTGCTGGATGCTCCTGAGGTTGCACAGGAAGCCTTCTTCTTACGATTGCTTGACTCTTGATCCATCACAATTCCTACAGATGTGGACCCATCATGAAGAGGAATGAACCAAGCCCATCCAGACTCGTCTGCACATATTCAGCTCAGTATGACGACTTTAGGCAGATTTCATACCTTCGAGTGCTTCGACCCAGATAGCATTCTGGCGAGTGGTACCAGGCATGTAAGACCCGGTTCCGTCCCAGTATCCCCAGCATGCGACGTTGTTCAGGGCCTGATTATAGCGTCTGTTCTTGAGATACTTTGTGGACATGATCCCGTTCCTTCCTGACGCATCGACTAAGTAGCTGAAAGAGATACGGCCCTGTGCCCCGGTGCTAGCATTCCTCCAGTCGGCTGAAACAGGCCTTTCGCCCTCGAACTGAATTTCGGCGACTCTTGTGTTGTCGAACACAGTTGCGCCACACTTCGAAGCATGACGAAATAGCAAATCGTCAAATTCTGATCGAATCTACAAATCGGTAAGACAGGGAGCATGTCTCCAATATATCACCGACCACATTCCAAGACCCATTGTTTGGGTTCAGCGTGATGAAATCTGTATCTGCAACGAGGAAAGACTTTATTACAAAGGTGAACGACGATGACTGAGGCTCACATCCTTCTCGCTTGTACTGGTTCAACTTGATCGCAGCACCAGGCTATAGGAGGGCGACTGTCATATACTCTGACGTATTGAAGACTATCCACACCTTAACTGTGAACCCGTGGTTCATGATAGATTTCTCTGCACCAATAAATGTCAAGAAGGGGCGGACCGACGGAAGCAAGCTCTCGCCAATATGATATCTAGTACAGTTAGTGATTGTGTATATAGATGGCATACATCATATGCGCTGACCGAGGGAAGTTCGCAGCTTCGAGAAGGGTAACTTCAAAACCTTCTCGAGCCAATGCAGCAGCAGCGTAACTTCCGGCGGGTCCGCCGCCGACAACAAGTATTTCAGTTGAGGTTGGCTAGCCAGTATTTTAGCCTTCATAGCAGAAAAATCAATATCAGTCGCTTACGAGTGTTTGAATGGCCATTTCCACGAAGGGGTTGTATGAAAGGGACATGTTGCTACACCTTTATATATGGTATCCGCTGAGTGCATTTTACCAGTAGGGTGTGACTTGGCGGACCAGCACGGCTGAGCTTCAAGCTCAGCCGTGCTGGTCCGCCAATCTCGGGTGGGTTTGCAGGTAACCAATGTAAAATGTGCTGTCCACCACTGATTGGAGAAAAATCTTGGGAGCGCCGTTGACCGAACATGGATGTGCCAGCCTGCCGAGGCGTGGTGGTCACAACCCAAAAATCAACACAAATTTCACACATAGTACCGCCGTACCGAAACCATTCATGGCGAGTGGAAATGAGGAAAGATGTTTCATCGTTGCAAATTGCAATGGAAGTTCTACTGGAGTGTCAAATCTCGTTACAATGGCTCGTCACCGTGACGAGGCAGTGAGTTGTGATTGGGATATGGTTCGCCAGTAATGAATCACTTTGCACGATTCAGGGACGCATGTAACACCCGAGCCACTAGAATGCTGAGCCTGCACAGGAACGTACATATGAACGATGCCACAATCACAAGTTTTAAGACCAACTCACTCGTCTTGTCCCATGTACGTCCCAAACGAGGAACAGAGTGCATCATGTCTGGACAGACTCAGTCGATCCACAACTTCCTTCGGAACGTCAAGCACATTGATGATGAGTCTCTAGGAGCAGAACGAGATTTTTTGGAACGAGTTCAAGCCTTCAAGGACAGAGACAATAAAAGGGTAAGCGGGTAACTAGAGATGATAAAGTTCCTGCCCTGGGTCATGCTGACAATTGATATTGGTAGTACTTGGACGATGAAGTGTTGCACCTTTCACTATGACCTTTTAATCTGTTGACCAGCTCACTGATGAACAAATGAGAAGGTTATTTAAAGCAATATATAGTAGAGCATCACAACGAGTCAACCTTCGTAAATCTGCTGACCGCTTCCACATGCAGGGAATATTTGGCATTGTCGAGGAATTACCGGTTTGTAAGCACATGTGCCTGAGTAGTGATATTTGCTGAATGATCTCTTTCATCTAAGAAAACATAAACGGGTGCAGGTTCGTGAAGTTCAATACGGACAGATACTGAGAGGGAAAAGAAAGGACGTTTGCGATGTGTGAAGGTGAAAGACACTACGGTGATGTCAGTCATTAGTGATGCGGATACATGTCGTTTAGTCCGTTGCGCAATCTTGCAGCTAACTTGCTCAAGGGTTAAACGTTAAATTTTGTGCTAGACTGAGAACACTACAAGAAAAATCTGGAGGTGAAAAAAAAACGACAAAATGTTCCCCAATCAGCAACGATACATCGATTACCTGCGATGGTAACGCTCGAGCCAGGCGAACCGCAAGTGCCATATTGAAAGCAACGTTCAAGATATTGAATCATTGTCTGCTACATATCATATTGATTGGGGATCCGTGCGAAAAAGCGTTACCTTTCAATGCGTTCGATAACAATCCCCTGCTGGTCGTGACGTCGCAATGTCGCAAACTTGTCAGCGACTCCTTGTCCAAATTTGCATACATCCATGACTATGTACCGATCACTCTAATTTCTTGCAGTATAGATAGCTGTGTCTGAGAGGAACAGAATTACATCCCTCTATAGTCCCCACGACTACAATATCACGGACCGATGAATTTACTGGTGACGTTCAAGGTGTCACTTCAGATTCAAAATGTCGCCATTAATATTGGCGACTAGTTGTGGATGAATTCAATCATGACGGAGAAGATGATGCATGACCAGTGATAGGCCAAGACAACATTGATGTCGTTCAAGTTGTCAGGATTGATGCATGATGTTGTGCAGTTTAGACTCTACATAAGTAATCTGGAATCAGCACCGTGCACGACCGACCTAAGACTGAGTTCAGCAGCCGAAATTTCCGTGCTTGCCGCGGTTGTGACGCGGCATAAATCCTTGCTCGTGTCAATGACAACGCATTTATGACATCCCAGTATTTAGCTGATGTCAGAATAATTGTCAAAACAAAAAAAAAAGCATGCAAAGATTCAATTATTCCTAAGGCCTAATTGGCAGTATTGTCCATCCACATCTAATAACATTCTACCGTGGTGCAGGCAGCCCACTCGCAGTTGCCCCAATCTCAGTCAGCTCTATCAATGGGTCTAACTTGCCTTTGAACTCAGGCAGGAACGCCGCATCGGTATATGGACAGCGGCCAGATGGCGAGCCTTTGTAGATGGGGGTGTATGTGGCTGCACAGATCTCAAACTCTGTGAACTCATCATACGAGACCTCAACTGTGTTCCGGGGATTGCGATCCCCTGCTGCGATGCGTTGACGAGCCTTCACATACGGGTTAGCGAGAGGCAATGAACAAACTAAAAGAATCGGGAACATACCTGTGCAACAATTTTGGGATCGGGATTAAGGTCAAGAAGGCGACGTGCCAGTTTGGCAGCGGTTGCATGGTTGTTGGCTTTGGCAAACACACCGATAGCGCTCCGTAGTGCGATCTGCATGTGTTGTGGCTGTAACTGACAGTGCGTGAAATATGCGGCGAGTTCAAGGTTCCGGCGAATATTGTCAGGTTCAGCCTGTGCGATACGTCGCCGCTCAAGCTCAATGGAAACGCCGAGGAGATACTCTCGGGCAGCTGTCACAGTGTCTCGCCACTGGTGGTATAATTAGTCGGCATTGATATCGAATGGACTGATAACACTTACTTCTTTGGCCTCATTATCTGATGAGACAACCATAAGTAGCAATGCTAGCAACACCGACCGGAATGTTGCCTGAGCCTCTGACAACTTGTTTCCGGAAACGAAGCGGTATCCCTCCGACAGTTCTGTGCGGATCGAAGAAAGCGTACGAGCAGCAACAGGAAGTACCCGTCCAGGTGAGGTCTCCTCGGGGTTCCTCCGAATATGCAATTGCAATGGCGGCAACGAAGCGATTGGGGATACGTAGACGTGTGATGAACGGTAGATAGACAAGAACGATGGCTTCAAGAGTGCAAAGTTCACAACGCCCAGCTGTCGGTTGAGAAGCTAGTTATAGAGTAATTGAGTGTCTATTCGGAACGGGGGAGTAACATGTAGCTCACCTGCATGGCGGTGTCGAATGATCCTGCTGCAACATGTTCGGCTGCGAACGGCGAGTTCCGGACCCAAAGTTCGTTCTCGCTCACACCAGGTGCAGCGCCGGCCCCAAGGTCCTCCTCTTCAAGGGCATCCTCAAACTCTTCATCTACATCTTTCTCCTCATCATCTTCCGCCTCTGCGTCAAGCTCCCATCCGTCTTCCTCTACATCTGGTTCCTCATCCTTCGCCCACTCATCTAGGGCGGTAGAGGCGCCTGCACCTGAGTCCAAGCCATTGCCATTGATGTGAGGTATATCACTGTCCCCATCAAGATGACCGTTGGCGAGCGCACGGTCAAAGAAAGATTCTCCCATGGAAATAGATGGCCAATTAAGGTTGGATGTAGGAGTGACAACAGGCGGGGTTTGGAGGGTACACTTTCCAAATGCAGGGACATCGTCCACGTCGGCCTCGGTAAGGCCAGCTGCCTCGAGGATTTCAGCTGCTTCTTCCTCCAAACCATTCGTCTTCGCTGTGAGATATGCCAGGGGGTCTGGGACGAAGTGTCAAGTCTTGAAAACCAAGCTAAAGGAATGTACTTACGAAGCCCGACTTCGCGCAAAACAGTAATACGTCCAAGGACATCGCCGGCATAAAGCGCATTGTGGAAGCGCGACATGGGGTTACCTCGTGCGTCTGCAATTTTCTGCATTTTGGAAAGCTTTTCTGTACTGCCTGTGGCGAGATACAAAAACGACAGGCGGTCGAAGTTCTTAGTTTGCTGATAGGCCTTTTCGACAATCTGAGATGGAAAAAATTGACTGTTGAACAACACGCAAGGAAAGAAGCAAACCTTGTGGTTGCCCTGCTTCAAGGCTTGTTGCGCTAGACGGTCCCAACACTCAGGCCGGTCGATCGCTCTTGCAGTCTCGAGTGCGACATCCAAGTTTCCACACTCGATTGCAAGATCAAATCTGGTGTTCTTGTCTTGCACAAAGTGTAGTGCAATCTGTACTTTGCATGAACCTTCCATATTTCAAGGATCTGCACTTGAAAACAAACCTCCGGGAAGCCCTTTTGCTGAAGATACGCAATGATGCTCTGCCCAAGCAATGTCGATGTGCGGATGATATGGAGCATCTCGTCGTAGTTATTGCGCAGGAGCGCGAGTTTGAAGCGGTACTCAGTCGGGTCGAACGTGATAGTGCGTGGGCGTGCAGATCGGTCCAGGCAATGAGCGGTTTTACCCTTGACACGGGTAAGGTAGACAGGATTGTCGAGTGTACAGATGACGCCATGGTCACTGAGAAAGCAGATAGATCAGCTGCATGTAAGCTAGCGGAAGGAAGCTCAGTACCCTTGAGGCAAGCAGTACTTGATATGGTTGAGCGTAGAGTAGATAAAAACGCCTGTGTCATCCCAAGCCCCGGACTTGATCCGTATCGTCTCATGGATAAGGCTGTTTTGCGAGAAATTTTTGTTGGCGATAGTAATTGCTGTCCATGGCTTTGAACTCAGCCCGACGAACTGTGTAGTATGGACTCACTGTGTTTGCTCATCAACGCGACCAGTGACCCATCTGCGTTCCAAACGACATATTTAACAGGTGGGCTGTTCAACTCTGCGATCGTTTTCTGCTGTTGGATATCATACAACACAACGGTAGTTGTTGAACTGAGAATTAGGCAGGCTGTACCACCGTAGAAAATTTCATTAGTCTGGGCTGGGGGTTTGATGGTTTTTACGACTGAATTCGACAAGTCGCGGACTTCAATGAGCTGCGAAGATTATTAGAATGATAATCTTTGACCGGAAGATTGGAGCGACTACCTGGGAGGTTTTGTTGAGCACTGCAAACCGATTTCTTGCAACAAAGATTGCGCTGTGAGCCGAGCCGCGCTTTCCATCTGCAGATGAGTCTTTAACCTCGCCATTGGACTGCGTCGGCAGTGAAGAAAGCTCAAACAACCCGTTATCCGACGAAATGGTGACCACAACAGCGCGTTCGGCAGGGTTGTAGCTCACGGTACGCGGAGGAACATACGGGCTTCCGAACTTCCTTACGCTCAGCAAGCCGATGTCTGAACCCGAGTTGAAGTCGTAAGTGCGCACATACTTGTCACGGATGTAGTAAAGCATATCCCCGTGCACGGTAAACGCGGGTCGTTCGCGCTCGAGCTTGAACACAATCAGACCACCATCATGTCCTGCTGCAAACAAATTGAGGTTTGGGTGTGCAGCCAATATCCAGAACCTGTCGTTCTCCCGCCTGAACGTCTGGATTGCCGTCCGCTTGGCCAGATCCCAAACTCGGACAGTCTTGTCCTCTGCGCAAGACACGATCAACTCGTGCTTTGGGTGGAATATCGCACTTGACACGCTGTTGAAGTGACCTCTGCATGAATCAACCTCCCACGCCCGGGTCTCGCTCATTCGCCAAATCTTGATCGTCCGATCATCGGCTGCGGACACGATCAACGGTAGCGTGGGGTGGAACGAAGCCCAGTTTACACCACGATCATGGCCTTCCAGCACGTACTTGACCGTGGAGAACGTGTCAAACGTCTCAAAGTTGTTGGGGCCATTGTTTGGTGTATTCTTGCGCAGGCCGGAGATGTCCCAAACTCGTACGGTTTGGTCCATCGACGTTGAGACGATGAGATCGTCTTTTGGGTGGAATTGTGCGGACATAACATAATGAGAGTGCCCTGTCAAAATTGCGACACAATGCCGCGAGGTGCTGTTCCATATCCGAATAGTCTGATCATCGGACGCCGACAACTGCATATTCCGATAACATTCAGTAAACTATCTGATGGAAAGCGAAACATCACTTACAATCCATGGCATTTCGTGGTGGAACTGAACGGTTCGGACATAGTCGAGATGACCGTGCAGAGTGAATAGACACCTTCTGCTCTGAGGTTTCAGGTCTTACCATGCTCATGAGCGTGATGTTTAGGAAATAGAAACCGCACTCACCCCATACTTTGATCTTGTAGTCGTCGCCTCCAGTAACCAGTAGTGCTCGACTCGGATGAATTGCGACACCCCGCACAGGTCCTAATAGTCAATTAAATGAGATAGATATCGCAGATATTGCAATTTGAATGAACTTTACCCTCGTGTTCTTCGAATCGATCCACTAATACGCCCATTCGGTAATTCCAGAGCTGAACACTTCCATTGTGAAGTGCGGCGGCAAGCAGTGGTTGAGTCGGATGAAAAGCAAGTCCTATGACACGCAGCTGAATGATGAACTCATGACAAGCTTGGAAACGTACATACCTTTAACGCGATTGCTCTTGGACTCGAACTTCGTGAGCATCACCGACATCTTGAGCGTGAACTCCTTTCAGTCGCGTAAATACCAAGTATTTTTTCCTGTCTAATAACTAGGCTGTAGATGATTATATCGGTAGGTCAAGGAGCCCGGGTTATTCGCAAAGGAAGGCCGTCGTCGTCGCAACGTTGATCGTGCAGCTCACTTGCAAGCGCTGTAAGCCACGACATCACGGTGGCGGAGTTTATAAAAAGCTAAGAAAGGAAATTAATGATGGTATTGCAGAAACTTGTCAGGAACCGTTCCAAGTTTCCAATGGGACAGGAGGTTGCCTTCTGCTAATACTCGGTTTTCGACGTTGAACGACAGAAACTGCAGTACGCATGGGAGTTCTAGGTCTTACCCCATTTTTGCAGAAAACCTGGTGAGCTCCAGTCCAGCTTTCTCTGCTCCGAGTCACATCTGACCTGCATCAGCCCGGAAGTTATCAGAAAACTTCCAGACCGCCTCCGATCTCTCTGCGGTAAGACCATTGTCATGTAAGCTCTTCGTCTGACTAATTACACCAACTCATCTTTGATCAAATTAGTGATGGCACCCTTATAACCCAGCGCCTTCACTTCGCACCCATGCCTCATCCGCATAGACACATCCTCGGGTGGCATCGCATAATCACGGAACTCAAAGAGTGTAATGTGCATGCAATTTGCGTATTTGATGGTAGAGACCGCAGCATTGCCAAAGCTCGAGAGGTAAGTCACCACAATAGTCGGAGATACTTTAGGTGGACATCTTTCTCAGGTAGAACGACGCAGGGAGATACGGAGACTGGATGCAGCTCGTTCATCTATTGAGGTGGAGAGACTGAGCAGACTTCAGAAGTTGATGCGATTACTACCGCAATATCATTCCATGGAACCACCAGACCGTAGGCGTATCACCAACGCGTTACAACACCTAGCAGTGGCTCCAAGGACCATCCCTACGTACTTCCAGCCTTCTTTTTCACCATCGGATATCCTTCAGAATGATGTGAACTCAGTTACGACTTGCTCTCAGACTCGTCTATTTGGTGCTTCTGAATTTGAGCAAGTCTGCAATGTTCTATCATCCCAGTCGGAGGAAGATACCCTTTCGGCAATCTACGATTCTGTTAACATGTCAGATGAAGACATGAAAGAGATTCTTCTCGCTCGTATAGGTCAATCAGTTGCCGTCATCCCGCCTAACGATACCAAGTCATGGCCAGACCATATAAATAATTCGACGTTGGATCCGGGTGCTTCCCTTGTTGAAGGCGTATCCAACCTTCGAGTGCAAGACCTCCCTCCTGGCCCAAGCATCATACAAAGTGAACTTCGAGAAGCTGATTTTCAAACCTCTCAAGACGTGATTTTTGCCACTGTCGTGGATTCCGTACCTCCAACAGAGGATGTGATTTCTGCGCTCTCCTCCCTATATCAAGAATATCGCGACTGCGTCGCACAGATCACCTTACTACCCTCTACCGTAGAGGTTCCAGAGTCGCCAGATGAGACTCGTGCCGAGTACATCATGTCCAAGTCCCAACTTCAAATGACAATAGAGGAGGGTCAAATATGGGATACACTTGCAGACGCTCCTGAAACTGCCCTTGCAACGCTGGCTGAAAAGAGTGGTGTTCTTTCCGAGTCTTACGCTCGCCGGTCGAGTCCTCCTACCACCCAGACTTACGAGGAGAGCAAGGAGATACTGCGCGCCATGGGTGTGCCGTGCATCGAATCAGAGGGTCCTTTGAAGCAGAGGCTCTCGCATCCTCACTCGTTATCCATGGAATAGCTGATTATGTTGCAAGCGAAGATACGGTATGGCCTTTTTAGGATGCTACGCGTGAACCCTTATTCATTCTTCACCTAGGACGTCCTCGTCTACGAGGCTCCCCTCATTCGGAATATCGCCAATAGAAATGATCCACTGATCCTTGTTCATGGGTCCCACGTTCGTACTGCTCTCCAGCTCTCCAAATCCGCATATATCGACTTCCTCTTGCTCCTCGGCACGGACTTCTCCCAACGGATCAAGAACGTTGGTCCTCAGCGTGCACTCAAATTTATCCGCGAACATGGCAGCATTGAGCGTGTAATCACACAAGAACACAAGTACCCGCCGCGGCTCTCCAAACAGTTGTACCTAGAACAAGTAGGCATCGCTCGGCTTGCATTCGCAACGCTGCCCCCTATTCCGGACCCTGAAACACTGAAGCAACACGATGTAAACCACGCGAAGGTTGCAGCCATTGTACAAAAGTATAGATTACAGAGTGTACTGCCCCATCAGTGGAATTACGGTACTGCGTTGGAGGGCAATTATTTTGCTGACAATCCCAGGGCAAGGTAGTTGGTGCCCTCCGCACGCGCACTTCATGGTTTGATCCAACGTTTGTCTCTAAGTCTTTTTAGACAATTGCATAATTACATCATCAGGCCGCTCTTGTCATTCACGTCGGTTGACGTTGACATATACAATAATTGAATGAATACCGTGATATACGATATCCAGCATCCAGCCTGTTTCGGCTCTCGTGACGATGACTACTTCTACTCCACCGCCCCTACGTCCGCCCAGCAATCCACGGTTTCCGCAACTCCCGCTACAAGTCCCATGTCTTCGTCGGTCACATCCCCAAGCATCCCCACCACCTCCAGCACTTCTATCTTATCTATATCTATCAGTCCTACAAACTATGCCGTCCACGGTCAGTGCTGGACTTTCTGACAAAATATAGATGAAGGACCGTCCGGTAGGTCTCCACGACGGCCGTGACTTTGCACACTACCTCCATGGTTTCAGGACTATCTGGTGTCATCCTTTATACTACCATCACTACAAGCGTACTATGCCAATCTCGCCAGCTGTCCACTATGGATCCATCACTTTTTTGCCCCCTTTGATGATGTATTGGGTGAAAGTTACCCTACACATCATGCTCCGTCTCATGCACCATCTCTCACTCCCCTTCAAGCCATCTGTCCTTACGTTATTGTTGCTTCTATATTTTTGTGTGCATGCTGGCTTCCCAGTCTCTACGTGATTGCGAGGTCTTTCCCCGAAAACGTCACATACACAATGTTACTCTTCTGCCCTGTCCGACTACCCCGCGCCACCTCTCCCCTGCCTGTGAAGGGTCCTTCGATGTTTGAATATGTATGTGAACGAACCTCTCCTCGTGGTTACCTATTTGACGCTGCTTACCACAGTATTTGTTCACCGCGGACTTTTCTCGATTTTGGCGCTTGTATCGGTATTGATATGGGTTGCTTTTATGTGGGGGACTTTTCGGCCTCGTTGGTCCACGGTGTAGAACCTTTATTGTGCACGTTCCGGGGGCCGTTCTAATTCGACACCATCTTTCAGTGGTGGGTTAATTAAGTACGTACCTGACACACCACCTGTATCGCTCAAATGTAACCGCACAAGTCAAATGTACGAAAACATGCCTCACCCCCTGTTCGTCCCTGCCAATTTGAATGCTTGTGATAGGCGAAATGTCTCATCACTGGACCCCTCAGATATCTAGCATGTCGTAACCTGTCGTAACGTCTTCAGAGCGATCCTCGCCAATCTGTGCGTTCCTGGCAACACTGCGGTGACTGCCAAGTGGTCTCAGCCAGACCGTCCTGATTAATATGTGCGTTCCTGCAAGGCGACACTAGCGATCACTCTCAGTGCCCACCCCGCCCAAGGTTTTACTGTCTTTCCGTCAAGTTCGAATCTCACTCCGCACATATTTCTTCCATCGTGACAAATGTTATTACTGGTGAAAGCTGGGATACTTATGATGACGCCGAGGAACGATTCTGCATTTTGTAGTTTCTATATATTGATATAATCTGATGAGAGAGCTGCGCAATACAGCATGAGGGGGTGGACACAGATTGACTCCGAGTCACCGTGTGGTTATATGTTTCAGACTAGTAGTCAAGATTCTCGCCTATTTATTCGAGGGATAAAACATGAACTTGACTATATACGTAAAGAAATTGCCCAGGATACAGTACTGCGTCCGTGTCCGGCGTACGCACAAAAGCGCTCAGAAATATATCAAGTCCGCCGACAGGCGCGCGCGAATTAATCAGCCCTAGATCGCATTCACGACTGTAGTGTACAGGAACAAGCTCAAGCGGCAAGCCACTGGCCCAAGGTCCCCACGGACATATGTATTTAGCAAGTTACAGATAGCAGCTGTAGTTGTTTCCTTCCAACAAGGACTTTAGGCGCTGGTGATGGAAGCTCTCCTGCCATCCTGCAGCACTGAACAGGCCCGAATTTAAACGAGCTAGACTCTGAGCAAGATTTCGTCTGTTCCATATTTCGTGGTTTATTTAGTATACAACTTCTTAGGATTCATGATCACATCATACTAGTAACTTCGAAACCACATTGGTTATCTCTCTTTGCACTTTCTCTGCAGATGTCGCTGATGATCTACTTCCCATATCGTTTGGGATCGACATGGCGAGGAGGAAGAGATGATGGCCTAATATATTGACCCCGTCAGACGGCAGCTCTGATATGATAAAAACTACGTACTTCTGAGAGATGGATTGGCTATTGGGCTGGCTCTGGTTATTCTTTCCTTGATTCTTGTCCTCTTGGATTCTGCGGGCGGTACTGAGAGACACAGCCCTCGGATCAGTAGGGCCCCTGGAACTGAACCTGGACAATGTGTCACCTTATCGTACACTGCACCAGAATTAAAATAAAATACCTGGAATCCTCAGAGGGCTCGAATGTAATTTCTTCTGGGGAAAATTCTTCCTCCTCTGAATCTTCCTCAATTAATTCATCATGAAGTTCCGGAACGTTATCATCGTGATTCCTGTATTGTTATGAGATCTTGCATATCTACCGTGTTCAATAAGAGTGCACTTGCTGGGAATGGGTATACGGTGTTCCATTAGGGACATCTTCTACGCGTTTGGACATCTTAGCGTACAGTTATGTCTTCGTGCAGCAGAGGGAGCAGTTATGCGAAGTGAATCAAATCAAAAGCCAAATAGTGGACAGGGAAGCGTGAGCAATCAGAGGAACGTGTATATGCGGCTGGAGCGGCTGGACCTAAATTTGTGTCTGTACATAACCGCCTGGCCATGAGGATAAGCGCTAAATCCTGATAACGCAAGCGCCGTTAACTCTCCCATACCATGCTGTTTGATTGAGTTTGATAGACGTAAACGGACAGTGAGTGCCAAACTGTATTGAATATTCCGTTGATCGTTTGGCCTGTTCAAAGGTAGATGCCAAATCTCGATAAAATCATCAAGAGTATCATTTATCTGGGCGCTAGGCGTGGTTGACTCGTGGGTCATACGGGCGTCATTTGGAAGTGGAATGCCGAACAGATAGGGCCAACTGGCCACTAGCGTAAATCAATCTATGGCCCTGCTTGTACGATAGTACACATTAGTTCTGGTGGCAGGAAATGACTTAGAATTTGGACCGGTGAGAGGACAATAACTTGCCATTGAAATTAGGGCACTGACTATTGCGTTCATGTTTTTTTACCCCTGACTGGCTGGATACGAATGGCACGCTAATAAATGCCTCACATATCAGCAGGCGCGTTCAACGAGCTTCTGTGGCAATCAATGCTTCCGAAGCCTGCGGAAGAAACGCGATAGGCATGTTCAAATTTCGAGTCAGGAAGACGTACTGACGAAGTCACAGTGGCTATCCCATATGAATTATTACCGCCTGCCAGTGATAATTGACTGTGGAGTCTGGAAGATATTGCTGGCAATGGCGCTGTGAAGCATTACAGCGCTGGTTTGGCTATGGAGATCCAAATTTTCCTTCTGGTAGCGCTTGTATGGCCAAAACCAATGGCATCAGCCATGGCCTACTAGTACTAGGAGGACAATCCGAGTGCATTCTGAAGTTGGTTTTGAGCCACATGGCGCATGACTCCTGCTAATGGGCCCTATTGTTGCTGCGGCCTGCCTTGCCTGACCCATGCAGCACCCTGAAAAGTCAACACGCAGAAACCGACAATCACCGGTTGCGAATTGTCGTGGTGTATACCACACCCGAATACCAGTACGATCTAGAGATTGTCGGACTCGCGCGACTTAATTATTAATATGATCGAATTTCCGGTGAATATCACATAATCCTTCCTCAGGCCACAGCATGTAAACCCCCATCAGGGCCCACCAGTACCCACCAGGCCAACAATAAGTAAAATGGTGGCTCAGCGCTCAATATTCAATCGCCGTGATTGATCGTGATATGGTGTTACTCTGACCCGCATATACTAATAGTACGCCACTTCAAGAACTTCGTCTTTCCATTTGTCACCCACTGAGTTTGTTCTGGTAGCACCAAGCATTCAATTGGCACCACTTCAACTTCAACACACCATAACGATATGGCATCTTCACTGAACCTAGTCAAGGAACTCAGGCCCGTGACTTCGACAACCACCAGACGGTATGGGAAATTGCTCTGGTAGGTTCTTGCAAACCATCCTGCATGGTATCCATTCATTCATTCTCCACCGAGGGTGGATGCATACCACACTACAACTGCGCCTGGGTTGCGACTTCGTACCAGGTGAACTCACTTACCGGTGACTGACCTGTGGACTTGAACTGACCTTGACCAACGTCCCAGCACCAAGTCCAATTGGCTCTCTTTTATCCACCCAGAAGGGCAACTGTATTTTCACATGAAACGTGGCCATTTATCGGTTGTCACAGAGGAGAACGTATTAAATGCTGAAACGGACAATCTGGTGTCCAGCTATCTAGCAGTAATCGAAAAAAGGATCCTCGAATGTGGCATGATATTGCCAGAAACATGCGAGCTCTTCGTTGAGCTTCGGTTTGACGAACCACCACAAACGTCTACATGTGCATATTATTTCGTGGATCATCATAGTCGCTGCCTCTTCTGGCTCGAGCCCACCTCATCGGAACTGCTGGACATGGGCATGTTGGTGTCTGACTCACACTTGGGTGCGTGTTCAGTTTTCTTTACAATAATAGTTGGTTGAGTTTCAACAGATACTGCGTTGGAAAGACTCTACTGGGTGCATGTCGAGTTTTTCCCGATGCACGTCTTTGCACAGATGACGCCACTCATTTTGAACAACTTGATCAGTGTCATCTGTCACGGTATGACAGGTATGCTATTTTGCCTATCTCAGTTTGCCTATGACGTGACACGCGTTTAGATCGTATGACGTCGCGCACTTCCACATTCCCATACACGGAGGAAAAGTGCGATCAACTTCTGCGGGTGTTATCCTTACGACGAGGTATGTAGACAATTGTTGCAAAAAAGTTCATGGCCTCACTATTATGCAAGGCGAACCCTTAGATGGCTATACATTGTGTTTTGTTGGTAAGAAGCATGATTTACACATGTTATCCAAAGCTGACACGCTTTAAGCTCGTCTTTGGGGTGCAATCAGTCAGTTGTGAAAATTTTGCCATTTCTTTATAGTGCTGAACAGTTGAAAGATAATCAACGATTCATGACGTACTATGGTCAAGAAAATGCCCAGCTGGACAGACTGCAGCCACCGATGCCAGAAGACATAGTTGATCGCCCAGGGATGCGTTCACTGGCAAATCTGACGTTGTGGGGGATCCCTAACCACCACTACTCCAAGCTTCATGACCTGTTCGTTCACGACCAGGTGTATGTTGATCACTGGCAGGCTTTCATGACTGCACGTGTCTCGGAATGGAGAGAATTGATTGTGTGGGTACGTCGTTCGTCTCATGTAATATATTAGCTTCGGTAGCTGAGCTGGTATGCAGGCATTTTCGGTCTTGATGTCAGTCTAATCTCGGGGTTTCGTTGATTTTGATTTTGATGATCATCTCACAGTGCCAGCATTCTCATTTCGATGCTACCGCGTGCTTCGTTGTCATCTGCTATGGCACCAATTCTTGCAGCATCCTCAAGCATCTTGTCGGGATCAATCCTGCTCCTGAGACACCATGGTTTTGAAGATGCAACCGCCTCGTTTGCTGTTCGCACTTTCCCCTATCTCCGATCGATACAACTTGACTCACCTTCCTTCCAGGCGAACTTCCTCCGCACAGCAAAATCGTCTGATTGGGGCTTCCTGCCCTTATCTATTGCATACAGCATGCCAAAAGCGATGTACTTATGGAGCATGGGACTTATGGTTGCTCAATTCATATTCTGGGTCTCCCGCATGGTTGGCGTCTTTTGGGCGTCAGGCGGAGCTGGCTTGCTAGCGCTAATGGCCCATGGCATCCTCCATTTCACATCTTTGGAGGACGATCACTCCGATCTCATGGCCACCATGCTGCGCAACCATTGGCAAACATTCCAAAGTAGTTCAGCAGAAGCCGCCGAAACTTTGACAGTATGAATCCAATATCAATCTTCTTTTTCATCAATCTTTCAATGGTATATGTTCGCAAGGCTGTACTTCTGGCACGAGTCACGCTTACGCTTCTCATAGGTGGTTTCTTTTGCGGGTTTGCTGTTAGACAGTGCACCCTAAACGTTTAAACGTCTATAGCCAGTGGGGTGACACATAGTCCACACTATAAAGGATGTCGAAGAGCAATTTATGTATCATATTACGAAAATTTCCGAGTTCGTATCACGGTCGTTGAAGCATTCGAAGCAACTTCAATATAAGCAGAATATATGTTAGACGGACTAAAGTTGCGAAGTAGCTAGCACATCCAAGTACCTATGCACAAGAAACCGAAAACGACAGCATGGAATAAATTATTTGAACCACACCTCACACCTCATTTCGCAATATCAAACTAAAGCACGGCTCGCAAAATGGCTTGTTATCACGCAGAAAGAACGACGGATCATCAAACGGTGTTTTGCAGCCCTGAAAGTGCAACTCGGTATCAGCTCAGCATCCACGAGAAGGGAAATCACATACCTCGCACACAAAACACTCCCAACACCATTTGCCTCCTAAAGCCTCAACAGCGCGCATTCCGTCCCTAATTGACTTCTTGCAATGCTTGCATTTGGGCATTCGCAGGCGGACGTGGCATGCCTCGCAGTATGGGTGGCCCTTGTACACCGTGAAACCAACGTCGTCGTCAAGATCGAACTCGCCATCACCCGTAACCGTGAACCCGACACTCCCAGAAGACGGTGGGAGGAACGGGTCGCCACACTCCGCACAAAAAAAGTGCTGCTCGTGGTAAGTCCGCTTTCCCAGCGCCTCGTCGTCAAGCGTGATGAACCGCTCGTCGATAATCGCCGTTTTGCAGTGATAGCAACGAGGCGCAAAGTTCTGCGTGACGTTGGAGTTAAAATCGTTATGTAACAAAAGGGTGTCGGGAGAACGAACCTCGTGGTAATCAAGATGACAATACGGTTTTCCCTCGTGTTCGAAGCTCGAGACATGCTCGAGGAGCTCATTACATGCAGAGCAACGGAAACATCCTGGGTGCCAGCGCTGTCCCATTGCACTGACGATACGTCCAATAATTGGACCACCACATCCTGCGCATGATAGCCCATTCCCACGCATCCCTTTCAGCACTCTTGATAACTTTGCCTCCATTCTGCACATCGAACACATTGTTTCTGTCCTCCTGCATCTTTTAGTCCATTTCTCGCCTGGAGGTGGCGGGAGACGTTTTCAGCTCATGAGATGGTGCTGATGTGCGCCACGAGCTAGGTGGCCTTGGAGAGGAACTCGGAATGGATACAGATAGCTGGGGTGTAGAGGGTGATGATACAGATATTTGTCGCAAGGACGGTGAGAATGCAGAAATTTGTGGAGAAGAAGGCTGATGATCCAGACACTGCTATACGAGGTGGAGACGAGCCTGACACTGCGATACGTGGCGGCGTTGATGCGTTAGCAGCTACACGCGGCGGCGTTGAACTAGTAACAGCCACCCTCGGCGGCGTAGCACGCGAACCCGCCACTCTCGGCGGCGTAGCGCTCGAAACACTAATCCTTGGCGGCGACTCCTGCGTCTTGTTCGATGGTACCGTGTCACCACCTCCATTATCACAGTCCTGATCAAAATCAACATGCCCGCCAGGGAGAGAGATGACCGGCACGCCCACATCCGTGCGTCTGCCCTCATCATCCCCACGCTCTGTAGCACCTCTGGACGCTGGCGTGCGATGCCACCTCGGCGCAACCTGCTCACCTACAAAATCCATCTCCAATACGGAGAACTGATTAGAGGAGCGCTTCGCGAAACGGATGGGCGAGGGCGAACGCTCATCCTCGTCGTCCTCATTGCAATAACCATAGTCTATATCCTTATTTGCGGGGCCTCTGGAGATTGAACGTCCCCCCACGCGTGCCCCAGGATCTGAAGGGGAAGGCGAGCGGGACACACTAGGCGAAGGCAGACCCACACGCTCGCGGAGCGGCGAAACAGGTGGCTCATCGTCGAGGTCGTATGTAGACACGTATGCACGCTGCTTTTGGCGCTGACGCTCCATGATGTGTGAATTTGATGTGGTCGAATGAGATGAACTCGTGGGGAACGAAGATGGGAACGCGGTGGGTGGGAACGCATTCCGTGCGTTTGAGTTGCTAAGGTAGGCTAGTTTCGGCGGGGAGGACGAAGAAGGTAACGTTGGCGATGCGTACGTATTGGATGATTTTTGTGGTGAATTGGAACGTGAATCCTGATTTTGTGGGCCAAACGGGCCTTTTCCGCCACTCGTTTTTCGTGGGGAGGGGAACACGGGAGTGCTTCCTGCCTCGGCGCGTACGGGGGGTGTCGGTAGGGGTGATTTTGATGGCGATGTAGGGCGTGAAAACGACGGAGGCACAGAACTCTTGAGTGGAGATGCAGGACGCGCGAAAGCGGATCGTGCAGGCGAGCTGTTTACGTTATTATCAAATGCAGAGGCATTTAAACCAGGTGAAAAGGGTCGGGTTCCAGCAGGTGATAGCGGTGCGCGGGGAAGCGGCGGGATGTTCTGTGGCCACTGGCTGCGCGTAGGTAAAGGTTCACGTATGGGGGATTGTTCAGGTGCAGGTGACATGCTTCGGCGTTCCTGCTCCCGCACCAAGCTTCGACTCCTGCCTGATACCCGTCTCTCCATTGGGGCGGACGCAAAAGGATGCCTTTGGAGTCCCTCGATTACAGATTTACCACGCTGTAAAGATGGGCGTTTAGACAGGTTTTCAAGTTCTTCTTCCTTTGCAGATGGCACACGCTGCAGAAGCGGGTGGCTCCCGAGGTCAAAGCTCGGCGAAGATGAGCGCGAACTTTGCATCGAACTCTGCATCGAGGGATTTCTGCTTAGATCGATTTGCATGTTGTGCGAGGGTGAGTGAGGTGAAGTGGATAGTCCGAGTGCGGCCATGCGCAGTGTGAGCGATTGTGGTTCATTATCCTGGATATCGTTAGGTGACTGAGATGGGGGAGTCGGGAGAGTCGCCGAGCGAGTCGGGCGCGTCCGAGTCCATTGCCTTTCCTGAATATGCGCTTGGGGTTGGGATGGTTGAGCGCGCCGAGGGAGGTCGCGGATGCCGTATTGCGGGGACACATTGCCTGGTTCTCCCACACTACGTATGTTGCGAGCCTCATTCTGTTCGTTATACCTACCATCCTGGCGATTATAGTCTTCCCTTGTGTTACCATATCCTCTTCCTTCCTGGCGTCTATCAATTTTTTCATCATATGCGTCACCCACGTCGCTTGTATTTGACTCATCATCAGTGGTCGCAGGCATCCGTGTATGCATCGAACGCATTGTCGAAGACGATAAATGGGAGGAATCTGTGAGTGTGGACGAGGTAGAGGGTGCCTTGCTTGCCGTACGTGCCCTCTGTGAGACAGAGCTCGCTGAAACAACCAGAACAATTCAGGTACATGCGGCGGTCAACATGAGTCATCAGTACCTGGCACTAGTGGTGATCCCAGACTACCAGAGATAGGCAGAGGACGAGATGACACAACTGTTGGAGAGCGAAAGGTATCCGGTATAGGCGGACCACGCGAACTCCCTTTCAGATGTGAAATTGATGAACGGTCAGAGTACTAAAGCGACAAATAAATACCTGGTTCTGGAGGCCATCGCGAACTGCTTGGAACTGACTGGCCCTGCGAGGAACCTGGGATAGCTGGAGGGGAACGCGAACTTCCTGGAAATATTATTTAAAGTTGAATATCGCACTTATTATAATTACTATTACCTGGAATTGGAGGCGAGTGTGAACTACCCAGTTCGGCAGGACTACGTGAACTGCCTATGAATAAGATGCCCCGTGACTCCAACTGTGATATTTTTAATGATTAGAAGACGGACCTGGAAGTGGGGGTACCGGTGGAGACCTATTGCCAATAGACGGCAAAGGACGACGGCCGGATGATGTTTGTGTTTGGGCGCGATGAATGACTGTCTGGGCACGATCTATGACACTTGCGGGATTGCGCTCTGGGCTTGCTGGAAGGGTGGAGGAATAGCTGGTTGATGTCGCAGGAGGGGGAAACCCTTTGTTAGCAAGATTTAATGGAGCAGCCGAGCCAGACACTGTGCTCCTGCGTTCCATGATTGGACCCACACGTGAAGACGACTCATTGGGCTGTGGTGATGGCCCGGGCCCGGGCAGGTCACGTTTCCAGTGAGGGGTGAATTTGGCCGGTGCAGAAGAGAGTGGAAGAGCTGAAAGTGTGTGAAAAATGAAGTCAAGTAAGAGAAGAAAACAGACATACCCTGCACATCTATATGTGAAACGACATGGGGGTAGCTAGATGCTGGGACCGGGCCGCTGAAACTATGGGGTGGCGTATTGTGAAAGCTTGCAGAAGTAGGTGAATTCGAGTGAGCTGATGGGGGTTGATTTGGGAAAGCAGACGTGCTAGATGAAGGGGCTGCAAGACTAGAAAAGCTTGAAGCGCCACTTGCAGCAGAAAATGGGGAGAAACTAGATGAGCTGGTTTGGGAGCTTACAGCACTGTTTAGATCTGGTTCTGTTGGAATATTATTTTCCAACTGAGCACGAAGATCCAAGCTTGCATGTTTAGTTGATCTAGCACCTGGATTAGGGAGGGGACGTCTTGTATGATTATTAATGTGGGTGCTCTCGAGGGATGCAGCATGTGCGAGGATAGCAGGACGTGAAGGGGCCGGTGCCGGGATAGGTGCCGGACGTGACGGGGCCGGGGTCTGAGCAGCACGTGCAGGGGGCGGGAGGGATTCCGGACGTGACTTTGGGGTCGGAAGGGGGCGTCGGGATGGGGTAGGGTTCGGGAAAGATGTCGGTGGTGGCCGGTGTTGCTGGTGGGGGTGCGGGTATCTTAACTGGGCTGGTATCTGGATCTGCGTTGGGTGTTGGATCGGGTATCCTGGTCGGGGTGATACAGATCTGAAACCTTGAGATTGTGGTGGTGGATCCCGTGGTGCCGCTGTATATGCCATCCTCCAACCACTCAAGGCTGTTCAATGTACACCCTACCGCGTGTCCTACTAAGAGGCTGTCCACATATCATTTAACCAACGCGTACATTACATGCACAAATACACCAAAATAAATTCGGCATCTTGACATAGGTCAAGACACCTATCATGACTATTTTACAAGAGCCTATATTTACCACTAAGTGCTCTCGACTTTACCACCCCTCACACCGACCCAGTAAGACCCATTCGGCCACTCAAACTCGGCAATGCTCTCTTTGTACATCTCAATACTATACCCTTCCTTTGGATTACTCGGAACATTGTACCTCCCCCTTTTGTTCATGGTACACCTGTAGGGGAAATGCTCATGCAAGTGGTCCGCGAATTCCAACACATTTCGTTCCATCGTCCCGGAAATTGCGATGTAGTCAATCACGCTTAACCTAAGTCAGGGACACTACTTTCAGCGAAAGGATTGACACCAACCTGAGATGAATGACATATTCACATAACCCAACGCCACCGGCATGTGGACAAACAGGAACGCCGAATCTTCGAACATGGCCATTCAGCATGTCATCCGAATGAAAAAGTGAAAGTCTCCTCGTGCTCACTTTGCAGCCATCAACAACACGCTCAGCACCTCACTGACACCTGCGAGTCTACAGGAGTCGATCTGGCAAACATCGATCGCTTCTGCCTGGAACAACTGCTTGAACATTATACGGTTATGAGCATGTTCCCCAGTCGCAACTCCGATCCCGTACGGCTTGAGTGCCCGCCTGATCGCAGCGTGGCCTAGAGCATCGTCAGGTGCTGTAGGCTCTTCGATAAACCTGACAGTATCAAGGGTCAATTCTCATAACTGAAATGACAACGGATAGTACAGACCAAGGTTTGATTTCCGCCAATCCGGTCACATACTCTATTGCCTGCGGGACATCCCAAACCTGGTTCGCATCGATCATCAACACAGCACCAGTCGGACCCGCGTTCTTCCCAGCCAGCTCTGGGCTAGAAGGATCCTTGAATCCAGACGGATAATTTGCGGGGTCATCGATGATAGAGCGGATCATCTTCCCTCTGCGTAGATCATCCTTGAAGTCGGCGCCTACTTTCATCTTGAAGTGGTTGAACCCACTTGCAATGGCCTCCTTCGTAAGATGAGACACTTTCTCATCCGAATATCCTGCAGGACTACTCAGCAAAGTCAGCAGAATCAATAGGCTTCTCCTCACCAAGCCAGCCCGCTGATGTGATATATGCTGGATACCTGCGCTTGTTGGTAAGATGTGGGTAATTGAGACGTACATCGATAAACCCTTACCCAACTTCGGTAACAAGGGCTTCTCTTTCACGCTTTCCAGCCTCTTTGGCCGTAAGCATCGCAAGCGCCTCTTCACGTGTTAGCACGTCTGTGATATAACGAAACGCAGTTGCGTTTACTAACTCTTCCTGTGCATATGTTCATAGTGAATTTGAACGGGACAATCGTAAAACAATGTCACGAACTGGGGTCATGTCAACAATCAATTTCCACAGGGGTTTGCCTCTAGCACGAGCAAACATGTCCCACAAGGCGTTGTTCACTGCAGCCGTTGCAAGGTGAATCACGCCCTTCTCTGGACCAATCCTTGAAAACAAATTCAGTCAGACTACAGATATCAAGGCAAAAATCAAATAATTCAGGGAGAAGCGGCCATACATGTACATGACGGCTCTAACGTCGATTCAGCAGAACGTTCGAGCACTCACCATCGCAGCTGCGAGTCGGAGCACATCCAGTCCCAAGCTTTTCCCATATTCTCGAAAAAGCTCTCAGGATCCCGTCCGACCAAGCGTCCAGCAAGTTGGCGGATCGCATGACACACCTATAGCGCGAGGTAGGCAATGATCAGTAACATATTTCCAACAGATCGAGAGAAACAATGCAACAATAAATAGATCATCTACCAGAACTTATGACGAAGAAGTATGTACTGAAAGCGTTAAGCTTTGTTCACTCACAATGTCAGTACCACGACCAATGGTAAACGTCATTCCATGACCGATAAGCCCACTGTCAGTGTATATGGTAACATATGCTGAACTATAATCGCAATCCGTATTCCTGAGGGACGTGTGATGTAGAAGAACATAGGAAATTACGACATGGACATCAGCTCACATCGCATCAGTGCCATCACCCGTCAAAGATGTGGGAAATCGAATATCTATCATCGTCGGCAAACAAGATGATCAGCGCATACGCACAGGGCAAAGCGACAAAACTCACCATGTGTTTCGAAATGTGTGATCCTGGTTGTCATCGTAAGAGTGTTCAGCGTTGCCGATGTTCAATGGTTTGAGCGAGAGAAACAACAGCGAAAGATGTGCCACCGTACTCTCACTCTGCCTGTATTTATGGTGTCTTGGGGATGGCGCTGAGAGGCTCCACCGGTGCGAACGCTGACCCTGGATGACCAGGTGACGCATATACACATGCAAGGATATATCACAAGACAGTAAACAACAAACTTGGTCAATAGTAGTATGTGTGGTGACTGGATAGACTGCTTGGCAGCGAATATATGGGGAAGTTCGAAAGTTCTGCCCGGCCTGTCCGCCCCGGAGTCCGTCCGTTCTGTACGTCCCGTCCGCTCTGTCCCGTCCGTTCTCTTGTTCCCCGTCGCCATGATCATGCTGCTGGTCGTCTCACAGGTATCCTTAACCTGACGCTTCCACGTTTGACTCGTTGGTAACTGGCTCGAGGACATATCATTCGTGAGGTTGTGTCGCCCGGTGACGCCCAAGTTCTGAAAAATAAATTCTGAGACTTTGGAGGCGTTCCGGATAACCAAATTAGGGTCGGATGGTACAGACAGAACGAACGGGACAGACGGGACGGTCGGTCATTTCTAAAAAATTTCCGGTATATACGAACTTGCCTGCGGCACCCGGCCCGCCGGTCCGCATGAAGCTCTTCAGACATGTCCCGAACCCTCACTCGTCAAGTCTCGCTTTATCTTATTTTCAAGGCCTGGCCGCCTTATAGTAGTAGACAAGCGCTGCGTGTCTGACTCAGTTAACTTGGTAATTAACCGACCTCAGGGACCTTAGACTGCATCCACTTCGCCGTCTGCAGGCAACCGCAGTCTCTCACCGACTGAGTATGTTGCTCTGCCCATCTGTCTCCAGACTTGGTTAACTTTCACTCTAGTCAGCCCTAGACAGACATACAGAAGGAGGAGGGTTGGCTTAAAGTCTACGCGTGTGAAGGTTTCCGTTTGAAGCTGGTGAAGTTTAACTCATCAAGTGTTCGATCTATCGATTTCTTTCCATGACAGTTGGCGTTTGTCGTTTCCAATCATATGACGGACAGACGGAGACCTCTACGCTTGCTGCTTTCACGAAATTGGATTTATTGACCTCCCAGGCGTGTCGGTAGCCTTCGACTATAATTATTACCACCACAACCGCTGTCACAACCTCAAAGGCGCCGCATTTGAATCGAGTGCGTACTTTGAAGATTGTTGCATCTGAGCAGAGTACCTTGGCTTGAGCTGCAAGTACGTGTGAATGCGGCGACCGGAGAGATCGACTCGAGATCGACCTGCTGTCAATACGTCAAAGAAACTTATACACATAACCTCTCTGCGAACATGTCTGTCACAGAACCGTACCACTTAACAATGTCAGCATGCAGTAATGTGCGATCGCATGGGAGGATAGGAACTACAGAGCACAAAGATGAAGACATAAAAAGAGCGATGTATCGGGGTAAGATCGATGAAGGTTGTTGTTGGCACAGTGCATGGATGGAAACTGATGGTAAAGCAAAGGAGTTGGCTGTTACCCGGATACTTGTCCCGTCATTTTATTCCAACTCTCCCCACCACCCATCACATTAGCTCTCAGCACCGATATGACAAACACTCCCTTCCAAACCACGTGCACCAAGCAGCCTGTGCACTCAGTTCACATCCTCGAGGGTGTCTTTCTTCTCTTCAGCTGCGGCCTGTTCGCCCTCAACATCAAAGTTCTCAACGAGATCAGGCACGTCGTCATCATCATCCTCAGCGGCACCAGTAGGTGGCCTCTGTTGCCCTTGCTGGATGGCCTGGTATGATTCCGCAAGTTTACGGAGCGATGCCAGTGAATCAGGGCCAAGTTGGTTCAAGATGCCAGGGACGAGCTCAGTCAGCTCCTTGACGTGACCAGTTCCATAGATCGCAAACGTGTTGGCGGAGACCGCGGCATGTACTACACAGACGAGGAGAAAAACCCAAATTAACACGAATCTTATCTGACAGGACGCCGAACACGAGTTTATCTACTCGGAAGCGACGTAGAAATTCGTACACACCTTTTGGGGCGGTGAAATGCAGCACGTTTCCATCTTCCCTGAACATATTAACCTCCTCTACGCCAGGAATAGGTTGCACATTCAGTTTCTTGAGAGCGCCTTGGAGTTTTTTGTCATCCTGTGCGGCAGAGGGCTTGGTCTTCCGAACAATTTTCCGACGCATGGTCCCTTTACCACCTGCAACGCGTCATCATGTCAGCCTTGAGTACACATATGCGAAAAAGGAAGAAGGAATGGAAGCTACAATTTCGGAGGTTTGATAGAAATCACTTACCGATCCTGTTGGCTGCAGCCTGCGCCTGAAGTTTGGCCAATTTTGTGGGATCCATGATGTTTTGCGGCGAGGGTTCACGATGCCCTTGGTGATGCGAGGGTGAAAAGTTGCAGACTAAGGTTCAGGCACAAATATGTGTACACAAACGCTTGTACCGCGGTCCTGAATTTGTACCACAAACCTGTACGTATTTGGGTACTTCGATCACTTTGACACGTTTGGAGGGGGATTCCCCAAGTGCTTGACCATAACTTATCCTTGTAATTAACCTCAAGTCCGTCAGAAAGCTTTTGTAAGGGTCGAATACCCAGAGATGACTCTTACATTTCATGTTCGTCCGGCTAACGTAAACGACGTGGTGAGCACCTAACGCATTGTTGATGAGTGCTGTTATCAGCGTTGATAAGATCAATGACTCAGGACGCCATGCTCAAGTTGGTTCGAGATCTTGTAGGTAATCGCCTCGCCTCAAGGATCTTCATGTGCTGGAACTTCCCACTCTTATTCAGGCGACGTATGAAAAAGAACCCGAGTCTGCAAGGGCTACCCCTGCTCTGGTGGGCCGTTCGTTGAAAGGTCACGGCGTCATACTCATATGCCGTCAAAGTTTCGAGAAAATATATTCGAAAAGAAATATGCGCACACCCTCCTCGCGTTTGATGGAACGCCCGAGGCACCCGGAATAGCATTGGGCATGGCCCTGTATTTCTTCAATTTCTCAACATGGACAGGCAAGCCTGGCCTCTTCGTACGTCCAAATTCTGATTCGCCTACGCCGCACCGCGACGCTGCCTTTCTATTAATACTTCACATGCAGCTCGAGGACTTGTATGTATCCCCGCATGCAAGAAATCAGGGCATTGGCAAAGCCCTTTTTGCAGAACTGGGCAAGATAGCTCAGGAGAAGGTAATATCACACGCTTTTTTCCGAGGACCTTGCTGATGCAACCTCCGGCAACAAGGACTGCGCACGCCTTGATTGGTCGGTACTCAAGGCAAGTCACACTCGGCTGATCGTGTCACCAGTGTTCCAGCAGCTTAATTATTTTGGTACCTTTGTATCATTCTTTCATTCAGTGGAACACTCCATCGATCGCATTTTATGAAAACAAATTGGAGGCTAAAGGAATGGAAGAATGGATGGGTATGCGGCTGGAGGAACAGGGGATCGAGAATCTGCAGAAGCTTGTTGTCCACGCGGCCTGAAGCCATTAATACAGGGTCTTCTATATCCTCGCCAAGTAATAGCATAGGTACCATTGCGCAATGCGATGTCAGGGTGCCTTTGTATGACGCACGAGCTGACCGAAAGACTATCCGACCTCGGGTACAGTTGACGCGCAATATAAGTGGTAAATTGACTCATATAAATCCGACGGCACACAAGGCGCACGAATGCAGGGCCAGGAAATTGAGAGCACGACTTTGTGTGATGTAAGCTACACCCCGTCGTAACTAGCCCCACCTGCCTGACAAGATTAATGTATGAGACCGATGGATAACTCCCGCTCTAGATTTTATTAGACCGCTCACCTTCCGCAGCTTTACTACAATCGGATCCTCCTTTAAATCGTCCTTTTCCCGAGCGGGAACTTCAATAGAGTAGACACGCAACACCTGCTTGACATCGGCTGCGTGGACGGAGATCTGCGAGATAATACAGCAAAGAGTCATGTCAGACTAAGTAACTATATCATCGTTGTCATTGATTCACCGCTGAAAGGCAGTGCAGCCAGGCCGCCGCCACCGCGTGTGTTTTTAAAGTTGGAAAAATAAAGATATCCACACACGCAGCAGCACACGTAAAGAAACAGACTAAGGACTGACCTTGGCCTTTCGCATCACTTTGCACCCGGGACCGATCCACACTACTAGAATGAATTTCTCCCGTTGAGATTCCTTGTCATTGGAGAAGGTGACGCGAACGTATGCGTAAGACGCTTTGGAATCACTAAGTGTATCGCGTAACTCGGCGAGACCACCCGTTCCCGTCTGTGTGACTGTTAACTTGTCCGAGCGGTCAGACTAAGCGTGTGATCATGGTAGGGAGGACCTAAACGCATCAAGGTAATCGGACTCGGTTGGACACATAGATTCTGACCTCATAGTCGAGCAAAAGCCAGTTAGTCTCGGATTTGTCGGAACGAACATCCTGGTAAGCTGTAAGGATCAGCACCACGATGCAGGTTAACCCAAATTTACTAAGCGATGCGTTGTAACTTCGCAGACTAACCTTCGTCGATTTTGGGATCGGATAGGTCGGCCATCGGGTATAATCAGGCGCGATAAATCGAATACAAAATTTTGCAGAAGGAAGGAGGGGAAGAGAACAGGTCAATGCGATAAGCTGGGAACTGAAGTACTGATGCGCCGAGATGGTGGCTTCCTTCTTAGGAGATGGCTTGAAAGTCGAAGCACTCACGAAACCACTCGGCAAGTACCGTGACAACCCACTCAGTGCTCACTAATTTTACTCACTAGGTTTGAAGTCTTTGTTACATTTCCATCAGCCCTGTAAACATGCAGTTTACAACGAGGTTCAACTATTATAGGTTGACGTCGCTACTTTGTACACCTTCACACCACGCACAGTCTAGGCTTCACAAAAGCTCGCTCTATAGATACTATTCCACTACCAATGAACCAAAGAAAAGGGACTGGAGACTGGCCGGACACCCTGCGCCTCTGTCCTTGGCGGAAGATGCAGAAGGAGAAACCCTCGATTTGAGTGAAGATGAACCACCCCCGAGGCGACGGAAGCGCGCGCCGGTGGAAGACACACCAGAGGAATGGAAGCGCCACCGTCTTGCCATCAAGGAGGCTTTTCCTCAGGGGTGGTCCCCTCCACGAAAATTATCTCGCGAAGCCATGGACGGTTTGCGTGCCATGCATACCTATGACAAGCGTACGTTTTCGACGCCGGTGCTTGCTGAGAAGTTCAAGATTAGCCCAGAGGCTGTCCGCCGCATCTTGCGGAGCAAGTGGGAGCCGTCGAGAGAGCAACGAGCGAGATTTGCGGAACGGGAGCGACGGTCGAGGGAGGAACGAAAGATGCAGAGTAGACTTGAAGAGAAGAAGCAGAACATGGAGCTGATTTCTGAGACTGCGATGTCAGGGGGGCCTAATCGAAGAGATGAGCGGCCAAAAGGGATTAATTCGAAGGACAGGTTATACTTTGGTTAACAAAATTACTGGGATCGGCGGATTGGCATTGCTCAATATGTGCACGCCGCCTGCACGCTTATCTCATCGATCAGAGGACCATGCAACATGCCCGACGTGTAAAAATAAATGGAGCATCGTAGCGCTACATGGGAATTGTCATACATGCATATTACCTTTATCTAACCTAGATTATTAAGTCACATACGTCTAGATATCTAGCAAACGAGAGGTTGGGGAAGGGAGCGACGATGGGTAACAAACTACGTTATAGGCATAGTATCGGAGCCGGTACAGTGTTTGAAATGAAGTATAAGGTAAATAAATAACGTGTCCAATGGGTCTGTGACTAGTACCATGTGGGTAATGTAGTGATGTTAAAAAAAGGCTCAGCACGATCCTAGTTTGTTGGCAGGGTGAGAAGGATTGTCCAAAAAGTCAAGGCCAGCTTGGGTTAAAGTGAAAGCACGGATTTCTCGTGTTTAACATAAGACGAGCCCTGTTCCGGTCGGCAGAGTAGAATATCGTTCCAGTTGGGTTGAGGGGGTGCGTTGAGTTGCTCGCCTTTCTTGTCAACAAGGGAGTACCGGAAACCAAGTAGCATCATGGAGGTGACAAGCTTGAGCTCAAGTCGGGCCAAGCGCTGGCCAAGACAATGCGTCTTACCTTTTACCGCGAAATTAGGTTTGCTAACAAGCGCGCAATCGACAATGTGGCTTACCTCCTCCCCAACCAACGTAACCGAACGGAGCCGTCGCTTCCTCCCGGCTAGGATCGAACCTCCACGGATCAGGGTAGAGGTCTGGATTGAGATGAACGTCCGAGAAAGGATATACTACATATGCCCCTGATGGGATAGTCTTTCCGTCAATCGTCACATCAGGCCCAAGGTTTCGGCGCATGGCAGTATGCGGCTGCGCAATCCTGAGAGTCTCGCGAATGAGAGAATCAAGAACGGGTGTCTCAGATTCCCAAGCCTCTAGTGGAATGGACGAAAGTTGGTGTGACAAAGAGTGGGAGACATTAGGGGAGACGTAATTTGCCAGGAGTTGCTCCACTTCGGCGATTACTTCATCCTTGGACTCATGATCACCAAGATAGGTGATGAGCCACGAAGCTGTTGTTCCGGTCGCTCGCGCACCAGCAACTAGCAGACCCAAAATGAACTGTTGAAACGTCAGATGACTCGGAATGCCTATGCTCAACAGAAAAACTCACGCCGACAATAACAAGCCTTTCGTCTTTCTCGTCAAGGAGCATCTGCAGAGTGTCAGGTTTAGATATTCCACTACGCTCCCGTTCATCAATGGCCCGGACGATAATGTCGTAGATTTTTTTGGTTGCCCACAGCTTCTTAAGCATGCTAGGCCCGGGTAGCCATGGGAGTAAGACAGTCGCGGGCGTTGTTCCGCTGTCCAAGGTGTCGTAGAGTTCCTTGAGACGCGCAACTTGGACAGGATCGTCTGCTAACTCCTCGCAGGAGAGCGATCGTACAGTAATTTGGAATAAAAGCTGCAGTGTACATGGTCAGGAGTTGTACGAGCCTAATAAATCCAAAAACCAACTTCATAAATTTTTTCAAATGGGTCAAATGTCCCTGATGGTCCCCACGTTTCCATTACTCTTCGGCAATCCTCCAAGATGGGAGCAATTACTAGGTATGATGATAAAATGAGGATGAGATAGAATAAATGAATAGATAGATACGACGTACGGCCACTAAGGTGTTCATTTCGCTGAACGGAGGAGAGACGCTTATGAATTTGCGCAATGCGCTTAGTCTGAAGGTCGGAAGTTACGCCTTTGACGACAGGGATCTAAATAGCGTCAGGATTGGCGCACATGTTATGGATCATAGAGAGAGATACTGACAGCTCCGGAAAGCACTTTAAAGCCTTCAGTGAGGTCGAAGTGCTTGTTGGCGAAGAATGATTTCCGCGCTGACTCCCCGGAAACAACAATGACTGTCTCCTGTAGTCATCGTAGTGAGTGGTCGCTGGAGAAGATTTGCTACTATAACGCTTACTCGGAGCATGTTGAACTGAAAGAGGGACTGGCCAGTTTTACGGAAACCATCGTTCAGAAACTCGAAGCGTCGGCGGAAGAATGGGGTGATGGCGAGGAGATGGGAGCCGGGGAGAAATACTGGGGCACCGTCAACAGCACCATCTTTTTGAGAACCAAAACCGAAAAAAAAGAAGAATAAAGAGAACAAGTAAAGCGAGAGCCACTTGGGCCTTCAAGCTAGAAAGAAGAAATGCGTCGGCAGCGGATTGTAGGCCGACCGTGTACATGATACAAGCTGTCGGACGCGAAAGATAATATTTGAGGACGGCAGCGAAAACTTGTGTGATGGCGCGACTTTATATGCCACCTAAGTTCATGTTAATACTATATCCCGTGCACATGCGAGAGCTAACATGCTGCCTCGCCATGTATGCACATGAGTGCCTTTCGGTGATCTGATCGACACAAGTTGGATCTTGGAATCACGGTGAGAATTATATTGACTTCGGTTCCGCAATTCAAGGTGCGCGGTAAATACGTAATCGTCTCGTGGCCTAGCCCTGCATGCATGTACGTCTGCGCTCCGTCGGACGATGACGACGCTCTGCAGTGTAGCCTAACGTACTTTGTGTTGTACGTCCTGTCCATTTCCTTAACCTTCATTGGCCGCCAGAGATTCCGGATCCGGCCCTGCATCGCAGCATTCTCCAATACCTAAAAAATAAAGCTCGGCCAATTGCCTCGAGGTCTTGGTGTGGCAAGGCATCTTTGCATATACTCGTCATCATCTGCCGGACGCCGATGAACCAGAGCCTCGATCCCCATTCACAACGAAATCCGTCTATCGTCTGACGCAAACGTCACCTTCGTAAACACACGTCCCGAGGACTCCCGTATGTAGCGTGCGGTCACCGAAGGTATACAATCAAGACCATTCAAACTGTCAATTAAAATAAGGATGACCAAACTTACATTAGGCTTACGAATACACCCTGCAACGTGGATGTTGTCTCCGCGCTAATAATGACTTCGCCGGAACGGTGAACCTGGTGTATAGGCGAAGGCAACCCTTAGAGCATGTTTCAACAAAATATTTTCCCAGGCTGTCCAACCACTGCGTAATACCTATTACCCCACGACGCAGCGACGCAACACCAGCATGTCACAATTTCCATCCGTCCAAGCCAGAATGCCAATGATCGAAGGCAGTCAATACACACATCCAGTGAGCCAGAGCGGCCAGGACCACACAGAAGTGAAATATCTGATGTGATGCGAAGAGTAAGTCGAATTTCCCTGGAACTAGACGTTCTGGTATGCGATTAGCGCTGCGCGGGGATGAATTGTAACGTCAGGCATATGTGTGGAGGGCGGGAAATGAGGGTCTACGCACTAAATCAACGCGCCCGTGATGTATAGACCGCCTGATGCGAGCAGCCAGCCAAAGCCCATCTCGGAAAATAGTTTGAATGCTCCATGCGACACCAATAAGTGAGCTACTGGGACCATAGCGGACAATCCGAGACCAATGAAAACACAGGTACGTGCACCTCGGTGTGTTGGTTTTGCATATTCAGGGTTGAGAACGATATATGCTGCTCCTTAAAACGTGTATTGGTAAATGACTTGCTAATGGGCCGATATCAATGGACAACACCGACCTGCGCCAACTAGTGCGATGGAACATAGATAACAGGCTTGCAAGGCTGGTTCACAATAGAATCCGTAGTAAAGGCATGGTACAAAAGATCCGACAGTGAGGACTATGGGAGGATTCATCAAAATGAGATAGAGGTGGCGATACCTCTACTTACTGACGATTCCCGAATAATCTAATGCATGGCACTGCGTCGACACCTGTGATTAATTTCGAATCATGAGTCAGATCGTGTAGTCGCAACTTTGAGAAGGGCTCACCTGTGCCGAATGGCAAGTGGCAGTGTGGAACATGGCACTCGCAGTAAGGCAGAATACTGCAGAGAGTAGAAATATAGCAAAGACAGAAGTATCCAGCCAGGTGGTAGTACTATATGCCAAGATATATTGCCCGCGGAATGTCACCAGGATCAAAAGGAAAACCACAGCGCCAGCTAGATGGCTGAGGATGTTCACTGTGAAAATGCAATGGATCATGTCTACTTGAGAGAACAAGAAACTTACCAGTTTCATTGTGAGGATCTACTCAGGACAAAATCAATCAATGACATGTAAATGTTGGGCGACTCGAATTTCCTCACAACTGTAGATGGATGTAATGCAACCTGACCAGCAGTTCTGCACTCTAGTAGCACAGCAGTCAATCAGCCATCCGCGCTGCAGCAAGTCGGAGACTTGCACCCGTCGATACCCAGTCTTACCGTCTGTAGCCCGTTAAAATGTACTCGTTGTCTCTCTGCCATTCTGGTATTTCGTGCCAGGAAAGCGTCATCCGTTGCTTGTCAGGACCAGTTTGCAGAATGTGGTGTCCAGGTCCATTCTGATTGCTGAGGTTTCGTTTGCGTGCCTTGAGCTCGGACATACGGTATGAAAAAACACCTCCAGGTATCGAGATTGAGAGAACAACAAGTGTTGGCTTTCCGTTGGTATATATAGAAGTTGCAAGACACAAGCAGTCTGGCTCAGCGCTCAGATTCAGCACTTCATGCGCATGAAGTTTCAAGTCAAGCCTGCGTGACAGGCACAGCATGACCCCAATATACTTACACTCGCCAGTCACAATTAGGTGCACGTGAAGGACAAAGAACAGCACACTCATCCCACACGACGTGCAAGGTGCCGCCGGCGCCTCGCAAGTCTGAAGAATGTGCCTGTGAACTGATTTAATGCATAGAAACCAAGGTTGTCATCGATGTGAGTATAGTTTCGATCTCAATGAGCGCCAATCTATAAGCTGTAGCGCTTATTGTTAACTGAAATGACCTGGAGATCGTCAGTACTTCAGTATTTTTCGTCAGTTACATCTGAATATTGATCGCTAATTCCATCACCATGGGGTATTTTTTCTTCGAAGACTCGATATGATGACCACTTCAGCTTCTAGAACCTAACCTTCCGAGTCCTAGGAGCCACTCACGGACGTTAGATATGGTTAAGGTTCGTGGCACACTAAAGTCACCATATACGGTAAGAAGTTTCCACAACCATTTGAACAACGGAGCAGCGAGATGAATTTATCGTGCCAGTAGTGCATGAATGTTACGCAAGTCCTTCGTCACGTCATGTTGCCCTGGCCACTGTGACCGGTACCCTCCAGCAGTGAGCACCCCGGTATACTAAGATCGCAGAAACTTTGTTACTGTCAGTTCTTGTTTTTCGTTACTCTGACACACATCACGTCCGATCACGAAAGCTCTCGGTCGCAGACACGTGTCACCGAAGGGTCATTCAGCTGCACTCAACCACGAACGGAATACGTCGACGTCAACCAGCGAAAGTGGACTGACCGCTCAATCGCCACTTACCAAAACGCGCTTGCTCACGAATGCAGTTGAATTCCGGCTAGGTCAGCAAACGGTTCGCGACAAAAGCCTTCTCCTTCGTCGGGTCTGAATATACTACAGGTTGCTAAATGTTATTACACGATGAAAAATGAGTGTATATAGATCCAACACGCGGTGAGAATTGAAGTAGACAACCGAGATGACGAGTCTGGTATTCCACGCAGTAAACAGCTAAGAGATGAATACTTTCTTGAGTGCACCGAATTCGCACTTTTGGTCAGTCACTTGGCAAGTGACCATGCCATTGTGCTTCGCTGCCATATCTTCCAGTGCCTGACGATAGAACATGAGTATCAGTTGGTCACATGAAGAAGTTAGTGATAGGTTCGTTTTCAAAGGTGAAAGACATACCTCTCTCGAGTAAACTTGACCATTGGGAAATACCATGGGCATATTGTCCTCGTCCATGATCCTGCCGCTAATTCGACAAACAATAGTGGAGTTGGCGTGGTGGCTGAATGGAACTTCTCGAGCCAGAGTGTTTATGCTAGGGTCGCACACCGGGCAGTCGACATTATGGGATGACCTGTCGTTGCACGAAGGCAGCTTCAGTGAAGCCAGACCAGAATAGAGAGCAAGATTGAGAAGGGGTTCAGTGGGTAAAGAGTTCAGATTGTAGATGGCAAGCCGAAAGGCTTGAATAAGATCAAGCCAGCGGGAATCATCATATAGTCTCTGTGAGGTACAATGAGATACAAATGCAGGTGGAGTAACGTTTTCTTACGCGGTACGGACCACACGTCGTAGAAGGTCTTATTGCAAGTAGAGTGGCAGCCTGCATAATCTGTGGGAGATGTGTTTCTTGCCATGACACGAGATGCTTTTTCGAGTAAGCCATGGCGTCCCTGCTTCTTCTGATCACGCGCCAACTCGATGTACTCTTGTAAGCGAAGTTCAAATTCGAGCGTGCTCTACGGAGGAATCAACGTGCTTTCATAGAGATCAAATTATTGCAGCATTTAGTCTCACCTTAATTTTCCGCAACGCCGTCTTGTTCTCGCTGCACCATGCCAGTGCTTCAGTGCAACTGTGCTTGGAAAGTGCCAATTCAATTCTTCGGATGTCTGTGAACAGATCGATGTCCACAAGGGTCTAGTGAAAGCGGAAGGCGTCATAAGTTGATATGAACAATTTGCGGAACTACAAACCTCTATGTTCCTGTCCTGTGCCAGTGTTCGTGCTGTGTTTTCCCGTCCAGTCCGGAGGGCCCAGTCAACAAGCCACCTGTCAAGCCGCGTGTCCGCCCACCGTGAAAAATCGAGGGTGCCGGTGGTTTGCAGGGTCTCTACCGCCATGAGATGCTGTAGCCTCTCCCGAGTGACATCAAGGGTGGGCTTTCCAGCGGTATCCTGCAGTTCGGAAAGCTGTGTGTAATGCCCACTGATGTAAAATGAGATCCGAATTAGCAAATAACCACGTACCTTGCGCTTGAGGTTCTCAACCCGACCTATCATCCCATCTACACTCTTAGCGGCGTCCTCGAGGTTGACCTCGCGGCTCTTGGATCGTTGTAGTAAGTCATTTGAGACAGTCTGGACATTTCCGAGCTCGCGCTCTATGTTTCGTTGTGTCGCACGGAAGACTTTTCGATAGTTTTCATAAGGGACCTGACGGAGTGTGATTGTAGTGAGGTCATTGAGAATTAGCAGGCGTAACTGCGCACTCGTGCAAACGGCTGCTCAAATAGCAACACCCCCTCGTAATTGAGTTTTGTTGAGCTCATATCAATAGTATAAAAACCTGTCTTCAAGGCCTAGCTATCGGGGTTGGCGTTGGTAGGGAATCAGGATTAAATATTAAATGATCGCAGTACTTGCAATCGAGTGTTATTACTCCCACGTGACCTGAAAGCTCAGTGGGTCTTCTAGGAAGTAAGTGATAAAAAGGCTAGTAATTATACCGCTACTCGGTACTTAGGGATCATAATGCGTGTGGTCAGCGGGGAGATAAATCTTGTATCTGGCGGCCAGTTACTTTGAGGGGGAAGGGCGGCCAGTCATAAATTGGCTCTGGACAATTCGGCGGTGATCAAACTTCAACCGGGGCTTTTAATGCACCTGTGCAAAACATTGTCCTGGGCACAGCTGTGACGGACAATGAAGCATCTGGCAAATTTGTGGCGGACATGCTAAGAGCAGCAGCACACGGAGACTTGGCAGAGACCCAGCACTTATTACCCAATTGTATACGTGAGCCCCTAGGATCTGGGTGGAGCCGCCGCAAAATAGCAATTCTACCTTCGCATTAAGAGAGGGGGACCATGGGGATGCTATTGAGGCTCCTGCTATGGGAAATACATGTCATACACACATTTCCGCGCTACCCCATGCTCAAAAATTCGGCGGGAAAATTCCCTTTGCACATGTCACGTCAATCACCGCCATCAAGACCCTTTATCTTATTGCCTTTAGATGACCTTAATGCTTCCCATACTTGTGACATGCATGTGCTATACAACGGACTATAGGATTATCCTGCATGTATTTTCTACCGTACACAATAGCCTGGCGGACGACAAACAAGCTATCAAACAAAAGGCGTAATAACCAGTTTATCTCACCGCCTTCCGTCATCCTGTGAGCCCCGTCTCCATGCCATGAAATCCCGAATTAAGGCCACCACAAGAGGAACAGATATAGATGCGAATAGTGGCGTATACACCGCATACTTGTGCTCGGCAGGAAAGTACAGCAATGCCAGCATCCCAGGATTAAAGAAAGCGCGTGACGCCATAGATAATGCCTTACTGGACCATCGAAGAGCAAGCGCCGGCGAGGCCACGGCGGTGCGATAGGCCTGCATTGGTTGAGCACAGTCTTCATTAATATGACATCAGATGCAGAACGCACCTCGTGGAGCGATGCAAGGGCATCTAGGACATCATCTCGTACCACTTGCCCAACAGGCATGTTATTGATCTGATCCACGAGCTTCACAATGCTGTGCAATGTGTCTTGGCTGCCTTGCACGTTCTGCAATGCACGACGCCGGAGCAGAGCATCTAACTGCCAGTCAGATAGAAAGCTTCCTTCCATGCTCAGGCCGAGGGGAACGGGTGGCACGCCTAAAAGGGCAGCAAGCTGGGTGGCAAAGTTGCGGAAAATTGGTTTTAGATCGTTATATGAAAGATGCAACGACGAGGAATTGAGTTCATTGTCGAGGATGAAAATGCTGCCCCATTGGGGCAAAAGGAAGGATCTCTGATTTGTTGGACGACCTATCAATAAGTCAGAAATGACCACAAGTGAGTATACGCAACATTTGCCTTCACTGTCAATAATATTCATGGGTGAGTGGGTCTCAGAGGGAGCGAATAGAACGAAGTGGAGAACAGGATCATTCGAGACGCCGGATGCTACAATGACTGGTCAGGTGTTGACACTGTTGATCACAACGCAGTACTGACCAAGTGTCCATTCGGCAGAGTTGATAAACACCGTCAAGTCTTCCGGAGTAAGCCCTGATGCTTCAGTGTCACCAAGGGTCAGGCGTTTCGGCTCAAATGCTAATGGAGCATGATACTGGACTTGACTTTCGACTGTAAAGTTGTGCAGAATAGAGAGTCGAGACATGAGCGGAAATATGAATTCTGATAAAGCGCCTTTAGAGTTGGTCTCGAAATACAGGGGTCATATGGATTACCCGTGAGCGCAGCTTGCACATCCCATGTCTCAACAAATCGATCGGGGGTCGCGTCTTCGTTAAGCAGCGTAAAAGCGAGACGATAGTGATCCGAGTATTGAACGACACGCTGCGAATGTGAAGTGCTCGACTCTGGGGGAGCGATGAGGTCGGACAATATAGAGCTTAATCTCGTTGCTAATGTGGGAGCAGTCGAATGCATTTCAAAATACCGTACTCTTGTTGACTCACCTGACTGCGCATCGGTCTTGCTCACCCACAAATGTCTTGAATGGGCAATTGAGGTCTGTTCACCAAGAGCAACTGTATATAGGCTAGATGCTACTACAGTGACACGTCAAATTGCCCTGTCCACTAATACAATTTTCGTGAGCGCACACACCTTCATCATTTCTGTCTTGTAGGCGCAGGTCAATGCCCCTCCACCTTCCAGGTTCATTTATCACAGAATCACGAAGTAATGTTTGGACTTGAGAGTTTAGGCTAGGATTTTGTTGGATGATGGACGCATCAAATTGAACAGCGATAGGAAAGACGATGTTGCTCTGAATTTGTGATCGTACTTGACTGGTCGGAAGTGCAAGTCTCTGGATACTCGTCAAATGCCACCAGAATGGTAAAGCCAGAATAATAATGATCCAATACGAGGCCAGGACTGCTCTACGGATCCAGTCTCTTTCGAAGCTAAGGTTTCGAGGATCCTTGAAGCCAGAGCCAGTGCTTGCAAAAGCAGCAGAGTCCATCCTAGTAGAGTCCAGCAGTCGCCCAGCAATAATATTGATACCAACAACAACTTGAACATCGACGACCCGCAGATGGGGGGTCGGAGTTTCAATCCCTTCTTGCTAGAGATCACTCATCTACCTCAAGCGTTTGCTTCAACTGAGCGTCTTCGCTCTTAGTTGCATCAAAGTTTCAACATTCATGTTCAATAATTGACCTCCACTTACTTTCAAATAGTTCTACAAATATTTGCATCACCACAACGCGCTAGGCTAGTTTTCAACCCGACCTCTCTTCCATTCCTACCTGTGACAAGCGTTGCAGCATCTTGGAGGTCCCAATCCTCTTAAGCATGACATCTGCAAGCTACGAAACTTCTACTTTTGCTAATCCTTCGTCCGTATATGACATACGGCGCTCTCTAGGTGGCAGTTTCTCATCTGCATACGACGTAAGTTCTCGTGAGAGTCGTACTTTCTCGGGTCGTTCAAATGCCCTCTTTCTTAGTCACCCTATTCTACTGCACGTCGAAGATCTCCATCTCCTGGTCCATCTTCGAGGAGATTCTCCCCGTATGATAGTTATATCCCCCGTGGGGGACCTAGCTATCGTAGTGATGATCATCCGAACAATTACAGGCCAAATGCATGGAGACCAGAACGCTACAACAGCCGTAGTCCATCCCCTGATCGTTATGACCGGTCTCGTTCTATGGAACCGCGCTTCTGGGATTCTGGTTCCCGCTGGCAGTCGTCTTGGCAAGATCGAAGATCCTCTCCGAGTCCACCACCTCTACGGGAAAAACTTCGCAGAGATATCATGGCAGAGCGAATGTTCGAGCCATCAGACTCCTGGAAGCAAACACACGTCGATCGATCCGGCCGATACGAAGCGTTTGTCCATTTGCGTGTCACTTAGTATTTTGTCTCATCACGTATATAGGTTGGAGCCCCCAAGTCCAAGGTTTCCAGATTATCGTGCTCGTCCTGCACGAGATTACTCTCCCCAGAAGTCACCAGCGTACCCTCCTATTCATGGTGATACTTATCGTCCTTATTCTAGTGGTCAAAGCTTTCGAGAACCACACGTAGTCGTTCGGTCAGATTCATACCGGCCACAATATGATGATAGTACCCGGCGGTCACCGCGTTCAGTTGATAAATCGAACACAGATGCTTACTATCCTCGTCGACCATCTAGTCATTATGATCACGATGACACACGGTCTTCGACCTCCATTGCTAGCACACCGCCTCGCCATGCCGTTAGCTCTCCTCCCCCAGACCCACATATCATTGATCGTGACGCTCGTAGGCATTCACCATCTTGCAGACGTGCGTCACCCGCCCACTCCGTAACACGATCTAGAGCATCCTCGAAATCTTCCGAACCCCCACTTAAAAGATTGAAGTCGAGATCTTCATCCCGATCATCTGCTTCTTCTCGACCTGATAAATCTACTATCTCCGCGCGTAATGGTCTTCAGGATACCGTGTCACCAAAACCAAATCGAGAGAGCACAACTCAACAAGCACCCATGCATGTGTTGTCGCGAGATCCTGATCGACTTAGTTCTACATCGAACACCCTTGCTGGAAAGGGTTCTGCGCACCCTGAGCCTCTACCCCACGAGTTGCCGCACGTGGGTGCCAAACCGGTCCATCCTGTGATGAATGGTGAGCTTAATGGTCCGCCTTTGGCATCGAACTTCCCGCGTTCTCCACCAAGTTTATCGTCAGGAGAAGGTACGACCATACTTTTTACTTGTCGATGACCCTGAAGACATACCAATCTTAGATATCGAGATGTCTCCTCCTGGGCTTATATCTTCTCATGCTCTCCCTAGTGACGTGGAATTCGCCTTCTTGGGGGATTCAGCTGGTAATGGGACTGAAATGCAAACCAACAAAACCTCCCCTCTTTTTGATGAAGTGCATACCCAGCCCATTAGTTCGGCTACGCCCAGTCCTGCTTTGAAATGTGTGGGGGCGGTCGTCCATAACTCACCGGCGTCCGCGCCTGCGACTGCGGCTCCTTCGCCAGAATCAAGAACACTGGAGAAAGATATTGATGTCGGCTCCCCGCAAACATTAACAGGAGACACTCCCTTGCTAAAGTCTGCTCCACCAGTCATTGCCACCGAATCGGTTGGCAGTCCATTTCGTGTCGAGGCAGAAGAGCAGCTTTTGACTCCTGCACTTGACGTAGAACAGCCCGCAACGTGGTTTTATGGTCGTTCCGCCTTTGGCAGACTCGACCGCGAAAGCCCTCCGTTTTGTAGTCCTAACGAGGCTTCAATGTGATCGTCAGACGCGCGATGAGCGTGTTGTTCCGGTTCTTAGGGCCAATCGGGCGATTCGCGAGCCTTCTCTGCCTTCACCAATTGACGCGCAAGACAAGCTGTTTCAGGAATTTGCAGCTGATCAGCCTCGTCAGGAAAGAATGACTTTACATTCTCAGTCTATTAGATCATCCTTATCAGGACACTTCCTGGAGCGAGAAACAGCCCTTCGGGAAAAGCAGCAAAAGCTGAGAGAAGAATATCTTGAGCTACATCAGCAATGGATAGCGCAATGTGCCCGGCTCGATAACGTGTCGAAAGGCGGTCTACCTGAGGAATCCATGCCGGCTTCTGCGGGCGGCAGGTCCACCAGACGATCAGCTGCCGTTTTGGGTGATGCTGTTCGCTCTGATCTTGAGATGGAGCAGATCATCGCGAATCTTGGGATGGAGGAGCTGACGGATCCAAGCTACTTGGCGATCAAGAACGTCGCAAAGATACCGGATATGGTTTCTGTCGTTGATGGCCGCGGACCATACTCTTACGACGATACGAACAATCTCTTGGACGACCCTGCGGAGTTCTACAGCTCGTCCTCGGCTCTCGACCTCTGGACGGAAGAGGAGCGCATTGTCTTCAAGGAGAGATACGCTGCCCATCCGAAGCAATTCGGGCTTATTGCTCAACATCTGCCCAATAAGACTGCCGCCCAGTGTGTCACGTACTACTACCTGCACAAGCCGCACGTCGACTTCCGCAAGGCTATTGCACAGTATGGTGCAGGTCGACGCCGGAGGAACGGCAGGGGGGCTAACAAGCAGAAAGGCAACGCACTGCTTGCAGATATTCGCCGCCATGATGATGAGGTATTGGCTGCCCACCCCACCTCTTCGGCTGTACCCAGCAAGCGCAGGAGGGCTGCTATGCTGCGATCCAATGTTGAACCCAGGAGAAACCAGTCCCGCAGGAGTACCGTCCAGCCCGACCAGACTCCCACTTCTTCTGGGACAACGCCAGATCCCGAAGCGGATGAGCAGAAGCGTAGGCGGCGCTCCACTGCAGTTGCGCGTTCGTCGGGTCTTGCTCAAGAAGAAGTTGAACCCACTGTACGTCCGGGTCATGCTACTGACTACTGGTGCTTTTGTTGATATATATACTTTGACGCCACGTTCAGGAACCAGACGCTGAGGCTCCACCTCCAAAACAAACCAGAAGACCCCGGAAACCAAGAGCACGCGCAGTCCCCACCCCATCAGAGGAAGCCACCCCCGCTCCAGAACTTCCGGATTATTGCAAGTCGTCGTCGATACCAATATCATGGTCCAAAGAGGACAAAAGTCAGACCTCTCATGCACAGCCTCTGAAATCGGCTTGCTGATCTCAGTCCAGGTTTGTTCCTTGAGCTTCTATCTCAACATGGTGATAATGTGCACCGTGTCGCTGCCCGCATGCCTCACAAGGTCCGTGGTGATCTGGTAGCAGGCTGTGGTGCCGCTTAGCTTGTCTGTATAGAATACAGTACAAGTCGGCAGTTATCATGGGAGTCACATGGATGAATTGGCATCTGTGTCTGCTGGGGATTCGACGCTTTAACTATCTGATTCAGTAGTTACACTGCAGTCCTTTCAGGCAACTTTCAGGTGTTATTTCTGATCCGTATATCCGTAGCTTGTATCTCACCCACATATAGTAGTTGTAGTAGTTCGCTAATTGTATACTCGAGCCAACGAACGGAAGTATACAGGCTGTCAATTTATCGACGGCCCTCTACCATGATGACGTGGTATCCGAAATTCGTCTTGACTAAAGGCGACAAAATGGGTTTGTCGACAGTCGATGGGGTAAGGGCGAATGCAGCATCTTGGAATGCACCCTAGTTACGACAGAAATAAATTTCGCTTATCCGAGTCAGTCAATGACTGAAACCACTTACAACCATAGACCCCCCGCACCATCCAGCCGAGACTTCCACCAGCTGGGATTCGAGAATGTGACATTCCACCATTACAGTACCTGGTGAGCAAACTCACCTTTAGCTTTGTCCTCCGAGTATTCCTGCGCTACCTTGTCGAAGCGCTGCCCCTCCTGCAAACCAGCTATCAGAACTGATGCACCTCCATATAATGACATGTGTCACAACCTGAATCTTCTGCAATGCCTCAGTTGCCTTGGAGTGTTTCTCGCATAGAATATGGCGGACGTTGACAGCAGTTGCGGCCTTCAGACCACCCTTTCCCTGTACACGACTCGAGGTGCGGTTTTCATCAGAAGCAACTATTGTAGCTTACTTTGCCCTCGGATTGGTCACCTTTGTCGGCATTCTTGGTATTTCCACCTTTCTTTTCCGCAGGCTTTTTCTCAGCTGATCCTGACTGTTTCTTGCCCATGGTATGGAAGCGGTGAAACCTAGCCTAGCCGCCTGAGGGTAGGTGAGTAAATACGTGCTTACTAAAAATAGAAAGACTTATTTGCACAACCGGAAAGCCAAAGCCTTGAACTACTACAAAGTCTAGAAAGCCACGTCAACCAACCAACCAATCAATCAATGCCAGTACTTGGAACTCGTGGCTATACGCGTCCGTGGCTGAGTGGACAAATCCGAAAATGACCCAGGCAGCAGCGCTCAGGTAAAGGCCCCGCTGGCAGACTCGGACATGGAGACTCAATAATTCTTGTCTCTCATGTCTTCCGACTCTTATTCCAAGTCACAGCTGCGTTTTTCGTCACTCGTTGCTCGTTGTATTGTCCACTGCATTTGGTTATCTCATCTTGCACCCGACTCAATATACTTCAACGTTTTCAACCCCTACAAATTGTCGCCTTTGTTTCCACGACGTTCTCGATCATACTCTCTCATGGCAGTAGTTGTTTGCACTATGAAATAAACTGGATTCTGCACCTTGCCTTATAGCGTGCAAAATGAGATACAACTCGGGGATGATAAATAGTCAAGAACAACCTACAACGAGAATAGCAATGCTGGGTCAACATCATACGACGTTCTGAGCCTCGTACATCTCCTCCAACTTTTATGTACCACTTTGGCTGATCATCGACTATTAAATTGCCCACTTCTCCTCTCCCTCTTACCTGAACTTCATCCAGCCCCGACCCCCATATCCCTACCCCTCAGGTCTTCTCCTATCACTCATTCCGCATACCACTCCGCCTCTCAATCTTTCCTGCCATTTCCTTCATCACACCATCATGCCCCTAAGCTTAGAAGGTCAGTCCATATCACCTCGGTATTCGTTCGTGATCCTCACGCTCACGCTCCATCTACAGCCATCAGCGGAAAAAATATTAAAGTCCCTTCCTGCCTGGCACAGATCCGTGGGTATCTACTTGTCCATCAATGTTGACTCGAGGAGACTCTGGAATTCAGCCATTCGAGTGCTATCATCCGACGAATATGTAGCGTGGGATGATACGAGTTCAAGAGCATCATTGGCACTCTGTGGATGGTCAACGACGCTGTCGCAAAACACGTTCAATCATCAATGTCGAAGCTTTCTATAATATGTTCAATGATTTGGAGGAGGGTGTCATGGATTATATGAAGGCGGCCTGGGCACTCTGATGAGTCTGATCAACCATGCTACGCACGCCGCGAAGAAGAAGAAGCCGCTCGAGCAGAGAATTGCTGCCATTCATATTGGTGTGTGGTTTCACGTCATATTGCTTTTGTTGAGGACGGATTTGTTTGTTGCTGCACTCTGAACCATTACTGCGTACTTCAAGTTCTTGCAGCTAAGATTAAGCCATTACCTTGATATTCTTGCGGTGATATCGATACTCATCTTGTTTTGGCACTTTCTTGTCAATGTCTGCACTTCCATGTTTAGTTGGAATGACTTGTTTTTCTTCTTTCAAAATCTGGTTATGGGAGACTAAAGACAGGCGTATGGTAGGACGATAGGTTACGGTTCGATGAGAACGTGTCTGAAATGGCCCGGCTTCGAAATCCCCAGTTGGGCCTGGTTAATGCTGAGCCGCTCCAGAGCCGGAGTCACAACCAGAACCAGATCCCAAGACTAGTTTGTATCCATCATCGAGATGTCAAGCAGTGATTAACCTTGATAAACCCGCCCCACAGCGTAATGGGTGCCACCGGCAGTGACGAGACATCCGAGTCGGTCTGCCATCTCTCTGTGGTCTAGCTGTCAATGCTGATACTAATTTGAATAGCTCATCAATGCTACATCGGGCTCGGGGTTGAGAATTCGCATGGGGCTTGAGCTTAAGAGTTGTACCAACGAAATACAGACCTCGCAGCTGTTAATCTTGTTAGACGGAAATCATGTCGTTCTCATCAATACGCCGACATGCTGAAGATGATTGCGGCTTTCCTGCAGACGATGTTCGTACTTGTCTATGATTAGTACGGGTAGCCTAGCGGACTGACAGATCGACCCCTAAGCACAAGCAAAAACAAATATCTGTCGGTTGTCACCTACATGCACTGAACTGTAGATTGTCTTGCATGGAATTGACTGGCGGAACTTCACGTAGATCTCTGATCTATGACTTCTTGTCCGCGGATGCATGTTCTATTCTACATTCGGCGTAACACAGAAGCGACGTGAATAAACATTCTGGAAGCTACCGTTGTTACGCCTTATTCGTACTGGCCTCGTGTTTGCCTGGCGTCTGTCTGGACAAGTATAAGACCCGTACACCCACCCTGCTTGCCCCTTGTCGAACCATTCCCTCTTCTCTTCCCTGCAGAGTTGCCATCATCTGAACGCCACATTCAGATTATTGTAATTCATACAGAGGTGAGCGAAGCTTGAAGTTGCGCAATCCACAAGTAGTTAATTAGTCTAGGTCACATCGAACGCACACGGAAAATACGTTGCCACACCTCTCCTCTCAGCAGTGTCAAATCGTCTCCCCCAAGTTCCCCTGCACTGCATGGGTATATTGATCTTAATCCCATTCGTGGCGGTTATAGCTGTAACCGTCTTGTCGGAATATTTCCCGCAGGGAGATGGGGAGAGCGAGGCGAGAGACCGTGCTAGAAAGGCCAGACTACTATCCTTACAGGAGAGAGCCGAAGAAGCGCAAGGAGCCTGGCGTGTCACGGAGGAAGCAGCAGAACATGCGCAGGAGCTCTTGAAAGAACAGGAATGGGTGGCTGCAGAAGATGGTCGCAGAGCAGAGGAGGAAAGGCTCGCTGTTGAGCGTAAATGGTTTGCAGGCGTTCGCCCCGAGTGTCGCCCTTCAGAGCAAGATATCAGTCGAATGAAGGCCCAGTATCGTTACAGCCCGGAATTCATTCATATCGCAGTTGTTGGCTCCGCTGGGGCGGGCAAGTCGTCCTTCATTAATGCCGTCCGTGGCTTGTCCAGAAATGATTCCATGGCCGCTCCTACGGGAATCGTCGAGACCACTTACACCGTCGCGAGATACCTAGATCCGTACCCGAACTCCCGGATGGTTTGGTACGATATTCCTGGATCAGGCACCACAAAGGTGTCTGACTGGCAGTACTTCAATAACATGGGCCTCTACATCTTCGACTGCATCATCGTGCTCATAGGCAATCGTGTCTTGGAATCCGACCTCGCCATCCTCCACGCCTGCGAGCAGTTCAGAAACATTGAGGCGTTCATTGTTCGCTCCAAGTCAGACCAGCACATCAACAACATGGTGTGCGAGAAGATGTCGCAAGGTTTCGACCTTCCTGGTCCCGACATGGACGCCAAAACACGTTCTCTCTTATTGCAAACGAAATCCGAAGAACGGGAGAGGTTCATTGACGAAACGCGCAAGAATGTACGAATGCACCTTGAGAGGGCGAACCTCTCTCGTAAGAAGGTCTACATCGTTTGCGTGGACGCCATTCTTGCGGCGGTGAGCAATTCGCGCTCTCCGAAGGCAATTGATGAGGCAGACCTTCTGAATGATGTCGAAGAATTTGTTCGGAAGCGTCTGCAGTGACCACTGGCAGTCGGGGTGTTAAAAGTAATCTTGCTCGATTGTCGATCGGTTCGTTTAGTGCAGTTTTTACCCTATAGATATGCCTGTCCCGGAGCCTGACAGCTCCCGCACACGTTCGATAGTTTTTGTTTATGTATTTTTGGTTGGATGTGACATACCGTATTGAGACTGTACATCTCCCCCAAGTCTGTCATGATATTTTGCTCTTCGTTAAGCCCTCATCATCAAATATGACCAAACAAGTCGGGAACGACTCATTCTTCTCTCGTAATCCACGTGATTGAGACACTGAGTGCCACCATGTATTCTCTAACTGGGCCCAAAGACGATGCAAGGCCATACCGACCAGCTACGATTTGTTCTGCTCCTGCCTGGTGATGGCGCATCATCACATGTTCGGAAGACAACAACGCACTCCGACTATGGGACCTGAAAAGCGGCGCACATATTTGCAATGACTAGCGAGACAAGGGGACCCAGGCAGGAGTATACACCATAGTATTGTCTCCAAATGGCAACACCATTGTGAGTGGGAGTGATGATTGGAAAGGGATGTAAACTCAGATAATCGTTCAATGAACAGGGCACACTGATTTGGTGTGAATTCGACTATGGGACGGCAAAAGTATGGATGTGAAGAGCAGAGAAACAGTCTTTGCAGTCGAAACTGGGAGCCAGTGGACGTTGACGGTGATCTACTCTGCCGACTTACAACGAAAGCGGATAGCAATACGGGTGCGCGAGCTGCTCGCTACACTCAACCACATTTATCAAGCTCGGAGTCGCGTGGTATCATGGGCGGTAAGAGGCTTAGGTTTTTGCTACAACATGGATGGCACGCCAATCTTGTCAGCTTGCAGTCGCGATCCTAGTCACCTGGAGGGAGGACGTGGCAGCCGTAGACTGGGAGCTGCGGACAACGACATCATGATGGTGTTGGCGGGCGGGTAACATGGAGGGAGTAACTATAGACAGACAGGCAAGCAGTCGCGGGGATCGGGAGAGATGAAGGCAAAGGTCTTGATAGTAGGCAGGCGGGATGGATGTTGACGGTGGGCGGTAGCGACATCATGCGGTGGGCTTGACAGACTTCCCAGCACTTTCTGAGCAACCCACTAACAAATTTTGCGCAGACCTGTTCCCCAGACTTTGTCACAGATTTTGCATCCAGTCTGCATAGACCTCACGCAGACCGGCCAAATCCCGCACTTTCTAGGCATACCTACTATCAGTCTCCCAGACCATAACAGAAGGAAGATACTCGTTTCCTTCCATATTAAATGGCCCGCACCCTACCGCAACATGCAATGCATCGCACAACATGTCGTCCACGGAATAGCGTCCCCTAGCCCCTAGACCCAACTGCTTCGAATCACCAGCGTCAATCACGGATCTCGATAATGCCCTACCTGGCCACAGGTTCAAAGACCTTCTAACCCTCTGAAAAACTCGTCAGTATCGAGGACAATCGAGGACTTCTCATATTTCCGAGCAATATCAAGGTCATAGAACGTATATCACAATAAACGAGGATGGGGCACATCGCTATTTACAATTTCCAAACACGACAACTCTCTGCCGCAATGCCGTGCTCACGTTCAACATCTGATTTCATATATGCAAACAACAAACGACGTAGTTTTGAGTGGGTAATTGGAGGTAGACTAGTGAGACTGGGTTCAGTTCGCCTATCGACAGCTTGCCTGCATATAAATTAACTGGGGCGGGTCGCGGGCGTAGCTTGCTCATTGCACAATATCAATTTAAGGTTCGATTACTTGCATATGATATCTCTACTTAGCTGAATCGACTCGTAGAACTTCACATAGAGATCTGATTTATGACTTCTCCGATGCACGTTCTATTCTACCCTCGGCGTAACACATCAGAAGCTACGTGAATAGCCTTTCAATAATATAGAAGCTGCCGAAGTTGTTCCACCCTATTCGTACCGGCCTCGCGTCTGACTAGACAAGTATAAGACCTGTACACCTACCCTGCCTGCCCCCTTGTCAAATCGTTTTCTCTTGTCTTCCCTGCAGAGTCATCATCGGCTGCACTTCGCATTCACATTATTGCAGTCCATACATAGGTGAGCGAAGCTTGAAGTTCTGCCGTCCACAATTGCTCAATCTTATTCTAGGTCGCGTCGGACGCACACGGAAAACACGTTTTCACGACACCCTTCTCAGCAGCCCCATCCACCAGATTTCTCTGCACTGCATGGCTTTTTTCATCGCCCCACTCATGGTCCCAGCCGTAGTGTCTGCAGTGTCTGCAGTGGTTGCAGTTGTAGCCGGCTGGCCAGCTCATTCTGCAAGAGCCAAGCAACTGGAAGCAGAAGAGGCAGCAAGGAAGATGGAAACCTTAGTGCAGATGGCAACCCTCGTAGCCTTGTCCAAGGCGAGCGAGGCCGAAGACAGTGCTAAAACGGCACGGAACTGTCTGGAAGAACTGCAACGGCTGTCTGCAGAAGCTAGTCGCAAAGCAGAGGAGGCGAGGCTCGCTATTGAGCGTAAATGGTTCGAAGGCGTTCGCCCCGAGTGTCGCCCTTCGGATGAAGATATCAGTCGCATGAAGGCCCAGTATCATTACAGTCCAGGATTCATTCACATCGCAGTCGTTGGCTCTGCTGGAGCTGGCAAGTCGTCCTTCATTAATGCCGTCCGTGGCTTGTCTAGAAATGACCCAGTGGCCGCTCCTACGGGAATCGTCGAAACCACTGACACTGTCACGAGATATGCTGATCCGCGCCAAGATTCTCGGATGGTTTGGTACGACGTTCCCGGATCAGGCACTCCAAAGGTGTCCGACTGGCAGTACTTTCAATGACATGGGCCTCTACATCTTCGACTGCATCATCGTGCTCACAGACAATCGTGTCTTAGATTCCGACCTCGCCATCCTCCGCGCCTGTAAGCCGTTCAAGAACATCGAGGCGTTCATTGTTCGCTCCAAGTCAGACCAGCACATTAACAACATGGTGTCCGAGAAGATGCCGCAAGGCTTCGACCCTTATGATCCAGACATGGACGCCGAAACACGTTCTCTTTTCTTCCTAAAGAAAACAGAAGAACGGCAAAGGTTCATCGACGAAACATCGCAGAATGTGCAAACGCACCTTGAGAGGGAGAAGCTCTTTCCTAAGAAGGTCTACATCATTTGTATGGACGCCATGCTTGCAACAGTGAACAAGATCCGCTCCTCAAAGGCAATTGATGAGGCAGACCTTCTGAGTGATATCAGAGGATTTGTGTTGCAGCGTCTGCAGTCGGGGTGCTAAAAAGTCAGATACTCTCGTTCGATTGTCGATCAAATTGTTTAGTGTAATTTTTTCCATCCAGCTAGTCCTGTCTTGGATCCTGATAGCCCCACACAAGGCTTGCATTAGCGTCACCTTTTTTTTGCTGATTTTGTTCATTTTCTCGTCAGATATCACCGTACCTCTCCCCCAAGTCTGTGATCTTACATAGTATTGCGTTCTCAGAATTCATTTTGTTACTTTTGTACAGTTTTTGTCAGTCAATTGATGTATGGCTGGAACGAACATGATTCGAAGCTGATCGAAGTCGAACCTGAAAGCTTGACGGTCATACTAGTGAGTCTGTGCTAAGCGTGAATATCGGGGATTAGTATGCAGTCCCATATCGATATATCCATTACACGAAAAACCTTCTTAAGAACGCAGCTTCCCTATGCAGCGCGCAGGCAGATCTTTGTGAATCCATCTCGCCTTTCCCACACAAATCCAGAATGCCTCGACTGTTGCGCGGCGCAAACCGACTATGATCTTAGCAACTGAATATCACGCAGAACTTCGAAGAGTAGGGGAGCAACTCCTGGAAAGCGTGTGCTGAGTGACTAGTGACTGGTTATCTACCTGCAGTATTAAACAAGTATTAAAGCACGAATAACCGCTAGTATCGGGTGCTATTGCGTCCATCACGTCATACTGTGCATTAACATCGTCTGTCTCCTATTTACGGTTCTTTCCTCACTACCATGGCAGACGAAGTACTCAGGCTATCGGTTTGGTCCTATCATTGACGGTAGAAAAAAGGTTGGTCAGAAACGCGTGCTTGCGCTGCATCGTCAGTTTGTCGAAGTCCAACTACATTCGAAAGCCACTATATCCCCCCCCCAATCGACCTGGCGTTCCGTCCAAACCGTTCATCGTGGACAATGAATCGAAGACAGTTACCTCTGCGATCTGCATATGCAACTGGTTGACACTAGCACGAACCGTGCTCGGCCTTCGAACGGATTCCTTGCTCGCAGTTAATTGTACAGAGTGTTGTCAAAGGTGAAAACGCGAAGAGACAATGCATCTATTTGCAGAGACGAACAAAGGACAAGATTGTGCTAATATTGTACGTCATGATTTGCTACTGTAGACACGATAGCTGACCAAAGGGGAATCCTTGTATCAGTCAAATACCTTGGTTGTATAATAGCTCATATAAGCGAACTGGCTCAGCGGATTCAGTCGCGGTTCCAGGCCACCTTAAAATTGCTTGGTTGTGTGTCCACTGGTTTGTGACTGACGAAAACAGAGATGCTTGGCATCAGATTCCTGAAGCTGTATTTTTCACATAATTGGCGGCAGTGCACCCAATGCATCGTCGATACATCACGGAGGATCAGCTCAAGCTTCGAGAATGGACTACCATTGCGCTCAATGAGGATGAAGCAAGGCTGCTTGACGCAATCACACTCCCTGAGTTTCATTCAGTACTGATCGCATCTATACAAGTACAGCTCCAAGCAACGAGGTAGGAACTCAACATTCGCTAGGCACATTAGGAGCTGGACGTCGAGGCTGAAGGCTGTGCGGTTCAAAGAAGTGGGTGCATCCGCAGGTGTATTTAAGTCCTGCCTTCTTCGCATCAGCCAGTGCCACCACAACGGATTGGCTGTCTCTGTTTTCAACCTGAACTTCCTATTGTACCAACCAACAGCTGCTGATTGGCGAGTTACTATGGCGAATCCAGACAGAGAAATCAGAATTGCGTAGGTACTTTCCATGTCTTCAGATTGCCGCATTGACGCTCTTTTAGCGTGATGGGTGCAACCGGCAGCGGCAAATCCATGGTATGTACGGTCCCTTTGCTCTGGACTGTGTGTTGATCGTTATCGCCGGAAACAGTTTATCAATAAAGCTAGCGAATCGAACCTTCCTGTTAGTAGCGGCCTCGAGAGTTGCACCAGCGAGGTGCGAACTTCACGGCCGTTCATCGTCAGTGGACGTGTCATCACCCTGATCGATACACCGGGGTTCGATGATACGACCCGCAGTGATACAGACGTTTTGGCCATGATCGCTGCATATCTCTCCAGGACGTGTGTAGTTCCATTGCGATATATTTCCTCAGGCTAAGTAATTCCTTCAGCTACAAGCATGGCGCCAGGCTCGCAGGTGTTATCTATATGCACCGCATTTCCGACTTCAAGATGGGCGGCACGTCCAAGCGCAACTTCAAGATGTTCCGCGAGCTCTGTGGAGAAAGCTCGCTCAAAAACTGTTCTCATTGTGACCAACATGTGGTCCGAGGTGAAACCCGAAATTGGCGAGGCCAGAGAGTCCGAGCTCGCGGGCAAGGACAAATTCTTTAAACCTGCTATCGAGAAGGGAGCTCGCATGCTCCGTCACGATGGCACCCTCGAATCCGCACATATCACTCTCCGTTGTCTCCTCGACAGCCACTCAGCACCGCTCGCCATTCAGCAGGAAATCGTTGATGAGCAGATGTCCATCGAGACAACCGCCGCGGGTTCTGAGCTCAGGCGTGCCCTCAACGAGCAAGCTGATCGTAACAAAGAGGAGATCCGCAATCTCAGAGCAGAGATGGAAGCCGCTATGCGGGCCAAGCACGAAGAGAAGAGGGGCAAGGTTCAAAGAGAGCTCGAGAAAAAGCAGCAGGAATGTGAGCGCATCGAACAAAACTCTCAACGCATGGCAGCTGAGTTCGATGCCGAACTCAAACGCCTCGAGGCTCGAATCGCGCAGATGGACGACGAGCACCAGAAGCAACTCAAGGCGCTGGAGGGCCTTCAAGGCGATATAGCCAGAGTGCAGAGTGAGACACGGAAGCAAGAGGAGGCTGCAGCCGCCAAGAAAGTCGAAGAAAACACCCAGTCGCGTATTATGGAGCAACAAAGGTTAGCCGACCAGCGCGAGGAAGAGGAACGACGGAAGCTAGTTCCTCCGTCGGCAGAGCAAAGCTCAAAGCTAGCAGAACAAGTAGTGTCAGAAACAAGCTATGAATAGGAAGAAGAGCCAAACACCCGAAGAAGAAGTGACGAAGCCGCGAAAACGAACTCGAGCAACTGAATATGGACTACTGAACGAATAGGATCTGACGCTGGACTCGGAGTGCCAGAGACCAAAGCAAGCTTCCCCAGTAGTTCAGCAGCCCAAGGGTTCTACACCTCCTCGCATTATGCCTCCCTCTCCATCCGTGGTGCGGCACTGCCATCACTTGACCCGGCCAGATGTTCTAGTGCCAATTTTGATGGTTGGGACCGCCGCAGTCATCACAACGGTGACGTTGGTGCCCAGTTTGACAGTGCTGTCGGCTACTGCTGCAATAAAATTGTCTGCGTATGTAAGGAACTTAAGGCAATGCCTGTACTTTTAATCAATTGAACAATATACGTTCTGAACTGCATACTATCATGCATTGCATCATGTACTAGCTACATCTACTAATTACTTTTTGACTTGGCTCGCAGTGGAACGCCACAACCAGCACATGTTTACCTGTGTTTATTACCACTATCTACTACACAGCCACAGTCTTGTCGCTTTTTTCAAGCACTACACCAAATTCCAGTCTCACAATATCTCCGCGTGCTGAGTTCGCATTCTTACTATCGGTATGTCATAACGCCGTCAGTGATGAGACGCCCCACGGGGTCATCCACCTCGCAGCTGGCCTATAAGCTAGTTAGTTATCTAATATATGCTCTACGGTCAGATGTAGTTCTGACTGGCGATAGCTACCTAGCTAGGGTGTCGGTACTCTCATGATCTGTCATGGCCACCAAAATCAGGTCCTAATCTTTGTGCTCTTCTATGTCTTGATCATCTTGTCCCACCGCATAACGGAAAGGTTCATCAGTGGCGCTTCTAGCGATGAACTTTGGAATTGGAGTTGTGTTCGGCGAAGACTGACGATAATCGACCTCCTCGGGCTCTTCGACGACGTTGTTTGTGTACCTCGCATTCTCCTCGTGTTCTGCACTAGACACTATTGTGGCGCCCGTGTCGTTGGCTGCTGCTGTTCGTTCTTCGTTCTCGGACGCCACAGAGGCATCAGAGTGGTACGACTGAGTTCGAGGGATAGAGGAGTGAGAGTGATCTTCGTGACCGTCCACGCCTGGCATTTCTGATTGGAAATTACGTGAAGTCGAAACATCCACCTCGACGTTTGGTTGCGAGAGGCCTGTCAATGTGTAAAGACTGGCTTCTTCAGGATCGGGTTGAGGCTCGCATTTTTGACCTCTTTTCATCCCCACAAACTCCATGACTCGTTTCCAAGCATGAGCCAGAAGGGATGATAGTTGTTGGCCAACTGCACGCCACCACCACCAGTGTTCTCCTTCCCTGATGCGGATGATGCCGTATGATATCATCACGAATACGATCAGTGTCAAAGCACCAACTACGGCCCTGGAAATTGTACCTCCAGCACTGCACCAATTGATGGAGAATGCCGCAAAGAAGAAGACCATCCTAACTTGAAGTTAGGGCATCCGCCTATGTCATTATGGTACAGACTCACCCCCACATGAGTAACGCCTTGGGAACGCTGTAAATTATGGCCAGCTTTTCAAGTCCGTGCTTTTTGTCGTGAAGTCTCAATGCGAATGATGCCTGAAACAGCTACCGTAAGAAACATTCCAGTTATACAGCACGAGTTACTGACTGCTTCCAAAGCTGTATTGTCTCCAGAGGTTTGTTCATGCCATACCAAGAAGATGCCGAGAATTATACTTCCCAAGCTCGTCACCAAGGACATGTAGCAAGCCATTTGAATGGCAGATTTACTGCCCTCATCAACGGTGTCGAGAGCGAGAAACCCAACATTGGCGTTGAGCAGGACAGTGGCCTACAAATGGCTCGACATTGATTTTACCCAACAAAACAATAAAAGGTAGATTTACCAAGAGATTGGAGTCCTGAAGTCGCCCTTTCAATTTTGAACTAAGTGCATTCCACCGTGCCGTGGAAGCAATTTCATCCACAAAAACCCTGTGCAGTTCTTGGACTTGCGTCACGGGGTCCAAAAAAAGGAGGGGTGCAACTACGACCATCAACAGTGATGGTACGTATTCCCAACCATGGACTGTCTTGTCAGAGATGAGTCTCACGCAATTCTCCCCGTGAAAGTTGATAAACTGATTTTCACCTGGAAAGTCATCATCAATCACAGCTAGATAGACAAATGAGATAGCACTGACTGAATAACTTCATGATACGGCCTTAAATGATAATCGACATTAGGAGGAGCTGGAGTTCAAATTAAGCCTCACCAATGACAATGGCAGCGTGACATCGTTGCATCCGCTTTTTCTTATGGAAACCAACCTTTAAAAAGCCGAATTAGCACAGAAATCCGTGAGGAAGTATCAATGTAGCGTACGTACCCTTGATTCCGTCTACCACCGAAATGTAGTCCTTGAGTTCGATGACATCACCTAGCGCAGAAGACCGCTTCGATGTTATGTGGTCTGATGGTTGTGACCGAACATATTAGGTCAAGATAGAAGGCCAAAAAAGTACTAACCACATGTCGCATGTATCAGCATATCCTTAACCTCATCGACATGGTCCTGTGAAACTAAGCACAGGTCAGGGAAATACTCCCAATGTAGCCTACGCCGTCCGTTAGTATGCTTGTATGTGAACCTATGATTGTATTAGGAACGGGATGGTGTTGTAAGGAATGTGGTGCGGACCTTTCCTAAAACACACCAATATTGTGCCTGGATGGCAAGCCCTGCCAATGAGAATCAGGACAAGTCTTTCAGATCCAGGTCCACTGACTAACTACGATCCACCCACGTATGTGTGAAAGACTCTTGACGCCTTTACAATCGGAGAGCACATGTCCAACATCAGACTCGTGCAACCAGAAGAGGCACCTGCTATTGTGGTTGACGAAATAGTACCAACAAACGATGGCAGAGTCATCAGACGCGTCAATGTTCTTTAGCTCGAGCACAAGGTCCACCTGTGCTATGGGGAGATTGAGCTTCTCTTGTTTAACGGCGGACTCGAGCCCACTCCGCAAGTACCGCATGTGGTATTCAATGGACTTGTATATTCGTGGGTTAAAGATATCCACTTCTGTGAATGTTCTCTGCATATAGTAACCATATTAGAAATGTCGGTCTTCAGTAATCGATAAACTCTACGCACATGTTCTTTGTTTAGAAAGTAGCGAGAACCTTCTGGATGAACGAGCGTGGTCCATCCTGGGGGTACAACCGCCCTTAAAAGAGTTGATGTATGAAAGAAGGTGGTTTAAGTAGGACTTACGTCAAGGTCATGCACAGGAAATGTGATTGTCATAGCGGGGACAGTAGTCTGGGTACTGTCGGTGACCCTTTTGCGACGTCAGCTCTAGAGTACAAGTAGGAGAGAAGGCTCATGTTCACCGGGGAATGCATCTTTGATACCTCATGACTCCTGCCGCAACCATAGGAAATATTCCTGGGGGTTTATCCTCATGCACCTCAACAATCTTTGAGCCCGGCTTCGAGTCGTCGCTACCGGGCGGAGCAGTCAAATGAACACGATAACCGGTAGCAAGATCTGGTGGTTCATTTTGCAGCGCGATGGAACTATGGATGACGTCGGGGAGATGATAAATAGGTCCCTCGTGCAGGCGTAATGTAGGCTGTCCACATTGTGACCCAGATTGATCGCTGCCCTGTGAGACATGACTATGTCTGGAATAAGTCTTTCTAAGCCCCAGATGCGTTGTGGAGGACATGGGTGTAGCAACCAGAGAACGAGCACCATTCGTGTATACCTGTGATTGTGAATGTGACCCTGGCAATCCATGGAGGCTTGAAGGACGTGATGGGCCTGGACTGCTAGACCCCTCGAATGGTTCACCACGGGGGAACGTCCGACTCCCCGAGTTCTCTCTCGTCTGCAAGGACTGGTGCAAACTTGACATAGCGCCCCCATCTATCTCTGCAGTACTCCCATTCCGTATTATTGTATTAGTCTGTGACAAAGGTATCGCTGTGACTTTTCGCAGATGTTGTGAGCGGATTGAATAAGGATTATCCAAAGGAGGCACAGAACTCGAGCAAATGGGTGCATCCTCTCTTGTGATGTTCCCTTGAGATCGCGGTAGAGCCTCGCTGGAAAAACGAGTCCCAGCAAACAACCTCCGACCACATGCACTGAGCTGTAAATGACCGGAAGCAAATTGGGGGAGCAAAGTCAAAAAAAGCGATAATGAACCCGCAAAGCGACGTGCAAGCTGTGAAAGCCACTTCTTTAGTGTGTTGAGAATGTGGACAAGGAGTCGTGCTGTCATCATGGCAGGGCACCTTGAAGGTACTGAAAATTCAAGAGAAAAGAAGGGGTACAATCACTGGGGAAACGACTTTTTAGTCGTATATATGAAGGGCGCCAGCGGACAAAATTCTCAGCGATTTCAATCAAGGGTTTCGAAGTCCCGTTTCGCTTTCGAATGCAAGTAATTCGATTTCGGGTGCTGCATCTCACTTTTCCGAGACTGATTTTCACGTACATTTCACGTTTCGATTTCATGTTCTGATTTCGCATTTGATTTTGATTTCACTTAAATTTTGTTTGTAGCTAACCGCTTGTCTTCGTCATCGACCCGCGCATTCCTCTGTCTTGGCTCGTGGCTCCGCTGTGATCTGGTAGCACCCGAGGACCTTACTAAGATCATGAAGTCTCTGAAGAAAAGAAAACGAGAGGGCGAGCCCGCGGGTAAATGCAACACTGCGGGTAAGCTGCTATACCGTGACTGCGGCGGGTTACATCAGTAAACCACTTTGTGGTGTACAGCGCTGTACAGCGCTGTACAGTGTGCAAGCTCCACAGCTTGGTCCCTGTTAGCCAGTTCATCAAGTAGCACCTTGCTCTGTGAATTTCTGTACAGACACTCACAGACCACCCAGCAACTACGAAATTCTACTTAAATTGGCAAAAAAAATTGCTGTCCATGTATGTACAGACACTCACAGAGCACCGGAACTGTGCAGATATTGTTCACTGTACTGATATTGCTCGCTGTACTGCTTACACGACACTAAAAATAAAACAAAACCAATATATTCAATCACATGACTATGTTGGACGGTATTAGATCACGATCGGGAACACAATGATACAACGGTGCCTAAAACGATGAAAGAGGGGCGCGGGAATAGAAAACTAGTCGAGAAGAATTTGCAGGTGGTCGTGCTTCGCCTCAACAACTCCTTCGAGATTCAATGCCGCGGCCCTGTGCAAATGAAATTAGTATAAAAGTTTTCGGAGAGGGTGGAGATCCTTGCCATCCCGCTGCAGCCCATTCTTGCAGTTGAGCTGACAGCCTCGGACCATGATACGCGTCTCCAAGGATATCTTTGAGAAATACGAGCATCCGATTGTAAATAGGGCTGTAGTCCTTGCTTGAAAAATTCGGGTATGATTTTCCATGTCCGTTTTTTGCAAGACCGTCGAGGACGCAATTAATACAACATTTGTGAAGGAGATAACCTACCACTGCGGCAACCAAAGCCAAACACGAGAGTGGCAATTCTGTACGGAAGATCTCTGGCATCCTTTGCGCGATTCGATATGGCCCTGTGTAAAAGAATGCGATGGCAACCTCACGAAGGGCGGGATGGGCAAAATTTCGCGTTTTCCCCTGGCAATCTTCTGTCAGTATAGACGCGATCAGTGCAAGATCACTCACCATTTCGTCCACCCCAAACCGTAAGAATAGCGATTCTTTGATTAAACCAGCAGCCGCATGTTCAATCCAAGCAGCACGTTCTTGAGTGGGGACCGAAAGCGGGGGAATGAGCGAATATGATAGTGGTGCAATGCTTATGGCAGTTTTCTTCAAGTCTGATCGCCAAGTTGAAAGATCGTCATACAGCTTCAGTACAGACTGTCAGCGATATATCGGCCCAGAATGAGTTAAATACGCACCAACCGAGACATATTAATTTTTTGCTCAGGCCAAACCCCTGCGATGACAGATTAGTTTGAGAACGAACGAGAACAAATGAGCACTCACCAGCTTCAAATTGTTCACCGTTCCTATCCCACATAACCAACGTTGCGATAAGAACTTCGGTGATTGATCCTGGTAGGTTCTTCACCAAGGCTGGAAACGGATTCTCCAGGGCATGTTGCAGGCGACATTCCGCTTTGGCATCCTCCAGAAAACACTTCCAGCGCGGGCCATACCAAGATAGTTGATCGGGTGTTGGCCCACTACCCGATGCCTTGGATCTTTTGGCTCTTGATGGCTGAACGCTAGACTCGGTTTCTTGATTTAGCAGCTTGAGGGAGTCAGGGTCAGGAAGACGGGGCTTTCTGTTTTTCTCATGGTGGCGCTGCAATACATCCTCGGGCTTCAAGGTAATGGTCTACTTAATTGTGAGCACCAATTAGAACAATTTCTAATCTCACCTCAATGTGTTGGGACTGTTGCCGCTGTAGGCCTGGTGAGATGTCCTGAGGGCCCTTGAAAGAAAAGAAATGTAAGCGTGTCACAATTAAGTAACGTGATCATACCTGAGAGCTTTCGTTCCGCTGGACGAACAAAATGAAGTGAGTCGGTCTCAGCTAGACTAGAAAACTTACGGAGGTTTTATCAAGGCTCGTCAGGGCAACAACATCATCTTCATCACGTGAATACTGGAATTCAAATTCAGGTGTGAGTGGACGAGCGACTGGAGGTTGCGAAGGTAGTGCATCCTTTGAAAATCCTATGATATTGATTTAATGAAGGGAAATCATGCCACGAAGATGTTTACCTGGATGTTCTTTCTGGCGCCGGCCGGCCTCCCCCCAACCAAACTCCTGCGAGCTCTTGACAGTGTCATCATTCTCCCCCTCTTCATCATCCTCTCTGTCAGCCTCTCCGTCGGGATCTTTGTTGTCGCTGTCGTCACTGTCATCGCTGTCGTTGCTGCTGCTGCTTTTGGAGTCGCTGTCCTCCTCAGATCCTAGCAGCCTCAGATGACGTTGAGCCCTAACAGTGTCATCCTCCTGGCGCAGAGCTGGGTCTAAGTTGTGCTCCAAAAAGACGGACCTCTGGGTATGCTGCACTCGCTGCTCAGCGATAGCGTCCCGAGCTCGTTTCTCAGCGATAGCGTCCTGAACTCGTTTCTCATCGATAGCATCCCGAGCTCGCTGCTCATCGATAGCATCCCTAGCTCGCTGCTCTGCAATAGTGTCCCTAGCTCGTTGCTCAGCAATAGCGTCCCTAGCTCGCTGCTCAGCAATAACATCCCTAGCTCGCTGCTCAGCGACCTTCATCCCAACAGTGACATATGGGTTTTCCGACACCTGAAGATCGGGCTTAGCAGTACCGGGATGAACAAAGTCTGTGGTGTTTGAAGCAGCAAATCCAAACCGTCTGCCAGGTTGTAGTAATGTCAAGCTGGGCTCTGCAATATCCATGGCTGAGGCATCTGGAGCATCACTGACGAGCGAGCTATACGGTGGAGGAACCGCCTATGGGAGAATCAACATGAGTAACAACATTAATTAAACACTTACCTTAGAATCTTTCTTTCGACCTTTACGATGTGGCTCTGGGGCTTGGGGATTGACTGGAACATTGGGACCAAGGGACGTCCTACCCTTGTGTTCGTGAGCTCGAGGCTTAGATTGTAGCGCTAATCCAATTTTCTCCAGCTGGGCGTTCCTACCTCCAGTTCCTGCATTAGGGCGGCCAGAACGTCAGGGAGCATCATTTGCTGCTTCTGCTCCAGCCAGGCCGAGTGACACGAGAAGGTACCATGCTGGGTACTTCGGCAATGTCTGCAGCCCGCGACTTCTTTGGCAAGCCGGTCTTTAAAGCATCAGATCCTTTGCGCTTGGATCATTTCCTCTTGGGACTGGCAACGGCACGGGGAGGCATCACTGCAATAAAGAACAGGAAGAGGCAACACTGATGAATTATACCAGACTCACGAGGATTTTATATCATGTCTCAGTAATCGATATTCGGACGACTAGCGAGAGAAAAACTTCATTGTTAGTAATGATAATAATAGAGCAACACACCTGAGTCAATGTGTCGCAAGAGTTGTGTATCATGACTCGTACTCGATATTCAGATGGGACTAGCGAGAGAAGATGTGCTTCATATTGACGTCAGTTAAGAAAACGTTTCGCACCCAGCCTGAGAGTTACATTCAAATTTCGATTACATAAGCAAAAACAGTGCGCATCATTGGCAAGATGAATAGTAGTACGTAAAAGAAACTGTCTGATTGTGAAGAGAAAGAGAAAAATCAGTAGGGTGCTCGTAGGTGAACTATCATAACAACGTAACACAGTACACGAGATTCTAGGTATGCATATGCCAGTGCAAACAAGCTAATAACAAAGAAGATAGTGTATGATGAGCGGGTGGACAAATTGAATCACCTTTCCCTCCTGGTCATGCGTCACTGCCCGATGCTGAATCAGACTCAGTGTCTCCAGTATGATGGGACTTCTGTCGCTTAGGCTCCACAACAGAGAAAGACTCTGAAGCAAGCTGTTTCCCCTTGAAACGATCCGCGAGAACGGCAGCATCATTCTTGAGCATATTCACAGTAGTTGCGAGCTCCTCATCGTCGGGAAGCTTGTTAAGATGCGAGTTGAGTATACCAAGAATGGTACTGAAGGTGACGGGGTGAATCATGTTGTCCGCCAGAGCTTTACGCCACTCGGTTGCGAGGGGATGAGGTCCCTGAAGTACGGGTGAAATTCATCAGTGAGACACTTTTCTTCTGCTGGATTCGCGAAAAAGGTGATCTTGAAGGCGGCGCATGTTTCCAAGTCAAGGCTTGTCCATCGATCCAGCAAGGAATTGGGTAAGGGCCCCTGGCGCACCATGCCATTGGACCACTGAACTTGATGCAAACCCAAGCGAATATAAAAAAAAGAGACTCAAGTCATCCGCAAATCTGTGAACAACAAATGATATTGGCAGAGCCAAAGAATCCGACGATGATTTTGGGGTTGTCGGTTTTTTCGTTGATTTATGTGCCCGAGTTTTCTTCTTCATCGATTCCGAGTTCGCCTGTTGCTGCAGGATTGCGACCTGGTTGAGTAGCCCACGTGACATGAAAGGGACTGTGCCCTGGCAATGAATTAATAAACTGAATATTTAATGAATGAGGTGTACTTACTGTACCACCGATGGGATATTTGTTATCCGCGGCAATACGAACCGCGAACCTCCCAGTCAATAAGAAACCCTTCACTACTGCCAAGCTCGTCTAGGATCATCGTGTTGTTAAGACTACAGTCCCGATGCAAAATCTGATGTTCCTCCACTGCAGTTTGTAGGACTAAAATCAGAGAGCATCAGTTTAAGACACCTGTACCACGAACTAGATGCTTACTCTTAACGATATCTCTTAGTGCTCGCACGAACTCCTTAAGCGTTCGGAACATGTGAAGGGGGGCGACCACATGGCTTCAAGACAAGACGCACATGAGTACGACTGGTGCCTCTGATACTCCGGCGTTCCTTGTGCCGATATTTGCGGGTAATGTCGGGCTCACCATCTGACCGCTCAACAACCCAATAATCCACCAGCCTTGGAACGCCAGGGACTTGTGTCCATTAACTCCAGCATCTTGATTTCGTTCAGGACTACATTATCGTCCTTGCCCAGAACCCAATGATCTTTGATGATGTAGTCTTCATCGTCCAAGGTGACTAAATAGCAAACGGTTCTGCGACCAACGAGGCCTCGGGTCGCAAAAGAATCCTCTTTATGGTGTAGATTTTCTCCCCTACACGAATCTTGCCGCAAGGTTCGGGTGATTGAGTAGAATAAGGGAATTGGGAAGGGAGAGGGGTGACGGAATAGATGCTCTCGGTCATCTCAGCCTGGGGTATTTGCGATATGAGGCTAAGAAGGGGAGCGCTGCGGGTTGCAGTGGGTTGAGGGGGGGAGGAATTCTCTTCATCCATCGAGTCATGCAAGGCGCTCGGACTCTCTTCAGTTGAGTCGTGAGCAGAATCACTAGAGGACTCATCAGAATCATCGGAGACGACCGATTCAAGAGCTTCGCCGGATGATACATCAGGATTTGGAAGAGAATCAGAGCTCGATGTGGTAACAGCATGGTCTGTCGTACTACTCCGTTGGGCAGGAGTATTTCTGATGGGATGATAGCCGTGGATATCTTTGGATCGGGGTGGTGAAACAATCCTCGAGAAGGAAACTGTTGTGTCATAACCGACGCACTCTAAACTCCCAAACATGATAGCAGCGATGATGTGTAGAAATGCGTTGGGTTGCGTGTAAATATCGAAGCGAGGGGATACAGCACCACCTGAGTGGTCATACATCAAGACCCTAAGGTGGCGATATTTATTTGTGAATGATAATATGAGAGCGAAGCGCCTCCAGGGCTGTTCACTCATCATAATATAGGCATGGGTATCCGCGGCCTTCCCGAGTCGCATCGCAGGCTGGTATCGACTGTGCGTGAGTTCTGCTGATACCCTGATGTTTCCCCACTTGGCAGATATATCGTCGGATAGGACAATATCTGGCTTGCGCTTGATGGCGCTGCCAGGCAATGCCTTCTGTGCATTGGCCGCACTCCATGTGCCGGTTGCAAAGCGCATTGCTACAAGTTCGGACTGCGACCGTGACAAGCAACTAGCAAAAGCATTGAGAAACGCTGCAAAATTTTCTTCATGAGTTGTTTCCTGTGTGGCGTTGTCCTCCGAGTCTGACCCCGAGTCAACCCCAGCTGGAGTACTACCATTTTCTGGGGGGGTCAACTGGAAGAGCCCAGTTCCAAGTCTTCGCTTCAGTGTCATACAGCGGCACTAGGGTATCTGGTGATGTACTGCTAAACTTTTCGTTGATGCGCTGGTTGTGATGAAGGATTTTTCCAAAAGGTATTTTAAGGTTGGACACATCGGGAAGAGGAATTGTGAAAGACTGGAAGATTTGGGTGAGTAAGTGTCCTAGTATCGGTTGTGAGGCCTTTGGTGTATCCTCGTGAGTGACCAGCCGATTAAGCTCGTTGGACGTGATCTTGTTCATAGCAGGGACGTCAGTGACATCAGGGATAGACACAAGTGATGACAATTTGATTCCGTTGTCAACGGTCCTGAAAAAACAAGCCATTTTGTATGTGACAATAGTGAGACAAACGCTAGCTTATCACGCCACATAGCGCCTCACAGCGCCATCAAAGATTGGACCAATGATCTAAGAATAAGATAGACTAGAATAACCATTGGCTAGATACACAACTGACGCGAGCATTGCATAAAAAAGGGTGACTACGTCAAAGTTACATGGAAAGAGGAAAATATGAGTTCTTGTCCCAATACTTGTTGAGCCAAAACTGCGAAGCATGTTCCATGCTATTATATGGGGTGAGGCGGTTGTCCACACTTGCACCGAAGCGAGGGACGAGGTTGACAAGTGCTCTGAGCTGTGTCACAGGCACGATGTCACACACCCGAGTACCATTTGAACGCTTCGCTCGTTTGAGCAAGTGGAGCTGCGTACTTGGCTCACGATCATTGGTACCGGAGCTTTGGGGAACAATGTCAAAGTGATGTACATATACCAGAAAGCGGTCCTTCCATGACCAATTTGTGCCACTCTTTCCAACAGGACGCATGAGAAGCCTGATCTGACCAATAGTATGACCTATGACTTGACAATAAGTAAATATTCAGTACAATGTAAGAATAACATACCGTGAAGACCATCTGTGGGCCATACACATCTCGCCTCGTTATTGATGATGGCTGTGTCATACCGGCCAGAGGTCCAGGGATCAGAAGGGGGGTGCGCAGTTGAGGGTCTGTGCAGGCCGTATGATGCTGATATCATGAAAATCGGTGTCCTGGAGCCGAAGCTTAAACCAGACTTGTAGTTTGTCGAAGGGAAGTGGAGTAGTGGGTCCAGCTCTTCTAGCCCCCCCAATAGTATGGATGTGATCCCTCCCGTGAGTATCCTCACGACGAAGAAAGTCGGCAATGGCTGGTCGTAAGTCGGGAAGGCCAAACTTAATGGCAGCATCGTCAACAGATATATTTCTGATGGATGGGTCGTAGGCGAGGTGGAACACTGTGCGTTCAATAACGAACGAGCGCAATGGCACAGGGACTGTTCCCGCTTCCCTGTGCTGAAGGACCTTGGCAATGCCCAGGGTATTTGTTCATCGCTAGAAGGTGTGGGATATCATGATCGACATCTGCGTCGAAATCAACATCGCCATCATCGTGATCGTCGTCTGCATCGAGATCAACGTTGTCATTGACATCGCCAACGTCATCTGAACCCTGCCGCTTCGAGTCTGCCATATTGTTAAGCAGACTCATAGCGAGGTCAAAGCGGCGGCACTTATCGGTACGGTCAAGATGGCGACATATCTGGGGATTGTAGTTGTTGTTGTTGCTGGAGCGAGCAGGATCCTTGATTTCCGTTAATGTGCGCATGTTTGGTGGTGTCGGCGGTCCATTGCAGAGAAACTCCAGTGTTCCTTATGCTCAGAACTATGGACTGCATGAGCTCCAGCTTTGGTATGTACCAGTTCTCAATGACTCCACCACGCTGACCACGACGAAATCCACCATCTATAATTGCATCTTGTTGGCGTGAAATTCTTCAAGGGCCGTGGAAATACGGGTGACTGTACGAGGTACCGAAAGTCCATGAGAGCTCGTACGGCAACCATCACGGTGCTAGGTACTGCGTCCACGCTGACCGCGACAATTGAGCGCTGGATGTCACGCTGAGCGCGTCCTGTAACCTGTTTAAGTTTTGAAATCCCGCCATGAAAATGACGGAACCCAGTGATGACCTGCAACACAGAGAACCGAAAATCGATCTCTGTGTCACCGACTGCGCAAATGAGCCACTTTACATCGTGGTCGTAGAACTCGCGATGGATGAGGTGAAGAAACTCGGGAGTAAGAAAGTGTGATGGATCACTGAGGGGCCAATCTAGCCAGAATGGTGTGTTGACGCCATTCAGACGAAACTTCTGGGCCTCACGGTGTCTTAATAACCGAGGGTCTTATATAAATACGTGTAAGAATGTAATGACACCACAATTACACTGGATAAGACTTCTTGCAGTCCTCGATTAACACGGTCTACGACTTTTCTTCTTTCGTGGTAGATAACGTGTGAGTTCTTGGGAGGCTCGCTAAACCAATCAGTCAGATTAACTTAGCCGGAGCTTTATTATCTCTGATTGAAACTATGGGATTGTCTAGGATATACCGTCTAGACACTTGAACTGGTTTCCTGAATATACGGTTAACTGTTGAGAAGCTGGTCTCAAATGTGACTACGTGGACCAAAGCTTGTGTTGGTCAATATACAAATACCTGGTGAGAACGCTGGTCTCACAAATAACAACAAATGACAAATATAAAACAATGACAAATAACAACAATGACCAAAGCTCGTGTTGGTCAGTATACAAATACCTGGTGAGAATGCTGGTCTCACAAAAAAACAACGGTGACCAAAGCTCGTGTTGGTCAGTAAACACTACGTGGTGAGAACACTGGTCTCACAAAACTGGGTTTCTATCGCGAGAAACTTACGTAATCTCAAGGGAAACACTTTCCCTGCACTTGCCTGGACAGTTCTTACAAAGGAAATGGGCTTTGTAAGCAGCAATTTGTTCAGACTGAAGCTTCTTAGGTGAGAGTTCAATTTGCTCAAGTGGGAGTTCTTGAATGCAACAAGTGGGAGATCTATTTTTTGGGGGAGAATGGGCTCTCCTTATATACATTTTGTGTGGGAATATTATGTAATTAAAAGGTGATGTAAATGACTTCAGATGTGAGAAGAATATTCCAAAAACTGGAGCAGAATGTTCTAGCAGGTGCAAAAGAACAGTCCAGAATATTCATGGTGGGATACTGACATCATTCTGAGTCACTATGAGTCACTATGAGTCATTATGAGTCATTGGAATGTTCTAGCAAATTCCATGGAACATGACATCATTATGACATCACTATGATATCATATCTTTCAACCAAAATACCATGCAGGAGTGTAGGTGAAGTCCTATGACATCATTATGACATCATACCCTGTAGGTACAATTTTATGAAGCATCTGATTAGTCAGAGCATCCTAATAGAAAAGTAAAGTAAAGAAACACTAGAGAAAACAACTCAAAATAATGGAACAAATAATAGTACACAATACGGGCTTTTAGATAGGTTTTTGTTAGGCTTTGAACTTTTCTCTATGGGTTTCTCTAGCCAAAGTGAATAAGCCAAAGGAAAGGCAATACCTTAACCTTCATTTTGCTTCTCATATCAACTAGGTCATTATGTGATTCCCATCTCACATATGACTTTTCTTCAAAACATGGTGGATTCATGAATCACTGAGGGAAACTGAAACTATTGGACCAAGGTTTGATACCAATGGGTTGACTAGTCTGAGGACTAAGCTAACAGACTTTGTCTTTTAGGGGGATACCTAGTAGTCATGTCCATGCAGATTCCCAAATCATGCAGGACAACGGAAAAAGCCTTGATGTCATCGGATCAACTTTACTCCGTGCAGTAGCCAGCTGGGGAGTGTAGCTCGTGTGCGAGGTCGTGACGGAAAGAATCTCCAAACTGTTTATACATGGCCATAGTAACCGGAGAGGTTTTCCCGCCA